AATAAAGAAAAAATAGTTAACCTTTTTAAACATTGCCCTATTTTGTCAAATATCGAGAAGGATGAGTTTCACATCAATTTTTACCTGCTACCTACATTTTTATAGCTCTTACGCGAACAAGTACGCTTGCTCTTCGTGTCATACTTGAAAAATGGGGCTTCCCATCAACTCAGTGGTTCTCAACCTTTTACTGACCGCTTATCATTTTACTGTTTTTTACTATGGCCGCGTACCACCGACAAAGCTCCTTTTTTGGCGTGGGGAAAAAGACACAAGAAACATGCTATGTGTGTATTTTATAATGTGGCACTATACAACCTTTGTGGCGTAACACGCAAAACGAAGAAAAACATGCCCATATCGCTTCATTTAAGGTGGGCAATAGCGGGCGAGGGCGATCTCTAAAGACAAGAACTGATAGCGCACCAGCGCTATGAACGTTTCCTCGACCATTGACCCCGGAAAAATTACTCTTATACTTTACTACTGCAAACTTTATGCTTATTCTGAGAGTGTTTTGGTGTGTTGGCATTGGCACATATAAACTGGTTTACGTGTTTGAAATCATAATGTTTAATAAACTTAATCAACCATGTGCCGTTTGCAGGTACTGATATAGCTAAGTTTAGCCTTGTCCATCGCAGCATTTGCGAGATTCAATTTCGATCATTGCAACTAAAGTAAAGCTCCGGGGAGGATATAATGACAATTAAGTTAATTATTTGACTATTATTTTCTTGAAATACAAATGAAAACTGACAAATATCACTCAAAACTACAAAAACGAGGCAATGTTCGCAACCATGCTTGAATATCTGTTTGAGCGACAGAAGTGTCTGAGCGGCTGAGTGCAGAAATTGCAATTGTTATAGGCCTAGTGTTGCGTCGGTTATAGTTACGGAAATAAACGAGGAAAACTGATGCCTGGGGAAAAATTCATAAACGCTGTTCAGCGAATACATACAGTAAGGAAGATAAAGCGTTGCCGGCATATTTTAGCCAACTGAAAGGTTAATTGTTGCAATATTTCAAATCTGCTCGCGTACCACTTAAAAAGCTCCCGCGTACCACTAGTGGTACGCGTACCACAGGTTGAGAACAACTGCTACGCTCTACCAAACGCCATGTACACGTGTCGCAGGTTTTTCTTTCTCTATCTTTTCAAAACTTCTACTGCGATAAAATTAGAAGATCAGAAGTTTGACTGCGACTATATATACATCATAAACTAACTCAACAGACAATAACGCAACAAAACATGTCTATCCCTAGTCCCTACCACAACGCAATTCGAGTGTCTTTTTCCCGGCCAAAACGTGTCAGACGATGCCTTCCTGACTTTACGTTAGGCGGCAATCATCATCAAAGTAATAATCAAACCACAAAACAAACAGAAAAACAAAAAGGGTTAGCACACGGAAAAATCCTATCACAGAGTCCCTCCCTTAAAATGTCATGACCTCCTTGGTCATGCTGAACCCGAAAAATGTTTAAAACAGATGGAACAGACTAAAGTGAGACTGACACGAAAATCAACCTCAAAACGAAATCATTTTTAAACTTCTAAACCATCCTCAAATTATACAAAATCGAAATCTAATAAGTATGACGTATCAGTTAAACTAGTGCTATACATATACACGGATTACACATTAATTTATATTCCGAACACTGTGAACAAAACTACACAAATTGTAAAAAAAAACAGTTAAAATAAGGACGCAGTCATTTCATGTCACGAAATGCGGTTCGGGAAAAAATGAAATTATGTATCAGGCATCTCCAAATTTCGATTTGTACAGATTACTTTGTGGTCTGTCGAATGCTATCACTCTGCTGAACTGGGCAGGGTTACTCAACTATTTTTGCTAAAGGTCCGTATACAAAACTTAAAAATTCCTGGGGTCAGGTCTAGCCAGAAAATGTATTTCATACCGCGCCTAACTATATTTTAGTGGCCCTATTTTTTCGGTTACAAAAGTTAAGGAAACACGAGTTGTGGGAAACTGAGTAACCGCAAAATATTCCACATCTTTTTACGTATCCAAAGTTAAATGGAGACAATCCTCCAAAATAAAAATAAAATCGGCCCTGAAGTTGAGTAGCCCTGGGCTAGGGTATGGAGCTGGGAACTGGATGATCGTGAATTTGTGTTGTAACATAAACTGATATATACAAGTACAGTATCTAAAACTACCTGCTTCTAGATTCGAGAAACATAGAAGTCCATGGCAACATTAAAATTTTGTGTACCAAACTACTCAGAATTAGGATTTTTTAGACTCGGATCGTTGGTGTTACTACGGTTGTGAGTCGGACCATCTTGCAATTTCAATTCACGCTGTCACAAGATAGGAACTTCTAAAGATAGGGCAGTTTCGGTACCGTAACACAACGCGATGACACTGAAGTTAACTCGTAGCTGTCTGGTAAAAGCGGGGCTTGTTTGTGAAATTTTGTTCCAATATGGAGAAGGGAATGAAACAGATTACTTAGTATTTCAATTCATGTTGCAATTCAATTAGAAGAGTAGATCATTGTCACGGGACATGTGAAATGGGAGGCAGACAACTCGACTACACACGGACAATTCACCAGAGACAACTCGACTACAGATAGACCTGGTGAGTTGTCCGTGTATTGTAGTCGAATTGTCCATCAGCCCTAAACGGCTATGACAGTCACTGTACCGAAATTTGTAACCCGATTCAGGTGGTGTTAAGTTGTTATTTAGTAACGTTTTTATGCGAAATGTTTGACTGTGGTTCGGTACCTGATCCGTTAATACGGTACATAGTTGACTCATATCACGAGATATTTCAATTGATGTTTCAATATAATCAAGAAGAATGGATCATTGTCACATGATCTAAAATATATATGACAAGTCCCTGTACCGTCAGGGTACCCCGGTCCCCGATACATGTACTGGTATGTCACCGTATATGATTTTTGGGGAATTGTTCTGCGTATCCATATATTTGAGCATTGCTCTCTTGTTTAAGTCATATTGTCGAAATTTCGACACGAATGACAGCGGCTGTTTCGCCTGTCATATATTTCCATGTTCACTTCCGTAGCCTTTGAAAATCAGCAAGATGTTTGTGGTGACGTAACAATTTGAATAAACGTCGGATATTGCAATATGCAATAGCTAGTTTTGTCATTTATTTGTCAGTTTTAGTTGCCTCCCAAATTCAGCCATAAATCAAAAAAAGTAATGATCATTTTGTCTTCCTTGGAGCTTTAGTCAGGTTGCAGTAAAAATGCTACCGTCAGTTTTAAAGGGCAAGTGTTTCAATATTTTGAATCTAAATTATGGTTATGAACATGTAAACCAGTTTATAAGCATCAACTCGTAATAGTACTCTTAAAGTAAGCATCAAGAAGGGTGGAGCACAAAAAATATTTGTCATGGGTCTGGGAAACATCATCAGGCTATGAAAACCCGAACAGTGACGGCACGCGAGAACAGGTGAAAATCAACTTTTGAATATGAACATCATGATTTCGGAAAATAAAACGAATCTACAATGAAAACCGATTTCAAAGCCGAGCCAAAAAAAGTGGGTCTTTTGCTTATTCTGAATAATCTTGGAATACAGACCCCATCGGCGCTGTAGAAGCTGGGAGCAAAGTCCTTGTACATATTTTCCAGCATATTACGTGCATTCTTACAAGTTTCAAAGGTTGTTGGTGTTTTATTTACGCAGCGTCCAAGAACAGCAATCCGTTTTGCAAAAATTGTGTAGTCATTCTATGACACGACAGTGTTTTCAAAGTACATTGATGGCCGTGTTAGTGCTTCGAGTACCATGGTTTGATTAATTGTCAGAATCGGAGGCAACGCAGCTAAAATAAAGGACAAGCTCCACATTGTAGTCACTGCAACGATAGCCCATTCAGGTTTTACATTTCTGCTTTGAAGTGATCGATGAATCCCATAAAAGCTATCCATGGCCAAGACAACCAGAAAAAAACGCATGTTTCACTGCGCTAATGCTGTCATAAGTCCAATCGCAAGAACCACTGATTTGCCATAGTTTGTCCTTTAATACGAAACATCTGTATAGTTTTTATTCCTTAAATTATGACGGAATTCGACATAGATAAACTATTAAATTCAGAAATGCGTATACAATGTCATTTTTAAGGATTAGGATTGCGTGCTGAGATATCCCCAACTAATAGTGAGAAAATTAAGTATTAAATGACTCACACGTTGATTTACGAGATTATACTTGCCAGGAAGACGTCCCTAGATATCAACCTATACCAGACTTGAACGATAACATTTAACCGCCTGGTAAAAGGTTAGTCAGACGGAAGTCCATGCATAGAAATTTGTTAACAAGCAAAAACAAAATGGTATTTTAACTGCTTCTATTGAATGTGTATCCGATCTACCATGGGTAAAATTGTAGCTTAGATTATATTAATATTGTAGTGTGGTCAGAAGTATCTGCAAGGTCTAATCGAACACGAGACTTCCTGCATCGTTTGTTGTAAGAATGACGTCTTTTGAATCATTTTCTCAAACAATGATGAGCATCTAATTCTAAGGTCACTAGTAGTCTTTGAATTACAACAGTAAATGCAAGATGTGCTGTTTTTTTTTTTAAATTTCTTTTGTATCTACCTCTCTTTTATAATGACGCGGTTTTTGGTAAGTTGAATATATAGGGTTTCCATAAAGTTATGTCAATTTTTTTAAATTATGAAAGGAATTCATCGATACCATATATTGATTTGGCCTTCACATATGTATTAAATGAACTAAAAATACTTAAACAATTGCTGATTAAGAAACAACGAACCTGGTTAGGAGATATTGAGAACTGACTTCATAACAACATTGAAATTGTCACAGAAGACATATTCAAATAATATAAACATTGTGGAATGTGTTAAGAAGTACCTGCAAGGTTTAATCACGTACGGGACTTCCTGTAACGTTTGTTATAAGAATGACGTCCTTCGAATCATATTCTCAAATAATGGTGGGCATCTTAGATCACAAGCAGTCTTTGAATTACAGCTGAAAATGCGAGATGTGCAGTTTTATTAAATTTCTTCTTCTCTGCTATAATGTTGCAATTTTGGGTAAGTTGAATATCTACACAGAAGACAAAAATGTACAAGGATACCCTATGTTTAATACCAGGGCTGGGGAGCTGGTAAGATTACAATAGCTCCGGCTCCACCTACGTAGCCTTTGTATATATAGGATACAGCGCTTGCGCTCCATTTTTGCTTGAGTTCCGGATTCTTGGTTATTGATGTTTTGAGTGTAATCAAGAAAAAGAGTTTTGTAATTGTAATAAATGGTAAAAAATTATGAATGCGGGTAAATAATTAAATAGTTAGGAGCTGGGGACACTAAAATCTTTGGTAGGTTTGTCTTAATCTATTTTGGTAACCCTGACTCCAGCTACGTCAAAATGTCATGGCTCCGACTCTCCAGCCCTAGTACATAGTATAATGGAAAACTTCGATGGCGACATCTGTAACATTTTAAAAATTGCACAACCAAAAAAATGAAGTAAAACTTTCTTTGGTGACATTGATTGGACATTGATTTATATGGTATTTTTTAGTGACGAGTTTACATCTTTCTCACCATGTACACATTTCTAGGTCGTAATCATTTGTTTTACATCAAACAAGTTTCAGCTGATAACTTCATTCCCTATTCATCACCGAACAAACTAAATTAAAATCATCCAGTCGAAGAGTTTTTTATTTTTTTTGTAATTTTCACAGTCAATTCTCTAAATGTACGAAGGCTTCGTCCAGGTTGTCGAATCGAAGATGGCTATCACAGATGTTCTTTAACTGGACGATGTCAAAAACGAGAAGGTGTTTTCGATGATAGGTGTGAGAATGGTCAGTATCAAATTGTAATTTTATTTGAGAAAACAAATATATTTTTTTAAATATATTGATATGAATCGGCACTCTTGCGGTATGGATCATTTTGCCGACGTAAATTTGTATGTATTTCAAGAAATACCAGTATTATGCTAACACATTTTGTCAGTTTAAGACGTGCATATCTTTTCCTTCCGTAACTACAAAAGTAATCAGTTACAATAACGATGTATTTAAGATGTTAATTAAAAACAACTATAACTTTTTCGGAACTATTTGATTTGACAAACTACATTGAAATTCACGCACGCTTATATTTCTCTTTATCGCCCACACTCATTGCAGGAAATTAGATATTGTTAAATAAATGTTGAACTACTCAATGTGTGATGCACTTCGAGCATAATTAGTGCCAAAAGGTGGGATGAAGAGGAAGACGCTTTAGCGTAGAATAAATTTTCGTTGACATTTCAATATCAGTAACTAAGCAATATCACTAGTCCAATCTTTCATTACCTTGTACGCAATCATTATTCTGCACACATTTTAACAACCGATTTAAATAAGACACTTTTGTTTATTGTCTGTGCCAAGGAACCATTTTTTTGCCAAGTATCACAAAACAGCATTACAAAACATTGATAAATGTACAAAATCGAATGATGAACAGTAACATAAAAACCATTTAACAATAAATTTTATAACAGAAAGAGTGAATTGTACGGATGATGAATTTACATGCCGTGGAATCAATAGATGTATACCAAGAATGTTACTGGGAACAAAGAATGGTTGTATTCTGGGAAAGAAAGGAGTCATTACTCTTCCCTGCAGGCCCGATGGTAAATTGCATTAAGGGAGTATGTATTTACACTGGTTTAAGTGGCCAAGCGCCAAATAAATTAAATTGAATATATATTCATTCGGGAGGAAGTGAATGTATATGTGCTGTCTCGAAGCTACTGCTCTGTTCTAACGTATAAAAGACATGCAAGTATTTCAATTCCATGTGAGTTACGCTTGACTGAAATCACTGAAAAATATACCAGGGTCGACGTCACACATATCTTTTATCATCTTGTTGGACAAGCGAACCTTCGGATAATTTTGCTTTTTTTCGTTGTTCTTAATTCTGTGAAAATATCGCGACTGGTAGAATTGTAAACAATCTTAAAATAAAACTTTGAAATTCGAAACGCCGAAGCATAAAATTGAGCAAGTATTGCATTGTTCTCTTCATATAATAGTATCGAATCGACTATACCTTACACTTACAGAACGTAGTCCACCTGCTAATACAAATAAGGCCCGCCCTAAATATTGTTGGACCCACGCCAAACATATTGCGGGGGCCGTAGAGCCCATCCTGTGTACAGATAAGGATACTGCGCAAAAAAATGAGATTTTGTAATAAAAAATGAATCAGACTTTACATTTCATCCACCTTTATCTAAGTACAAAATCACGGTTAAAATTAACTTTTCTTTTCGATTTCTTGCAAATGAAATCAACACGCTAAGATTTATATGTTACAATTTTATAATGGTCAATTTTATTCATAAAATTACTGCTAGGTGTGCGACGAGGCCAATGAGCGGCTTAGGTTGCACTGGCTTTTTGTTGTGGAGTGTACTTTGCTGACACCGAATTTAGTCATTTTTGATAACAACTATGTTTTAGATCATTTCTAAAGAAATTTTCAACAAGAGTAAGTAAGGTGCTAGGGGTATTAAGTTGCCAACGTCCATTTGCACATTTTCATACATGTCTTCTGAACAAGGGTGTATAGGCTAAGTAGAGATTTTGAAATCACCATGATGTCCTTTCATAATATATTGTGTCTTGTATTCAGAATTTACCTGCGGAAAAAGCAGGCTATGCTTGCCCAGGTGGGCAGTAATGGATGGTAACGTAAATTGTAAAACTAACGAAGGTGATGACGACAGTGATGAAATGGTACCTCTTAATGCTTGCAATGAAAGTGAATTTAATTGCACGAACGGAAGATGCATTCCGCGGGAATGGGTTTTTGATAAAAATGACGATTGCAAAAATGGTGAAGATGAAATTGGACCTTTCAGACATTGCGACAATGCTGAAGAATTCCGATGTGATAACGGACAATGTGTAAAAAGATATCGAGTGAATGACGGACACCCAGATTGCGAAAATGCTACTGATGAAAGAAAACAGTTAGCGGAATGCATAAGTACGACAGAATTTCGTTGCAATGATAGCGGAAGATGTATACCGCGCAACTGGGTTGTGAACGGAATTAAAGATTGTAGAGATGGCAGCGATGAAGTGATACTTTGGAAGCAAACTTGCTCACCGAATGAATTTTCTTGTCACAACGGGCGTCGATGCATTTCGTCTAAATATTTATGTGACGGAATGGATCATTGTGGCGATTGTAGCGATGAAATAGAAGGATGCAATGAAGCACGTATGTGGAGGTGTCCTCTCGACTCATCAATTTGCATACCGCAGTCCTACGCCTGCGATGGATTCCAAGATTGTCCAAAAGGAATCGACAACCCACAATACATGCCTGGTTTTAAGTGTAGAAAAACTGTATTAGGAACAAAAGAAGAAATGTGTAATATTCCTCAATGGACATTACATGATAATCACACTATGTGCGAAGACAAATCAGACTTATGTTTCAAGAATAATTCATTTAATTGCGCTCGTTGTGTATCTGACAACAAAATAATAGCGAAACGTCAAATGTGTGATGGCGTCATTGATTGTACAGATTTATCAGATGAATGCCTTTGTAATTCGAACCGAAATAACGTCGATTTGATGAAATTGTGCAATTCGATTTGTTATCATTCTAACAAATGTGGCGGTCTTAATAACTGTCAAGTCGGAGAGTTGTATTGTCATACGAACAAAAAATGTTTAGGCCTTTCAAAGGTTTGTGATGGTGTTGTGGACTGTCCAATTTTAGCGATTGACGAGAAGCAATGTATCCTGCCTGTCAAGGACGTTGTTGCAATACAGAACACTACTGATTTTGATTGTTGGAAAGTTTCAGATGAAATTTTGGAAATAGGACAGGCTTTAAATCTTATGGAAATATTCAACAATGTATATTCAACGCGTGGTAAAAAGTATGAGTTTCTCAAAATTTTGAAAGCATGAATTATCCAATAAACAAATTTAGTGACTTAAACTCAGAAAACTAATATCAATGGATAACTACTAGTGTAAAATTCGAAAAAAAATAAAATTCGAAGGCTTGAATACATGACGCCAAAGACCAATTTGACAATTTCAGATATTTTTCTCCGGCATCGTTCCAACCAGAATATTATTAATTCGACATTTTTTTCTGGGAAAATGCTGTACTTACGATGATATGTTGAACACAAAATGTATCTATGGATCGGTTTGCTTACTTTGTTGTTCTTGTTGTGGAAAATTACGCTTCTCCGCATTTAAAACACCAGTTGATCTTAGTTTTTCATTACATAAAGTTGAAAGTAGTCACGAGAATGCTATTATTGATTTTTTTCTGAATCCTACAGGGCTCGTTATTTCGATCTAAATTTAGCTGTTTTTTTTGTAATTCACGGAGACACCTTCAATACATTTCGTAAGACTTTTAGTAGAATTCTCACACCATTTTGCAGTCATTGGCCTCTTTGATTCACCTTATACATGTCCATATATCTGAGTTTTGCTTTGTTATTTTCATGTTACAAGGTGTGATGGTGTCATCAATTGTGCTCGCTTCGAAGATGAATGCAATGCGGAATGTTGTGTGCCAGAATGCGATAAATTCAAACTCTCAAAAATAACCTTCAATGTATTTATTTTTAGTGGAGAACTAAAAGTCCGGGCGTAAGTGACAATTTCGATATCTCGTACTCTCTTCAAATTGTTTACTATCTTACAGTATCTTTTTAATGGGATAAACCAAAATCTACCTTCAAATCATTCGCATTGTTTTCGACAGATGTAGTGATTTCGCGACGCAATTTGCTTACGATTATACAAACTTTGTCATCGGAGAGTCAATATGCAATGGAATCAAAGATTGTACCGACGGTGCTGATGAACACAATTGCACAGATTATTTTAAATGCAACGCTGGTACAGTAGAATCACCACTCGGCACAAGACAGGTTAGAAGTTGATTTCTCATGAAAAACTTTACAAACGTATTTAGTTACAAGCCATTTAATACATATGGTACAAGTTGGATTAATGGTGCAACTGAAAATAGTATGTAGGCGACAAGACGCGCATGTCAGAGGCACTATAGTAAGTCCACGCAATCTTCATCCTCCAATGCACATTCATTCAATGAATTTAGACAAAAAAATCTTTTCATAAATATGAATTTATCTAATGATATTCACAAATTTGTGCAACTTATTTTTGCTAATTTCGAATCCACATTTATAGCGCATTGCCGTCAAAAATGACAAAGTATGTGATTTACAATCAGACTGTCTGGATCAATCAGATGAAAAAGGCTGCAGTGATTTGACTCATTTTTATTGCAAAAGCGGAAGCCCTCTCTTTGTTCCATTTTCATCAGTAATGAACGGCAAACAAGACTGCGAAGACAACACCGACGAATGTCCAGACAACTGGAATGACCTAAACCCGTTATCTTCGCCAGAAGAAATGATTAGACTTTCGTTTCTCCGTTATTTCATCTGGTTTATGTCATGTATCGCAATTCTAGGAAACCTCGCCGTTATTATAGAAACTTGTTACTCTGAATTTGGCCCACAGTCTAGTGCGCAAAGCCCAATGAGTCGATGTAACAGAATACTGATAATAAACCTGGCAATATCTGATTTCCTCATGGGTGTCACCCTGCTTATAATTGGAATTAAGTCAGCTTCAATGTCCGGAGAATACTGTTTAAAAGACAGGCAATGGAGGATCAGCGCTTCATGTAACGCAATTGGGGTTATGACTGTATTATCCAGTGAAACATCTGTTTTTTCTCTGGTTGCCTTGACCATGTATCGCTTTTATGGGATTCATCGACCGTTTCAAAGCAGGAATGTAAAACCAAAATGGGCTATCGCTGCGGTGATTATAACGTGGAGCTTGTCCCTTTTCTTAGCTGCGTTGCCTCTGATTCCGTCAATTAATCAAACCATGGTACCCGAAGTACTTACAAGGCCATCGATGTACTTTGAAAACACTGTCGTATCATGGGATGACTACAGAATTTTTGCAGAACGAATTGCTGTTCTTGGACGCCGTGTGAATAAAATATCAACAAACTTTGAAACTTGGGAGGATGCACGTAATATGTTGGAAAGTATTTACAAGGACTTTGCTCCCAGTGTACTCGGTTACTTCGGCTTCTACAGCGCCGATGGAGTCTGCATTCCAAGATTATTCAGAATAAGCGGAAGACCGTCTCTCCACGCGTTATCTTTGTTTATAATAACTCTGAATTTTTGTATCCTGCTGTTCATCATCATTGCTTATTGTAAAATATACCACAAGTCAACAAATAGAAAAGTCAAGGGCAGTGCAACAAAGCACGATAATCGGAGTACAGTAATGCAAAGAAAAATCACAATACTAATTGCAACGGATCTGTGCTGTTGGCTTCCAATTTGCGTTATGTCTATAGCAAGTCAAGTTGGAACGAACTTCTCGGGAGACGCATATGCCGTTGCTGCGATTCTTCTGTTACCAATCAACAGTTCACTAAATCCTATTATATACTCAAGTGGTTTTGCCGTTGCCCGAGCAGCTCTTTCTCACAGCACTGTCGAAGTTCGAGCTTCTATCAGACGCCGTCTAACGCGAAAGCCTGATCCGGAATTACAGCAAGATATCGCAATGCATGATAGTGGGAAAACAGGCGTCCAGTCGCTGTCTTCAACATCAGCACTCAATACTTAGGCGCTAGCCAATGTCTCTCCAGCTGTGGAACGCGAAATTGACTTATTAAATTGATTGATTTGCTAAATTATCGGAATTATACTGTGAAGATTCGATCTCACAACACATTTATTTTTGATTGGTTGGTCTGATTTGATTGGCTTGGATTGGCCCAAGTTTATCAACCTGACGGTACCCAGCGGCAACAGAGAACACTCGATTGAAACACCTCATGAGTTTTATTACAATTCCGTCAACGTATACAGAATACAATGTACACAAAATTAGATCAATTCTTATTCTGATTAGCATTGAAAGTATAGCAGAAGATATAGGTCTTAACTACGTATATCAATATATTAAATGAACTAGCCAATGAAGGATCTTACGTCATATTCACGTTCTTGGCTTTTTCGGTTTTAGTAATTAAACGTTATTAAAAGTGATTTCTCAAAAACAACCTCTCAAAGTTTCCAAAGCAGAAACAAGCTGTAACTTGTGCTGAGAAATTGAAAATGACGTTTTGTCTTTATGAAATTAGACTGAAAAATAATAAATAATATGTAGTTATGTTTAAAGATAGTATTACATAAGTAAATATAGTCATTCCTGGGATATTTATATTTGAGTTAATTTGGTATTAACAATAGGACATCAATTTAAATATATGTCTTTTGTGTATATATCTAACTTACCCAACACTACGACATTGTGGAAGAGAAGAAGATACCGCAGAAATTCAATAAAACAGCTCATCTTGCATTTACTACTGTAATTCAAAGACAACCAGTGACATTAGAGGCCCATCATTGTTTGAGAATGTGGTTCGAAAGACGTCATTCATACAACAAAAGATTAGGAGATTGGACCTTGTGGATACTGCTAACCACTGACACAATGTTTTTATTACCTTTGCTACAACTACGCCCAGGGTACATCGAATACACATTCAATAGAAACACTTAAAATACTATTTTGATATTGTCTGTTAACACATTTTTATGCATGAACTTCCGTCCGGCTAACTGTTCTCCAGACAGTTGAATGTTATCGTTCAAATCTGGCATAGGTTGGTAGGCCTATATACCGACGTCTTACTGGCAAGAATAATTTCGTAAATTAACGCGTGACTCATTTATACTTAATTTTCTCACCATTAGTTGGGAGTATGTTAGCACGCAATCTTATTCATTGAAAAATGACATTGTATACGCAGTCGTAAATTTACAGTGTGTATATTCCAAATACAGACTTATTTATGTCGAATCTCGTCCTAATTTAAGAAATAAGAAACTATACAGATGTTTCATGATCATTTCGTAATAAGATGCACAATAAAGACATTTTCCACAAGTGGGAATCACCGTATACACGTCATAGTATTACACATATTAACATATTTTAACAATCGATTCTTTTTATTGTTTTGAAGAAAGGCGACGCGTCATAAAACTAACAATAAAATATAGTTTGTGCAAATCAATAATTGCTCACTATGCATCTTACTGCCAAATCTATTCGTAACTTGCTTAGTCTTATTTCCATCGAAATTATTATGGTAATTTCGGAAAACGAGCTTAATATATATATGTATATATATGTATGATATTTATTAGGCCATTGATGTAGGGTTACCATATTTTTGTGACTTCAAAGCGGGACGCCTCCAAAGACAACGACCCCTCAGCTGTTATTTTGTTACTTTACATTTTCCGATTTTACTACATAGGGCTATTTTTAAACCATCCCGGCTGTCTTCATAGGCCATATTGTCATCGAGAGTTCATGCGCATATTCTCTGTCCAAATATCGGTTTCAGTTCGAATAATAGAAAGGAATTGACGTTAACGATACAAATAATTCGAATTTCGATTTTTTTATGTACAGCAAAAGGAAGAAAGAATAATAAAATAGCCTGGTTTTCAAGCATTGAGAATTTATTTATTCGCCCAAGCATGCTTTTCTGTAGATAACATCTTCTTCAAAAAGACGTTGTTCAATGTTACATGTGATACGTTCGCTAACAATGTTAGCGGGAAACAACGAAACAAACAAAATAACGCATTCGCTTTCAGCAAGTAGGCTAGCGCTGCGCTACACAGCAAAAACAGTAACGAGAACATGTTAATTGGTAATGTTCCTGTATCATGCTGAATGGCTGAACGTCAAAGCGGGATGTTTGACTGACTTGTCGGGACGGCGGGACAAGACGCTAAAAAGCTGGGCGTATGGTAAGCCTACATTGATGTGATATACAATCTTGCGAAATAAATTGTTTCTGTTGTCCTTATATATGCACATATAAAATTGCGTAACTCAAATAATGGATGCAAATATCTAATCACTAACATAGTCAGCACAATGCATACAAAATTGCAGTCGATAGTTTAATGACCTGTATCAACGACAAGTGAAAAAGATTTGAAGGTGTAGTGTCAATGTCATGTGAAATACTGCCCTGGAGATTATAAAACTGGACTATGTAAAACTCACGGTGAAATTTGAAAAAGTATAAGGGCATTAGCATTCTAGCGACTTCTTCCAACTATGAATACCGAAAATACATAACTGAATTCATCATTAGTTGCAGAAAGTAGGTAATGGTTATAGCCCCAGAAATAATTACAGCAAAAAATATAGCAAAACGATAAAGAGGCCCACTTCGATATTACTACGTTAATGGTGATAAATGAAGATCTGCTTGAATGCTCCATAGCGCCACAATGCGTCGTACCTAACCGTTGCTATGGCAAAGCGTTATGGTAACAAGTGATCAATTGTTCTCGACGCTAATTCCACAGGCGGCTCGCGTTGTCTGTTTCGTCGCTTTCTTCTCGGTGTTTTACGTAACTTACTTGGATTTATTCGACTTGTATGTTGATCGTTCTTTAAGCAAAGTGTAATTAGCCTAATTTGTAATATACAGACATGGCAACGTTAAGTTTGAAGCCGACCCAACGGTTTGCACCATCGGATTGGTTTTCTTCAAATGAATTGATTTCAACGAACGCTGAACGTCAAAGAGTCAGCTCGCATCAGATTCGCCAGGAAAGCAGAGCTTTAGCAAATGGTAAGTGAGTGCTTCAGGGAAACTACTGTAATAATTCTGAATAGCCTACGAGTTTGATGTCGGAATACAAAAAAAGAAATGTCCTTACAGCCTAATGCAAGACAGATTTTTTCTCAAAAATTGAAAAGTTTGGTCTGTATTTTTAAGTCGAACCATATTTTTGCTTGGCATTATTTACGCAGCTAAACTACAGCGTTTATTTTCTCATCACATTTTTGTTTGAACAGTTATGGAATTTACATTGCTGTACCCCACATTCTTATTATTATTACTGTTTTATGGTGTTAACAATTAATACATCTAAATCTTTCATTAACAGTTACTGCAAATCAAACCAAGTGGGATCAACATGATAACAATACAAGATTAGATAACAGGATTGATGACATAACAAAATGGAGGGAAACACTTGAAAGATGTTTAGCGGAAACGGATGATGAAATCAGGGTAATAGTTGAATAGTATTAAGAAGATTTATCATAATCTGATATTCTTCTATATTCTGATTTAGAGCTTTTCAAATCATGGTTCTCAACCTCAATATATATTTGGAACTCATAAGTTACTGAAATAAATCATAAAGCTTGAAAGCTATTCTAAAAATTTATTCTTCAGACAAGAAAAAATTTGTATGAATTGGTGCTCTAGACCAGAGTTTCCCAAACTTTCCGGGCCGCGGACCCCTGTTTGTGGATATTATTTTTTACGGACCCCCATCCTATATCGATTTATGTGTCTAACCATCGAGGAAGGATATTGTTCCATTTGGACACAACAACACAAACGAAATTAATGTTACGGATCAATTTATGACAAGCAAACTCGTAGGCCTGACTCCACGACAACGATTCTATTCAGTTTTACATATATTTTGACGAAATAAAACTCAAGAAAGTCCGAATTATTACATACTAACGTTAAATATTGGTAGGCTAACGGAAGTTCGATGATATTATGATCGATTTGCACTCCGATATATGTACTGTCGGTAGTAATTGAAGATGTGGAACTAAATTAATTGTGTATGCTTGGATAGTCTCACACAATAAACTGCACTGGGTTTCACGCCTCTTTCTTGCAGCAACAGGGCTCAGATGACCCTGGCAAGTCGCTCAAGTTATCGACTGGTGATAACTCAATAACGCATACAATCAGTTATACCTACAATGGAACTCTGTGACGGGGGTCTACCTCAGACGCTGAAAGCAACGATCGTCTACATTTACAACAACTTTTTCACTCCCATTTATTAAGGAATCGTAACAATTATAATTTTGGGAGTTAACTGACGACTTTATCTCGTTTATGAATGACTATGTAACAGTGGATATACGTTAGAATGTATATATTTCAGACTCCTAATATTGCTGCGGACCCCCTGTGTAGTCGTCACGGACCCTCAGGGGTCTGCGGGCCCCAAGTTAGGAAATCCTGCTCTAGACAAGGATGTGGACAAGTCTCTGAAATTTTGATTATGAGCAGCTGGTCATCTATAAATCACTTCTCATATAAAATTGAGCCTCATTTATGATATTTTGTAAAACAGTTTTCTTTTTCATTGTTCTAGGCTTTAAATCAGTCCAAGTTAACAACGGAGCAAGCTTTAGAAGCAAAGGCACTGCCACTAGATGTTGCCATTGAGTGCTTGACCTTGCGTGAAGGTCGCCAGTCCATTGATATGGTTCGTGACAATGTGGAAGCCGAGTTACATAAGGTTTGTAAGAAGGCAATATAAATCGAAGAAACTAAGAATGTCGTCATTATCAGTAGTTGAACTTTTTAACCCAGCAATTCATTTCACGACCTGGGTTTGTATGACTGTAGTTTATTAGCAATTCAAAATAGATTATACTTGACTTGAGCCAAGGCAACTTTACCACAGTCATTGGCTTGACTGGGACTTGAAATTGCATCAATTTTACTCAAGCACAAATGGCAGGCTTTAAGCTAATGAACTGCAATCGATGAAAATGGAATATGGCTTACGGTAAAATACTTTCTTGGTGCGACTTCTTTACAATAAGAGAATTGATTGCACATTCACAAACTTTTCTGTAACGCTATTAAACTTACAGGAAGTGGAAGTAATTGAAGGGATCAAAGGTCAACTTCAGAAAAGAATTGCAGAATCCTTTGAACAACTTTGGTAAGTGTGGTAATTATTACTGTAACAAATAAGCTACACAATACAATTTCAACCAGTACTCTATTAGGTTTGAGGCCAAGATATATCTTTAACAATGTCTCAAATATAAAATATAAATCAATCTTGATTCTGTAATCAGGTTTTCACTTCAACGATGATAAAATTTCATATTTTATAGTCTTTTGCAAGAAGCAAGACAACAATTGCAAAGTGATTTGAAAGACAAGACAGAGGCACAGAGTATTGATCGAACATGTTACGCTGTCAACAATGAATCCGCAGGGATTTCATACAAACCGAACCCAACAAGAGTACCAAAGGAGTAGGTTATTGAGTGATTTTATGTTGCTCACTTCTCAAGTTCTATTCACTATAACTGGATTGATGAATCATTTTATTGCATTGGTCACACATGATCTTTTCATCATTAAAATGAAGAATGCAGTTCATTGATATAAGCAATGTCAGTAAAATTTTCATAGCAACTACTATAGTATTTCACTTATTGTTAAATTAAATTGATGCAATACTTCATTATTTGTTGGGTCACTGAAAAAACATGATTGGTAACTCTGTTGTTCGCTAGCTCTACACTGGAAGTTAATGCCATTGTCAGTTGAATGCTAATATTCCAAGTTGGAAAGACTCTTCAGTCATCATTTATTAAAAACTCAGTGACTCAAGTTATCTAAATAGAATGACTTTGAGTCGTTACAACCTTATCGCAAGTGAGGCTTAACTCAGTCATTGTCTCGACTCGACTCATGATTTGACTTGCCTCAGTGCTTAGCCTTGAGATTTCAACTTGACACTGCTATTATTACTGAGTATTTGAACTGCAAGTTCCCATGCCATACAAAGATGGGTTTTATCATAGCAATTCTGTATGGTATTCCATATGGCGAATATGGGGTTCCCATTTGTATCCATATGATTTAACCAGCAGGGAGGGCAAACCTTTTATGATGAATGGTTCAATAATTATATTCATAATGTTGAAAAGAACTGTAAGTTATAGGTATTTAATCAATATTAACCAATGAGCAACCTGCTCGTACATTATTTTGCAAGTCTTATAATTCTTGGATGGTATTGTGTGATTTTGAGCTTTGTTGCCTACCTTAGTAGTTACCTCATTGTTATTTCATTATTTTTTTTATAACTCAAATGTCTGTATATTATTTTGCATTTATTCATGAGTTGTTAGCCATCCCTGCACTAGTGTTCATTGAATTATCCCTTTTTCAGCCTGTAATTGACCATCGTTTGTCACTTCAAAATCGTGCCCAGAAGGTTTTACATCATGCATAAACAGAAAAATCATTATTTATGCATTGTTTAGGAGTACTACACCCGAGGCTTGGCATCAATTCTCGCAATACAACAAAGACCGTGCTGAAGCAGAAATGAGGGCAAGTGTCACTTTACGAGAAGCGACTGCTGCTACTTTGGCACAAACTCGAAATGAGTTGGAAGCGCAGAGAAATGCAACTGAATTTGCCTACCGTAAGCGTATTCATGAAACTGAGAGAGCAGAGGGAGAATTGGAATGGCAGAGAAAGAACGTGAGCAAATTTAATTGAATTAAGTTTAAATTTTGATATGTAATATAGCTAAAGATAATTGTCATAGATTTGATAGTAATGAATTATTCAAATATAGAAATCCCCACTCATGTTTTTCTATCCCCAATCATGTGATGAAATTGTTACAATCATGCTGTGTTAGATATACGACTACCATCGCACCTCTGATTACTCTGCATGGGTTCACTGGTTCAAATTCTGTGGAGTATAATTATGTGCCAAAAGACTGCTCGACTCCTTACCCCAGGTAACCACTGTTCGGTTACGGCTTCGTCTACCATAAAGTCCATGCATTTGAATCAAATAATTGGCTATCTAATGCCGTACATTAAATGGTAAACAGACAACAGGCCGTAGTACGCCTGGTATCTATTATGGTTTCTATTTTATTTTACTGATTTGTTATCTACTTTTCTTTTTGTCTATGTTCATCAAATACTTTTTATAAATATTTTTTTGCTTGCTAATCCAAGATGAAATATTTCAGACGAAAGAAGAGATTGAAGAAGTGGAAGCTGATATTCGTAACCTTGAGGAAGCAATTCGTGCCAAAGCAGCTCCATTGAAAGTTGCTCATACAAGACTGGAAACAAGAACTTACAGACCTAACGTGGAACTTTGCAGAGATAAGGTACTAAATTCAATTTTGCTAAGCGTTAGGAATACGCTCGCCGCTCGCCACCGCAACTCTGATTACCCTGCGTGGGTCCGCAGGTTCGAATCCCATGCAGGGATGGTTATGTGTGAGAAGATTGCTGGACTCCTCGTCACCTGGTCGGTTATTTCTCCACCATCAAGACCATGTTTCTGAAAACTGGCCAACTAATCCCATACCCGACGTGGACTGATAACCGGATAAGATGCTGATGTTCAACATATGATTAATCTGTCCTATCGGCTTTACTCTTCCCCGGGATAAATATGTAAATCCTATCCTAACCAAACTATTTTCATATATTGAAATAAGGGATGTTAAATCAAACATATAGTCGTATTATAAATATCATTTTTATATGCAATATTTCTATGCCTTTGTCCTGAACATGTCTCTGCATAACAAGTGTCTGATATCTGAGGAGTTAATGTTTTTCTGAACTGGAATTTCTTATTTTTGACATTGCCTATACCCAATGATTTACACTACATATACAAATCATGACTATATTATAGTTAATACAAAGTCGAGCATCCATTACTCATATTTGTCATAAGGAATCTCTGACTGTTTATAGTACACTGTAACCTCGATAAGCACATATGTGGGTGTATATCCAATATACCTACAATACATATAACATTTAAACTGAATTACTTTGTTTTGTATACAAAAGGTGGAATGTCATCTTTTGTCGTGAAGTCGTTTTCTTATTTCTATATGAACAGATCTTTTATTATTTTAAAGATTATACTGTATATTCACATATAATGAAGTATTGATGGATAATCGACTATAATTGACTATCTCTAATCCACTCAAAAAAAAACAAGGTATTTGATGGATCATCAACTATAATTGACTATCTCTAATTCACTCGAAAAAAACAAGGTGCCATGAACTTTTGCATGGACTGAAGTTTTAACTTCAAAAAGCAATCGGATGAAATAAATAAATGAAACTGTTACTTAACTTGAATTTATATGTCATTTCAACTCGAAAATAAATTTTCAGCCTCAATATGGATTGGTTGAAGAAGTCAGACAGATTGAAGGAAGTATTTCTCAATTGAAAGAAAAACTAGCTCAAGCACAGTAAGTATTACTTGATTAATATCACTGTAGTTAGGTGAATTCTATGACTTATTTTGATATTATCACGAGAGTATTAAAAACTCGTATCAGCTTTATATAAAGCTATCAATCATGTTTCAACGGAACCAACTACTGAATCTCTTCTGTGTTTTTGCGCTGATTGGTTGTCTTATAATAAGCCTTCTTCATTACTGGAATAAATATGAAAATCCTATCTGGACACGTTTTTATTTCTTACCAGCCACGCGAGAGACGCTTTATACAAGCATCTATATCGCATCGAAGAGGACCTTGCTTGCAAACGCAATTCATTGGATTTGGATAGAAGATGCGTGGACGTTCGTCGCAAACTCATTGTACCAGCTGAAACCTTTGTGGCAGAACGTCCATCAGATGACTTCTCCCGTACCCAGCAACGTCGATCCACACCTGTGTCTCCTATCAAAACCAGTCAGCTTGATTTAGAGTGATTTGACTCTTTTGCTTCTCGTTTTATTGATACTTTAAAATGAAATGTCTATTCTTTATTTTATTTTTTGAAGCCATTCGCACTTTTGTGGACTAGATTAAGTTTTGTTAGCCCGTCAATAAATTTTAGTTTGCGTTTCACTAATTCACTGTTTTTGAAGTGCATCATCACTTACTCGCCACCGAGAAATCTTTATTCGATTTGTCACTTTAATTGACTTTATAAACCTGCCTGCATTACAAAACTGCTTTTGTCATTTTGCAACTCCGAAATTATCATTTATCATGCTTGAGTAACTTAGCAAAACGCCTTTTCAATAATTGGCCGGCAAAAATAATAAAATGCATTTTCAATTATTGACCGATCACATCATAGTGATATAGTTTTGTTACTTTTCCACAATGTTGTTAAATGCTGTTGTGGTCGATAATTTTCACACTGTCATGTAATAAATGTAATGCATGCGTTGTAAAATAGTTACTGTCCGTTCCTTCGAGGGAATTCAGGCGGTTGAGTAGACGCGAAATGCAGCGTAGAATAGGATGGACATTACCTATTGGATTTTAAATTGTAATAAATCAGGTGGCTCTGTAGGAAGACAAGATGCGGTCTTAGGGATAAATACTGTTCACCCTAATATTCAAAGTTCGATTCCCACGTTATTAATTTCACGTGTTATGGAATGTGACTCCAATCTGGAATCCCTCAGATGATAATAAGCTCACGATGTTGATTGTCGAATTGTTGTATATTATTGAAAAGATGCACGATCCAAATTCCAAATACAGATGAAATTGTACACACTTAATTCTTAATGCAGTAAGATTACGGTCAGATCACAAGTCATATATCAAGTGAAACAAAAACACAATATTATAGAGCATTCTCGGCAAACCGGAAACGATACGTGGTCGAAACGAGAAAGGCAATACATGGAGCGAATGCATTATCGCTGTTGCGAAACATAATGCGGCCTATTTTGTGAAATATTACATGCTATTAATATGAAAGAGTTAAATACATTATAATCCATCGTTACACAATGCACATTCGCTACAGCTCAATTGAATACCATAGTATCCGCAATACAACAAATAAAATCAACGCTAAATAACTTTGGTAACTTATCACGGTACCAGGTGCTAATCGATATTTAATTAAGATATATGCCTCATTTCTGTGAAATACACATATGGGAAATTAAATATATTTATTGTTGAGAGGAATTGAAACCAACCTCCGATTTAACTCACTGCCTTACCTTATTTGCACCGTCGATACCTAAAAGCTGGGTTATCACACAAACATTTTTGTGGAAAATTCATAGCCTTTTTAGTTTATTTCAGGCTAATTTGTTGTTTGGAGGATGCTTCCTCTGTCGTCACACGGCGACGAATACCACTGTAGCGCCTTCACGATTCCCCAGTCTGTCAGACACACTTTAACGAGGCAATGTCTTTATCATCAGCATACGATTATCGTACAACATAACATTCGCAATACAACGATCCAGCCGGATGTAAAAACAGTGAATAATGATCTTATATAGTGAATAAGCATGTACGGAATAAATACAATCGAGAATGTAACTGAGATAAATTATATCGGAACTGATTCGTCATTGTGTTGTGGCTTGGGGCTATTAAACTTAATTGTGTCCAGTGAAAAAATAGTTGAGGAGGTTTATAATTCTGGAAAGTGGCAACAAACTGGTTTTATTATTAATTTAAAAAACAACAATAAAATCTCACTAAAATAACAATATAATCCCTATAAATGTGGTTCTATACACTCAGAGATTTACAGATTTTTGTAGTTTACGGCTTGCATAAAGTGGACTTAGATTTCTACTAGTATTCTATTCTATACGGGACATATTAAAGTGTGCTTTGACATACTAATTTGCGTTTGATTCCTACAGGGTTTACTTTTAAAAATTCGAATCTCGCAAACGAAGTCCACCTTATGCAAACGGGGGAGACCAAAAATTCTAAAAATTCATCAATTTTGAATTAACCTTTTAACAAAGTGAAGTCATCTATGAAGCACGAGTATAATAATTCGAGAGAAAAAGAAAAAGATGCTGCCAGCTCCCCAGAGGTGTATGACTCATTCACTAAAAATGCATTCGTGCTGTTCAGGACTTATAACGCCCAAATAAGAGCTGTATTATAGCAATTCCGTACGTATGCTCTTCCGTATTGCGGCATTGGTGTTACTATTGGTATTCAATCATGCACTATTGCACGGCTAGAGAACCTTTGCGGTTGCACGAGTCAATAATTATACTTCATGAAATAGAGACTGTATGTTATTATGTATTTAATCAATGCTTAAATCGAGGAGAAACTTATTCTGCAAGTATAATAATTCGTGGTTGGTAATGTGTAGTTTTGAGCTTTATTACCAGTAACTGTATAAACAAGTACGGTACCGTGGCATTTTTCGTATCTTTTCCAGTGTTTGGTTTTGTAATGTATCCTTTCGTGACATATATTACCCATTTGGAGGTTTATCGTTCTTGGGGCAAGGAAATACGTTCCCTACCAGTAATATGCTGAATATAGCATCGCAGGGTTTGCAACACCCTTAGATACTATCTATATTCAGCATATTACCTCTCCGAACACCATCGATGACTTCACAATGAATAGAAAACTCATTGTTCTCGCCACTTACTTTGCACGCTTGAGTGGCCTTCTGTAACATCATATTCTGGGGCGCATAAGCAATGCTTCTCGTATGGCGGAGCCGCGTGGAATTGAAGCCTCGAATCTTGTAAAATTTAGTATTATACAGGGAAATTTTGTGGTAAATATGTTTACAACTTATACGGCCGTATTTATATACATTGTTGAAATCGAATTTATATGATGTATTCGGATTCGGTGTCGTATATTAAAGCCAAGGTGGGATATGCGATCAGAGACTGGCGTTTGATCAATTTGTGTGGATTGTGGGAATGTTTGAAAGGTGTGTGATTATATTTTGTTATATTCGCCGATCTAACTTGTCAGGGCTGCGATCGCTCATATACAAATTGTTAATTTTCAAGGCCGTTATGGTAAGTTTTAAAAGCCCTAACTTTGGACGAATAACTGCACCGCTTTGTACCGTCATTCAGCTAGTGGCTCTTTCATCGTTTATGACATAACAATTCAATTGATCTGCCCCTTTTTTCGCAACTTATTGACTCTGTGAAACAGTGAATCTTCAGACTGTTTTAGGGGTTATACGAGAACTAGATGCTACTTTGCATTTTATTAGTATCTCGCCTACAATGCCGTTGAGAATAAAAAATCTTTCAGACTTGAAATAAAAACCTAGAAATCCGAAATATCAACAGGGCAGTGTAAAAGTGTCTTAATGTGGTTGAAGGCTGATCGAAAAATATAACACTCAGAGTGGAATTCCCTCCGAACTCTTTGGAATCGTAAAATAATTTGCCGCATCATCCTAAACGTTTTTGATAATTCATATGCGTGTTTTCGTACTCTGATTCCATAAATTCGAGTGCCATGAAAGTCCCTGATAAAATGCTGCATAAGTAAAGCCCAAAACTACACCAACTGAAGCTTATAAGATTGTTTCATAAATTTCTTATAGATGCAAACATTGATTATATTTATATATCTGTGATCCACTCTCTTCGGTTCCGCGATAAAAATATAATTTTTGACCCATTCATTGGAAAAGGTTCGCCATCCCTGTTATATAATATCAACATTTGTATCCAATGTTCCTCGTTAATGTCATGTATTTATCGTTCTCAATAGCCCCATGTGAGATTAATTGCTCAGAGAAGCTCATAGAGCAATTCTTATTTATATTTAGAATAAATTCTTACATTTCACAGCAATGCCCCCGCGTTAACAGTTAGAATATGGATTTGTCGCCAGCTGATGAAATGACGCCATTAGGAAATGATGGCAACCCGCAAGAATATAAGGAAGAAAACATAACATATAATAGGAAACATAAAAAGCATGGGACGAGAAAGACCGCTAAGCAATTTTGGATATTCAATATATGTTTTTTGCTGGCTTTTGCGCCATACCTCTCAATTCTGGGTTTACAAAGCAGTATCAACATCGAAGAAGGCATTGGTAATGTTTCAATATATTTAATATAGATATATCACAAAATTTTTGAAGCTTTTAACTAAACATCGACTCTATTTATTGTTTTATATTGCAGGAACACTTTCCTTGGGAGTGGCTTATGCATCGTCAATTATTTTTGCTTTATTTATAACTCCCATTGCTGTTAGAAGGTGAGCATGGTTTTATGTTCAATGCAACAGTTAACTGAATGCATTTATTGCTTTATTGAATCAAATGCCCTTCGTTCAGATTGGGGTCACACCGAGCAATTGTCATTGGCGAATTGGGATATTTGATTTACATTTTGGCTAACTTCTACCCCAGTGAGTATTTTAAACCAAGTTTATATAATTCTAGTTTGTTACATTTGCTTCTTTCTACTGTATTCTCTCTTATCTTTATCTTCAGAATCTTACATCATGATAATCGCTGGCGCTATAGTTGGGTGCGGTGAGGCCTTGGTGTGGACGACATTACCAATGTATTTCTGGCATTTTGGGTATCAACATGGAGAGTTTGGAACCAAACCGTTTGAATCATATGTTTTGAAGTATACTGGCCTATTTTACACGGTGTTTCAATTGGGTCAGGTAAGTGTGATTCATTTATAAGATAATATCGAATTCAAAATCTACTTGCAGTCTTATAAAACGCACGCTTATAAAATAAAAGGTTTTGCCAGAATGGTAATCGAGTTAGGAAAAATGTATACTATTTCATTAATGAGATTGATTATATGTAGTATTACTGCAGTACCATAAATCCATTATGTTCATGGGCTCTGAAAATACTCTATAAATGCCAGTTGATCTGGTGTCAAATGTTTATGGGAAAATACTATATACTGTATAGTATAGACTCAGTGGTTCCCAAACTTTTTAGAGTTGGGATCCACTATTTATTACCACAGCTTATGGCGACCCATTTAACTTTTTATGACATAACACAGAACACAGTAATGGCAGCTAATCATAAGACCTGGCCTGAAAATAAGACCTAATTTGAATTTTAAATTGATTTTATTTAAACCCTACGCTTAAAATAAATTTAAAATGTGTGGGAGAGGAAAGGTTCAATGACCTTGGGTAAGGTGAAGTTCACGCCACTATTTAAGATTGTGTGATATCACAATTATGATATTTGTCACCTGATTTTTGTATAGGAAATACAAATAAAAACAATGGAAGTCGGTTTTTATATAATGTTTATTAAAAAATCTCGTGATTTTTACAATGTAATTTTATATTTGATAAATGAACACAAGACCTTTTTCCAAAAAAAAAAACCCATAGTGTTATTCTTCAAAAGAAAATAAATCTGAATCCTGCCTAAATTTCGGGGAAACACGGTAAGGAGTGCTGTACAGTGTACAAAACTGCTATGCGTGAAAAAAACACATGGTCATTCTTTGTGTGGCAAATTTTTGTTCGTTTTCAAAGATCGTAAAAAGGAAACTTTCACAAATTCAATTTAATTTCTCTTGTTTTTTTTGAAGATTTACGTGTTCGAGTCGCCACCGATCCTAATAACCAGTATAACGAGAATATCGGTTGCAGACCGAAGACTTATCGATCGTTAGGGAATCCCCCAAAACAGAAACTGCGGTTTCGATTCGTGCGCTCTTACTTCATAGCGACATCGCGTGTCTCATTACTAATGAATCAATAACTCGCTAATTATACGACATAATTCATCCAACAGGCTTCTAATCCGAGATATGATGAATGCACATGCAATATTCGGAGCGGATTCAATCTCGCTTTCGTGAGATATCGCGTGTATCTAACAGACAAACACACAAAAAGAAAAATACCTATCAACATACTTACCGACCAAGATCGATAAGTAATTAATCAAAGCTTTCTACATCTTTTCACGACACACTAAGTTTCCTTTTGCGACCCACCAGTGGGTCGCGACCCATAGTTTGGGAACCGCTGGATAGTGTATGCAATTCGAAATTTCATTATTACTCAATTTTAAACCGGAGCCGCCAAACTTAGAGGCATAGCAGTCCAGTATCGTGGTATCAGTGATATAGCAAGCGGGGTAGTTTATAAAATTATTTACCTCATTCAGATTTTTGGCAGTTCCGTCAGTTATGGCGTGTTATATGGATTCAAAAATAAAACACAAGAAATCTCATCCTACAATTCATCCTCCGATCTTTTGCATGAAAACGAAACGGAGATGAACCTAAAATCACACCTTCAGTATCAATATTGTGGAGCAAACGATTGTCAAAGTCCAAATGTTACCAGCGAAAACATCGATAGCTACGTTCCGGCCGACCCATACTCATTGTATATCGTAATTTCTATATTTTGCGCAATCTCTCTCAGTGGAATTTGCCTTCATTTTAAATTTCTTCCGAGAGCCAAGTCAAAGCCACTAGAAATTGAATCTAATGATCAAAATGTATTGCACCAAAAAAAGGATACCGACGATTCAAGTGAGATCATTATCCAGGTAATCGAGCAATTCATTTTTCTTGCATGCAGACTGAATAATATTAGTCGATCCAAAAGAGAAAAAACAAAATCGCTCCAATAGTAGGACGTAGGAGATTCATACAATGCCACCTAAACTTTTTCAACAAGTAGTCTCTCAAGCTAAATGCTTTGTCGTCATGTAATTGATCCAAATCAATTGGAATAAAGAGTTTATATTAATAAGTTGCGAGTAGCGACAATTGACATCTATATCTAGGTTGATAATATAATCAGGGGAAGGGCAATATTAAAAAAAATGGAACACATTGACATTCAAAATTTATAAAATGATCGAAATAGACTACTGAATTAGGTACCAGTAGTTGAGATTAGCTGAAAAACATGCATTGAATACCGCAGAAGTGACAAATCTTACCGATATCTTTGCAGTGTTCAAATTTCTTATCGTTTCTTATTTGCAGAACACAAACTTCTCGTATGTATCGACACTCAGGCAAACTTGCAAGCATTTTTTCAACCCGAAACAGTTGCTGGTATCACCTATTTTGTTTTACATTGGAATATTCATTGCCTTCATATACAGTGAAATGAGTAGAGCGTACATTTCGTGTGTGCTTGGGGTCGAGCAAGTGAGATAATTAAACTGATTGTTAGCCTTTTCTTGAATTCGTACGAGTTTATGTGATTAAGCCAGAAGAGTAATTTAAGAAATCAATACTTATGTCTTGCATGTCTAATAGAAATGTCGTTGTCAGTGAGTGCCTCTAATCACCTGATTATCCAATAGCGATTCAATTTTTGACCCAAAGATGAAAAAGTCGCTGGAAAGCCACTAATTTTTATTTTGGGCTTTAATTAAATTGAAACACTTTTTTCATACCGTCACACTTGACCGCCTCCACCATGTTTGCTAACCGATTTTTCGAATAAGCTGCTCGTATCGTACCGGTATCTTTCGCGACTTTGGTATAGGTATAGCCAGTGACTGAATTCAAATTTTTTGTCAGTCGGTTCCATCACACAAATGACATATTTTCAGCCGGTTCTGTTATAAAAAGTCATGTTTTTTTCAGTAATTCTAACCGGTTCGCCGATCTCAGAAAATTCCGTGAGACGCTTCTATAGAACCGGTGCGAACCGGCTGAATCCCACTACTGAGTATAGCCTATAAAATTCTCCTAATAAAAGTTTTTTTTTCCAGATGGGTGCCGTATTGATTGTTTACGCATTTGTCAGTGGCTGTATTTCAGCATTATCGCCAAGAATAATCTCTAAATTCGGTAGAAATATTGTAATGAGTATCGCATGCTTGATAGACATGTCAAACTTTATATTCTGTTTGCTGTGGAAGCCACAAGATGATACAAAGTACCTTGTATACTTGGTTGGTGTTATGTGTGGCCTTTCTGATGGAACGTGGAGGAACTGCACCATGGGTATGTATTACTGCAAGGCTGGACAACCAGCGACTCGCGAGCAGCATGCTTGCAACTGAGTTGAAAATGATCGATCTTTATGAGTAAGACCAATCAAAATGCGCTTTAAGGAAATGGACCATTGAGTTATGGAAATACATACCAATGGAAAAGTACCTTAATGTTAAACGAGATGCGCTTAGAACATGGTCAATGTTTGAGTCAAATAGGTCTGCGAATCTGTGATTTTACCCTAAAACACATAAAACCAAAGCATTGATCTGTTTTGACTGTCACCCATGTAAAAAAGCTGCTCCGCTTGGCTACAACGACATACAAGCAAAATTTAAAGAGAATTGTTCAATTCATGGACTGCCAGAAGTTCTACTAAGTAGCATGCATAACAATAAATGGCTAGGCTTACCATACGTCCCGCTTTTTAGCGTCTTGTCCCGACAAGTCAGCCAAATGTCCGGCTTTGGCGTTCAGCCATCCAGCGTAATACACGAACATGTTCTCTTTACTGTTGTTGCTGTGTAGCGCAACGCTAGCCTACTTACTGAAGGTGAATGCGTTATTTTGTTTGTTTCGTTGTTTCCCGATAACATTGTTAGCGAACGTATCACATGTAAAATAAATTCTAATTGGTCCTGTTCGGACGTTCACGTGAATGTAACGTTGAACACCGTTTTGAAGGTGTTATCTACAAAAGAGCATGATTGAGCGAATAGGTAAATTACTAAATTCTCAATGCTTGAAAATTTCATTATTCCTTTTGCTGTACATAAAAAAATCTGAATTCGGATCATTTGTATCGTTAGCGTCTATTTCTTTCTATTTTTTGAACTGAACCCGATATTCAGAGAGAGACGGTCAACGAAGACAGCCGGAATGGCTTTAAATGTAGGCATATGTAGTAAAATCGGAAACGGTAAAGTTACAGAATCACAGCTAAGGGGTCGTGTTTTTGGAGGCGTCACGCTTTGAAGACAAAAAAATATGCCAACTCTATAAATGACTTGTAAATTTTGTTATAATCATGTTGGTTAGTGACATTTACAATAAACTAGCACTAAAACAGAGCTAAATAACGTTATATGTTTGTTCTCGTTTAAAATGTAGATCGACAAAAAATTATTAAAACTTTTTGTGAAATGTTCACAAAAGAGCCCCTCGTAAAACTAATCTTTTCGGTATTTATACAGATTTTTACACGGAATATTTTCTACATAATCAAGAAATTTCTTTCACAATCTGGAATTTTTGGATAACGCTTGGAATAGCCGTTGCATTCTTTTGGAGTCCCTATTTATGTGTCAGTGTGAAACTTTACATTCAAATCGGACTTCTTATATTTGGTATAATGTGCTATGGTAAGTTTCACTGACTGATATTTCACGATCCAGCGCGCACTTGTAGCCTAACTAACGTTGTTACGGTGGTGCATCGCGCATTGAAGAATCTTCCTTTTATCAATTGAATAAATTCTTTTCAATCAAATATCAAGGGTTCCGCGATGGGTGCCCGACAAATTCGTTCTTGATCTTCCCACTCGTCTCTAGATTAATGTATATGTCTCCTTTGTATTATGGGCTTAGCTTAATTAGTTAATGTGATCATTTATTTTTATTATTCGCCCCACCACCACACAAAACTGGCCTCGTTGAAGTATAACTCATTGGAACTGACTATGCATTACCTCAGGTCTGGTCTTGTAATATCGGGATAAGTGCTTTCTAAACGAACCACAATTTTTTTCTTGTTTAGTGGGAGCGGAGTATATCCACTATAAAGAGAAGAAACTTGTTGAAAAAAGAAGATTATTCAATGAATGAATATTAAGTATTGAAATTCTGTTGCAGTCGTCACATAAACCTTTTAAAAACAATTATCCCGAAGCCACAATAAAAGCTAACTATATCCTCGTCAGAAACCAGCAAAATATTGACAAAAAAAATACAATTATAAATTTTCCAAAGAAGTCTATGATTGCCTGTTTATACTTTATTGTATACACTTAAAATGCTTTCAGTTAACTTTAATAAATATCGTGTATCAAACGTCCTGTTGTCCCACACTTATGCTACTTACTCGTACCCCACTCGAATTTAAATCATGCGTTCCCGGGTGGGAGAGATTGCGCAAGTGGGATTCGTTGTATAAATGTGGAACGACTGTAGACTAATGAGAGAAGGGCAGATTTTAGAAATGTGAAAAGTGGTAGGCAAGGACAAAAGTAAAATTATGAGATGATACCGTTCCGACAACGAGGTTTACATATTTTTCTAAAGCTCCAATTACACCAAAACAACAAACCGTAGGTCATGAATGTAAAAAATTTGGTCAATAACTGCAAGTCTGGAATCAAAAAAACATATGGAGGCAATTGAAACAATTTAAAAGCAAATACTTTGATGAATGCGCTAATAAAGTAAACGAGAATATCGGTCAGAGACCGAAGACTTATCGATCGAAAGTTAGGGGATCCCAAAACAGCGCTCTTACTCCATAGTGACACCTTGTGTCTCATCACTGATAAAATATTACCTCGCTAATTATACGACATAATTCGCACAGAATCAATAGGCTTCTGGTCCGAGATATGATGGATGCACATGCAAAATCTGGAGCCGATTCGATTTCGCTTTCGTGAGATATCGCGTGTATCTAACAGACAAATACCTATTAACATACTTACCGATTAAAATCGATAAGTAATAATAATGTCACCATGTTAGTCATTAGATCTCTGCATTATTTGAGTAACGCAATTTTATATATGCATATAAAAACAGCAAAATCAATTTATTTTGCAAGATTGCATATCATATCAAGTCCTAATAAAATCATACATATGTATTTAGCTTGTCTTTCGAAATTACCATAAACTTTTCGAAGGAAATAGGACTAAGCAATTTACGAATAGATTTGGCAGTAAGATGAATAGTGAGCAATTATGATTCGCGCCGTATCTTATTTGGATGAATAATAGCTTGATGATATACTGAATATACTTAATCATAGGAAAAACATAATCGTTTCAAGTTTCTGATTCAAAGGAGAAGTGTGTTCACTATTCATCCGCCGTCAAACTAAAGGTATCTGTATCTAATACCCATTAGCTGGGCAGCTATTCCCGTTTCCAGGTCGATTTGATGTAAATATTATTGAAGCGTTGTCGTAAAAATGATATAGGCCCACTGCATTTGATAGTTAGTTTTACAAGGCGCTTTTCTTCAAAACAATTGAAAAAAAATCGATTATTCAAATATGTTAATAATAATAGGCTATACTATGACGTGTATACGGTGATTTCCACTTGTGGAAAATGTCTTTATTGTGCAGTAATTGCGGTATTGTAAATGCAAGATGTGCTGTCTTACAAATTTTTTAAATTACAAAAGGGATTTATCGATACCATATATTGCTTTGGCTCTCACAGATGTATTAAATGAAGTGAAAATACTTATACAATTACTGATTAAGTAACAACAAACCTGATTAAGATATATTGAGAACTGACTTCATAACAAAATTGAAGTCGTAAAGGGACTTGAAAGAAGACAAATTCAAATAATATAAACATTGTGGAGTGTGTTAAGAAGTACCTGCAAGGTACAGCTGAAAACGCAAGATGTGCTGTATTTTTAAATTTCTTCAGTATCTTCTTCTCTATTATAATGTCGCAATTTTGGGTAAGTTGGTTATATACACCGGAGTGTATATATAATTTACCTGGGTATCCTATGGTTAACACCAGGGCTGGGGAGCAAGTTAGACATCACAATGGCTCCGGGGCTTCGGTATATTCAACTCAAGTCTCCATCACCAGCGCTTCATATTTGTGCTTGAGTTCCGGATCATTGATGTTGATGACCATAAACTTTAGCCCGAATTTTAAAAATTTTCTTTGGAGTTTATATATCCAAATTCAACATCGAACTTATAAAATTAAATTAGAAATCAAGTTAAAAAAAAAATTGAAGCTGAAAAGGAAAGATTGATTTAAATGTATAAAATAAACAATTAGATAGTTAAGAGCTGGAGCCACTGAAATTTCTGGTAGCTTGGGCTTAATCTATTTTGTCAACCCTGGTTCCAGCTCAGTCAAAATGTCACGTTTCCCCGACCCCCAGTCCAGGTAAATACAAAATAATAATGGAAAATTTCAATTTTGACATTTGTACCATTTTAAAAATTGAACAATCAAAAAATGAAGCAAAATATTCCGTGGGGATTTGACTCCATTGGTTAAATAATTCGTATGATATATTTTTCAGAGTGGGGTGACGAGTTTACTCTTTTCTTACTATGTACACATTTCTAGGTCATTATCATTTGTTTTACCTAAAGCAAATTTCATTTCTTATTCATCATCAGACGAACTAAAACCGTTCAGTCGAATAGTTGTTTTTTTATTTTTCACAGTAAATTCTATAAATGTACGAAGGCTTCGTCCAGGTTGTCGAATTGAAGATGGCTATCACATATGTTCTTTAACTGGACTATGTCAAAAACGAGATGGTGTTTTCGATGATAGGTGCGAGAATGGTCAGTATCAAATTGTAATTTTATTCGGGAATTCGGCACTTTGCGTGATGGATCTTTCTACCGACCTATCTATTATGTATTTCCAGGAACTATCAGTATGCTCACACATCTTGTCAGTATAATGATAATATATCTTTTGCTTGGGTCACTACAAATGTAATCAGTTACTAGAAGTAACCTATTTAAGAGGGTTAAAAACAACTATCACTTTCTTGGAACCATTCAGTTTGACTAGTTACTTTGAATTTCACGTATGCTTAGATTTGACATGCTCTTTATCGCCCACTCTCAACGCAGGTAATTAGATAATGTTAAATAAATATTGACCTGCTCAACGTGTGAGACTCCGAGCATATTTTGTGCCAATAGGTGGGAAAAAGAGGAAGAGGTTTTAGCGTATAGGATAAATTTTCGTTGACATATCAATAACTAAGCAATATTACTAGTCCAATCTTTCTTCACGTATTAAGTATTTATTATTCTGCATACACTGACAACCAATAAAAATGAAACACTTTTGTTCATTGTCCGTACCAAGGAAACCATTTGTTGCAAAATACCAGCACTACAAAACATTGAGAAATGTGCAAAAGCGAATGATAAACAGTAACATAAACACCATTTAACAATAAATCTTATCACAGAAAGAGTGAATTGTACGGATGATGAATTTACATGCCGTGGAGTCAATAGATGTATACCAAGAATGTTACTGGGAACAAAGAATGGTTGTCTTGTGGGGAAAAAAGGAGTCATCACTCTTCCATGCAGGCCCGATGGTAAAATATATCAGTATTTCACAATAACAGCGGTATATATGTTTACACTATCGTAACAAAGCGTCAATAAAATTAAATAAATATTCATCGGCAACGAAGTGAATATGTGTTCTCTTGAATATACAGCATATTTCACAATTACAGCGGTATGTATGTTTACACTATTGTAACAAAGCGTCAATTAAATTAAATAAATATTCATTGGCAACGAAGTGAATATGTGTTCTCTTGAATATATAGCATATTTCACAATTACAGCGGTAGATATGTTTACACTATTGTAACAAAGCGTCAATTGAATTAAATAAATATTCTTTGGCAACGAATAAGTGTTCTCTTGAATATACTACACTGTTCAGTGTTCACACGTATAAAAGTTCAACGTAGGTCACATTTTCCCTTGTGTCTTTGGTAGCACTCACTAAAAAATACACAACGTCACATATATCTTTTGTCACCTTGTGGGACAAGCGAACCTATGAATAATTTTGCTCGCAATCTTTAGCTTTGTTCTGTTTTTTGTGAAATCATCGATTTTTTTTCAACTAATGGACAGTCGATTTTGCTGTAGGGCTATTACTTTTATTTTTATAATATGTTATCTGAGTTATCCGGGTCCCAATATTTAACCGCAAATTTTACTGGTTTTGAAAAATTCACGACAAACCATCATATGGTTTCGATGGATTTCGCGATTCTTCAAGTGGAATTACGCTTGCATCGCAGAGGCCGTGTACGTCATTTGAACTATTTCGTCTATTTGTTTCATATCACTCGGTAGTTGTGGATTGGCCTGGTAAATTTAGTAAACAATCTCAAAATGGCTTAAACGTCGAAGAATAAAATTAATCTAGTAGTGCATAGTTCTCTGCTTCTAATATTATCGGATCGACATACAGAACGTGGTTCACCTGCTAATACAAATAGGGCCGACTTTAACTATTGCTGGAACAACACCAATAGGGAATGCGCAATCTGCGGGGCCCATCCTTGACACAGATAAAAATAATACGCGAAAAATTGAGATTTTGTAATTAAAAATGAATCATAGTTTATTTTTCATCACCTTTTATCCAAGTATTAAATCACGGTTAAAAGTAACGTTCATATGCACATACAATATATGAGAATTTGCTTCTAAACAAGGATGTATATTAGAGATTCTAAATCTCCCAACGGTCGTTTTAATATATATATTTTTTTATATATTGTATTCAGAATTTACATGCCGATACAGCAGGCTATGCCTGCCAAGGTGGGCAGTGATGGACGGTAACGTAAATTGCAAAACTACCGAAGTTGATGACGACAGTGACGAAATGGCATCTCTCAATTCCTGCAGTGAAAGTGAATTCAACTGTACCAACGGAAGATGCATTCCCAGAGAATGGGTTTTTGATAAAAATGACGATTGCAAAAATGGTGAAGATGAAATTGAACCTTTCAGATATTGTAACAATGCTGAAGAATTCCGATGTGACAACGGACAATGTGTAAAAAGATATCGAGTGAATGACGGCCATCCAGATTGCGAAAATGGTGCTGATGAAAGAAAACAGTTAGCAAAATGCATAACTACAACAGAGTTCCGTTGCAATGACAGCGGGAGATGTATTCCGCGCAATTGGGTTGGGGATGGAGTCAAAAATTGTAAAGATAGCAGCGATGAAGTGATATTTTGGAATCAAACTTGCTCAACAAAAGAATTCGCTTGTTACAACGGGCGTCGATGCATTTTGTCTAAATATTTATGTGATGGGATGGATCATTGTGGAGATTGTAGCGATGAAATAGAAGGATGCAAAGAAGCGCGTATGGTGAGGTGTCCTCTCGACTCATCAATTTGCATACCGCAGTCCTTCGCCTGCGATGGATTTCAAGATTGTCCAAAAGGAATCGACAACCCCCAATACATGCCTGGTTTTAAGTGTAAAAAGACTGTCTTAGCAACAGAAGAAGAAATGTGTAATATTCCTCAATGGACATTACATGATAATCACACTATGTGCGAAGACAAATCGGACTTATGTTTCAAGAATAATTCATTTAACTGCGCTCGTTGTGTATCTGACAACAAAATAATAGCGAAACGTCAAATGTGTGATGGCGTCATTGATTGTACAGATTTATCAGATGAATGCCTTTGTAATTCGAACCGAAATAACGTCGATTTGATGAAGTTGTGCAATTCAATTTGTTATCATTCTAACAAATGTGGTGATCTTAACAACTGCCGAGTCGGAGAGTTGTATTGTGATACGAGCAAAAAATGTTTAAGCCCTTCTAAGGTTTGTGATGATGTTGTGGACTGTCCAATATCAGCGATTGACGAGAAACTATGCATTCAGCCTGACAAGGATGTTGTTGCAATACAGAAAAGGACTGATTTTGATTGTTGGAAAGTTGCAGATATTGTTTTGGAAATAGCACAAACTGAAAATCTTATGGAACTTTTCAACAATCTATATTCAACGCACGGTAAAAAGTATGTGAATTTCCTAAAATTCCAAAAGCGAAAATTATCCGATATCCAAATTCAGGGATTTATTAGAAAAATAATATTAATGGCTCATTGCTAGTATAAAATTCGAATGCTTCGTGGTGTTAAATACCAATTTCAGATACTTTTCTCCATCATTGTTCTAATCAGGATATCCTTAATTTGATAATTTTTGTGGATCCAGTGCAGAACTTGTGATGATTTATTGGACTCAAAATATACCGGGTCGGTTTTCTTACTTGTTTTTGTATTGGAAAATTACTTTTCTCCGCATGTAACACACCAATTAATCTCAATTTTTCAGTACGTAAAGATGAAAATAGTCACCAGAAGGCTATTAATAATTTTTTTCTGAATTCTACATGGTCTTATAATTAACCATAAATTTAACTGGTTTTTGTTCTCACGAAGACAACACCTTGAGTAAATCCCTTTACCAACTCGAATGACGATTTCTCGTAACACTGCGATGGCTTAGTTATTTTGCCCTCGTGTCCATATATCCAAGTATTGCTTTTCTCATTTATTTTCGTGTTACAAGGTGTGACGGTGTAATTGATTGTACTCGCTTCGAAGATGAATGCAATGCAGAATGTTATCTGCCAGAATGCGATAAATTCCAGCTGTTAGAAATATCGTTCATGGGATTCATTTTTGGAGGAGCAGTAGAAAAAGTCCGGGTGTAAGTGACGATTTCGTTATCTCGTACTCTCTTCGAAATGTTTGCTAACTTACAGTATTGTTTCAATGCGTTAAACCAAAATGTACCTACCTTCAAATCTTTAGCATTGTTTTCGACAGATGTAGTGATTATGCGACGGAATTTGGTTATGATTATACAAATTTTGTCCTCGGACAATCAATATGCAATGGAATCAAAGATTGTACAGACGGTGCAGATGAACAGAATTGCACAGATTTTTTCAAATGCAACGCTGGTACAGTAGAATCACCACTGGGCACAAGACAGGTTGATTTCTCATTAAAATCTTTACAAATGTATTTAGTTACAAACCTTTCAATATCAATGGTACAAGTCGTGTAAATGGTGTAACTGAAAGTAGTATGTATCCGACAAGTAGGAAACGGCATTTTAGTGGCACCGTAGTGAGTTCACTCGAGCTTGTTTCTTCAATATAAATCCATTTAATGAATTTGAACGAAAATATCTGTTCATAAATATGAGTTACCTGTTGATATTCCCAAATTAGTGCAACTTATTTTTATTAATTTCGAATCCACATTTTTACATTTTTTAGCGCATTGCCGTCAAAAAAGACAAAGTATGTGATTTACAATCAGACTGCCTGGATCAATCGGATGAAAAAGGCTGCAATGATTCGACTCATTTTTATTGCAAAAGCGGAAGCCCTCTCTTTGTTCCATTCTCATCAGTAATGAACGGCAAACAAGACTGCGAAGACAATACCGACGAATGTCCAGACAACTGGAATGACCTAAACCCGTTATCTTCGCCAGAAGAAATGATTAGACTTTCGTTTCTCCGTTATTTCATCTGGTTTATGTCATGTATCGCAATTCTAGGAAACCTCGCCGTTATTATAGAAACTTGTTACTCTCAATTTGGCCCACTGTCTAGTGAGCAAAGCCCAATGAGTCGATGTAACAGAATACTGATAATAAACCTGGCAATATCTGATTTCCTCATGGGTGTCACCCTGCTTATAATTGGAATTAAGTCAGCTTCAATGTCCGGAGAATACTGTTTAAATGACAAACAATGGAGGATCAGTGGTTCTTGTAACGCAATCGGAGTTATGACAGTATTATCCAGTGAAACATCCGTTTTTTCTCTGGTTGTCTTGACCATGTATCGCTTTTATGGGATTCATCGACCGTTTCAAAGCAGGAATGTAAAACCAAAATGGGCTATTGTTGCAGTGATTATAACGTGGAGCTTGTCCTTTATTCTAGCTACGTTGCCTCTGATTCCTTCAATTAATCAAACTATGGTACCAGAAGCATTCACACAGCCATCAATGTACTTTGAAAACACTGTCGTATCATGGGATGACTACAGAATGTTTGCAGAACGAATTGCTGTTCTTGGACGCCGTGTAAATAAAATATCAACAAAGTTTGAAACTTGGAAGAGTGCACGTAACATGTTGGAAAGTATTTACAAGGACTTTGCTCCAAGTGTACTCGGTTACTTCGGCTTCTACAGCGCCGATGGAGTCTGTATTCCAAGATTATTCAGAATAAGCGGAGGACCGTCTCTCCACGCGTTGTCTTTGTTTATAATAAGTCTGAATTTTTGTATCCTGTTGTTTATCATCATTGCTTATTGTAAAATATACCATAAGTCAACGCATAGAAAAGTCAAGGGCAGTGCAACAAAGCACGATAACCGGAGTAGAGTAATGCAGAGAAAAATCACAATACTAATTGCGACGGATCTGTGCTGTTGGCTTCCGATTTGCGTTATGTCTATAGCAAGTCAAGTTGGAACAAACTTCTCGGGAGACGCATATGCAGTTGCTGCGATTCTTCTGTTACCAATCAACAGTTCCCTAAATCCGATTATATACTCACGGGGATTTGCCGTTGCCCGAGCAGCTCTTGCTCGAAAAACTGTAGAAGTTCATGCTTCTATCAGACGCCGTATAACGCGAAAGCCTGATCCGGAATTCGAGCAAAATAACATCACAATGCATGATAGTGGGAAAACAGGCGTGCAAACGCTGTCTTCAACGTCGGTACCCAATACTTCGACGCCATCCAACCCAACGTCTCTACAGTTAGAGGACACGAAAAGAACTTAATAAATTGTTTAATTTGCCAAGTTATCGGAATTATTGTTGTAAATAATCACTCTTCTCCGACTGGGCCAGTATAGAACTGCATTTTATCCTAAGTAATGTCACATATATGTGTATGTTCAAAATACAAAATGTGGGTATAATATCATAGTAACTGCACTAACACATTACCTGTTTGTTTCTTTTTGGGTTTGTATTTGAAATCGGTTTTCATCGCAGATTCGTTTTATTTTTCGGAATCATGGTAATGCTCATTATCAAAAGTGTGGTATCTACATCTGTTCTCGCGTGCCGGCTTTGTACGAATTCTGATAGCCTGATGATGCTTCCCCGAGTCATGCCCATGACATCAGGAAAATATTTCCTGTACGTTACCCGTTACCCGTAAGATTCTTGATGCTTACTTCGAGACTGTTAGGCTTTGAAAATCACATAAATTGCCATGTTCGTCTGAGGTCATTGTTGCTTCAGATTTCTTACCGTAGCTGAATTTCCCTCAAAGCCTTTTTTGTAGTTTCTTTTATCGTTCATTAGATATACGTGTTCTGGCATCATCGATCGACGCATCCTAACTATAAATAGGTATTTAACAAAGGATGTCTACTTGGTAACTCATTACGGTACCGTTAGGCCGTGAAACGAGGCCCTTAAAAACGCCTTGAAAGTGAGTTTCGTAGCGCACATCTGGGAACTATATAAATTCTTTAGTTTTGTATGAAAATGAATATACTAAACGAATTGCAGCTTGTTACCACTAAAGAAAGTTCATCAAAAATCCTAATGCAAAAATTGGATTTAAGGAGATTTTCCGAATATCAATAACCATGAGTTTACAACGACACGGCATGTAAATGTTGCATTCATTTGATAGTCGCCATCAAACGCATCAATTTTATGCGATGAAGTCACAAACTAACATCGTGAGCACAAAAACACAAGTAAATCAGTTGAAATTCTGATGCAAAAATGCATATGAGGGGATTCCCATAAAATCAATATCCATGGGTTTACCTCAACACAGCATAAGAACTATTCAATTCAAGAGTCCTGCTACGCACTAACACAAATGTATTTCTGATATATCTGATCTGTCGGATATAAACAGTCTTAAAATAAGGCAGGAAATATCTAAAATAGTTGAAAATGTACACACAGTCCGCAAAATGCCTTCAAGAGACCTGAAAATTGAATGCAAAAGTTTAGAAGAAAATGACCAGCATCAAAATATTCCAAAACATGGAGGTAAAATGTGCTCAATGGACCCAAAAATGTACTGGCGTTGTTAAAAACATGTATATTGACATCAGTATAGAAGAACTAAAAGCCGAATGGAAAAGCAGTGGTGTTTCACAAGTCCGCCTCATCATGAGAACATCGAGCTCCAATAGTGGAAAAACCCAACAAAAACCGTGGTTGTGACTTTCGACTCAGCACCTTTACCATCAAACATCTATCTGGGTTATGAACGATTCCCAGTGGAACAATACATCAAAAGATGCTACAATTGTCAACGGTTTTGACACATTGCCAAATTTTGCAAGACTACACAACGTTGTGCCAACTGTGGATCGAACCACTCCACAACTCAATGTAAGTCAACCACTAAGTGCTATAGATGCCAAAGCAATCATAGTGCTGCAAGCCCCCAATATAAACGTCAGAAAAATATTCAAATGAAACAGCATGTATCATATGCAGATGCTGGTCGTGTGGTTGATGCCCGGCAGCTCAAAAGGACTGACAATATGAGAAACAGTCAGCCTCAACAGTTGAGAGGTGCACCATCAACATCAACAATTGTAAGAGAGCTACCTAAAAGAGATACCGGTAATCAAACAAAATTAAAGAATATTATATATCACTATTATAATATAGCCCACTATAATATTTTATAGCCCACAGAACAATCTGTACCTACACCTATTATAATGGATACCATGGTTTTCGTTGGTTTCATTTTAGATATATTAAAAAAAGTTATGACATTGAAGGACCTTCAGAAGAGGAGATAGTAACAATCATCACCAGTGCAACAGAATCCAGATTCCACATCGACATCACTACCGATGACCTCAAATCTTTGCCTAAAACAAGAAATATAGAATATATGGAAAACTCTGTAGAAATGACAGAATCGGTACAAGCAATAGATACACAAATGGCAATAAATCATTCATAGGCTTTTCAATACTGCAATGGAATTGCCGCAGCATTAGAAACAAGGACTTGGACTTGGTCCATCTTATATACCATATGGCAGAAACACCAGACATTATATGCTTACAAGAAACATGGCTAAATTTAAATGACACATTCGAAATACTTGGATGCAAAATATATAGAAAGGATAGAACAAGAAGAAGAGGATGTGGTTGTCTCATAGCAAAAAAAAAAATACAAGCAGTGGAAATAGATGGGATAAATATAGTGAACGTATATATCTCTGGAACAAACTTAACAAAGGACAACCTTGACCAAATACTTAATTGCTTTGGGAGGAGAACCGTAATATTTGGTGATTTGAATGCCCAAAACACTATCTGGTATTGCTCACAAACAAACTCTAGAGGTCTGGAAGTACAATCATTCATTGAGCAAAATAATCTTGTTTTGCTAAACGATGACTCTCCAACTAGAGAAGCCAGAGGACACCAGGTATCAATCATTGATCTTTGTATAACTACAAATGATATTGCCCATACATGTACTATGGAAACACTACAAGAAAATCTGAACAGTGACCACAGTCCCAGTGAAAAGACACATAAGAAATCCCATACCATGGTGGAATTCGACTTGTGGTTAGGCTGTAAAACAAAAAACAAGCATATAGAAGAGCCAAGAGAACATGTTTACCACAGGATCTCATTAATTATAAAAAAGTTCGAGGCTTTGACCATAAGAATTATATTGCACCAAAAAAGACAATACTGGACAAACAAACAACTTCTTTGGGACTCTGAAACAAATCCTAAAGAGGTCTGGAATGCTATAAATAGTATGAAAGGAAATACAAAAACCAAAAATTATTAATCAATGATCGGACGACATAGACGGATAACATAGAAAAAGCAAACATCTTTGCCCAATCATTTGTAGATATTGTATGCAAAAACAATACAGGAGAGACTTTTACTATGAACAAAATGATTCGGGAAAACTACTACCAAAATGTTGAACAAAATATATTGTAACAAGAAGCTCAGCCACAAAGATGATACAACATACGTATACCATTATTCGAATTGGACCGGGCGCTTAAAGAAACAAGAAATACAACACCAGGTCTGGACAAAATCACACAGCATATGATAAAACATCTCCCTGGTCCAAGTAAAGGGATTTTATTGCATCTCTACAATACAATTTGGGAAATAGGTCAAATGCCTGAATCATAGAAGCATTCAATAATGATACCGATTTTGAAATGTTTATGCAAAATATTGGAAAAGATTATTGTAAAACGACTATGGACCTATTTGGAAGTTACCTGGAAACTAAACTCAGTGCAAAGCGCATTTAGGAAACAAAGGTCAGCTTTGGATACTTTTATATGCCTGCAAGATGACATTCTCAAAGCATTACAAACCAGACAAGTAACATTAGCCATATTCTTAGACTTTCACAAAGCTTATGACACAGTTTGTGACAGTGGATTGTTGGGCAAAGTAGCAGATTTGGGGGTGGAAGGACATATGCTTAAATTTCTTGAAAATTATCTACGAAATAGATCATTTAGCGCCAAAGTGGGAAATGGAATATCGCAAACCCACCGTACCATACGCAGATTGCCTCAAGGTTCAAGCTTATCTCATGTTCTATTCAATATAATGGTGAATGATCTTCCATCAATTGTAGATAATGCAAACTCAGGCCAATTTGCAGATGATTTTGCTATATATAAAACCGAAAGGAATGTGAAATCCCTAGAAAGAAGAATGCAAATAAATTTGGACAAAATAAATGGATGGTGAGAAATATGGGAAATGGCTCTATCTGTCACAAAATGCAAAACAATGCTATTCAGCAGAAGAAGACATAATTCCAACATCAACCTCAAAATATCAGAACAATTTATACCAATAGTTAAGAAGACAAAATATTTCGGTGTCATTTTGGATAAAAAACTAAATTGGAAAAACCATGTGGAATACATGATAACAAAAGTTAAACAACGATTGAATATTCTTAGATATATCAGTGGAAACAAATGGGGATCAAGACTGCATATAATGGTTCTTCTTTATAGATCACTAATTCGCTCAGTATTTGATTATGCAGGCCAGCTATATTGTTCTGCATCTAGGACACAATTGACAAAACTAGATACTATTCAGAATGATGCATTGCGTATTTGTCTTGGAGCTATGAAAAGCACACCGATTGATGCAGTACTACATGCTAGCTCAGAAATACTACTTACCATACGAAGAAAACAGATCTGCCTGAATTATAGAAGAAAAATTTCAAACTCACCTCATCTCATTTCCGCAAAAGTTCTCTATCAGACCTGGCACGAGGAATATGTAGAACATCAATTCACTTCGTTCGATAAAATCACAAGAGAAGAATATCGATTGGCAACAACTGAATCTGAAACGAAAAAAGACATTGAGAAATATACCAACGTTCAGACGTTAGACCTAAATTATTCAAGTTAGCCAGAACTGGAAATTAACACAGTTTTAATTTTTATCATGTCAATGCTGTAAACATTGTCTCAATAGAGCACATCATAAAGATTATTAAACGATCCATAATTTATTGATTTGTTACCGTATTGCCGTACGGTAATTACCTGCCTATGTACTGTACGGTAGCTAGTCCAATACCGGTAGTTCAGTCAGTCAGTAGTTATACACACCCAGACACCCTACAGTCCTATCTCAATACGGTACTTTAACATAGGCTATGTAGTTTCTACAATTTTCAATTGAGTAAATATTGTGCTATCAATCTGTATGTTACCGGTAATTCCAAATGAGACCAAAATATTTTCACTCAGCATTACGATACCGTTACTTAAAGTGAATATAAACCAAGTAGAGGCATCGAGTGCAATGATGCATATCGGACGCCATTATGTGTCGGGCGAATCGCGGGAACGCGGCAGCCTCGGTTTGTTCTAGCTTCGCTTCGTCAGTCTGCTAATCAGGTTTCGTTTATCAATTTGTTTGGAGATTGGTTATAGTCCGGCAGATAAGGGGACCTTTTTAGCCCAAGTTTGATTTCAGAAATAAATATTTTTTATTTGTGATTATTCATCTTGGGGTCATTGCTCATCATTTCTACATGGGTGTGGAGTTTACAGCCTTGAGCTCTATATTTGTATTAGTGTTTTTTGTCAAACCTGTGCATCATAATGACGCACAACCTGAACCATAACCTGTTATAATACTATGTTCAGGTTGTGCGCAATCTTGGTGCACAAACTACGCAAGAACCAAATTTACTGGGAAATAAAATCAATACCTTTTAGGTATTTGTTAAGCCCAGCTTTGGGTCGCGACCCATATACAGTATATGGAAATACTGTCGAAACATACGCGTAAAATGAAGAGTACTATTTCAAAATACCCGTTTTTGTTGCAATTAACAATACAAGCCTGCTAATGCAGTCGCCAGTGGTTCAAGTGGATATACACCCGGTGGAGAACAGTCAATTAATTGTTAGCGAGAATTGTTATGCAGCGGGATGATCACGACGACGCAGTGAAAGATAATGATATCACGAGAACAAGAATGAGATAATTGCTACATTTTATAGTATATCCCTGGGAAAGAATGTATTTCATTCTTATGTTCCATGCCAATGCTTTTCAAACTACCAAAGACTCTCAACACTTTTGCTTCTTCTTTTCTATAAAAATACATTGTTATTATATATTCGCATTTCCATCTGTTTGTTTCCATCGTGCTCCCAGATAACCGATCAGCGGCCTCCAAGAAGGACGGGGTCCGCTTTTAAGAAACCCTGTCATAAACTAGAAGAGGCGACCGTGCTTCTCTTGCCTGTTATCACGCTGTCCCTGGAATTCAGCTACAACAAAAATTTCACAAAAACGGATTTTTGAATTTTATGATTTTATTACTTATCGATTTTAATCGGTAAGTATGTTGATAGGTAGATAGATAGATATGTTGATAGGTCTGTCTGTCTGTTAGATGCACGCGATATCTCACGAAAGCGAGATTGAATCTGCTCCAGATTTTGCATGTGCATTCATCATATGTCGTACCAGAAGCCTATTGATTTTGGACGAATTATGTATAATTAGCGAGTTGTTAATTAATTAGTGATGGGACACAAGGTGTCACTATGGAGCAAGAGCGCTGTTTTGGGGGAACCCTCTAACTTTCGATCGATAAGTCTTCGGTCTCTGACCGATATTCTCGTCAATATTCTCAACAATGAATGATATATGCGTGTTAAAATGCCAAGTTATTCCAACAACATGATCATGTTTTGCATTTTACAACCAATATTTTGTATGTAACTTTGTTTGACAGAGCCCCAAGAGCTCTGACTACAAATATCAATTCAGCAATGTCTACTTGGTGATATGCATCTGTTGATGATTTTATGTGTTTGTTTCGGAAGTTTAATAACAGAATTAATTGTGGTTGTTGCGGATGTTTTAAAAAAAGGTTGCATGGAAAAAAAAATTTCACAAAATGTCAAGGTTTGATAGTAGTAGAGAAGTAGAAAAAAATTTTTTTCATTTGATAACCACGCCACAGAACATCAGTTTGATCGTAGTGATCGTCAAGTGCAGAAGAATGCCAAAATATTTCAATATGAATAGCCCATCGCAGTTTGCAACGCGTGTGATTCTCATATACCTTGACGATTTTCTTTGAGACTTCTTCTTCGATCTATTTTATTCTTACAGGTATAGCGCTGATAGCAGCAGCGATGATAGCCTGCGGTAGGTTGGATTGATGGAACATTGCCGTTTTCTGATGTAGTACAGTATCTAAAATGGGGAAGAAAATCATATTTTGAACAACATGAGTATTTTTCGACAAATAAAAATATCACTGAATACTGACTAATACTTCTCATACATAAAGCATTTTATGCACTACAGTTCTGCAGTGTTTGCATACTAGACTATATTTACAATGAATCTAACTAAATCACACAATCTGAAATGCCCTGTATATTCTGAAACACCAACTGTCAGCCTATCACTTGATACATGATCTCTCTCACCTCTCAATCGCTTCATTTATTTCAACTCCCGCATAACTTATCATTGCTGCCCAGGTCCTTGGTGACTCTGTGAATTTAGAGTAGACCAACTGACATCAGTAAAATTGGTTACTTTCCACTCTTTCACACAAACGTGCATTACACAAACGGCCACTATTTTCTGAATCAAACATGCTGTGGGCGTAGCCTACATAGTAGTATAAGTCTGCTGAATAGTCAAGAATCGTCATTAAATTAATTATAAACTTTCCATACAAGCATGAAAATATCGTTGTTTTTGACATATTTTTCTAGGTCTAGCCCTCTTTGGAGTTACCGAACCGTACGTATATAACAACGTTTTATGAGCTAGTGCTCAGCTAAAATTGCTATCCATGGTAAAGATATGCAAGTGTTTAATAGCTCACTTTTACTTCTTAACACCATCTTAGAATAACTTAAGTAATAATAACTGAAAGAGACTATAAAAAGGCTACTAAACTCGAACCCAAAAGCCAGCAGTACATCTGAGATTCATCCGACGACAAGAATCCACTACAGCAGATCAAAGTTTAATTGTTACGTTATTACTGAGTGGAATTGAAACCACACCTTCGATTTAACTCCCTGCCTTACACCAGGGACGGCCAACGCGTCGATCGCGTCTAATGTTGAGATAATTTGACACATACCTCAAAAAATTGCTTTGAACCAGTTTCATGGAAGGCCTTCTGAGGAATTTTCAACACTTACAACTAAAAATTAGGCAGAGCCTGAATCAGAATTGTATGATTTAAATAAATCTTTAGGTAGCAGAAAAATCGTTGGCAATTCCGATATTTTTGGGACTGTATGTCTTCTCTTTTTACTTCAGACTTTCGTTTGAATTCATCGACGGGCCCTGCCTCCACTCTGGAAGACGCAATAAAAACACGACCAGTGGTAGTTTTCAGCCTTATTTGTGTTCAGGCTAATTCCATTTTTGTGTACACATTTATTGTTCTGCTCGGTAATTAGTAGAGATTGGTTTAAGAGTGGGTTGCAATACTTTTATGGTGTTGTCAAAAATTCGGAGCAGAGAAAAACTGTGCCTTGCCAAGAACGTTGAATTAGCTTTTCTGTTTATCAGGGTGAACGATGCCGCACTCGGACTTTCAAAACAAGACTAAGTTTTAACTCTAGATTCGTTTTTAGACAGCTATTGTCTGCCCATATAAATTCCAACAGTCAAAATGCTGAAATGGTCTGATTTTTAGGCTCAAAATCTTAGCTACATAAATATCCTTCTGAAAATTACGTGTTTTATCAAGATCAGCGTCATCATTTTCATATTTGTAAGTCTCAATTGTCTCTTTATCTGAAAATGTGGCATTAGAAACACACGCTAACCCAATGCAATTTCTACATATTCGGCCTATTTGCAATTGTTCTGCTAGATCGCTGAAAATACAAATAGAAAATCTGAGACACTTCTTTATCATTCTAACCACGTATTTATGGTTAATATACCTCGATTTTATTTGATTATAAACCTGAATCATATCACTTGTGCATACTTCATATCACGCCTCTTAATCTTCTGTTTACTACAAAATTATCGGGAGCCAAATTTTCTCCTACTTGGCAAATTCTCATATACTGCATCCTAATAAACCTGATTGTACTTTATACGACATAGGAAACTCATAATCTATGTTATCTGCTCAATAAGCCAACATAATTGGCGAAACTGAACGGACGAATCTTAGATAATTTAACTACCGAAATCACTTCTGAGGGAAAATGTTGCACTTATGCAACACTAATTTTAACCACCCCTTCAAGAAACCACATAAACCGTTCGAGGTTGCAATCAGTTTGTAAAGCTTCTGTATAGAGTACACTATTCTTTTGCCCCGTGCACAGATATGACGAATTAGGCGTATGTTAACTGGTATAGTTGCGCAAAATATGACCATGGTTCACCAGTCGGACACGAGCACCGGATACCGCATCTTGCAAAAGACGCTTGCAGCGTTATCAGGCTGCGGCAATGCAAAATAGCAGTTGCATCGAAACAAATAAGTACCGCTGTAGTGCGTTGAGTAGAAAAGGCATTCTGCGGCAGAAAATGTAATCATGGCTAGTCTACAATATGTTGTTGCATACGTGTTATGCATTTCCGGAGAGGGTTATTATAGCAATTCCGTACGTATTCGTATTCAATCATACACTAGTGCAGGGATAGCAAACCTTTTCTGATGATTGGGTCAATAATTATATTTCGTGAAAAGAAGACTGTAAGTAATAGATGTTTAATCAATGTTTACATCAAGGAGAAACTTATTCTGCGAGTATAATAATTCGTGGTTGGTAATGTGTAGTTTTGAGCTTTGTTGCCAGTAAGTGTATAAACAAGTACCGTGGCACTTCCCGTATCTTTCCCGTGTTTGGTTTTGTATTATTGCTTTAAATTATATTCTTACGTGTAAGATATTAATTTAAAGCACACCAGACGCTGTTTACCTTTGTTGTGGGCAAGAAAATACGTTCCCTTCCAGCAATATAGTATCGCATGGTTTGGACCACCCTGTGATAATGTATTCAGCATATTACTTCTTTGAACTCTGATGTCTTTGAGCGAGTTACACCATCGATGACCTCACAATGAATAGAAAACTCATTGTCCCGCCACAGACGTTGCACGCTTGATTGGCCTTCTGAAAATTCATATTCTGGGGCGCATGAACAATGCTTCCATTTGGCGCACCCGCGTGCAATTGAAGCCTCGAATCTCGTAAAATTTAGTATTATACCGGGATATTTTAGGGTAAATATGTGTATACGTCCGTATTTATATACATTGTTAAAATACAATTTATATGATGTATTCGGACACATTTATAATTGGCTACAAGTGCGAACATATGCGTGGTATGGTACCCCCGAAGTATGTGAACCAAGATGGCGGCCATAATTTTATTCCAATTTTCCTTATTTTAGTTTTATTATGAGTTCGGGTACTAGCCGTAGTATTTGTAACTGAAATTATGGTCTAACCCTAACCTGATACACATGCTACGTTCCAGTGTCCGCCATCTTGGTTCACATACTTCGGGAGTAACCGTGGTATCGTATATAAAAGCCAAGGTGGGATATACGATCAGAGTGACTTTCGATCAATTTGTGTGGATTGTGGAAATGTTTGAAAGGCGTGTGGTTGTATTTTGTTATATTCGCCAATCTAATTCAGTGTGATCCGTGACGTTAGGCCGTGAACACCTTCACATCACATTCCAAAATCAGACTTCCTCAGTCAAGCAATTTACAACAATATATACAAGGGGTGGCCAACACGTCGATCGCCACGTCTCGAGCAGTCGTTCGCGTCTGATGTTGAGTGAATGTTATTAAAATATCCCCAAAAATTGCCGCGAACTCGTTGTGTGTTTTACAACAGGAAGAATACAGTACATACTTTGTATGCGTATACACAAAATACATTATACACATACAGTATTTGAGTATGCGCAAGCCCAATAAAGTATATTATCACGTACCAAAATGCAAGTTTTTCCGCTGCCAAGGTTTGAAAATGAATTGCCGTATATCGCGTGTCTAGACTGACAAAAGATCTGCAAAAACTTCCGCCGTATGACATATTCAATCCTGACTGTTAGAAACTGTTTATCTGAGGTAGTCTGATTTTTGTCAGACGAAACGTTACAGAAATACAGTTGTGTTAGTGACAGTATGTTCCCCAGCTTTTCTTTTTAGGGGGGGTGTTTCGAAATTTAAGGGGTGGTAAATAATTTGCCATTAGAGATAAAATTAGGATATTTGTATTCTTAAAAAAATGGTATGTATTTAAGAAACGATGTACATGGGGGGCCCCCCAAGTTGATTGACGCGAGCCAAAATCCACAGCAGAATGAAATTGTAGGGCCAGAAAAGGGGAGCGAGGAAAAGTGCGCGACGACACGACTGGGGTTCAGGACGCGCTTAAGCGCCCTGAGAAAATTTTGAGAAATAGGCACCAAAATAGGCTCTGAGCTTGATTTTAGACATACCTAGTATCGCAGTTTGTTATGTAATGAAATCAATAATTATAATATTTAGCTGATAGAATTCCCGGGAAATAGATAACAAGTACGGCTTTCAACCGTTAATATATACTACTACGTTTCAACAAGTAATTTGCAACTGATAGTGACTAATGAAGTTACTTGCTAATCTGGCATAGTATGAATGGCTACTTATGGCTTGTTTTGTTACACATTTCACATTTTTTTGAACATGTCCGTTTGACTTTTGTATGAATTAAGCAATGAACTAAATTTTGAAATACGCGCGCCAACTGATCATAATTGCGCGTAATGTTGTATTCCTTCAGAACTGAAATATTTTGTTGGTAAGAAGACAAATCGCTGAAGTTTGATTCTTTTCAATGAAGAAATAAAAACGCTGTCATTCATCTAAAAACGTCTGTTGTTAGTGCCTAGTTTTAGTTTTGTGACATCTTTTAAGCTTTCTTAATATACGGCTGATATCTAAAATACTGCAGTGTGTAATCCTAATACCCACACGTATACATAGGATACCGGTATAATTCAATTGTTACGAAATAAACGTGCTTAAACTGTGATAATGATGTAACAATAGACGTATCTAAAACTCAAAAGGTACCACATGAAGGGTTAAACTATTTCACTCAAGTTCGGCGGGCCCTTTTAAATTGCCACGCGGACCGTAATTGGCCCGCAGACTGCGGTTCGGAACCCCTCATCTACACTGATAAATATGCCATAGTCGTTATATTTGAATACAATTATACTTGAGTTAGGAATTACAGTGTCGAATCGCACCTCAAAATTAGTGCACCAAAGCAAAGCATTAAAAGATCACAACAAAAAATTAATGCGCCATATAGTAAAAAACATTGAAACGAACCGAAGTATATGCCAAAGTTTATGGAGATGGGTGCACTTGTTTCGTTGTAAAGCGGTATTTAGAAGCGAACTGGAATAACTTCATAGACTGCCTACTGTAACTCCCTCCCATCAGCGTCAGCTACACGTCTGAACTGGGCAGTTAGTTAACTCAGGATTTCCCAAACTGGGGTCGGGTGTCCGCAACGATATGAGATGGGCCTGAAACATATATATTTTATCGTATATACACTGTCACATAGACATTCGTAAACGAGGTAAAGTCACGAGTTCACGCAATCGCAAATCGTCAATGTTACGAAACTTTAACAAAGGAAGTGAACTGTGGAACGATTCTTGCTTTTACGGTCTGTGAGGTAGACCTCCGTTCTTCGTTCCAGGGCTACATCGTCGGTAGCAATTGATCGTATGGGTTACTGAGTTATCATCAGTCGATAACTTGTACGACTTTGCTAAGGTCATTTGAGGCTGTTAACCGTTGCTGCAAGGAAGGGGCATGAAACGAAATTTAGTTAATTGTGTGACACTGTAGTTATATACACATTTAAATTAGGTCCATGTGTTCAATTAGTACCGGCAGTTTAAATATCGGGTGGCAAATAGATCATTATATTATCGAATTGCCATTGGTCTACCAGTATTAAAACTTCAATATGTATTGAATCAGACTTTCATGAGTTTTATTTCGTCAAAGGAAACATTATTCTTCTCCGTTGGTTAGGCACAGAAATTGATTCGGCATAGGATGGAAGTCCGTCAAAAATAAAATTCACAAACAGCGGTCCGCGGCCCAAAAAGTTTGGGAAAATCTGAGTTAACTTGTAATGGCAGCAGGTAGCAATTGAACTCTTTCTGTGATATTACAGGCCCACCGCTTGCTCAGTGACATCACAATGGGCCGCGTGATCAAAATAGAAAGTGATAATCAGTGTTTCCAGCAGTGATTGCGAATCAGAAAAGGCGACAATTTGCAAATTTAAGCATACTATTTCTTTAGAATCAAACTATGAGCCATATAACAGATTTTTTCGCGGACCCTCCGAAAGTGCTTCACGGACCTCACTTTGGGAACAGCATTTAGGAAGGATTGGGAGTTAGTCTCGCGTAACCTCTACTGATATTTAAAGTAACTAGAATGTTGGCAAAATTTTTGGCAATCACACAAAAAAGAAACTTCAAAATGGCGCCCAAATGTTGTTCACAATTATCTCGATGTCAGAATAATATTATTTAATATCAACATGCGTATTCAAGGTTCTTCGTTAATGTCATATATTTATCGCTCTCAATAGCCCCATGTGAGAATAATTGCTCAGAGAAGCTCCAAGCAATTCTCTTTATATAAATATATATATATTTAGAATAAATTCCCACATTTCACAGCAATGCATCCGCGTTAACAGTTAAGATATGGATTTGTCGCCAGCTGATGCAATGACCCCATTAGGAAATAATGGCAACCCGCAAGAATATAAGAAAGAAGACATAACATATAATAGGAAACATAAAAAGCATGGGACGAGAAAGACCGCTAAGCAATATTGGATGTTCAATATATGTTTTTTGTTGGCTTTTGCGCCATACCTCTCAATTCTGGGTTTACAAAGCAATATCAATATCGAGGGAGGCATTGGTAATGTTTATATATATATATATATAGATATCATTAATATCACAAAATTTTTGAAGCATTTTCAAGACATCAAATCTATTGATTTATATTGCAGGAACACTTTCCTTGGGAGTGGCTTATACATCGTCAATTTTTTTTGGTATATTTATAACTCCCATTTCTGTTAGAAGGTGAGCATGGTTGTGTGTTTGATGCAACGGTTAACTAAATGCATTTAGCCTATTGCTTTATTAACTCGAATGCTCTTCGTTCAGATTGGGATCACACCGAGCAATTGTCATTGGCGAATTGGGATATTTGATTTACATTTTGGCTAACTTTTACCCCAGTGAGTATTCTCAACCAAGTTTATCTATGCCTATTTTCAAAAATTTGCTTCTTTCTACTAGATTCTTCTTATTTTTAGAATCTTATATCATGATAATTGCCGGCGCTCTAGTTGGATGTGGTGAAGCCTTGGTGTGGACGACATTACCTATGTACTTCTGGCATTTTGGGTATCAACATGGAAATTTCGGGACCAAACCGTTTGAATTATATGTTTTGAAATATACTGGCCTATTTTACTCTATGTATCAATTAGGTCAAGTAAGTAATACGCTTATAAAGGGTCTTGCCAGAATAGTAATCGAGTTAGGAAAATGTTTACTATTTTATTAATGAGCTATTATGGAATATTATTACGGTGCCATATATCCACAATGTTTATCGGCTCTTAGGTAATTCATAGATGCCAATTAATCTAGTGTCAAAGGTTCATGGGAAAACACTATAAGATTATATACAATTCGAAATTTTATGAATATTCAATTTTGAACCAGAGCCACCAAACTTAGAAGCTCAGTAGTCCAGTAGCATGGTATCAGTGACTGCAGATATAGCATCGTTTAAAAAATTATTTACCTTATTCAGATTTTTGGCAGTTCTGTCAGCTATGGCGTGTTATATGGATTCAAGAATAAAACACAAGAAATCTCTACATTGTACAATTCATTCTCCGATCTTTTACAAGAAAACGAAACAGAGGCGTACCTAAAACCACACCTTCAGTATCAATACTGTGGAGCAAACGATTGTCAAAGTCCAAATATTACCAGCGAAAACATTGATAGCTACGTTCCAGCCGATTCATACTCATTGTATATCGTAATTTCTATATTTTGTGCAATGTCTCTCAGTGGAATTTGCCTTCAGTTTAAATTTCTCCCGAGAGCGAACTCAAATCCACTAGAAGTTGAGTCTAATGATCAAGATGTGTTGCACGAAAAGAAGAATACCGACGATGCAAGTGAGATCATTATCCAGGTAAACGAGCGATTCATCTTTTTGAAATGCAGACTGAATAATATAAGTCGATCCAAAGAAAGAATAAACATACAAAATTGCTCCGATAGTAGGAGATGCCTACAATGCCATCCATTTTTGGTAAAACATTTTTCAAAAAATGCTTTGTCGTCATGTAATTGATCCAAACTTAAATTGGAATAAAATCTTTATATTACTAAATTGCGAGTAGAGACAATTAAAGTCAGTATTATTATCTAGGTTGATATATAATCAAAGTAGGGCATTTATAAAAAAAAATGAAACAAGTTGACATTCAAAATTTATAGACTACTAAAATAGACTAAATAGACTACTGAATTAAGTACCAGTAGTTCAGATTAGCTGCAAAATTTACATTGAATACCGCAGAAGTGACAAATCTTACTGATAACTTAAATTTTTGTGGTGTTTGGATTTCTAATCGTTTCTTATTTACAGAACGCAAACTTCTCGTATGTATCAACACTTAAGCAAACATGCAAGCATTTTTTCAACCCAAAACAATTGCTGGTGTCACCTATTTTGTTTTACATTGGATTATTCATTACCTTCATATACAGTGAAATGAGTAGAGCTTACGTTTCGTGTGTGCTTGGTGTGGAGCTAGTGAGATGATTTAACTAATTGTTTGCCTTTTCTTGAATTCGCACAAGTTTATGTGATTAGGCCAGAGGAGTAATTTAATTAATTAATACACATCTCTTGCATGTATAATAGAAATGTGGTTGTCAGTGAGTGCTTTGGCGAAATCTAATCACCTGATTATCCAATAGCGGTTAGCGATTCAATTTCTGACCTAAAGATAAAAAAAAGTCGCTAAGAAGGCTATTAATTTCTAATTTTTGCTATTTAATTTAATTAAATGGGAACACTTTTACGTTCCGTCACACTTGACCGCCTCCGCCATGTTTGCCCGCCGAGCTGCTCGCTCGTATCGTACCGGTATATTGCGCTACCTTGGTAGTATGGCCTATTGCCCTATATAATAATCTCTTGATAAAAGTTTTTTCTTCAGGTGGGAGCTGTAATGATTGTTTACGCACTTTTCAGCGGCTTTATGTCAGCATTCACGCCAAGAATAATCTCCAAATTCGGTGGAAATATTGTAATGTGTATCGCAAGCGTGATAGACTTGTCAAACTTTATATTCTGTTTGCTGTGGAGGCCACAAGATGATACAAAGTACCTTGTTTACTTGGTTGGTGTTATTTGTGGCCTAACTGATGGAACGTGGACGAACTGCAGCATAGGTATGCATTTCTTTGATATCAAATATGTTGCTTATTGTCAATGATAGAACGACAAGCAATTATTTAAACTTTTTTATTTTGTAAAATAAAAACTAATCATTTCAATATTTATACAGATATTTACACGGAATATTTTACGCATAATCCAGAAATTTCTTTCACAATCTGGAATTTTTGGATAACGCTTGGAATAGCGGTTGCATACTTATGGGGTCCCTACTTATGTGTCAGTGTAAAACTTTACATTCAAATCGGACTTCTTATATTTGGTATATTGTGCTATGGTAAGTTTGGTATTTCACTGACTGATGTTTTACGACCTCGCGCGCACACGTAGCCTGACTAACGTCGTTACGGCGGTGCATCGCACTTCGAAGGATCTTCGTTATATCCACTGAATAATTTCTTTTCAATCAAACATCAAGGGTTCCGCAATGAATGCCCGAAAAAATGGGCCTTGATCTTCCCACTCTTCGTTAGTATACTGTATATGTCTCCTTTGTATTATGGGCTCAGGTCCTCTCAGCTTAATTAGTTAATGTGATCATTTTATTTTTATTATCCAACGACCCTCCCAACACACAAAACTGGCTTCGTTGAAGTAAACTCATTGGAACTGACTATGCATTACTTCATTTAAATCCATTTTCAGGTCTTGCAATATCATGACAAGTGCTTTTTAAATAAACCACAATTTTTTTCTTGTTCAGTGGGAGCGGAGTATATCCACTATAAAGAAAAGAAACTTGTTGAAAAAAGGGAAGAAGAATCAACATTCAATCACTACTAACAATCAATACAGCTAAAACTTAGTATTGAAATTCTGTTGCAGTCGTCACATAAACATTTGAAACAAATATCCCGAAACTACAAAAACAAAGCTAACTGATATCCTCGTCAGAAACCAGCAAAATATTGACAAAAAAAAACAATTATAAATTTTCCAAAGAAGTCTATGATTGCCTGTTTATGCTTTATGCCATGATATTCACTTAAATTGCTTTTAGTTAACTTTAATAAATATCGTGTCTCAAACTTCCTGTTGTCCCACACTTATGCGCCCCTTACTCGTACCCCACTCGTGTTTAAATAATGCCTTCCCGGGTGGGGGAAGGTTGCGCAAGGGGGATACGTTGTATAAATGTGGAACGACTGTAGACTAATGAGAGAGACGGGCAGAAATGTGACAAGTGGTAGGCAAGGGCAAAAGTAAAATTATGAAATGATACCGTTCCGACAACGAGGTTTACGTATTTTTCTAAAGCTCCAATTACACCAAAACAACAAACCGTAGGTCATGAATGTAAAAAATTTGGTCAATAACTGCAAATCTGCAATCCAATAACATGGATGCAATTGAAACAATTTAAAAGCAAATACGCATTTTTCGGAATGCGCTAATTAAGTAATTAACAATGTTAGTCATTAGATCTCTGCATCCATTATTTAAGTAACGCAATTTTATATACCGGTATGCATATAAAGACAGCAGAAACAATTTATTTTGCAAGATTGCTAGGACTAAGCTAGTTACGAATAGATTTGGCAGTTAGATGAATAGTGAGCAATTAATGATTCGCACCAGATCTTATTTGGATGAATAATCGCTTGATGATATACTGATTATACTTAATCATAGGGAAAGCATAATCCTTACAAGTTTCTGATTAAAAGGACAAGTGTGTCCACAGTTCATCCGCCGTCTAACTAAAGGTATCTGTATCTAATACCCATTAGCTGGGTAGCTTCCCGTTTCCAGGTCGATATAGGCCCACTGATAGTTAGTTTTATAAGTCGTTTTTCTTCATAACAATAAAAAGAATCGATTGTTCAAATATGTTAATAATAATACAATGACGTGAATACGGTGATTTCCACTTGTGGAAAATGTCTTTATTGTGCAGCTTATTACGAAACGATCATGAAACATCTGTATAGTTTCTTATTCCCTAAATTTAGACGGGATTCGCCATAAATTAATCTATATTGGGAATATACATACTGTTAAATTTAGAATTGCGTATACATTGTAATTTTTTAATGGTTCAGATTGCGTGCTAACTAATATTGAGAAAATTGGGTATTAAATCACTCACGCGTTGATTTACGAGAATATAATGGCCAGAACGACGTTGGTAGATATGAACCAATACCAGACTTGAAACGATAGAATTTACCTGACTGGTAAACGGTTAGTCGCATGGAAGTTCATGCATAGAAATTTGTTAACAAGCAATAACAAAGGGTATTTTAACTGCTCCTATTAAGTGTGCATTTGATCTACCCTGGATAAAACTGTAGCAGAGATAATATTAACATTGAAGTGTGGTCAGAAGTATCTGCAAGGTTTAATCACACACGAGACTTCCTGCAACGTTTGTTACAAGAATGACGTCTTTCGAATCATATTCTTAAATAATGATGGTCATCGTTAGGTCAGGAAGTCTTTGAATTACAGCAGTAAATGCAAGATGTGCTGTCTTACAAATTTTTTAAATTGCAAAAGGGATTTTATCGATACCATATATTGCTTTGTCTTTCACAGATGCATTAAAATGATTGAATGAAGTAAAAATACGTAAACAATTACTGATTACGTAACAACAAACCTGGTTAAGATACGAGTATATTGAGAACTGACTTCATAACAAAATTGATGTCGTAAAGGGACTTGGAAATAAGACAAATTCAAATAATATAAACATCGTGGAGTGTGTTAAGAAGTACTCGCAAGGTTTAATGACGCACGAGACTTTCTGCAACGTTTGCTATAAGAATGACGTCTTTTGATTCATATTCTCAAACAATGATGAGCATCCTAGGTCACAAGTAGTCTTTGGATTACAGCTGAAAACGCGAGATGTGCTGTCTTTTCAAATTTCTTCAATGTCTTCTTCTCTATTACAATGTCGCAATTTTGGGTAAGTTGAATATATACACCGGAGACAGAAATTTACATGGATGTCCTATACGAGTTGTTAACATCAGGGCTGGGGAGCTAGTTAGACATCACAATGTCTGCACTTACGGGGACTTGGTATATTCAACCTAAGTCTTCATATCTAGCCTTTCATATTTGTGCTTGGGTTCCGGATCCTTGGCCATTGATGTTGATGACCATAAAACTTTAGCCCGAATTTTAAAATTTTTCTTTGGAGTTTATATATCCAAATTCAACTTCGAACTTGAAACTTAAAATAAAATCAGAAATCAAGCTAAAAAAAATGGAGCTGAAAAGGAAAGAGTGATTCAAATGTATAAGGTAAACAATTAGATAGTTAGGAGATGGAGCCACTGAAATTTCTGGTAGCTCAGGCCTAATCTATTTTGTTAACCCTGGCTTCAGCTCAGTCAAAATGTCACGTTTCCCCGACTCCCCAGTCATGGTAAATACAAAATAATAATGGAAAATTTCAATTGTGACATTTGTACCATTTTAAAAATTGAACAATCAAAAAATGAAGCAAAATATTCCGTGGTGATTTGACTCCCTTGGTTAAATAATTCGTATGGTATATTACTCAGAACGGGGATGACGAGTTTACTCCTTTCTTACTATGTACACATTTCTAGATTGTCATCATTTGTTTTACCTTTAAGCAAGTTTTATTTTGATAATTTCATTTCTTATTCATCATTGGACGAACTAAAATCGTTCAGTCGAATAGTTGTTTTTTATTTTTTGTATTTTTCACAGTAAATTCTCTAAATATACGAAGGCTTCGTCCAGGTTGTCGAATTGAAGATGGCTATCACAGATGTTCTTTAACTGGACAATGTCAAAAACGAGATGGTGTTTTCGATGATAGATGCGAGAAGGGTCAGTATCAACTTGTAATTTTATTCGAAAAAAACAAGCAAATATTTAAAAAAAAATTTACTGATAGGAATCGGCACTCTGCGTTATAGATCTTTCTACCGACGTAACTTTTATGTATTTTTAGGAATTATCAGTATGCTCACACATCTTGTCAATATAATGACAATATATTTTTTCTTTGGGTAACTTGTTCCTTGGGACCAAGTGTAATCAGTTACTAAAAGTAACCTATTCAGGAGGGTTAAAAATAACTATCCTTTCCTTGGAACCATTCAGTTTGACCAGTTACTTTGAATTTCACGTATGGTTAGACTTGACATGCTCTTTATCGTCCACGCTCAATGCAGGAAATTAGATATTGTTAAATAAATATTGACCTGCTCAATGTGTATGACTCCGAGCGTACATTTTGCCAATAGGTGGGATAAAGAGGAAGAGGTTTTAGCGTAGGATAAATTTTCGTTGACATATCAATAACTAAGCAATATTACTAGTCCAACCTTTCTCCACATATTAAGTAATTAATATTCTGCATACATTGACAACCAATTCAAATGGAACACTTTTGTTCATTGTCTGTACTAAGGAAACCATTTGTTGCGAAATGCCAGCACTACGAAACTGTGCACAATTGAATGATAAACTGTAACATAAACACCATTTAACAATAAATTTTATCACAGAAAGGGTGAATTGTACGGATGATGAATTTACATGCCGTGGAATCAATAGATGTATACCAAGAATGTTACTGGGAACAAAGAATGGTTGTCTTTTGGGAAAGAAAGGAGTCATCACTCTTCCATGCAGGCCCGATGGTAAAATACATCAATATTGAACAATTACAGCAGTATATATGTTTTTACTATTGTTACAAAGCGTCAATTAAATTGAATGAATATTCATTGGCAACGAAGTGAATATGTGTTTTCTCTAATGTATACTACACTGTTCTCACGTATAAAAGATTCAACGTAGGTCACATTTTTCTCCAGTGTCTTTGGTAGCACTCACTGAAAAATACACGACGTCACACAAATCTTTTGTCACCTTGTGGGACAAGCAAACCTATGGATAATTTTGCTCAATCTTTAGCTTTGTTCTGCCTTTTGTAAAAATATCGATTTTTATTTCTCACCTAATGGGCAATCGATTTTGCTGTAAAGCTATTACTTTTATTTTAACAATATTTTATCTGAGTTATACGGGTCCCAATATTTACCCACAAACTTTACTGATTTTGAAAAATTCACGATAAACCTTCATTATGATATTCGGTGGATTTATTTTCGCGATTCATCAAGTGGAATTACGCTTGCATCGCAGAGGCCGTGTACGTCATTTGAACTATTTCGTCTATTTGTTTCAACTCGCTCGGTAGTTGTGGATTGGCCTGGTGAAATTAGTAAACAATCTCAAAATAGCTTAAACGTCGAAGAATAAAATTAATCTAGTAGTGCATAGTTCTCTGCTTCTAATATTATCGGATCGACCTACCTAACAGAACGTGGTTCACCTGCTAATACAAATAGGGCCGACTTATACTATTGCTAGGACCACACCAATAGGGAATGCGCGATTTGCGGGGCCCATCCTGGACACAAATAAAAATAATACGCAAAAAATTGAGATTTTGTGACTAAAAATTAATCATAGTTTATTTTTCATCACCTCTTATCCAAGTATAAAATCACGGTTAAAATTAACGTTTATAATATGAGAATTTGCTTCTAAACAAGGATGTATAATATAGATTCTAAATCACCATACGGTCGTTTTAATATATATATATATTTATATATTGTATTCAGAATTTACATGCCGATACAGCAGGCTATGCCTGCCAAGGTGGGCAGTGATGGACGGTAACGTAAATTGCAAAACTGCCGAAGTTGATGATGACAGTGACGAAATGGCATTTCTCCATTCTTGCAGTGACAGTGAATTCAACTGCACTAACGGAAGATGCATTCCCAGAGAATGGGTTTTTGATAAAAATGACGATTGCAAAAATGGTGAAGATGAAATTCAACCTTCCAGATATTGCAACAACGCTGAAGAGTTTCGGTGTGACAACGGACAATGTTTAAAAAGATATCGTGTGAATGACGGCCATCCAGATTGCGAAAATGGTGCTGATGAAAGAAAACAATTGGCGGAATGCATAACTACGACAGAGTTTCGTTGCAATGATAGCGGAAGATGTATTCCGCGCAATTGGGTTGGGGACGGAGTCAAAAATTGTAAAGATAGCAGCGATGAAGTGATATTTTGGAATCAAACTTGCTCAACAAAAGAATTCTCTTGTCACAACGGGCGTCGATGTATTTTGTCTAAATATTTATGTGATGGGATGGATCATTGTGGAGATTGTAGCGATGAAATAGAAGGATGCAAAGAAGCGCGTATGGTTAGGTGTCCTCTCGACTTATCAATTTGCATACCACAGTCTTACGCCTGCGATGGATTCCAAGATTGTCCAAAAGGAATCGACAACCCACAATACATGCCTGGTTTTAAGTGTAAAAAGACTGTCTTAGCAACAGAAGAAGAAATGTGTAATATTCCTCAATGGACATTACATGATAATCACACTATGTGCGAAGACAAATCAGACTTATGTTTCAAGAATAATTCATTTAATTGCGCTCGTTGTGTATCTGACAACAAAATAATAGCGAAACGTCAAATGTGTGATGGCGTCATTGATTGTACAGATTTATCAGATGAATGCCTTTGTAATTCGAACCGAAATAACGTCGAGTTGATGAAATTGTGCAATTCGATTTGTTATCATTCTAACAAATGTGGTGATCTTAACAACTGCCGAGCCGGAGAGTTGTATTGTGATACGAGCAAAAAATGTTTGAGCCTTTCAAAGGTGTGTGATGGTGTTGTGGACTGTCCAATATCAGCGATTGACGAGAAACCATGCATTCAGCCTGACAAGGATGTTGTTGCAATACGGAACACGACTGATTTTGATTGTTGGAAAGTTTCAGATATTATTTTGGAAATAGCACAAACTACAAATCTTATGGAATTTTTCAACAATATATATTCAACGCGCGGTAAAAAGTATGTGAATTTCCTAAAATTCCAAAAGCGAAAATTATCCGATATCCAAATTCAGGGATTTATTAGAAAAATAATATTAATGGCTCATTGCTAGTATAATTATTATATCATTGATTCGATAATTTTTGTGGGTCCATTGCTGGACTTGTTATGATTTGTTGGACACGAAATGTACCTGGTTGGATCGGTTTTCTTACTTGATTTTGTTGTTTTTGTATTGGAAAATTACTTTTCTCCGCATTTAACAAACCAATTGATCACAATTTTTCAGTACATAAATATGAAAGTAGTCACCAGAAGGCTATTGATAATTTGTCCCAGAATCCTACAGGGTCTTATAATTCATCATAAATTTAACTGTTTTTTTTTTCTCACGAAGACAAGTACAATTCCTCTCCCAACTCGTATGACATTTGGTAGAATTCTCACAACACTTTGCTGACATTGCGGTGGTTTAGTTATTTCGCTATTTTGTTCATATATCTGAGTATTGCTTTTTTATTTTCGTGTTACAAGGTGTGACGGTGTAATCGACTGTGCTCGCTTCGAAGATGAATGCAATGCGGAATGTTATCTGCCAGAATGCGATAAATTCAAACTGCTAGAAATAACGTTGAATGAATTTATTTTTGGAGGAGTAGTAGAAAAAGTCCGAGCGTAAGTGACGATTTTGATATCTCGTACTCTCTTCGAAATGTTTGCTAGCTTACAATATTATTTCAATGCGATAAACCAAAATGTCCCTCCAAATCTTTAGCATTGTTTTCGACAGATGCAGTGATTATGTGACGGAATTTGGTTACGATTATACAAATTTTGTCCTCGGACAATCAATATGCAATGGAATCAAAGATTGTACAGACGGTGCCGATGAACAGAATTGCACAGATTTTTTTAAATGCAACGCTGGTACAGTAGAATCACCACTGGGCACAAGACAGGTTGATTTCTCATTAAAACATTTACAGATGTATTTAGTTACAAACCTTTTAATATCTATGATACAAGTCGTGTAAATGGTGTAACTGAAAGTAGTATGTATCCGACAAGTAGGAAACGGCATTTTAGTGGCACCGTAGTGAGTTCACTCGAGCTTGTTTCTCCAATATAAATCCATTTAATGAATTTGAACGAAAATACCTGTTCATAAATATGAGTTACCTGGTGATATTCCCAAATTAGTGCAACTTACTTTTGTTGATTTTGAATCCACATTTTTTCCATTTATTAGCGCGTTGCCGTAGAAAAAGACAAAGTATGTGATTTACAATCAGACTGCCTGGATCAATCGGATGAAAAAGACTGCAATGATTCGACTCATTTTTATTGCAAAAGCGGAAGCCCTCTCTTTGTTCCATTCTCATCAGTAATGAACGGCAAACAAGACTGCGAAGACAACACCGACGAATGTCCAGACAACTGGAATGACCTAAACCCGTTATCTTCGCCAGAAGAAATGATTAGACTTTCGTTTCTCCGTTATTTCATCTGGTTTATGTCATGTATCGCAATTCTAGGAAACCTCGCCGTTATTATAGAAACTTGTTACTCTGAATTTGGCTCACAGTCTAGTGCGCAAAGCCCAATGAGTCGATGTAACAGAATACTGATAATAAACCTGGCGATATCTGATTTCCTCATGGGGGTCACCTTGCTTATAATTGGAATTAAGTCAGCTTCAATGTCCGGAGAATACTGTTTAAAGGACAAACAATGGAGAATCAGTGGTTCTTGTAACGCAATCGGAGTTATGACAGTATTATCCAGTGAAACATCCGTGTTTTCTCTGGTTGTCTTGACCATGTATCGCTTTTATGGGATTCATCGACCGTTTCAAAGCAGGAATGTAAAACCAAAATGGGCTATTGTTGCAGTGATTATAACGTGGACTTTGTCCTTTATTCTAGCTGCGTTGCCTCTGATTCCTTCAATTAATCAAACTATGGTACCAGAAGCACTCACACAGCCATCAATGTACTTGGAAAACACTGTTGTATCATGGGATGACTACAGAATGTTTGCAGAACGAATTGCTGTTCTTGGACGCCGTGTAAATAAAATATCAACAAACTTTGAAACTTGGAAGAATGCACGTAATATGTTGGAAAGTATTTACAAGGACTTCGCTCCGAGTGTACTCGGTTACTTCGGCTTCTACAGCGCCGATGGAGTCTGTATTCCAAGATTATTCAGAATAAGCGGAAGACCGTCTCTCCACGCGTTGTCTTTGTTTATAATAGGTCTGAATTTTTGTATCCTGCTGTTTATCATCATTGCTTATTGTAAAATATACCATAAGTCAACGCATAGAAAAGTCAAGGGCAGTGCAACAAAGCACGATAACCGGAGTAGAGTAATGCAGAGAAAAATCACAATTCTAATTGCGACGGATCTGTGCTGTTGGCTTCCGATTTGCGTCATGTCTATAGCAAGTCAAGTTGGAACGAACTTCTCGGGAGACGCATATGCCGTTGCTGCGATTCTTCTGTTACCAATCAACAGTTCACTAAATCCTATTATATACTCAAGTGGTTTTGCCGTTGCCCGAGAAGCTCTTTCTCACAAAACTGTAGCAATTCAAGCTTCTATCAGACGCCGTATAACGTGAAAGCCTGATCCGGAATTCGAGCAAAATAACATCACAATGCATGATAGTGGGAAAACAGGCGTGCAAACGCTGTCTCCAACATCAGTACTCAATTCGTAGACGCCATCCAACCCAACGTCTCTACAGTTAGAGGACACGAAAAGAACTCAATAAATTGATTGATTTGCTAAGTTATCGGAATCATTGGACACGTAGTGGATATAACGATCGTTTCAATATTATGTTGTTCTTGTTCTTGTTGTTCTTGTTGTTTGACACAGAATAATACACCTAATGGAAATATTAAAAAACCGCTTTTCTCTTCGAATATTGGACCAATTGCTTTGAAATTTTCAGTGGTTAAAGATAAATTTTTTCCCCAGAAGGCTATTACTTTTGTTCTTTTTAAATATTTTTGTTAGCTCTGTGAGATTTGTTTTTGTTTGCTATGACGTCATTAAAAGTTCTGCGGACATCGGACGCCATTTTGTGTCCTACTGTACTGCTTCGCTTGATGTGAATATATTTGTAGACTGTGATCTGACGGTACGGTAAACCGTAGGCCTACTGTACTGCGAACAGACGTGTCCATATATTTGGGCGTAGCTCTCTTGTTGTTGTAAATAATCACTTTTCTCCGGCTGGGCCAGTATAGGAGAACTGCATTTTATCTTAAGTAATGTCATTTATATGTGTTTGTTCGAAATACAAATTGTGGGTATAATACCATCGTAACTGCACTAACTTGCACTTTTTGTAGTCTTTTTGATCGTTCATTAGATATACGTCATCTGGCTTCATCAATCGACGCAACTATAAATACGGTACCCTTTTCGTTCTAAATAATTGAACTTGCGCTAATTTGTTTATTTATATATATTTTCTTTCATCATCCTTTTAGATTAGAGTTGACGTCATGATAATTTTTTCATATTTTTCCTTTTTTCTTGCTCTATATATATCCACTTGTGTCCTTTCCATATCATGCCTTGATAAAGTTTTTCTAGAATTTCTGTATAGAAATTCGAAACGTCGGCAAATCACATCGTTTTGCTAACACTGGTTGTGCTTCATTTATTATCAACATGAGTATTTTTCGACAAAAAAAAATACCACTGAATACTGACTAATACTTCTCATGCATAATGCATTTTATCTGATGCACTACAGTTCTGCAGTGTTTGCATACTAGACTATATCTACACTGAATCTCGATAAATCACACAATCTGAATTGCCCTGTATATTCTGAAACATCAACTGTCAGCCTACCACTTGATACACGATCTCCCTAACCTCTCAATCGCTTCATTTCTTTCAACTCTTGCATACCTTATCATTGCTGCCCAGGTTCTTGTTGACTCTGTGAATTTAGAGTAGACCAACTGACATCAGTAAAATTGGTTACTTTCCACTCTTTCACACAAACGTGCATTGCACAAACGGTCATTATTTTCTGATCAAACATGCTGTAGGCGTAGCCTTCATAGTAGTATAAATCTGCTGAATAGTCAAGAATCGTCATTAAATTAATTATAAACTTTCCATACAAGCATGAAAATATCGTTGTTTGTGACACATCTTTCTAAGTCTAGTTTTCCTTGGAATTACCATACCGTACCTATTTAACAACGTTTTATGAGCTAGTGCTCACTTGAAATTGCTATTACCTAATAATAACTGAGAAAGACTATGGAAAGGTTACTCAACTCAACGCAAAAGCGAGCAGTACATCTGAGATTCATCCGACCACAGGAATCCACTACAGCAGATCAAGGTCTTATTGTTACGTCATGCAGAAGTCTGCCTTCATTGGCCACTGTTATCGGAAAAGCAGAGAATAGAGAACAGATAGTAAACACATATGTCTTGTAGTTGGAGCGTCTTTTTCGTAAAACGTGCAACTTTTGGAAACGAGAACAAAGTATTATTTGTTACTAATTTTCTAAGGAGCGTTTTAAAATCATTTCAGGTAGTTCCCTTATGTATGCTAAGAAACTGAAATATAAACAACCTCGTCTCGCGGCCCACAGGTGCTATTCGATATTTCGTTAAGACATATTATGCTTTATTTCTATGAAGTACATAATATATAATCTCTAATTTTTCTGTAATATTTTTACAGAAATATAGTTATTACTGAGTGGAATTGAAACCACACCTCCGATTCAACTCACTGCCTTACAGAGGGGGTGGCCAACACGTCGATCGACCGACCGACCGGCGATTTCATTGAGAATGCGCCCAAGGAACCGAGCGCATTGGCATCGGCGGAAATTTTGAATACGCGTGTGCAGTTATCTACATATTCAGTACTCATTTTTGCATGACCTAATTACCGTTGCGATAAGTCGATCGCGATATATTTTGACGATTTTAGTCGATCGCGGTAGCAAGTAGGTTGGCCACCCCTGTTATACAAAAACCGCTATCCAAACATTACGTTGCATTATTAGCAAAGTAAACTATTATACAGCGAACACAGCGACATAAAGCAAATATCGTTTGGCAGATAGGGACTTAGCATGAATTTACTGAGCAAAACAGTTTGTGACTGGTCAGGTTCAGCGTGTGAAGACTAAACGATAATTGTGTATCTTGTGTAACTAAGTGCTATCTAAGATACGCTTGGACATTTGAAGAACCATAAGCTAAGCTGGCCATGTATCGCTCTCAGGTTCACTACTAATATAGGTTTATTTCAATGTTGAAATCATACTCTGACGTATGTGAGCGAAGTTACTCTCTCATTCGGAAGGTGCATGGCGCTGTATCGATAGGATAATAAAATAGGTCGAAATATCGGGTACCTTTGAACGTCTATAACTTTTTAACAATTATGGGTTGCGTATTGACGGGTATTTTTTATGTCCCCCAAATGTTATTTACAGTTATCTCTATGTTAGAATAATATTATATAATATCAAACAAGTGTAATCAATATTCTTTGTTAATGCCATATATTTATCGCTCTTAATAGCCCCATGTGAGAATAATTGCTCAGAGAAGCCCAAATAGAAACTCTATATATATTTATTTTTTGATTCATTTCTACATGTTAACAACAATGCCCCCACGTTAGCAGTTAGAATATGGAATTGTCGCCACCTGTAGAAATGACGCCATTAGAAAATAATGGCAAACCGAAAGAACATAAGGGAGAAGACATACCATATGATAGGAAACATAAAAAGCATGGGACAAGAAAGACCGCTAAGCAGTTTTGGATATTCAATATATGTTTTTTGCTGGCTTTTGCGCCATACCTCTCGATTACGGGCTTACAAAGCAGTATTAACATCGAGGAAGGCATTGGTAATGTTTAATAATGTCACATAATTTTAGAGCATTCACCTTAACATCAAATCTGTTGTTCTATATTGCAGGAACACTTTCCTTGGGAGTCGCTTATGTATCGTCAATTTTTGTTGCTATATTTATAACTCCCATTGCTATCAGAAGGTGAGCATGGTTGTATGTTTGATGCAACGGTTAACTGAATGCATTTATTGCTATATTGAATTGAATGCCTTTCGTTCAGATTAGGATCACACCGTGCAATTGTTATTGGAGAATTGGGATATTTGATTTACATTTTAGCTAACTTTTACCCCAGTAAGTATTCTCAACCAAGTCCATATATATATGCCTATTTGGTTACATTTGCTTCTTTCTGTCGTATTCTTATTTTTAGAATCTTATATCATGATGATTGCCGGCGCTCTAGTTGGGTGTGGTGAGGCCTTGGTGTGGACGGCATTACCTATGTATTTTTGGCATTTCGGGTATCAACATGGGGAGTTTGGAACGAAACCATTTGAATCATATGTTTTGAAATATAATGGCCTATTTTACGTGATGTTTCAATTGGGTCAGGTAAGTGTGATTCATTCATAAGAGAATATCGAATTCAAAATTTTCAAATCAACAAATTTGTGTATGGGTTGGCAGATTTTTGGCAGTTCCGTCAGCTATGGCGTATTATATGGATTCAAAGATAAAACAAAAGAAATATCTACATCGTACAATTCATCCACAGATCTTTTACAAGAAAACGAAACGGACTTGAAACCTCACCTTCAATATCAATACTGTGGAGCAAACGATTGTCAAAGTTCCAATGTTATCAGCGAAAACATTGATAGCTACGTTCCATCCGACCCATACTCACTGTATATCCTAATTTCTATATTTTGTGCAATGTCTCTCAGTGGAATTTGCCTTCATTTTAAATTTCTTCCGAGAGCGAAGTCAAAGCCACTAGAAGTTGAATCTAATGATCAAGACTTGTACGAAAAAAAAATTACTGACGATGCAAGTGAAATCAATATCCAGGTAGACGAGCAAATTGCTATTTACAATTGTAGACTGAATTATATTATATTATAGTCGATCAACGAAAAAAAACATAATAATTTCTCTAATTGTATGACGTATCTACAATGCTACTTATTTTTGTTAAAAGATTCTTAAAACAAGTAGTCAATTGATCCAATCTTAAATTGGGATTAAAAGTTTATATTGTTAAGTTGCGAGTAGAGACAATTGACATCTATATCTAGGTTGATGATATATACCCAAACTTGGGCATTTATTGAAAAATGAAACACATTGACATTCGAGGGTTATAAAATGTTCGAACTAGACTACCGAATTAGGTACCATAAGTTGAGTTTAGCTGGAAAATTTGCGCTAGACACCGTAGAAGTGACAAATCTTACCGATAATTTAAATCTTTGTAGCGTTTAAATTCCTAACATTTTCTAATTTGCAGCCTTTCTCGTATGTATCCACTCTTAAGCATACATACAAGCAATTTTTCAACCCAAAACAATTGTTGGTGTCACCTTTTCTGTTTTACAGTGGAATATGCGTGGCTTTCATATACGGTGAAATGAATCGAGCTTACGTTTCGTGTGTGCTTGGGGTTGAGCAAGTGAGATAATTTAACTAATTGTTTGCCGTTTCTTGAATTCGTACAAGTTTAGGTGATTGAGCCAGAGGAATAATTTTAGAAATTCATACACATGTCTCGAATCTCTAATAGAAATGTCCTTGCCAGTGAGTGCCTTGGCGACATCTAATCAACTTATTATCCAATAGCTAGCTTTTCATCTAAGCGATATCTTGATGTCTATGTATTTAGTAGTATATATAATAAGCGCTTGTTAGTAAAATATAGTAACACATAGGCTACCTCTTCATAATGAATGAAAGTTTTTTTTATTTAGGTGGGAGCTGTAATGATTGTTTACGCATTTGTCAGCGGCTTTATGTCAGCATCATCGCCAAGATTAATCTCCAAATACGGTAGAAATATTGTAATGAGTATCGCATGCTTGATAGACATGTCAAACTTTATATTCTGTTTGCTGTGGAGGCCACAGGATGATACAAAGTACCTTGTCTACTTGGTTTGCGTCTTTTGTGGCCTTTCCAATGGAACGTGGAAGAATTGCTGCATGGGTATGCATTACTGTATAATGTTAAAGATGTTGTCAATGATAAAAATTGAAATGTTTCAATTTTTGTAAAATAATCAAAATGTTCACAAATGAGCCCCGCGCTAAAACCCATCACTCCTGTATTTTTACAGATTTTTACACTCAATATTTTCCGCATAATCAAGAAATTTCTTTCACAATCTGGAATTTTTGGATAACGCTTGGAATAGCCGTTGCATACTTATGGAGTCCCCACTTATGTGTCAGTGTAAAACTTTACATTGAAATCGGACTTCTTATATTCGCTATAATGTTCTATGGTAAGTAAGTATTTCACTGACTGATATTTCACGACGGCAAAGAGTCCAGCAATCCTCTCGCACATAATTAACAAAATTTATGATATCATTTGCCAAGCAATCCGATGCAACAACTGGAGCTAGTTTTGGCTCATCATGGAATATTGCTCGAAACACCCATACTCTGACTGTGATTTTGTGAAAAAAAGATTGTTGATGTTGTCGCAGTTTCGGATCCCAACAACACAAAGCGAGTAATAGCCCAAATGCCGATTTCGCGTCGCGCTACACAAATGCGCATCTCCCAAATTAGTACCAATGTAACCGTTACAATGCGAATGATTTAATGAGCTCCAATATTAATATTTCAAAATTATGCGGCTCTCACATATTTGTGACTTGCTTCATCCGGCTCTTAAACCGAAATATTTTGCCCACCCTTGTTATACCGTATACGTCAACTTGATAAGTTAGTGTGATCATATCTTTTTATTATTCAACGACCCCCCACCACACAAAACTGGCCTCGTTTAAGTAAACTTTTTGGAACTGACTGACTTTTCAGGTCTCGCAATATCATAATAAATGCTTTGTAAACGAATCACAATTTCTTTTTCTTGTTTAGTGGGAGCGGAGTATATCCATCATAAAGAGAAGAAACTTGTTGAAAAAAAGAAGAATAATCAACATTCAATCACTGCTAACAATAAAAACAGCTAAAAATTAGTATTGAAATTTTGTTGCAGTCGTCACATAAACATTTAAAACAAATATCCCGAAGCCGCAAAAACAAAGCTTAAACACTATACCCTCTTCAGAAACCAGAAAAATATTGACAATTGGGATAGGCTACGTTGTATAAATGTGGGGAGACTGTAGACTAATAAGAGCAGGGCAGATTTTGGAAATGTGTTAAGTTGTAGGCAAGATTAAAAGTAAAATTAAAAGATGACACCGTTCCGACATAGAGGTTTAAGTATTTTTCTAAAGCTACAATTACAACAAAACAACATACCGTAGGTAGTAAATATAAAAAATTTGGTCAAATACTGCAAGTCTGCAATTCAAAATAATATGAAGTGAATTGAAACAACTTAAAAGCAAATAGGTACGCATTTTCATGACTGCGCTAAATGATAGAACTAAACTTTGTTAGAGGCATGGCTGTGGAGTCGGGGGTGGAATTGGATATCTATCTGGGTTGGGAACATTTGTACCTATATTTATTGATTCCAAAAATTGCTAAAGCCAATGATATAATAATAAATTAGTACTACTTTGAAGAATATTCAAGAATACATATCGGGTCTACCGGCACTTACACACTGCGCCTTTTAATGCTGACAAAATTAGGTAGCTAGCGTCATATACTAATTTCAAACTATTCCAAACTTGCTAATAATAATCGCCACCGCGTTAGTGAGCAAGCGTGCTATGTGCGACTCATCTGCTAATGGTTAGATTAATTTATATATATCCAAAGTCTACGTGAAATGTTTGTGTCATTGAAATAAATAATGGTACAAATGCCAAAATATGCATTCTTGATTTGTGGGGTTTTAGTTTTATTTAACTCAAGTGAGGTGCAACCTACAAAAACCAAACCGTCATGATTCTTCCGAAAACATGTCCTTTCTGCAAATCTTTCGAACTGAATATTTTTATGCATGTAAAATGAAATACGTACGTTTAAGAAAAGGCATTATTACATCACCTCTGTTTTATTCGGCAGTAGTCGAGGGACCATTATTCTGCGACGCCAAGCAAAATATCCTCAGCGCAAAACTATCGGAGGGAATAGCTCTGACCCAACCTGTTGTTTCTTAACTCTAACTATTAGCCGCTTGCGTCATTGCAGATGCAGACTTACTTGCAGGGACACTTTATTACCTAGGGGTTAGTGGTTTGCCATCCATGCACTAGCTATAGTGTTTACAAACATAGACTGTTGAAAATGAAATATAAGTTTACTGTTTTATTATTCATAAATTTATTATACAGGAACGATAGCGCTATTCAAACATTACGTTGTATTATTAGCAAAGCAAACTATTATGAAGCAAGCACTTCGACATGAAGCAGATAAACATTGGCAGATCGGGACTTGTCGGGAATTGTAGACTTAGTATGGATTTGATGAGCAAAAATCCTAACAGATTGTGTTTGGTCAGGTTCAGCGTATTAGGACTTATATTTATAAGTTGATAATTGTGTAAAGTACTTCCTATGATAAGCTTGGAGATTTAAGGAACCATTAGCTAAGCTGGTCATGGATCGCTCTCAGGTTCACTACTAATATATATATAAGTTCATTTCGACATTACAATCATACTCTGACGTATGTGAGCAAAGTTACTCTCTCATCCGGAAGGTCTGTGGCGCCCTATAAAATAAGTCGAAATATTGGTTAGTTTCAACATCTATAACTTTTAACAGTTATGTGTAGCGTATTGAAGGATCTTTTTAAACGAAATAAAATTTCATCGCGCAGTCAGAAAAAAATGTTACATTTGAAACAAATTTTGTCCAAAATTGCGAAATTGATTTTAATCCAACTATATTTATTTCTGTTTGTTAGTGAGTCATGACTCAAAATCTTCTGTTTTTTTATGTGAAAAATATATCAGGTGATCGGTGATCGAGGATGATCAGGTGACTGGTGATCGATAAGCGGTCGTACGCTTAGTGACGTACAGATTACGTAGCTACGTAAAGGGCGATCTCTAACGACGAAATGGCCTAAAATCTGAAAAAATGGGTATAAGAGTAAAAAACGGCTATACACGTAACTGGAATATTGCAATTTTTTGGTAATTACACGAAGAGGGAAATTTTGAAATGGTCCACAAATGTCATTTACATTTATCTTTATGTTAGAATAATATAAATAAGTGTGTTCAATGTTCTCCGTCAATGTCAAATTTTTCGATTAATTTCCACATTTTCACAGCAATGCCCCCACGTTAGCAGTTAGAAGGTGGATTTGTCGCCAGCTGATGAAATGACGTCATTAGAAAAAAATGGCAAACCGAAAGAATATATGGAAGAAGACATAACATATAATAGGAAACACAAAAAGCATGGGACGAGGAAGACCGCTAAGCAATTTTGGATATTCAATATATGTTTTTTGCTGGCATTTGCGCCATACCTCTCAATTATGGGCTTACAAAGTAGTATCAACATCGAGGAAGGCATTGGTAATATTGAATAATATCACACCATTTTTGAAGCTTACAACTGAACATCAAATCTATTGTTCTATATTGCAGGAACACTTTCCTTGGGAGTGGCTCATGCATCGTCAATTGTTTTTGCTATATTTATAACTCCCATTGCTATCAGAAGGTGAGCATGATTGTGTGTTTGATGCAACGGTTAACTAAATGCATTTAGCCTATTGCTTTATTAAATTGAATGCTTTTCGTTCAGATTTGGATCACATCGTGCAATTGTCATTGGAGAATTAGGATATTTGATTTACATTTTGGCTAACTTTTACCCCAGTGAGTATTCTCATCCAAGTTTATCTATGCCTATTTTGTTACATTTGCTTCTTTCTACTGTATTCTTTCCTATTATTAGAATCTTATATCATGATAATTGCCGGCGCTTTAGTTGGATGTGGCGAGGCCTTGGTGTGGACGGCATTACCTATGTATTTTTGGCATTTTGGGTATCAACATGGAGAGTTTGGAACCAAACCGTTTGAATCATATGTTTTGAAATATAATGGCCTATTTTACGGGATGTTTCAATTGGGTCAGGTAAGTGTGCTTCATTCATAAGAGAATATCGAATTCAACATTTTCGATTAAACTAATTTGCGTATGTGTTGGCAGATTTTTGGCAGTTCTGTCAGCTACGGCGTATTATCTGGATTCAAAAAAAATGCACAAGGATTATCTAATTCGAACAACTCATCCGCAAATCTTTTTCAAGAAAACGAAACGGACTTGAAACCACACCTTCAATATCAATACTGTGGAGCAAACGATTGTCAAAGTCCGAATGTTACCAGCGAAAACATTGATAGCTACGTTCCAGCTGATTCGTACTCAGTGTACATCCTAATTTCTATATTTTGTGCAATGTCTCTCATTGGAATTTGCCTTCATTTTAAATTTCTTCCGAGAGCGAACACAAAGCCACTAGAAGTTGAATCTAATGACCATGACGTGTTGTACGAAAAGAAAAATACTGACGATGCAAGTAAAATCATTACCCAGGTGAACGAGCAATACTCGTTTTTAATTGTAGACTGAATTATAAAATCATACCAATTGCTCTAATAGTATGACATACCCACAATGCTACCGTCCAATATTTTTCAACAAGTAGTCTATACCTTACTAAATGTTTTATTGTCATGTAATCGATCCAAACTTAAAGTAGGATAAGTTTATATTCCCAAGTTGCGAGTAGAGACAATTGACATCTATATCTAGGTTGATGATACAACCACAGAAGGGCATTTATTAAAATAATGGAACAAATTGACATTCAAAGATAACAAAATATTTGAGCTGGACTATTGAATCAAGTACCAGTAGTTTGCACTGGATATCACAGAAGTGACAAATCTTACTGATAACTTAAATCTTTGTAATGTACAAATTTCTAACCGTTTCTAATTTGCAGAATTTCTCGTATGTATCAACTCTTAAGCATACATACAAGCAATTTTTCAACTCAAAACAATTGCTGGTGTCACCTGTTCTGTTTTACATTGGAATATTCGCTGCCTTCATATACAGTGAAATGAATAGAGCTTACGTGTCGTGTGTGCTTGGGGTCGAGCTAGTGAGATAATTTAACTAATTGTTTGCCTTTTCATGAATTCGTACAAGTTTATGTGATTGAGCCAGAGGAGTAATTTTAGAAATTCATACACTTGTCTTGAATCTCTAATAGAAATGTCCTTGTCAGTGAATGCCTTGGCGACATCTAATAAACTTATTATCCAATAGCTAGCTATTCATCTTGGCGATTCAATTTTCCGTACCGAAAGAGGAAAAAAGATCGCTAGAATACTATTAATTCTCTTCTTGCTGTTTAATTTAATATTTAATAAGTGGGAACTCTTTTTCATTTCGTCACACTTGACTGCCTCCGCCATATTTGCCCGCCGATTTTTTAAGAAAGTTGCGGTACCGTACTGGTATATCTTACCTTATCTTGGTGTCTATGTATTTGCTAGTACAGTATATATAATAAACTCTTGTTAGTATGTAATATAGTAAAACATAGGTTATCACTTTATAATGAATTGAGGTTCTTTTTTTATATTTAGGTGGGAGCTGTAATGATTGTTTACGCATTTGTCAGCGGCTTTATGTCAGCATTAACGCCAAGAATAATCTCTAAATTCGGTAGAAATATTGTAATGAGTATCGCATGCGTGATAGACTTGTTAATCTTCATATTCTGTTTGCTGTGGAGGCCACAAGATGATACAAAGTACCTTGTTTACTTGGTTGGTGTTGTGTGTGGCCTTACTGATGGAACGTGGACGAACTGCAGCATGGGTATGGATTTCTCTGATATTAAACATGCTGCGTTGCAACGTTTCAATTTTGTGTAAATAAATCGAAATGTTCACAAATGAGCTCTTGGTAAAACTAATCATTTCTATATTTTTACAGATTTTTACACGGAATATTTTCCGCATAATCAAGAAATTTCTTTCACGGTCTGGAATTTTTGGATAACGCTTGGATCAGCCGTTGCATACTTATGGAGTCCCCACTTATGCGTCAGTGTAAAACTTTACATTGACATCGGATTGCTTATATTTAGTATGATGTGCTATGGTAAGTTTGGTATTTCATTGACGTACTCCCTCAGTGTGTGTACCAGGTTAGGATTAGGCCATGATTTTATTCCGATTTTCCTTATTTTAGTTTTATTACGAGTTCGGGGACTGTCTGTGTTAGCCAAGTGAATATACCCCCTGCCCATAGTAATCAGCAGGCTTGTCGATGTGAATGGCATGGGACAGCACATATTTGTATTTGGGCCTATGGATCGTTTTGTTGATATGTTGTTGTTCTTATTGTTGCTCTTGTTGTTTGGATCTTTTAACTGAATCATGTAGCATAGATCATCTTCACAGGACCTGAAAAAGCTAGGACAGTATGCGCATCGTTACCCCGATACAGGTACTGGTAAATTACCGTGGCTGTTCAGGATACCGTATGATTTCCGGGAAATAGATGGTAGAACATTTCGGTATAAACTTAGTATCCATATACTTAGCTATCTTGTTAGTTATATAATAGTTCTAAATTTTTGAAGTTAACAAAGTCAATACATTTTGTCTTTTTGCATGTCTCTTTGTACATGTAGTCATATTTAGTTGTCGCTAAACCTAAATATATATAACAATTTTCATTGAATTGCATTCCAATGGGATGGGATAGGCATAAATTGCTATGGGATGGGACAGAAAAGCCTGGTAATCAGTCCCTTTACACAACTTGATGTAAAGTCGGCGAACAAAATTAGTTACCTCCATATTGGTATACACACTTCTGGAGCACCGGAAAATATTCGGTTTATTAACTGAAGAATTTCTTTTCAATCAAACATCAAAGCTTCCGCAATGGGTGCCCGGCAAATTTGTCCTCGATCTTTTCACTTGTCGGTAGAATATATGACCTGTTTGTTATATTGACCCAAGTCCTCCCAACTTAATTGGTTAATGTGATCCCCATTTTTCATTTAACGACCTCACCACCATACAAAACTGGCCTCGTTAAAGTAAACTCATTGGAATTGACTATGCATTACCTCATTTGAATCCACTTTTGAGATCTTGCAATACCATAATAAATGCTTATTAAACGTACAACAATTTTTTTTTCTTGTTTAGCGGGAGCGGAGTACATTCATAATAAAGAAAAGATACTTGTGCACAAAAAGAAGAATAATCAACACTCAAGCGTTACTAACAACCAACACCGCTAAAATAGCCTCAACTCTTTGTCCCTCTTTGTCAAATATGTTGTAGTTGTCACCTAAACATTTAATATTCTGAAGCCATAAAACAAATTTTAATCAATGCTAACTATGCAATCAAAAGAAACTAGCAAACTATTGACAAAATGCGGGAAAAATTGCAAATTTTCCAGAGAGGTCAATGATTAAATAGGGCCTGTTTAAAGTGTACGCTCAAACGCTTTTAGGCAACTTCAATACTCAATTTAAAAATTGGTATTATATAATCATCTCGAATTATCATGTGGTGGGAGAGGTTGCTCTTGCATGTTACTTGTCTCCTTTTATGGCAAGTGATTATTACTACTTATCGATCTCGATCGGTAAGTATTTTGATAGGTATTTGTCTGTTAGACACTTTCGTTACGCGATATTTCACGAAAGCGAGGTTGAATCTGCTCCAAATGTTGTATTTGCATTCATCATATCTCGGACTAGAATTGATTTTGAATGAATGGCCTATTGATTTTGAATGAATTATGTCGTATACTTAGCGAGTTATTGATTAATTAGTGATGTGACACGTGGTGTCGCTATTGAGTCAAAGCGAAGGATACACGCCGCTAGATCAACAAGTCGGCGGTCTCCAATCGCCATCTCGTTTATATGTTAAAGAGCGACTGACTCAATGACATGTCCATACGATCGTCTATCATAAAACATAGTTTTAATGAGCTACTTCTTCAGCTCTTGTATTTGCATGACAGCATGAGTGATTACACGGAGTACGGGTACCGATACTCCGACTAAATTAGTACCGTACTGCACAGATCTGGTGTTTCTATTTGAATTATATTACCTGTTTTCTTCGCTATTTCATCCCATCTCTTTCAATGTCCGGCCAGCACTGCACCACTGGATCGAATTAAATGGCAATGTTACCATAGCAACTAATATACTTCCATCAGTTTACACACTTTAGCAACTTTGCTTGCCTGCCCAATCGGAGAATCCCCTTAAGTTGTCTGGTGGGTTCGCTTAAAGATAGTTGCCATGCCATGTAACATTTATGGTCGTCTCATATAACCTCCACGTCAAGTGGATTCTGTTAGTGGGTTAGCTGCCAACCTCTAATATTCACCTTTTATAACTATATTCTGAAAACTTAATTTTTATCATTATAAATTTAATTAGATATTGAACCTTGGGAGTCGGTGGTCGATAACCAATCTTGGTTCCCCGCGGCTTCCCTTCCCCGGTAATATGTGTGTTTAATTTTATTTTTGATTTGTGGGGTTTTAGTTTTATTTTACTCAAGCGAGGTGCAACCTACAAAAACCAAACCGTCATGATTCTTCCGAAAACCTGTCCTCTCTGCAAAATTTTCGAACTGAATATATTGATGTATGTAAAATGAAATACGTGAGTTTAGGAAAAGGTAATAATACTTCACCTTTTTTTTTTTCGGCAGTAGTCGAGGGACCTTTATTCTGCGACGCCGAGCAAAATACCCTCGGCGCAAAACTATCGGAGGGAATAGCTTTGACCCGACCTGTTGTTATTTAGCTCTAACTATTAGCCGCTTGCGTCATTGCAGATGCAGACTTATTTGCAGGATACTTTATTACCCAGTTAGGTTAGTGGTTCGCCATCCCTGTACTAGCTATTCAGTGCTAGTGTTTACAAACATACACTGTTGAAAATAATCAAAGGTTCACTGTTTTATTATTCATAAATTCATGATACTGGAATGAACTGAAGCTATTCAAACACTACGTTGCTTTATTAGCACAGTAAACTTTTTTGCAGAGACCTAATGCAAATACACGTTGGCAGATCGGGACATGTCGGTTTAGAAATTGTAGACTTAGTATGGATTTACTGAGCAAGAATCCTAACAGATTGTGTTTGGTCAGGTTCAGCGTATAAAGACTTAACGATAATTGTGTAAAGTGCTATCTAAGATACGCTTGGATATTTAAAGAACCATAAGCTGTATCGCTCTCAGGTTTACTACTAATATAGGTTACTCTGACCTATGTGAGCGTAGTTACTCTCCGATCCGGAAGGTCCATGGCGCCGTATCGATAGGATAATAAAATAAGTCGAAATATCGGGTACCTTTAAACGTCTAGAACTTCTCAACAATTATGCGTTGCGTATTGACGAATATTATTTAACGAAAGCTAATTTTATCGCGCAGTCAGAAAAATGCTACATTTTGAAATAAATTTTGTCGAAAAGTGCAAAACTGATTTTAATTCAACTATATTTTTCTGTTTGTGAGTATATTATTTTTTGTACTGACTTACTGATTACAAAAAATTTAAAATGATGTTGTTTACAATTATCTCCATGTTAGAATAATCAACAAGTGTATTCAATGATCTTCGGTAATGTCATTTATCGTTCTTAATATCCCCATGTGAGAATAATTGCTCAGAGAAGCTCGAAGAGCAATTCCATATATATATATTTAGTTTTTTATTAATTTTAACATTTTCACAACAATGCTCTCACGTTAACAGTTAGAATATGGATTTGTCGCCAGCTGATGAAATGACGCCATTAGAAAATAATGGCAAACCAAAAGAATATAAGGAAGAAGACATACCATATAATAGGAAACACAAAAAGCATGGGACGAGGAAGACCGCTAAGCAATTTTGGATATTCAATATATGTTTTTTGCTGGCTTTTGCGCCATACCTCTCAATTGCGGGCTTGCAGAGCAGTATCAACATTGAGGAAGGCATTGGTAATGCGTGATAACATCACAAAATTTATGAAGCATTAAACTAAACATCAAATCTGTTGTTCTCTATTGCAGGAACACTTTCCTTGGGAGTGGCTTATACATCGTCAATTGTTTTTTCTATATTTATAACTCCCATCGCTATCAGAAGGTGAGCATGGTTGTATGTTTGATGCAGGTTTATTGGTTTATTGAATTAAATGCTTTTCGTTCAGATTTGGATCACACCGAGCAACTGTCATCGGCGAAATGGGATATTTGATTTACGTTTTGGCTAACTTTTACCCCAGTGAGTATCCTCAACCGAAATTATCTATGCCCATTTCATTACATTTGCTTCGTTCTCTACTGTATGTATTCTTTCTTATTATTAGAATCTTATATCATGATAATTGCCGGCGCTCTAGTTGGATGTGGTGAGGCCTTGGTGTGGACGACATTACCTATGTATTTCTGGCATTTCGGGTATCAACATGGGGAGTTTGGAACCAAACCGTTTGAATCATATGTTTTGAAATATACTGGCCTATTTTATGTGCTGTTTCAATTTGGTCAGGTAAGTGTGATTCATTCATGAGAGAATATTGAATTCAAAATTTTCGAATCAACCATATTGCGTATGTTTTGGCAGATTTTTGGCAGTTCCGTCAGCTATGGCGTATTATATGGATTCAAAAATAAAACACAAGAAATATCTACATCGTACAATTCATCCTCAGATCTTTTACAAGCAAACGAAACGGAGACGCACCTGAAACCATACATTCAGTATCAATACTGTGGAGCAAACGATTGTCAAAGTTCAAATGTTACCAGCGAAAACATCGATAGCTACGTCCCATCCGATTCGTACTCACTGTATATCCTAATTTCTATATTTTGTGCAATGTCTCTCATTGGAATTTGCCTTCATTTTAAATTTCTTCCGAGAGCGAACTCAAAGCCACAAAAAGTTGAATCTAATGATCAAGACGTGTTGTACGAAAAGAAGAATACTGACGATGAAAGTGAGATCATTTTCCAGGTAAACTAGCAATTTTTTTATTAAATGCAGACTGAATTATATTAGTCGATCCGAAGAAAAAAAAAACATACAATCTTATCCATTTTTGGTAAAACATTTTACAACAAGCAACAAGCTGGAAAATTTGCACTGGACACCGCAGAAGTGACAAATCTTACCGATAACTTAAATCATTGTAGTGTTTAGATTTCTAATCGTTTCCTATTTACAGAACACAAACTTCTCGTATGTATTAACACTGAACTGGATAATGTGATCCCCTTTTTTATTCGACAACCCCACCATCATACCAAACTGGCCTCGTTAAAGTAAACTCACTGGAACTGACTATGCATTACCTCATTTGAATCCACTCTTAAGATCTTGCAATATCATGATAAATGCTTTTTAAACGTACGACAATTTCTTTCTCTTGTTTAGCGGGAGCGGAGTATATTCATAATAAAGAGAAGAAACTTGTTTACAAAAAAGAGAATAATCAACACTCAAGCACTACTAACAACCAACACCGCTAAAATAGCTTCAACTCCTTTTTTGTCAAATATGTTGTAGTTGTCACATAATATACCAGCATCCGAAACCAGCAAACTATTGACAAAATGCGAAAAATGAATTACAAATTTTTCAAAGGGAGTCTTTGATTGCCTGTGTATGGTATACGCTGTGAAATGCTTTTACCTAATAACTTCAATATAAACCTAATTAAATCAATAAGTTTATATAATTATCGTGTCTCAAACGACCCACTTACCTGTCCCACACTTGCTCGTGTTTAAATCATGGGTCTCCGGGTGGGGGAGGTTGCACAAGTGAAATACGTTGTATAAATGTGGGACGACTGTCTAATAATAAGAGGGGAGCAGATTTTGGAAATGTGAAATGAAGTGGCAGGCAAGGGCAAAAGTACAATTATGAGACGATATCGTTCCGACAGCGCGGTTTAAGGATTTTTCTCGAGTCAATAACTGCAAGTCTACAATCCAAAAACACATGGGACAATTGAAACAATTTAAAACCAAATGACTTCAAAAATGGTTAAAGCCAATAATGAAATATTAAATTATTACCATTTATAAAGACTATTCCGGAATACATATCAGGTCTACGAGCACCTAACACTGCACCTCTGACAAAATTAGAAAGCCAACGCTATGAACCATTTTCAATTTATCCCGAACTTGCTAAAAAGAACAATCAATGGTAATAGTCGGCTCATTTTCGACTAAGTTCACCGCGGCCGCTTGCGTGCTAGCTTCATGATAGATATGCGACTCACCTGCAAACGATTCTCAATTTTTGGCGTTCTAGTGAGGTACAACTTACGAAAACCAACCCGATATGATTTTTCAAAGGGCTGTCCTGTCTTCAAATCCTTTAGTAGTAGAAAATCCTCAGGGCAAAACTATCGGAGGGAATAGCTCTTACCCAGTCGGTTGTGACTTAATACTAAACTAAACTATTAGCAGCTTGCGTCATTGCAGATGCAGACTTATTTGTAGGTTCCGCTACAAAGACGAGCAAAGTTGGAGGACAAAACCAAAATCCGATTGACTTTATTATTATCTCACAAAAACGGTTTTTCTATCAACAACCCAACAAATAAATAGCCGAACTCATGATACCGGTATTCGTGACGCAATCATATGTCTACGCCTCGGACATGCTAATTTTCCAAACATTCAAATCTATTTTTTCCGCATTGGGTAATTTTAATATTATAATTGGAGATAATAATTTCGCTGATTACAGTTCACTGAACTGTGTGACTTCTCGAGAGACACCATGTTACCAGAACTACTGATGCGCGACGTTCGGACGTTACTATTAGCAACGCGCACTCCTGTAATAAATTTTGCTCTTGTAGTAGCTTGCTTATTTCTATATTTCACTGCTTTCCGACTTATTTTTCTCGGAATGATGAACGGTAACGTAGCTAGGCCTATGCCGCTTAATGGCGAGGATCTGAGGAAAACCAGCACTGGTCGAGGTCATTATTATTCAAAAGGATATTATTTTCCTCCCTCAGACTTCCGGGTAAGAGTTCAGACCGCCCTCGGTCTGTTTCGTTTAACACATGGAATGTTATTCAATTAAGCGTTAAATTTATGTCCACATTAGAAATGTGTGACGGATTAGTTGGTAAACTATCTGAGACCAATTCTGATTATATTGCTAACCCTAGCCTGTAATCAGTCCACACTAAAATTATTTAATACAGTACCGGTATTTCTGTACTTTAACTGACGGCGTAATGTAATATTAGAAAATTTATTTTCCGTTCCACAAATGAAAAAACAATTATCCATCATTTTTCTAATACTGTAATGATCAATTGTACAGTTCAGACCAAAATTCACAAATTATTCGCAAAACAATGGCGGATATTAAAATTAACTACCGGTACAATAAATTTGATTGATTTTACTTTATATTTCAGAGGACTGTTTGCGATGATCTTCCTCCACCATTGACTGTGCAGGACCAAGTTATACCATATGACCAAGTGATAAACAATTACCATACAACTACTGGTACTACACATGATTTTAAATATATAGGGGGTGTTTTATCACATCCCCATTACAAGAAAGCTGCTGGATCATGGAAAGTGCACTTTGTTAAAGATAATATTGAAAAGGTATTGTAAATATCAAATTTTTTAGTTATTGAAGCCATTGTACCACATATACAGCTATTTGCACCCAGAAAAAATAGATGATTGAAGCTATTCATTTGATTACTTTTCTCTATATTTTATGTCATGGTCTGCATTCAAACCAATTTTTGGTAATCTCCTTTGTAAAAAATGAATAAACTACATGCTAATTACACTCTATATCAGGGGTGGGCACAGTTTTTTGACCAAGGGCCAAAAATTTTGCCTACCTAGGCATGCGGGCCATGTAAGTATACCGTAAAAAGGTACATTTTATGACAGTGCTCTTCAACCTTTTTGTTATTGTGGAACCCCTGATATCATTTTTCGTTTTTTATAGAACCCCAATTAACAAAATTGAAAAAAAAAAACGAAATACTCTTAACACGAAATATCTACAGAGTAATATCTACATACTTTGAACATTGTGTAACTATGGTGCAACAGCGTTCTTGTTAGTAACTAACAGTTAGTTGCATAACAATGACTAAAGTGACGCAACAACTGAAAATATTCCTGTTTTGTCTATCAACTACACTGTGACTAAACCTCCTGTTTAACGAACTGGCTTACTTGGAGTTTGAATGCGACACAGTGGTCTAAGAATATTCATAATGATCGATCAACATGCTGAAGCAAGAAATGATTTCCCCTAAAAAAAAACGCGGAACCCTTAAGAAACCCTATAAACTCACGAAACCCCACGCCATGTATTGCGGAACCCTAAGGTTCCGCAGAACCCCTGTTGAAGAGCACTGTTTTATGAACAATATTTACAGTGTTGCAAAAGCAAAAGTGGCAAAAAAAAGCCTCGTGCCAAAACTAAAATTTAATCGCAATCTCAACAAATTTCTTGAGCTATTTTTCAGCTGAACATCAAAATTTGGTTTCAGTTTAGTTGTAGCAGCATCAGGCGGGCCAAATTGAATTACCCAATGGGCCAAATTTGGCCCGCAGGCCGTAGGTTACCCATGTCATCTTTAAATTTATAGTTAATCATATGAGTTGTCATATTAATTGTAAACAAGATACATTAATTTTCAGTTTGCTCATTGCCGTAGCATATGCACATTTCTTTATTATCATATCCCATAGTCTATGTATTTTCATTCACAATATCGCAGTGTAACTATGATACATTTATATACAAATATACCGTATATATATTCTTATGCATTTGTAGCTATGTACTCACATTTTTTTTATCTTCCAAAGATGCAAGTTAGAGAATGGAGAACACCGCTGGAAGTTGGAAATCAATGTTCAGAAATGAAAGCAGAATATCAAGGAAAACAAGAAATTTCACCGAGCATGCGAACAAATTTTAAAGCTGGTCTTCAACCTTTTAATTTGTCACAACATCATGTTAATGGACCCTCACAAAATGTTATTGCAAGCACACATAATAGATCTATGACTGCGAAACCATTTTTTATTCGGGATAAGGGAGTTTTAAATATGAACGATATTTATGCAAGTACAACACAACGTGATCATAGATCTTTCAACAGGTAATCATCTTAATATTGTATTAAACTTTTACTGCGAAATAATATTTTCAAAAATGGAATATATTCCAAATCGGGTATTTTGCAATTGACTTGTACAGCCTATTCTAATATTACAGTGACCGATTTTCATAGTGCAAAAGGTAAAGTGAAGGTTGTTTAGATTGTTTTTGTTGGTAATTTTGATCAGAACATCATATGTCAATAATGAAAATATTCCTAAAATTAAGAATACTGTATATCAAATTTCAAAATGTATTCTAATATTTCATTCACATTCCTGTATATAACAAAAAGAATTCTTAAATGCGTTGAGATTCATTCCTAGAAACAGTACTTCGGTGGGCCAAAAGAAATTTTCATTTAGACATTTTTCTTTGAATGTTAGGGAAGAGTTGCTCGATTATCCGAAAAAAGACGCCACGACATATTGGGAATGTGAAGAATATCCTCGTGCCTGGGGTCATGGATCGAAACTAAATCCACTTCCGAAACATTCTGTACCAAGAGAACGACCTCCATTAAGAGATCCAACTTGGTTTCCATCAGCAACGAAAATTCCGAGAATACCAAAAGCAATGGTTCCGGTTCCTCACAAAGGTAAGAAACGCTATATATGTTATGGTTTAATTATGCTAACCTTATAGAAAATTCAAATGGGGAGGTCAAGAAGAGAATATTTTGGCGAAAAGGAAAGTCAGTGAGATTCGTTAACAAATAGCGAGTTATATTTTTGTCATTTAGTAGTCCAAGATGGCTGATTACTAGGTAAACCTGGTTGATGGGAGTTTTTGGACCACTGATTACACCACTAAACCTGCGTTAATGAGTCTGGTATTGTGATTGATAGGGTTGCTCAAACTGATTTGATGTAATAATTCATAGGATTATATATAGTCAAGGATGGGCTTCTGGTGTGAAATTTTATCAGTTCCAATAGTTTAGAATTACTGTTTTTTGAGACATCGATCTAACCTACTTAGAAATGGACCAGAATAATTGGACATGCAAGCAATCATTTTATGAATGATTCAGAAAAATCCTAAAATTTGTTTTTTTTACAACAAATTTACAAAATCTTTTAATTACAGGCCTGCAATCGTTAGTCGCCGACTCATTCCGCAAACCATCTGATGTAAAAGTAAAAGAAATATTTTCTTGTCCAGTCGATACCCCATGGGTAATAGCAAGCCCCGGCCCGAAAGAAATTATGTCAATCCCTAAAATGTATGACACAGAATATATGACCTATGGCAGTAAAAGACCAGTCACAGTGAGCTAAACTTACCCTTTCAATTGTCCCTTTTTTATCTATTTTATTTCAAATGCTAAAATTATGATCAGTGTCCAATCAAGCTTAATCTGCACTTAAAATTTTTGATTTATACATTGTTCAAGTCTAATTAGTTTAACAATAATTTTTAAAATTTAGAGGGCTGGACTTTTCCTTGGCTTCAATCAGCAAGACATATTATGTTACTTTCCTTAAATGTTTTGTACAAAATAATAATTTTCAATTCACCTTATTGTAACCTTAGTGTTTTTTTTATGATTTTGCCAAGCATGAATAGATGATATATCAAACTTGTCAGTTTGATGTATCAACGTTACATGCTTGGACTTCTATTACTGTTATATGTGCCATATTAGGTATATTGCTTCGTTACTGGTATTGTCATGAAATATGTTAGCTAGTCCATCAGAGCAATAAATAGATTTTTAAATCAATGGTGATTTTTGCTTGTCTATGTGAGATCGTCTAATTTTAAACGGAGGATGGTTGAATTCAATATAGTTTGCACTTGTAGGCAATAGGAACTTGATCAGCACAACATGCTCTTGTTGTAAGAGCTATATTTTTTTACTTATAATGACGAGTTATTGGGCAAAATATGCCAATATTTTGTAATTTTTTTACAGCGCTGGTCGCTGATTCCATATTTTCAAAACAATCTTGATCTTTATACTGTGCAAGATAGCCTACAAAATGTACTACAATCCGTATGACACGGTTGACGTGCGGCTTCAGTACTAGATATTGGGCTTTATCACTAAATATCTAACATGCTAGTTTTCTATGCCAAAATATAGATACATCTCACTGAATACTGAATCATGTGTATAACACAATATCAAACAATTTCTCGTCTCCAAATACGGTATATTTTTTACAACAAAATACACCAGAACAACAACACGACAAGTAAAACACACAGTAAAATAAGTGCTTATATTTAGAAAAATAAATGTTGAATAGTATTGGTTGCATGTGGCATACCTAAGCCAAAATAAAGTATGTAACCGAGTCACATCCATCAAAAAGTGTAAAGAAAAAAAGAAACATAAAATAAGTTGAACGCATTTCTATCCGATTATTCTCATTCCTCTCGGTAAATTAATTGGACGAACGAGGGGCTTCGGCTTCGTAACAGGCGGTATTGGTTTTGGTGGCGAGGCGCATCGACATTCTGAAATAAGTATAAGTTTATTTTAAGTCAATAATCAGTATAATAGACGATAAAATAATTGCTAAAAACAAAATAAAAGTGGTTACAAAATCAGGAAAGCGAACAAAACCTGAGGTAAAGTTTAAAACGTACAGTTTTTTGAATGAAAGATGTTGTCAAAAGGAGTGGTTCGTGTTCGCTTACCCAAAAGGATTAAATTAATTAAAACACGCACGCATACACAATAAAATGAGAATAGAGAAAAAGGTAAAAATAGAAACATAAGATTTATTATAAAAAAAAATTAAATAGGGTGTCTCAGAAATAAGTATACACTTTTAATTTGGATTTGCTTTACAGGTACTCATCATAGAGTTTTCATTTCTTCAGGAAACATAGTATGGATATGTAGTGAAATCTAGGTATTATTTGCATTTTTCAACAATCCACAGAATAACGAAGAGATTAACCCCAAAAATGAGGAGCAAAATTGCTGATTAGCAAGAAGCATGTAAATCAGTAAGGCAAACTTAGCGTCTCTTTAACAGAGAATTTGAAATTAATTAAGCTTTGAATGTTTTCCTCAGGTCGCCTGCTCCAAGCTTTGTTTTCCTGATCTTTGTGCATCTACTACAGATCCAGTTTCCATGAATTTCTGATGTATTGCGTAATTCTTCGTCGTAAAAGTGCCAAATGCCTCGCTGTTTTATATGCTTCTTGCCAAACAGGTATTTTTCACCTCATTTCCTGGGTTAATCTCCTTGTCATTCTGTGGGTTGTTGAAAAATGCAAACAATACCTAAATTTAACTACTAATCCATACTATCTTTTCTGAGGAAATGAACACTCTATGATGAGTACCTGAAAAGCAAATCAAAATTAAAAGTGTATACTTACTTTTGAGACACCCTGAAAGTAAAATTTACCACACCATATTGATAATTTTTGTTAATAATTTTAATTGAAATTTATGTTCAAGATTCAAGCTTTTGCAATCGTAGACTATAATGAGTACTGGTAAGTAATTTGATGCGCGTCCGCACTTTTCAGGCATGTACACGTGCTGCTAGGCTAAAGTTAAATACCACAATATAATAATAATAATTAGCAACTAAAAAGAATTCCTTACGTGTCTTTTTTGAACATTGCTCGTTTTCGTTTGTTCGACGAGTGAAATTCGTTGTTTGACCATGGAGATATGTTTTAAAGCATGATATTTTGCCGTTTTTGCGGAAGCAACGCGCAAGATATGGAATCATTTTTCCTATAAAAAAAGTAAGTGATTAGGATTAGTCTACTAATTCACTTATCATTTTTAATACATACTGACACTCACTTTTAATTGCTTCAACTGCAGCCCTTAGCTCCGCATTTTCAGCTGAAATAATAAAAATAGCGAAGTGAGCATGTAGGGTAGGAGGTAGGGAAGAGAAAAGACAATAAGAGGGCTTAATCATACGGCGAACACGGCCTCTCGCCCGGTTTTTAGTCAATGTTGGGTATGGGATTAGTTAGCTAGTTATTATTTGTTTCAGATGCATGGACTTGAAGGCGGAGAAAGCCGTAACCGACCAGCGGTTCCGTGAACCACCCTATTCTCACATACTTATTCCCCACATGATTCGAACCTGGGACCCCAAGCAGGGTAATCAGAGGTGCGGTGACGAGCGTATTCCTACACTTGGCACAATGCGCAACACTGCGGAGCCGTAAATCATATACAGATAATTAATTGATAGTCTTAATTGAACTCTTTTCAAGTTCATATTAGCAGGTCCTCTGTCCACGGCGCAATTGCCTGAAGGGTATTACATTTTTAACTCTCGGCACTTCGTTGGTTTCTCCCAGTCTTGCGCTGGCTGAGTTTCCTTGTCTGCGTATAGGTAATTTTGACAGAACTAAAATGAAAATTAGTATGACGCTGTATGTAAAATACCGAGTGTCATTATCATGCCCATATATATTAGTACGAGTATATATAAGTAGAGGAGCTACAAATATGTTATTGACCAAAATTCCATACCACTGTTCAACCTGCACTTTTTCAGACCAACGCTTGTTAGTTCTGATGCAAAAAAACAGCTAGTCGGTATTCCACACAATCTTACCTTTTAGTTCCGCAAATTTTCTTTCAACTATTTCATTAAATCTCGTTACATTTGCTTTGGAAAATCCTTTCAGGGAACCTTTATACCCTCTTGCTCCATATGCTGAAAAACTTGTTCCGCTATGCCTACCGTATGCACCACGCTTTCCAAATATGTCCCCAATATAATCATGTGTAGCACCATTCTGACATATTGGAATTGGCGATAAACTGCTGCCAACCATGTATAACGATTGAAACGCCAAAGTTCCGAGAAGAGCAGACCACATTTTAGTTATATTCACTCTAATTCTGCAATTACTAATTAACATTAAGCCTTTTATTTTTGATTGTCATCTTTCACGTGCGTGCTTATCATTAAATGTTCGTATACGTATAGACTTTATTTATGGAATTTCATTGCGCCGCGGGCTAAAGCTTTCGTGTGTTGATGTTGGTCCTTGCTGGTTTAGCCTCAATGAAGTATGCTGTACTGTGGTGGTTTTTATTTATATTTGCGTCGTATTGTTTACTCATCAGGCGTCACGTAAAATTTGCATGTATGCCAGCACCGGTGGAAAATTTTCAACATTTGTACAAAGTACATTCTTCAAAATTTAAGCCCATAAATACTGTCATTGGAAAACACATTAGACCTGAGAGGCAAGTAGGCCTGTTACACCATGATATATACCGTATATTATATATATGGGTCATTAATCCATCTAAAAACTACAATTTGAATGTTAATTTGACTAACAAAATTATGTGTCAAAGGCAATTCGAAAGCTGTCTATTGGTTAATATGAGCTATAATGGTTTGACAACATGCTATGTGTTTATTTAGGAATGCGTGGTTAGTTCCGCGCTAAATGATTACATAAACATTGATATCTGTTATGTACACCGTGCTTAATTACACTTACTATGATTATGTATTATTGCTTAACATTTAAATTAAAATTTTATCCAATATTAGGTCATCTAAATTTGATTGCATTAGTATCTCATATTTTTTTGTTTAAAAAACAGACTGTTTTTAAATAAGAGCTCTTTTAGAATACTCGTTTTGTTTCCTTTTATATTTTTTCATTGAAACATCCCTTGCATTTCCGTTAAAATAGGACAAAATTGTGTGTTCGACCTCGCCGCATGGGAATCTGGTGGTTCACAATTCCACGTGGTGTGACAGGACCATTGTGCTACAGTCTGTGAGGGCGCGTACGGACAAGTCATCGATGCCCGTAGCATAAGAATTGACCAAGTTTTCACACATCCAGATTCTTGTTTTAACCCAATAAACACATAAAAAACAAATTAATCAGCCATTAAAAAAAAAATAGGTAAGACTTGATATGAAACATTTGTGTACAATATTCATTATTTTTTTATGTATATATATATTTCTTTGGAGATACTGGTAATAGGTAGGAAATTCGAGAGTATCCACACCGATTGAGATTGATTTGAATCACACAAAGTGATTTTGAAAATGGTTTTAGATTCATGATACATCTCTCAAAAAATAATATTCCGTATGCCCTTGAATGGGAGAAGTTATAATTTTAATTAATATTGATTCTTTTATTGGTAAATCGTGGTCAGCAGTCAGCGGATGTCACTAACATTGTCGCAAATACCACCCAAAGAAATTTAGGCCTGCGGTTGTGTTCAACTCCGGACCCATAGCTATAGTTATTTTTTTCATAATAATAAAAAATACCAACATAGTAACAAAACGATTCATATGTACATTTCGTGTTCAATGGACCATTCCCCGAGCATCGACTTCCTTGTTTACTTCGTGATATTGGGCAGTCAGCAAGATGCAAAAAGTGACGTAACAATGGTCCCTTTTCGCATCCGCTCAGACACTTTCCTCACCCAGAAAGATTTTCAGGCGTGGTCATAAACATTACCTCGTTCTCGCGTTTTTGAACTATATTCGTTAGTTTTCAGTTGTGTTTCGGAAATATAAATATGAATCAGATAATTCAATGATCACTCTGTCTTCTTAGAAATTTTAATTTAATTGCAATAATAAAGATTTGTGTAGAAATAGCTGTGATAGACGAGGCTAAAATTCTTTGCCGGTACTTTTGAAAAACAGATTGTTTTATGCGATGAATCATAATGATGGTTAGAAACACATACCCCATTTTACAAGAGCCAACTCGATAAACCACTCTTAATATAAGCCCCGAAAATTTTACAATGGTAGAGTATAGGAAGAATTTTTTTGGGGTCAAAGGTCGGAGAAGAGTCCATAATGATTAACAGTGTCGTGCAAACCACTCAACTACATTGCACTTTACTTTTGTTTACGTTCGTCAGCGTTTAGAGCTGACGTCATCTTTAAACAGTTGCGGCACAATTCAGTGAAGGCTGGATACTGTAACCTGTAGGGTTGATATCTAATGGTCCAGCTTGTTGAAGGTATATGAGACCAGGCAGTTCAAAATATGGAAATGTATGGGGTAATATGAACCCTCAATAAAATTAGTAGTATTCTAATTTCAAATATATCGAAAGGTTTAAAACATTGATTTATAATGCATATAAAATCAAAATAGTAGTATAATTTCTAGGTCTTGTGACAGATTCGAGTAACTTGGGTATAACAGTTTTTGAGTCTGGCCTTATGCTGTGTGGCATGCCACCACACCAAAATAGGTGTAATAATTTTGTGAAGTGTAATAACTTTCTAGGTTTTACATTGTCAAGCTCATGTCATAATGTTGAAAAACTTGCTATCTGAAATTACTACAATATATCCTCTTACTCAAGTAACGCAAGTATCTAGCAACTCAAGTAACTAGTATACTCAAAGTAAACATTATTTCGCTATAATACGTAGGTCGCCGAGCCCGGGTAATACAGTTGAGATATTAGGATAAGATCTTCAAATGACCGGTAACCGGTGAATGATTTCAGATGGCTGTAATATCAGAGTAGATCTTGGAGATTTGGGTGTTTCGATATTGCCATTTTAATAACTACGTATTTGGTTTTTATATCTTCTCAATTGATCTTTGTGAATTAATGTACTAACTGTTTATTTGCATTTTAATTTATTGTATTATATTCTCGAATAATGCAATGTTTTTTATTTATTCTCCCTGAGATTTCACCTGACAAGTAGGATATTCCCCATTTATAAATTATATATATATATATTTCAGCCACAACGCGCTTTAGATCGTACCATTGCAAAATAGGAAGAATGATTTTTGTCTCGGATGCATTCTCCGTAGATGCATTAAGACTTGTCGGAAAATATTTCACGAAGGACTGAAATCATGTCATAAAGGTATGGTTTATCATGGACGTCATATTATTTTAGGCATATATAATATATATATTATAAGTTCAATACCTGTATGTTGCCAAGCCTCACTCAATGTGTTTTTGAATGCTATTTATCAAAAGTAGAAATAATATGGTTCACAATGAAAGATTCAATTGTTTTTATCAACATATTTTGTTTTGTCCATTTCTGACAACATTGCTTATTACTTCATTTTATTGATATTATTTTCCACGCCTCGTTGATTTCGTATCTAGGAAGCCCACTGTACTGGAAAAATATATATCTCCGTGGACCTGCCCTTGCTTCCGAGGGTTGCGTCGTGGTTGTGACCAAGGCGGTTGTGCGGGGCTGATGTATCTGATATATCTGTGTAATAGTTTTGTTCACTGAGTGTTATTAGTTAATTTAACATTGGATATAGATAATGTCGGCAATAAGATCGTGAAACCGACTTTTGCTTCATTTTCTTAGTTTTTACACCCATTCGTGTAGTAGTAAGAACGTTGGCATTAATACTCCCAACATGAAAGCCACACAGAAAATCTATTTGAAATATGATATGGTTTTTATTTCTATCATGATATGGGAATATTTGACGCAATTTCGAATTTTTTTGCAATCGACATGGTTTTATTTAAATCTTGTTCCGAGCCGATGCCCTGGCGCTGATCTCCGCTATTCTGTCTGAACTAAATTTTATATCCCTTTTACTGCCGTTGACATTGTCATTAATTCGTGGGAATAAGATGGTTCGCTTTTTAGATTCATTTTTTCCTATTCGTTAATTATGTCACCTTTGACGTCGTGGCGATAATACACTAAAATTTATCCCTTGCTCCATTCCGGCTATTTTCTGTTGGTGGAACCGGATAGTTGGACCCGAGCATAAAGGGGTATCTATACTTATTCCATTTTCTGTATATTATGGCGGTTGTTCATACCATTCATCGTAATTACGGAAGTAAAAGTATCAGGCTCTAGGCAGGGTGAACTTGCCAGAATCAAATGTCCACCCAATATTTATTGAAAAAATAAAATCAGATCAGAATAAAACAGATTAACAAAATGTAGACTCTTTTTACAATTTAAAACAAACAGTCAAAAATGTTAAACCTAACAAAAAGATACATTACTGTTGGTCGCTTTTGCATAATATTTGTCAGTTAAATGTAATAAAAATCTGATTATTTTATTCAAATATTTTCCAAAGCTACAGAGAAGTATCTGAGCAAATAGTCAAAACTAGTAGCAACACCACTTAATGAATAGCCTCTTCTGAGTTTGACATAAAATTTGGATCTTGCAAGGACGGCTAAGAGTGTGTTAAATGCAACACCACGCTGAGTGTATACAGCAACATGCGATACTTCCAACCAAGCAGGCTGGAAGCTAAGTGCAATAAAGAGAAACAATACTGTTGCAGCAGTCGCAATAACAGAAGTGCATTCATCATACATTCAAAGTCGATTCACAGTTATTGCAAAATACGCTTGTATAGAAAAATCTGGCAACTACTTTATGTATATATCACGTGTTGTAATTGTAAGGCGGCGGAGCAGTTTCGTAGGTGTTACGATCTGTACGTTCTCTTGATGGTGGTGGAGCGTACCATGGTGCAGAAGGCAATTTGCGAGTATTTGTCTCGTAGTCGGCTGAATCATATTCCGGCATATTGCGTTCAAAAGACTCGTGTTGGCCGTTACGAGTAACTGTAATGAAAGATTGAAATCTTGTTATAAGTAATATAGTATATATTTCTGCTAATACCTTCGGACAAATATCTATTTTCAAAACTCCAATTTAAAATGCAAAACGAAATAAATGAAATAGGTATCGAAAATGCTAGAATAAAACAAAACAACGCAATAATCAGCAAGATCGCATCCGCTCGTTAAAAACTGATATTGTTCCCATTCCCACCATATCCATAGTTGCGTTTAGAAGTCATAAATGTCTACCTGTGTGAGGCGAACTCGGAGTTTCTGTGTTTCCTGGAAGAGTTGTTCGAGATTTTTTCTTGCAAAATCGTGCAACAACTACTGCAACTATGACGAAAAACAATATCACCCCGAATACGATGGCAACGATTGCTCCAATGCTGAGAACAAAATATTGAGAATTCGTTTATTTCAAAGATAGATAACTTATTATTACTAACATAGTAAACCGGATAACAGTAGCCAACACAAAAACTTTTAATACTGTTTCAGCTGATTTATTATAACACAAATGTGAACAGTTATGTTACTTGAATAGAAATATTTGTACAAAAAAAAGTGGAAAATGGCCCTATGACTCTGTCTAACAACCAATAGTCTTAATATATGAATCGCATTTAAATTCTCGAATTGGACATTAACATTTTTTTGGTGTTTCAACAACAAGAATAAAAGCGTTCACTTTCTCGTTTATCGTTTACTATACTAAACTTGGTTTCCTTCATTGTTATGTTAATTGCCATTTATTTACCTTAACGCCACAACGGGATCAGATCTTGTTCGATTTCTATACTGATCCCAAGTGCAGCAAAACCGTCGATTACAACAATATCTTCTGTTGCTAAAAGGTGCTTGAAATGTGACACAATCTCGATTTCTCTGACACATTGCCTCAACTGCAACAATAAATTGGCTATATTAATATGAATTGGCTCAATAAGTGATATTTCCCAATCCTGGTTAATTATGTTAGAGTCGGTTAGGCTTGGCGAAGCAGGAGGGACGATTATTTGACTCAAGATGCGGTTCTATGTGTTGCAAAGCGTGACCACCGCTTGTTGCCAAATGGATGTACATCCCCAAGTCGCGTTTTACTCCACAATTTTGATGAATTGGTTAAATGTCGTAGTCAGCAATTTTGTTTTACGCTAATATTCTTCCCCCCGGATGAGTACATAAAACATATGTCCCATCCTACCCGTGAAGAAAAATAGTTTTGCGGCGTGTGCTATGGGGGTTAGTTGTTATATTCTTATTAATGTAATAAAATGAAACATTTCTGGGCCTGAAAAAGGCATTATGACATTCACATACGAAATATTTATAAAGTGACTTACCGTATTTCTGAGAAAATGTGACGATCAGTAGTGACATGTAACACATTTTCTCGAGTCGATGCATAGTGTCGTAGAATGTTAAAGAATCCTTTGAAGCAGCAAGTTTTGCGAATTCGTCTCAGATTAACTGGGTACTATATACAGAATAAAACCGAACAGTTCACAACTATACTCTCGTCTGTAAATAAGCGTGACAACAAGGCTTGTTTTGCTTCTAGAAGATTTATGGTTGAATAGGCCTGTTGTGAATTCATGTTTTTGATCGCGGTCGTTCAAGCGATGCGGTAACCCAGACTTGAGAGCCGTTAGATTAGAACAAAATAGACGTCCAAGTTATGAGGACACTTGAGCGCTGATGAATTTCTGCTGTGTATACTTGTTCAGGCTCATAGATTATACCGTTGATAGGGTTTCCGTGCGACCATTTTCATGTTTTTCATAATATACTAAGATGGCATGACCTGACAAGGAATGCTCAATCCGCTTTGATATAGACAGAAGAATGTTTTGAATGAATGAAATCCTATCATCTTACCGTAATATTACTGGTGATCAATTCCATTTTCTTGATATAATATTCATAATAATGCGTGGGCGAACGATTTCATATATATAACATAAATTTTAGGAGGAGCCAGTTTGGGAGAAACGTTTCGTTAGATCACGATTGGACTTTTATTTGAAGGTTTTCATTTGAATTTTACTTGCAAGAATATGGGGTTTCATGTATGGTTTACTAGGCCCATGTCAGGATAGTTGGCTACGTGTTAAGCTTCATAATTTAAGGAAGTTCATATCGATAATAACCCATTTATTCTTCTCAGATTTTCAGATCCACATTCTCGAAAAAGTGCATTCGCACAAAGTCCGTTCTCGCAAAAAGTAATTCTACTTTGCTTGTTGAACCATGAAAAAAAATCATTTTCAATGAAATACTCTTGTTATGTTTTGCATATAACTAAGGATATGCAGGGAAACATTTATTTGCAAAAACAATACTTCGTAAAACAAACCATTTGGTATATTATACTTCAGAAACGCATTAGAAAAAATTTAATATTAAAAATACAAAAACAATTACATATTCAGTACACAATCCGTAAAAAATGATTCACAGATTATGATACCTCGTAGGCTCATTGCTAACTTCAGTGTTTCTGCAATGTGCCATAAGGTCGACTGACAACAACAGCATCATCTAATTTGATAGAAATGACGCTCTTCATACTCAATCCAATCGCATTCATTTTGAGACACTTTATAATCTATATTGTATAGTATGTGAATTATTCAAATTTGTACTTTACAACAATGAAAGTTTTGATAAAAAATGTTGTATCTTTTTATATTTTAATGATACAAATGGCCAGATTTACTTATGCTTGTCTCACATTTCCTTCCGCCACCATTATTCGAAGTAGCCAACGTGATAAGCGTATTTAAAAGTGATGACCAGCTTGGCCTAACGTTAGCTTGCATTTTAATGTTGTTTTGCCAATGTTGTTTTGCCAATGTTGTTTGCTTTTCCAAACCTTCAGACACTTACAAACTCTGAATTAAAGTTTTGAGTGTTCGATGCTAGAGTTTTCGGCCTGGATGTTCCTGCCATCCAACGATATGATTCGCTTCCATATTAGAGCTAGAATGTGCCGGCGACGAAGGGACTCTCAGTTGGCCTGATTTTCTCCGAGAGAGAGTTAATAGTGTTGGATATTCGTATGGTGGAGGTGAATCTGCAGTTCGGGCCAGGTCTTCATAAGATGGTGGGGCATCGAGGCATTGCGCCTGTGCCAGAGGTGTTTCGTAACATGGACCTTGGTTTACAGATGGAACCGGTAAGATTTGAGCTGTATAAAATGCAATTTATTACTAGTCTTCCTAAATACTAAAAACAAATACAGAAAAATGAATAAGGACACTGCAGAAGTCGTCGGGAATACAGTCCTTATTTTTTATTATCATTAATCTTTACGCTTCTCAACAGAGTAGAAGTGGCGAAATGTCAGGATAAAGTTAGTATTGGTAATAAAAATATCAAGAAAAAGCGAGGTTGTCACCCTGACTGGATCCTGGAGGTCGTCTTGTAGCTATTTTTCTTCTGCAACATAAAAGACATATAGCAATGCATCCCAGACAACCAAATAACGCTCCAATGACGACCGCAGCAACTGTTCCAAATCTAGGCAAGAATGGTTAGTTTTCATTTTGTATTGGCTTCTTTATTCTACTTCAAATTTCGTGATTACATTAGTTAAAGATGTCTGCCTCAACCACACCGTTATTCTAAAGATTTCTATAAATCAAGTAGCCCATCTATAGTGACGCTCGATAAGTCGCTTTCGAAAACATTAAAATACAAAAATATGACTAAGTTGGGATGGAAGGCTTCACATTTTGATATTTTAGGATGAGAGAGACAAGAAATATTCCATTTTTTACTTCCAAACATCATTATAGTAATAAAGTTTTTAGTTTCGTTGCCACCCCGAAATACGCGCACTGTTTAGTTATACTTGCACTAGTCAAACTTTCCAATAAAATAATGACATCATTTGCGAAGTGTTACGATAATGAAATTCATTGTCCCACCATCAAATAACACTTCAAATCTGTCTTAGGTATGAGTTATGTATGTTGACACCGAATCTTTGCCAAATTAGTGTCTACATTTGTTTTGGTCGTATCGCTCCCTCCAGTCTTTACCATAAACAGTGTTTATTTATTTGTCTATATGCTTTCATATTTATATTTGTTTTGGTTGACGAATCAATAAATCTCTCTCTCTCTCTCTCAAACATTATGAAACCAAATTATCGATATACTAGTACTAGCTATGACGTGAAATTAGGTCTGCTTATAATTTAAAGTTCAAACACGTTCCAATGTAGAGCTTCGTCTACTTACGTTATATTCTGGAGCATATCGGTCATTTTTCAAGTATTGATTAACCTAACTCACGTATAGTCATGTCATTGTCACTACAGCTGTAAAATTCATATATATATATATTGATTATATAAATCCGCTAACAATTGTTTTTGTATTTTTTCACAGAAATCATTAAAACTAATAAACATTGGTATTAAAAACTCGCAAAAATCCTTTCGAAATGTCCAAATTTATTGCTTTTAATTAACTTCCAATTAACATTCAAAACGAATTCAATAAAAAAGGAATTGCTTAAAATGCTCACAATGTAAATTGTGTACACAAAAAGTGAGCCGTTGAGGCGTGTGTAGAAGTCGTTGCAGTGTGGCATGTCATGCTATGTTGTACTTTCCACGCCTTTGTACTCAAAGTACGTTTTAATCAATATCAACAATTTCTGCATGCCCGTTCGAATCCAACAAAATGTTCTAAAAAGGGTTTCTTGATAGAATCACACAAGAATCTTACAAGAAAATGAAGCCGAAATCACCAATTTTCGTATTCAATTTCTGACTTCTAATTGCATTCAGTAAATACAACTCTCATTCAAAAATCTCTACTACATATAAAAATAAATTCACAAATAATATTATTGCCACAGTTTTCTATTAGTTACATTTGAACCGGATTGCATATGTATATTGTAGATATTAACAATACAAAATCATTACAGCACTACTAATGCACATGCTCAATAGCAAATGCTTGGTGTCAGAACAAGCCATTAGTCATAGAACATGGCTACAGAATATTGGCCAATGAACCCTCACTTAAATAGAATATGACACGATTGATAAATTGAGTTATTGCGATACTTGCTTTCAATATGGGAAACAAACTTGTTTTGCTTTTTCGCTAATTTCAGTCTTTTTTTTACAATTTGACTACATTAATTATTAGACTACTTTGTTTTGTCAAATTGCATTGCCCACAGAAAAAGAAGCAAAATCAATTTCAATGTTTTTGGTTGGTCCGTCGACCAATTTCTCCATCATAATATAGAATTTCTTGTCATGTATATTAGTTTCTCGCTGATTCACTCTATTTTCTAATGAGACTCAGATGGAGTGGGCACAAATTTAACAAACATCGTCTTCATTTCAACCAAAGTAATATAGATAAAAACCTGTCTAATATTTTGTTCTTGCAACTGTCGAGACTGCATTGATTCATATTGCTGCATGAACATAATCGTTTTTGTCTGACATGAATCATGCGTGTTAATTAATCTCTCAGTTCACCAGTTTGTGAAATATTCGTAGAGATACAATTACAATGCTTAATATAATATATCTATTTCACCTACAATAAGGATTTATCATCTGCATGATTTTTTAAACTTTTCGGTATTGAACTCTATTGGTTTTAGTTTCCGGAGAACAGCTTGCTTTGAGAAGTTTGTGTTTAGTTGGATGTAGTTCTAAAAGTTTCCGCAATTTTTGCACAAAGTCTTCATCAGAAAACCCTCAGGCTACTTTAGATTGAAATTTCTTAATGCGACCAGCAGATTACCAAGATTGACCGTAGACTGTGATTACACGTTGACTAGTAAACTTTGTAATGGAAACTTCAATGCGAACAACTTCAATGGATTATTCGAGACCAGAGCACAACTACTGAAAAATTATGTCAAATTGAATACTTATTATACACATTTAAAATGGCGAATACAACTGCCTGCAAGGTTGTCTTGCTATGTTCAATATTAAACTCTATCTGGTCTGTCGTAACAATATTTATGATAAATAGACTTCTTCAACAACAAGCTGCGCAGTATACGTTCGCGTGTTCTAATATTTAACATGACCATTAGGTAGAAGATCAATAAGATCACGAACGCAGCTTTTAAAGTAAATCGAACACTTTGTGGTTGGTCTCGTTACGGCCCTGCGTGGCCAATTTACCGCGTCACAAGAATACCACGTCTGTTATCAAATTTTGAAACTCTTAGTGAGATATCACATCAATCCCAACATTAGTTAGTCTCAGTTTATTTAATATGAGTGAAAAAGCAAAAATGACATATGATATACATCAGATGTGTTATGAATTATGATATAAAATCTTATGGCGTATTGGCGTTTTAATATTAACTTTTTAATATAGATTCCCCTGAATCAAATTACCAAAAGCTCAATTGTCCCTTTCACAAAAATAAAATTTCCAGCGCACATTTTATCAAATTTAATAGCGACAATAACATATGAATCCATAAACACAAGAGCAATGTCTTGCTTTAATCTCAGTTGAAGGGGAGACACTGTTTCTGCGATATCAAACCTAGGTAAACCGGACGACATACAGCATCCTATATCATTCTCAATCGAGCTCGTTTTGATATTTTGGAAGTGTAGAAATCACCGCCATCTGCGAAGAAGTTGATTTTTTTAATGTCCAATTCAATTTCGTGCAAAGCGATTCTACTGATTCGCTGATAAATCCTAACAAATCACCACTTTGCTGATTGTAGACCTGATCATATAGAGCAGTGGTTTCCAACCTGGGTTCCATCGGTACAGTACAAGGATTCCGCAAGTTTTCATTCAAATTTTCAACTGCTATGCCAACATACGCAAAAACTAAAGAAGATAGAGTTCCAAATTCAGTGAATTCAAAATTCGAAGTCATTTGCGTTGGCTGCAGGGCATCACTGTTTCAGCTCTGCATTATTGATCTTTTATAAAATATTATTGGACACGTTTAGTGGCCATAACGATCGTTTCAAAATTTTGTTGTTATTGTTATTTGTCTCCGTCTCCATTTTTGAAAAATCGCTTTTCTCTTCGAATACTGGACCAATTGCTTTGATATTTTCAGTGGTTAAAGATAAAATTTTTCTCCAGAAGGCTATTACTTTTTTTCTCGCTATGACGTCATCAAAATTATTGCCACTGGGTGGCGCTACGTGTCCATATATTTGAGCATAGCTCTCTTGTTTTATTTATGATAGTGTATATATACTGTGCAACTTTCATGACAGCTACTGCCGAAAAAAAGCCGAGGTGATGAAAAGTTTAGGGCTGACACGGGCAAACTACGGCTAGCGGGCCGAATCCGGTTGTTATAGACATCTGAATTTGTTTAATGTGCGATTACATTTAGTTATGGCACGAGGAACATTGTTTTCCAATTTTGCTTTTGTAACACTATGAACAACATCTTGTTCATAAAATGTAACATTTTACGTCCCACTTATATGGCCCGCCAGTCCAGGTGGGCAAAATTTTTGACCGTTGGCCAAAAACATAGCTCACCCCTGGTTTAGGGTATACTGCATGTCACACAAAATTTTCCCACTTGTATAAATCTCTATTCATGTCAACACTTTAACCCTCTGTCAGAGTAATACATCTATCCTAACCCAAAACATACCATGATTCATACTCAATATTCTTCCTGCAAACATTTGCACCGAAATATATGAATACCAAAACAGTGGACCGACTGTAGGATAAGTTGACCAAGTGTGGTGATGTGGGACCAGGTTTGAACACGAAAATTTCTTAATTCTAACTAAATCACTCAAAGATGTAGCTTTCAGTAGTACAGCTGGTGGTAATGACGATTAATCTAACGGGACAGTGTTTCCTGAAGATTGCATTTGCAAAGGATCGGATTTCCAAACTTTATCGATTTTGAAAACTGTTTTCATGCTGATTATGCAACGAAAATCTGGAGTTTCTTTCTGAGCCGTTTTGTGGAAGTATATGGTATTGACTGTGACGCTAGTAGTAGTGTGCATGGGTAGTTTCATTGAGTTGGTTTATTACTTATAGAAATCGTAGTCTATGCTCAGCCCTAAATTAAAATAGTCCCACCGATGCCATCTTACGAAGTGACATTGCCGAGAAATTAGGCTATTTTTGCGTTTAGTGGTTATGTTTTTTATATTTTACTCACAACCAGGTGCGATGTCAGTTTAATATCTTTTGATTTGTGATGTATGCAATCTGCGGCCCGCGGGTCGAATGCGAATGACGAATGAGTTGGTATGGGGTTTATGGGGGCATGTTGTGAACACACCGACGCTCACGACAACATTGATGACATTATAATTGTACTACAATTTCAATTTATTATAGATATACTTCCATATTGGTTTATTTGGAAACGAGGCACGTACTTTACAATCTCAGTAAGCCATGTCAGTAATTTCATCAATCAGCAATCCTAACATTCAATGAAATGTAGGCTTTAGTAAATGCACATACCTTGCAGGTGGCCCTTTTATGATCGAAGCAAACTTAGATAGTCAAATACCGGTCACTAGTACTGATTCCAGAAGTTGTTCCTATAAGTTTGAGAACTAAATTGAAAATATGATTTTTGTCAAAATTGAATCACAAAACCAATACATGGATTCCAAAAGTTCTTCATGAGTCGTGAGTTGATTTTTTAAACTGAAATAAAAAGTAGTTTGCATTTTGGCAATGTTAAAGTTTACATATCACAAATCGAAATTAAATTTATTTGTCAATCCTATATCGGATTTTATACAGAATTACTGCACTTGGTCATTATCATCGTCATTTCATTCTAAACGCATTCTTCTCGACGAAACCTCAACGAAACAAACTATTAAATTTATTCTTTATCGTAATTTACTGAAATGTCGCATTGCAATTTGAACATCGGCGATGTATTGAAACAATATTACGACTTGGAAATTATTTCGCATAAACAACTGAGTGGATATGAAGATATAAATTATGTTGTGAGATGCAAAAGAAACGAAGAGATAGACACATTTGTTTTAAAATATATTAACGCAGATGATTCCATAAGAAATGGTGAGTTTAGTGATTTTCATTTAGTTCATAGTCTGACTGCCAAGCCTACTGCTGTTAATGAAAGAGTTGATAGGAGTTTTCGAGATTGGAAAATCAAATATCGTGTGGAATAAAGTCTGACGAAAACATCGGTATTTGCGATACAAATGAATATAAAGTTTGCTTACTTTCATAACAAAACATCGTGCTAATATAAAAAATGACTGATCAATATTACAAACGAGTTAGCAACGAGAGTATGTAAGAACAAAACAAATCTGCATTCTTCAATTTCACGGTTATAAGATCTTAATGATACGTAATTTATTTTAGGTTTAATAGAAGCAGTAGTCTTTGTGCTTCAAGAAGTGCTGTTTAGCGGAGTTCCATGCTCCGCACCGATATTGTCAAATGAAAATAAACACGTGATATGCATTGGTTCAGGTAAGCAACTAAAAAAAAGTTACTGTAGAAATAGAGAAATTAGGGATATTCCTCGCAAAGTGATAGTAATTTATAAATAGAAGATTTGATGCAATTTAAATCAACGCCAGCTTGTTGGCTTTCTGCAGGCGAATATATAAAGTAAAAATAGAGTAAACTTTCAGAAATCTACCGAGGTCGGCAAGTCGAGGCTTGATTAAGAAAGTTAATGTCAAATAACTGCTCAATTAAAAATTTTGGCATATTCCAGGAGATCAGCTCAGAAAAATAATGCTTCTTTCTTACATCCCCGGCCTTGAAACACAGGATTTAGATTTTCAATATGAAAGCTACTTAAAATTCTGTCATAAAGTCGGAATATTTTGTGGAAAACTGGACTCGCAGTTGGAGGCAAGTTTCGTTTTTTATTGTATGTATAAATTTGCAACTTATCTTAGACTTTTATAAATTGCACGCAATGATATAAATGAATTAAACATACTACTTTAATTGACATTGTGAAAATAAAAGATCGAAAGAAAAATGAAGTCACAGGTCTTGCACAAACATTCCTTACGTTTATTAGTTGGTAATGCCTCTCATATAGGTAAATTTTCGTGTGAATTAAATACGTAAGATTGTTCATTTTTTACCATGGCGTTGGCGAAACCTTACCAAAAGAAAGCCCCAATGAAACTATTAGCAAAGGCTGAAGTACACCGTCATATCCCAATTCTGCTATGGTCATAGCAGTCGTCAGTTAGTGCAGTTTTATATATCTGACAACCTTTAAACCAGAACATGATCATGAAAAGGTAACGTTAGGTTTCAAAATTTCAGAATATATCTTCGAGATTGAGCAAACAAATTATAATTTCATAGAATGGTTTATGATACAATTTGTTTAAACTTGTTCCACAATTAACACAGAAAATTAAATCTCCGCCAAAAATACTGCATAGAGGTTACATGGAATGGAAGATGGAGAATATTCAATCATGGAAGAAGAAAATACACGTATTGAAAGATGTGGAGAGTAAAAATATATGTGAACAGACTATGAAGAAGATTGAGGATTTCTGTTCTGGAAATTTGTATATAAAAGCTAGCAAAGGTTGGTGAAAGTTAGGCTTCTGAAAATAGACTAATAAATTGTGATAAATCAACATCTTATGGTATGAACCGTCAAGCCAGTAGCTCGAGTGGAATTGCTTGTTGCCATTGTATTGTCCAGCCATTGATTTTTAATTCAAACACCACCAAATGAATACTTTTTTTTTAAATCACATTCGTTGTGGCTGAGGCTTGAGTCTACAATATGATGGCAATAAACCGACGAGCAACTTGACCGAGTACTTCCCAAATGGACCATTTTTCATGACGGATGCTATGTTACTAGATTAATGTAGAACATGTTAAAAAAGTTCAACTCCCGTCCCATTCATACACAACAGGAATAATTCATGGAGATCTTACCTTACGTAACCTGATTTACAAAAAGGATGGACACGACTACGACGTCACAGGCATAATAGATTTCTATGACACAAGCATCAGCTGTTATATATTTGAAACGGCGGGTATAATTTGCAGTGTTTTGTATGAAGCCGATTTCTTGGACCTACCTGACTTGAACATCTGTGCTGTAACTAAAGAAATACTGGGCGGATACAGAAAAGAGTTTGATTTGAACAATGTCGACCTAAATATGTTATTTTATGCTGTTTTGGCTAGACTGTGTGCGTTAAGAGTGCTCGGCGGCTACTATATAATGCATAGAAATGACGTGCAAATCCATACAGGAATAAACTTAGAAAAGTTAGAGATTATTATGAAGAAAATATGGAAATTAGGAAAAACTAAATGGGATGAAATATGTCTTCAAAGCTAATGTCGGAAATTTGACAAAATTTAAAGAGTTTCATGTGACGTGTTAAAATAGTTTCTTCGTCGAACCGTGAGAATAATTTGATTGAATAATTGAGTTTGACGTTTTTAGGGGTTTCGTGTAAAGGCTTACCAGAGCTGTAGTCTGCCCATACAGTTGAAATTGTCGAATTCTGTTCAATGCGTTATTTTAACACTTCACGGAAATTCGCATCCTTTGGGCCTAAAAGTATTTTGGGCCTCTATGAGATAATATCTGACATGGAAAAAGAAGAAGCGATGATGGCAAAACTCTTTCTTGTGATCGGATTAAAAAACAATTTGAAAGCTGTTGCTTGGCTGTACTCGCGTTCCAAAGGCACTAGCATTGTTTAACGAGGAAACTGCGTCATTCGCCCTAATGGCAGACAAGTTGAAAAGTCTTTTTGGATTGACGACATAAATAAGAATGGTGATTCCGATGACGTTCTCGATATTCCAGTCGCCCTTGTCGGTCATCTTTATTTATTTGTCCGTGTTCTGTGTTGTAGTGAAATTGGAAATTCGACTAGAAGTCGACATTAAGTCAAATAAATAATATTCTGTATATATCTCTCACTTAATTACAACGGGATGGAAAGAAGATTCCCGGTCTGATTTAGTCTCTAGTCCTTAATCAATATTGAATCACAGTTTCGCCCACAGAGTTGGGATTTTAAGTCGTGTCTAGCTTTTCAAGTCAGGTTCGCGCTGCTTGCAGAGTCTTAATATGACAAACGAATATTTTTCAGAAATGCTTCCTGATCCGATTGGCTCATCTCTATCTACCTTGAAAACCTTGGAGCATCTGGTAAAATAAAATAACTAGAATTCGGTTGGAAACCGAAGACTCATCGATCGGAGGTTAGGGGATCCCCAAAACAGTGGTCTTACTCCATAGTGACATCGTGTGTCCCATCACTAATTAATTAATAACTCGCTAATTATACGACATAATCCATCCAAAATAGATAGGCTCCTGTTCCGAACTATGATAAAAGCACATGCAAAATTTGGAGAAGATTCAACCTCGTTTTCGTGAGATATCGCGTGTATCTAACAGACAAGCAAACAAACAAACAAACAGACAAATACCTATCAATATACTTACCGATCTTAAGATCGATAAGTAATAATAATACACAAGACAAACATACAGGGAGAGGGGTAATACAGAGGGGTAATTCATAAAGGTGGCAAAACTCGAAATGAGTTTTCAAACATAAACGTGCTGCTTTAAAAATACGTCGTCTCTTAATTGCTCAAACGTATATTTATGTAATGCACCTCAATTATATACTTGGCTCTAGTCATCAACTTACCGGACGTATATCCATGAAATTTTGTTGTTTGCAATATACCAGCTATAAACTAAACTAACTCACCCACCCACTCCACCTCCGTTCCACCTGGCCGAATATTTTGGATTTGGTCTTTTTTTCTTCGGATGCTCCCATTGTGACAATACTTGTGTTAATTGATCCAGTGTACTATTTCACACAACTATAACGTGAGGTTTAAACTTCCCTTGAACGGCACAAAGGATGTCGAATCATAATATATAAAAATAGCACTCGGAAAAATTTCGTCTAAAGCGAAGTTACAATTATTCTTTATTAAATTATTATTCATGACTTCATCGAAAAAAGAAAAGTATGCAATCTTTCCTAATGAAAGTCGGAAATATCGACTCCCTACTTCGGACTTCGAATTCAGACTTTAGATGAACATTTCCATTGCAGATTCTGAACTCGTAATTCCATTGAAGTAATTTTTTTTCTTCCTGTTGGACTCTAAATATTCTAAGTACATAATTTATCTATCGTTAGTCTGTTGAAGGAATGCTCCATTTTTGTAAATTTGCAGACGCAACTTGTTGTTGACATGATTCATCTATCGTTAGTCTGTTGAAGGAATGCTCCATTTTTGTAAATTTGCAGACGCAACTTGTTCTACGACTTCTAAGCGTCAAATGAATGCGACAAAGAAATTAGCTAAGCCATTGCTATTTAACAGGTGTTCAGGTACCTTTAGGTATTCCGCGTCAATGTGGTGTCCCCAATTTTTTTTTAATATTCCGGCATATGTTATGATAACAAAAAGAATTCCAAATCCACCAAGCACGTATTTAGTTTTCAAGAGGATTCTATTTTGTGTAATAAACATTTTGCAAGGAACGAACTTCCTAATTTATTACGGAAACAATGGCTAAACAGCAAATTGTTGATGGAACGTAACAATTGAAATTTAATCAGCCACTCAGACGCTATTTTCAAGCATGGTCGTAAAAATTGACTCATTTTCGTAATGCTAGGCGCCATTGGTGAAATTCTACTATGTTTTGAGAATTTCAATTTGAATTAAGCGGTCATTTCGTCCTATTATGAAAATTTGCATAATGCTGGGTCACGCGTGGGAACTTTGGTTCAATTGAAGTACCGTAATGGAAAAAAGAATTACAAAAAAAACTAGGATATATTACTGCATGGACTAAGTTCAGTTAGTTTAATGGCAGTTGCTTGGATATTTAAAAACAAAATATTGATTTTGAAAATTTATAACAGTTTGCAAACGCCAGCTTCGCGCATAAAAGAGTTATTTCATTCATGACTAAATTTTAGAGACACTAATAAAAACTGACAAATGGCACATGAAACCCAGTCAATAATTCTGAACGGTCGCCTAAATTTCAATTTTAACGTATTGCTGATTGGTTATAAATACGTAATAAACAAATCGATTCTCGGGAAAACAATAACGTCCATCAACTTGGCGACCTGTGAAATACCAGAATCTTGCTTTGAGATTTAATGACACCATAGGAAAAATTTAGTTAGGTTTTCAATTCATTTTATCATCGTTATTTATATTACATACCGCACGTTATATCATACTGGTAAGAAACCGACAATCGCTGAAGAAAAACTACGTGATTGCTTTCCTTACATCCCATCAGCCAAAATAGAGGATGCGCGCTCATCTGAACAAGCTCATATATCATATTAATATTAAAATCACTGAGCGGAGTAATGTAGCGCGTAATTACTTATCGATCTTTAGATCGGTGAGTATGTTGATAGGTATTTGTCTGTCTGTTTGTCTGTCTGTTAGATGCACGCGATATCTCACGAAGGCGTGGTTGAATCTGCTCCAAATTTTGCATGTGCATTCATCATATTTCGGACCAGAAGCCTATTGATTTTTATTTGATTTTTTTTTATGTCGTATAATTAGTGAGGTATTAATTAATTAGTAAAAGAACACAAGGTGTTACTATGGAGTAAGAGCGTTGTTTTGGGGATCCCCTAACTTTCGATCGATGAGTCTTCGATCTCTGAGCGATATTCTCGTATTTTCGACTCAATGAATATTCTTGAACAGAAAAGTTACTCTAGGCCATATTTCTTAACCTGAGTTTGACCGAACTTCTGGGGTTTGGTGGGGCTGTTCCGTTGGTTCGCCGAAAGTATTCTCAAATAGTGAATTATTATGGATTATGAAGTGAAATACTATGAAGTATTTCCGTTACCCAGCTTATAAATCATGAAAAAAACAATTATAGTTCACCGTCCCCCTTTTCAAAAGTTATGGTTTTCGAATCGCTGCCATCTTGTTTTCTTTGTCCGCTGAAGGTCGAGGTGAAATTCTCAAATTTTATATTGAGGCTATATTTGTACAATGCAATTCTGACATATTAGTCTTTCCTCTTAGTGAGTTATTCACGAAACAGGTTTCTTCATGGATGTGAACTATCAGCGAACTGTCTGACTTTTTTAATTTATGTGTCCGGAGAATCAATTACATTAAAAAAAAGTCACAAGTATTCGAGATTCGGTTCTGGAATCATCAGGTATTTGAAAATGCCTAGCTCTACTAATGATCAGTACGGTAACTTAAAACTAAATATGTCAGTGGTATCTTATGTAGGTCACAGTACAAAATTATGGACGTAGTTGTACATCTGTATAAAAATATAATAACACATTTTAATTCACATTCCGTGCAATTTTAAATTTTGTGACAGAGAAAAGTATTATAACATGGAAGGACTGTCGTCCGCCATTTGCAGTGAGATAAAGATAGATTTCCAAAAAAACGTCGCCGATTTCAAAAACGTTGGAACCAATCATGGCTTGGATCATCACGTGATTGGGTCTCGTCGACCAATCAGTACCACCAATCTTGTGTCACTAATTTTATCTTATGTTTCTTCATTATGATTGCTCTTTTTTTTTATTCTGACACGTTGGTCGGGAAAACGGGGATGATGCGCATTTGAATCAGGGGCATTGAGGAGATGGCAGCGTTCAGCGGTCGATGCAGGTTAGGATAGCTACGTTAGAAGTCAGAATTTTTGAAACTATTTGTATATAATGTGTCTATTTATGCATGAGCAGAATGCAGTGCTAGGTTTCATTTTTCTTTAGTTAAATTCGTTCTATGTTGTAAATTTGTTTGTTTTATTGTATTTATGCAAATGTTTATTAGAGTTATACGTATGATCTACTGTCAGACTGTAGTACTATTTGCGACGACAGGAATGGAAGCGTAACTTTGACTTGCCAAAATAATCGTATTCTAATTAGGTATAGCACCTGCTGTAATTCTACGCTTCATTTTGACAGGGGCGAATCGCCCTATACATTAGACGATATTGGGGTATCATTTTGTAGAGTGTATTCTATTTTGTGTATGCATTTGATATTTCAGTATCGTTTGTTTTTGAAATTCGGAAGGAGTGCACAATCATTGTGGGATTCATTTGCATGCTCGTTTAAAGTGATCAATCAGTAAGTAATAAACGGACCAATGAGTGCTTCTAATGACAGCGTGTTTTTTGTTTGTAAGCATAGAATATATTAATGAGATTGTTTTACAGATTATTGAATTGACGAGTGCGATTCATGATTTGAGTCGATATGTGTTATTTCGACGATTTTTGTTTGGTGGACATGGTCTCCTCCGTCCTGATTTCATCGACGGATTTCCTCAGCTAAGTTATATCGCATTGTATTTAATTTAAAGACATATCCTTACATGAAAGAACGTTAAACTATTTCTGTGTCTTACCGATATTACTTTTCATTCACAGGCTTCTGAATTGGCGAAGACAGATCGTAGCTGGAGTCGGGAGTTGACTATATGTAAAAGATGATCAGGTTCATCGCCTCACGCCTCAGGTTGGTGTGCTGATAAACGCGTATAGCGTTTGGCGTACATATTGTACATTTTATGTGTACCGCTGTCAATAAATTAAACCTGTTACTGTTAGTGACCCAATATGGATGGAGGAGTGCAAATAGGGATTGGGTGCGGTTTGAAAACGTAATTACGTCATAATTATTCGTATCGTTATTATCGTCAATAATATATCATTGAATTTAGTTTGCAGGAATCAGATACAGGTGAGTTAAAATTCGTCAAGAACAGAATAATAATGCAATATGGTGGTAGGTACGTTCCTTACGTTCGTGATAGCTCCTGGACCGCTTGAGGTAACTATTTATTTAAAATGTTATGGGCGTCTTAAAAATTCTCTTGTCCGAAGTCTTCCCGCTCGTCTCACAAAGTAGTGATACATGAGATTTTGGGGAAGCGTTACTATTATTAAATATACATCCAGATAATTACACAAGGCTTCTGCTATAGCAAAAAATTGTTAACTGTAGCTGGTGGTCGTTATTAATGTGGAAGTCTTGTTTTTTGTATATTTGTGCGACACTTTCGCGAAATAAAAGTATATTTTTAACACGAGTCGATATATTTATGGCAGGTGAATTGAACAAGAAATGACAGACTGATGGAGTCATCCATATGTAACACTTACTGTCGATCCAAGTTGTTGGCAGTACTGAATACAAACGCCGGGGTATAGTCTACAAGGTGACTACTTATAACAAAAGTTCACAAGCCATTTTCAGGACGCCCCAAAGACAATTCCAAGTGTCCAGTGCGACCTCAGGTCCATATATATATTTTTCATGAAACTTTTACACTGGACTTTTGAGCGAGTTTGGTCATGTGGTGGTTTTAAGTAAAAAAGGTTAAAAAAAAGGCTGAGCAGAGAATACCACATACTACGTCGTGCGCAAAAAGTTGGATAGTCTCGAAGTATGTGAATCAAGATGTCGGACACTGGAACGTAGTATGTGTACCAGACTACCAGGTTAGGGTTGGGCCATACTTTCAGGTACAAATACTACGCGAGTCACTTGGGTAGTCCCCGAACTCGTAATAGAACTAAAATAAGAAAAATTGGAATAAAATTTCACATACTTCGGGAGTACCAAAGGTTAGACGTTTTAAATACTACTCGCACTAATTGTAAATGTGAAATTTAACACTTTGGGTCGTCGGGTTTATTATATGCGCGAGAACTGTAAAATAAATTGCCTTTAATCGGGATTTTGTACCTTGATTAAACCTGGTGCAGGTTGAGTAGATCCTTCCATTAAAAATTTCAAATGTTATTTTGAGTTCTGTAGAAATATCATCACCTTTGAAAATTTAAATTTTCGTCTTGGACTAAGACTTGACTCAAGACTCCAACGTACCAAGTTTCCTTGCCATCCCTGCTACCCAACCAAGAATCTCGATTTTAAAGTTAATAAAAATGATTTATTTTTCAGATTTTCAGTCGGGGAAACTCGTACGATTTTGCAGCATTGAAGAAAACTATTTCACGGTAAGTATTTGCAGAAAACCGTATTGTCAGTTTGATTGTTTTAATAGAGAAATTTGCCAATAATTTATATGACCAACAAACTGGAAAATAATCATCTGCATCCGCGTGAAGAGAGATGTAAATGGCTCGATTTGGTTCAAACCCGTTTCACCATTTGATCAACGACCCAAAGTTTCTCCAGTAATCTTAAATAAAATGGACTCTGTTCTTGCATGACTCAAGATGCGAAAATAATCTCGCATCTTCTCAGCATGCCATTTATATAAACATCCCCTAAAGTCTATTTCGTTATTCGGTCTTGATGCATTATTCATCATTTGAAATATTTAAAAAAATTAGCTGGTGGATCCTGTCAGATTTGGAAAAGGTAAGGTCAAGACAGACAAATTTAGCCCAAATCTTTTTGGTGTATTATCACGCCAGATCCTGTTAAATGAATTGTGAAATGGCGAGAAGTACGGTGATTCCAAGTTAAAGTATGTGTAGCCGGAGTCTGGGTTATCGTGTTTTGTTGAGATTCAAGTCATGGGGGAGAGTCGATGTCAAAATTTTGTCGCACAGGCAACTTCAGGTCTGTAGTAAGAAATATTTCTGGTTCGACTGTATTTGAGTCGTAATAAGAGTCAAAAATAAGAATGGCCTTGGTCTTGCTCTAGAATACGACCTTCCAATGTCGGCAGCAGCCGTGAATCTCATGTCCAGTAACAAGCATTTTTTAAGTTCCTCAATGTTTGCAGGTTCTCCAACCGTGCCCAAGAAAGCACGTGAAGAGGATTTGCACTGATGACTGTTCCTGCATTCTAGTTTGTACCCTTTTTGTAAATAATTCACGTGTCTCATGATATCTTTCTTCAGTTAGTTTTGTCATGTCTTATAAACATCGTAATGAATAATATTAATTGTTTCGAACGTAATGAAAGAAACTTTGTTATTACGCATTATTACACATTTTCTTCAAATCGATCACCTTGTGTCTATGAAATCTAGTCACGGTACTCCATTTGCATAGACTATTTATTGTTCCCTGCATTCATATCCAAATGCCTGGCTTTTTTTCCTTATTTGTGTAATGATATAAACATGAATACTATAATCTTGATATGCTGGGTAAACTTCTTAACGAATAATATAAGTTATTTCGAACTTGATTTCGCCACTTTTTTAAAACCTTTTTTGTATTTTCATGTTTATCTTTGTTTCAATAAAATCTGGCAACGATACTTGATCTCTTTGAGTTAGTAGTGTGGTTAAGCTCGTACAATATGGTCTGCGTATTAAGGGATCGCTATTCCAGATCGTGTGAAGTGGATTCCAGTATGACGTCACCGCTGGGGAGGGGGATTTTTTTCCACACCGTACGGGCCGGGGAGGGGGATTTTTTTCACAGGCCGTACGGGCCGCGCTGTACAAAAATTTGATGCGGGAAATTTTATGTATGGCCAATCGCCGGCCATAGATAATCCGGGGTTAAATGCTAAAATTTATCATCGACCAAGCATGATCATGCATGATCGCCATTTAAATTACAAAATGTCATCATTTACCGAGTCTTATCCTTCGATTTGTCACATTTTTGGGGAATTTGACCATTTTACTTACCGTGACGTGACGTCTGCCAGCACACCGATTTTTATAGAGAGCCGTGCTCAGCAGGCCTCGAACTATTGTCATCATGAAAAAATGAGTAATTATTCCTCTAATCCAACGCCTTTAACCGTTAGGCCATGAAAGCCATTTGCCATGAGAACCCAAGTTCTAATATTTATTTGTGGACATTGAAAACTCTTAGTGGCCTGAGTAGTCAATGTCTCAAAGAGTTTTTAATACCCACACATAAATATTAGAACTTGAAGCTTCATGGCAACTGGCTTTCATGGCCTAACGGTTAAAGGCGTTGAATTAGAGGAATGATTACTTATTTGTTCATGATGACAATAGTTCGTGGCCCACTGAGCACGGCTCTCACATAAAAATCCGTGTGCTGGCAGACGTCACGGTAAGTAAAATGGTCAAATTCCCCAAAAATGTGAAAAATCGAAGGATAAGACTCAGAAAATTATTTCATTTTGAAATTGACATATCGATCATGCATGATCATGCTTGGTCAATGATAAATTTCACCATTTATCCCCGGATTATCTATGACCGGCGATTGGCCATACATAAAATTTCGCGTATCAAATAAATATCAAATTTTTGTACAGCGCGGCCCGTACGGTCTGGAAAAAAAATCCCCCTCCCCAGCCGTGACGTCATACTGGAATCCACTTCACGATATGGAATAGCGACCCCTTAATACGCAGAACTTACTGCACAAGCTCAACCACATTACTAACTTATTCAAACTTAAGAGATCAAGTGCAGTTGCCAGATTTTATTGACACAAAATTCATTGAATCACAGCGACATAGGCTTGAAAAAATCTGATCCGCAGGATATGAAATATATTAAATATTATTTATAATGTTGATCACGTGCATAAGATGTCAGAAAATGTCAAACACAAAAACTATTCAAGAGACTAAAAGAAAAATCAAATATCAAAAGAGTTGAAATAGACTCAAAATTATGCTATATATATGCAGAATATATAAGATCGCAAAAACAAGATTTACACGCTGATCACGTATAGGAAATATGCCAAAAAAATAAAGATTACACAAAAACGGTTTGAACAATTGAATAACTAATACAAAATATTGTAATAAAAACTCTCTTGATCTTCAGTTGTTTGACACTGTTGATGACCCTGTGGACAATAAAGAAAAAGAAATTTATACTTTTCATATTGGACATTGCGCCTCTATACCCCTAGCTTGTGTATAATGTTTTATTAGGATTGTTGGGGGGAGTGGAAATCCCATAATTAGAATTGCGATATCATTGTAATTTATTCAAAGTGGCGCGAAATTTTAGGCCACGAACCTCAAAAATATTTTAAACTTTAATGGACGGCATGTTCAATAAAACTATGCAAATTAATGCATCACCGACCCTCACTGGAAATTCTCATCCACCAGGGAAATCGACCATCTAATGAGGCAGGATGAACGAATGATTGAATAATAAACTGAATTCTAACCTGGTACACAACCTGAGTTCAGGTTGTGCGCCATCTTGGTGCGCATACTTCAGAGGAGGTCCAAATTAAATTATTAAATTAAATAAATTATCTCGCGAGTTTGGCAGTTCAAAGTTTACTCATGATAATCATTGGAATTCTCTAACCAGATTCCTTTTATTTCGATCACTGCAACAAGTTTGAAAATCCTCCGGATCTAACACTAACATTTTACTAACTTCGCCAAGAGAAAATCCCACTTTTGCCTGATTCTACGAAAAATGGACTGGACTACAAAAAAACTAATTCGGGCAAGTATGATGGTTTTCGACATATCACAGTTAATTACTTAGATTTTCACATGCCGATAATTTATTTCAAAAATTCATACTCGCATATCGAACCTTATTCTGACGTTTTTATCCAGCGTTGCGACAACTTCACTGGACAACAGAAATTTTGCGAACACTACATACGGATGACGTCAGCATAGTCATGCAAATTCATGTTTGATTCGCCTGGCAATTAATATATATACAAGTTACTTTTTCGATCAAACACGATGCTGTCAATAGGGATTTTTGAATTGTGCCAAGTCGGTTTGAAAAAACAAAAATCAGCAATGTACATGAATCGCTTATTTCTTACCGAAATTGGGTTTTCAAATCAGATAAAAATAGGTATCGATATCGGCTCCTCCACGAAGTATTCATGGGTTGCTATATATATATATCCAACATGATTAACTTGATTTTTGTTCTTCAAATACAATGCGATATACTTACATTAGTTGAGGCCATATGGCGATGAAATCAGCTTACTCATAATTTGCTCTTGAGCGGTAATTTTGAAAAAAAAAAAAAGAAACAGAGTAGAGAATATCAATAGCCGAACTCTTCGATCTGCTAAGCTCTTTTAACTCGACATCGCCTCCAATCACAAATTGCATTCGCCAAGTCAAAAAACCTGCGGAAATAACGCATCGATGCACACAAATTTTTTTGAAATGATAAATAGTGAGGACGCTAAATCGCCTATCCGCCCATTTAATACTTACAAAATACGTCGGACATGAACATGAATCCCGAGATCTCTTGGTTTGACCCGAAAAATCAAATCTTGAGCGTTTGTTTGAACAATAACGAAACGTAGCAGAAAACAACAAATGCAGCAATAGACACAATATATATAATAACATACCACTTCAAAATCACTCCACAAAACATTAAATGTCGTCTACTGTAGTACGATTCGTTCCAGACCGAGTTAACTAATGGGGCACAAAATTGTTGTAGGTGCGATACTTTTTTAGAGGATAAGATTATTTCGGCCAAATACGAATAGTACTATTGTAAACCTTAAGTCAAGAAACCATAAAATAGCACAATAAAACAAATAAATTTAAAGCATGAAACGTACGAAATTGCAGTAAAGTACTATACTCTGCCTCATGTATAAAAACACTACTCAAATGGCTACAAAAAGGCTGACCAACTGACTGAGGTCTAGCCAAAACCGACCGCAACACGCTGCCATATCCTCAATGTCCCTGATTCAAATACGCGTCATCCCCGTTTTCCTCCGAGCCAACGTTTCAATATTAGAAAAAGGCAATCATAATAAAGAAACACAAGATAAAATAGGTGGCACAAGATAGATAGCACCGATTGGTTGATAGCTCACAACCACGTGAAGGGCCACGCCATGATTGGTTTCTACATTTTTGAGGATAAGTACGTCACGTACTTTGGCGTGATAAGATACCCAATTGGGTATGTAACGAGAAGGTGTAGTGATAAAACGGAATGAAATCCAATTCAGAAGCCTAGGTGGGTCCTTCGTCCTACCAAATACGTTTAACATTTGTGTCCCCCTGCGCTTATATACCTATATATACTCAATTATTTCATGCGCCCTGTTTAATATTTAAGAACCCAAATAAACGGAGGCAGAAGAATTAACGAATCACCGTCAACTTATTTTAAAGTAAGGTAGTCACCCTGATTGGTCGGGCCCTGAAAAACCGCTCCGTGACTACCTAGCTGGGAGATGCGTGGGCCTGGTTTGAGAATCCCTGACCTAAACCTTAACTGCCTGGTCATTGCGATCATCGCGGAAATCCTATTGACACGCATGATGGTTGGTGTATATTGTTAGACGAAATCAGGATTCTCTGCGATCGCGGTATCGTCTTCGCTGCCGCACTGCACTCAACACCATTTATTGAAATTCTTGGATCGCCGACTGGCCAAAAACCTGCGACCAGAGCAGTATGCTGGTAAATTCACCGTAACTGACTGGATATTATTCGTCAGATATGTGATTTTTGGTTTTATTCTCCCCGAAATACTTGATTTATCGCAATTATTATAGTCATTGGCTAATTCCAATACCAGAAGTGCTACAAAGAACTAAAATTCTTCCCACACTTCCTAAAGATTGCAAACAGTAGCAGGCTTGCGTGCCCCGTCAACGGTTTTCTTCCGCATATTGATGATCAGAGCTATATTGGCAGGCGGAATTCTGACGAAAAGTCCACAATGTATAGCAAACTAAGCCTTATATTTCCGATTGCCGATATTTAGGACAAACAGATGTATAAATATGTTTTATTGAAAACCAATCAGTAAAGAAAATAATAAAGACACTGAGCAATACACAGGAACAATGCACACATTTGTAAACCAAGATTTCACAAGAATTAGAATATACTAATTATTAATAATCTTGGGTTCAAAGTTCACAACACAAGGCAAGTTGGAAATAAAAATTTTGATTAGATGTCTGGCCTCGCAAATGAAACGAGAATTTCAGATTAGTAGCCTACAACTTCCATGTGGTGTTAAAATGATTAATACATCTAATATATATAAATTCAGAGACATCAAAGTTGGGTATCGATTGTTTTTCTTTGCACTGAAAACGCATTTCTTTTCCATGCTTTATGTATAGTGCATGGCTATTGGCTGTGGCGAGAGTGAAGACATCTTTTATAAATGAGGGTTATTGCACACTGAGGTAAGACTCCTGGATCATTTAGATTTTAGAATATGGCGTTTTTAGGAAAATATCAACATTTATTTAGTCGCTAAATTCTTCTATATTAAAGTCTTCATCAGGATCTTTGTTAACATCTTCAATATTTTCTCCATCAGCAGCATCTGGACATGAAACTTCTAATTGTTGTAAATTTTCTGACATATTCTCACCCAGTTCATTTTCAATTATTTTTTCATTTACACTGAAAGGATGATGAAAATGAGTCATTTCACAAAAAATAAGATAGGTCGCAAAACCTTTTATAGTTTATACCCTACAATGGATCATAATGCAATATTGAGAATGAACGGATGACACCGATAAGTGAATCTTGACACAGTAGGAGGTTATAATATCATGATCTATCAGTTTTTCAAAGGTTATTGAAACTAGTATAGAAATATATTGCAGACACAACTATCTACAAAATTACGGTAGAAAAGTTTCAGCTGTATAACTTGAAAAGATCTATATGGAAATCGCACAAAAAGTCTTGAATTGGTAAACTCAAATAAGTAAAACTCAAAAACACATTTTTTTTAATCTTCCCAGTCAATGCTGAATAGAGATTGATATATCGGCGGTGTGGCGCATAGTGCTAAGTTAGGAATACGCTCACGATCACCCATCTGATCACCCGGCATGGGTTCACAGGTTCGAATCCTTGTGTAATAATCATGTGCGAGAGGATTGCTGAACTCTTTTTTTCCGTAGGGTGATTCACGTCAACACTGGTCGGTTACGACTTCCTACACCATCCATTCCATGCAAATGACACAAATAACTATCGAATCCCAAAATCTGACATGTACTGCTAACTGAACGAGAGGCTTTATTCTCCCGCGAGATAAATATGTAGAATCCCCACAACAGTTATTTGAATCGCCTCGTCTGTAGAGGGCACAGGAGATATCACAAGCTCCCATATAGACAGTGAAATTGCCATTTAGGGTAGCTATATAAAATGTGTACTGCTAATCAAGTGTAATATTTTACTTACGAACTGTTCCGCAAACGTTTTAAATAATGTAATAATAATTACCTTGAAAAAGATTTCCACTTTGGCAAACTTATAACTTTGGATAAATATTCAATTTGACTGCGATCGAGTGAAATACTTTCAAAATTTTTAGTTGTTGAATAATTTTTATTTCTTTGTAACGTAGTGATCTTTTGCATATATGGAAGCATGTTTAATAACAGTTCTCGATTTGGTAGATTGAAATTCCAAAATAAACGATGACTGGAGGATTCGTTTTCATGACATTTCTTGTTGACCTAAAAAAAATAGAAAGAGCATTGTTCAGCATAGATACAAATGACTAATATGACCACTATAATGTCAACAAAATTTTGTGCTTATGTTAGGGGAACTGTATGGAGTGTCACAAAGAATTGCACTGAATGTCATTTGAAAGTGTGCCCATATGAGAAAAAACAGCAAAAATTCAAGCCATTTTCCACAACAAAAACAACATCAAGGACAAAACAATCCATAGGTCCATCTTTGTCCAATAAATTAAAACAAAGTAGCTCAGAAAAACTAAAGCAGTTACAAGGTACACCACCTCATATTAAAAGTGCTTCCACACTTTGATGTTATTCATGACAAAAACTGAACTTACAATAATGCATTTTAGTGAATTTGAATAATAAAACAAAACCTAACTTGCCTGATACCAGCTTGGTTTATGGAGTGGTCTCCATTGACCAGTTGAAGATTCACATTGTTTTAATGTTGCTCTGTCTGAATTCCAAAATGCAACTGAACGGGAAGACAGGCTACCTGAAAATTAATGGTGAATTCGACAAAATATACCATATTAATGAGTAATAATAGGAAATAGTCAAAATAATGTAATTCATACCTTCGTAATTATCTAATGCCGTGTTGGAATCAGTAGAAAAATCTGTCCCTGTTTTTCTCGTACTTGTTATATCAGCAATACAAAAAGAATCGAGTGCAGCAGATAAATCATCAAGTTTACTGAAGAAAGGTACAAAATTATGATGTAGAAATAAACTGTATGAAGATCCCGAGAGACAACAATGATCAAGAATATCCTGTCGTAAAAAAAGGGAAACTGTTATTAACTCTATTTTTTAGGAGGAATACAAGTCCTCTGGTTCTTTTTATTATTCACCACTCAACAAAAATGAAAAAAATATATAATCCAGTATACGAAAGCCAAATAAAAAAATTTGTTCATTACTATACTAGGAACTTCAGTTGCTCAGAGTGAAATCCCAAATTGTTCCTAAAATAAGAATTAAAAAATCGAATATACCAAAATTAATTCTGAATCAATTTAAATCCTTTTGCACATCTATTTTTCAATTTACTGTGACATCATGATAAATTATAGCATCCCATACACTGTGATTTTATAGTATATGGTAAGTAACAAATATCATTCTTCTTTGGTCCACACTAAAATACACTAACCTCAGGTTCAAATAGTAAAGGATCCCTGTATAAATGCTGAAGATGATTTGGTAGTTTAGAAGCTTCTTTCTCTGGCTCTTTCCCTGTTCAATATAGACATAAACAGCACAATTAAACTAAATCAAAAGGTATGGTTATAATAGTATAATATAAACATACTTTTGCAATATAGGATTTTCCCCAGGGCTCTAAATAATACTAATGAAACATCTTTTCCACCAATAGAAGGCATTGCATTGTTAGTTACAAGATCAACAGACTTCCTTCGTTTGAGAGAACCTTTCATTTTTTTGCTTTCTGGTTGAAGAAATGAAACTGGTGTACCTTAATAAGAAACAAAACTACGGTACGTAAAATATTCTTCAGTTCAAGAAACAAAAAAAACATCAGCACAAGCACATTGGGAAAAAAAAATTCCAACCAGTCACAGTTCAATGATTACTTTTGATGTTAGCACAGTTAGAATGATACTATGTATGTAGAACAGGGCAAATTTATCATAATATTGAGATATACACAAATCAGATTCAGTCATGGGCTCATGGCAAAGTCTGAATAGGACAATAGTTAAACTATCACATAACAAAGTATAGTAGAATACTTACTAAAAGACAATTTTTAAAAGCAATTGACATTGCTTATAAAAAAATAAGGCAGATACCATTTTTTCCATACATTTTATTATTTTACTCACATAAAATTAAAATAAATACCTACAACAATTTGTTGTCGGTGTCATACCTAATATAGAATCTTTCAAAATAATTCAAGGCATTCACTCTTAAGTCAGATTCATCATTGGTGGCCTCCATTGCAGAGATAATAGTTATCTTCTATTTTTAAATTACATTAATATGCAATGTAAAACTTACCTTTTCGTAATATAAATTGAAGTGAATTAATTGCTGCTCTTATGTCCCCAGAACTTGACGAAACTATTGAATTTAAAACTTCTTTTGAAAGCTTTTGGTTTTCTTTTGTTGATATTTTAGTCAATGCTTTATTCATTGAAGTCATTGAAACAGGATTAAAACTGAAAAAATTCACAAACATATGAGACAAGTTTTTATTGCTCTGAACAAACCTCTATAAAAGTAGTGACTCATGGTATTTGAATATCTCTGGTTGATGAAAACATGTGCTAATCTAATTTAAAGGTAGGTTGAACAAGCTGAAAAATACTGATAAAAAGACTTGGAAAAGTACATTTTAAAATTCAAATTGTTCACTACAAACCTAATACTTTGAATTTTTAACTGATTAAGAACATCAGTAGGAAGAAGATTTCTTTTCACAGAATCAGGAATACTTCCATCACTTAATATAATAATCAGCGGATGTTTCTGATGTCGCCTGTATTGCCTGCAATGATAATAAAATTTTGATAAAAATATTTTCTCATTCCATTTGCTCCACAGACTTTTTAGTTTGGCCACATATAATTAGGTAGATTTAGCACGGTCATTCGGTCATTAGAACGAATTAAAAATGAAATTCATAATCTGAATGTTAATTTACAAAATACAAAATAAACGTACCTAAGAAGGTCCCGGAAAGTTGTTGGTTCACGTATTATATGATGAGGTAAATCTTCAAGTAATAACATTTTTCTATCTTCATAATTTTGTTGTGAAGGCGTATTATTATTAGCATAATCATTAGATAGAACAAGTGATGGGTATCGACCACTTCGAAATAAAAAATCTTCAAACTGTGAGGTCATGTTCATATGATAAAGACCTGAAAATAAATATTCATAAATGAGTGGATGTAAGTGAGTGAATTTAACACCTTGACCAAGGTGTGTGCTTAGCAGAAATATTGCAGACGAAACAAAGTACGCATTTAAAATTTGAGCCCAATTCCCACAAGCTAGGCTACGAAGATGAAGAAAATAAGAATCAAAGCAAAGGCTTACTATTATGAAAAAAAATTAAAAATACACATGCCTACCTGCTTCTCTAGATGCTGTGAATGAAATAGACAGAGGATTCGTCCACTCTTGTATTTGTACTGAATGTGCTGCAGCAGCTACCAAAACTGTTGCTGTTTTACCACATCCAGATGGCCCAGTTAACAGAAGGATGGGGGCACCTTTCTAAAAAAAGAACACGCTGTGTAAAATACTGCGAAGTATCAAATATCTTTCACACTTATTATTCCATTTATTCACCTTTTCCATTATTTTACTATGAGAAATCCATGCCTCAACTTCTGCTATTTTCTTTTTGTGAACGGCTAAATCATCCTAAAGTTTTAAAAAGTTAAATAAGTCTAGTCTATTCATGTACAAGATACCAATAACAAATTTAAAAAGGCTGGAAGGGGAATAGCTCTTCATTAAATTATCTTACAAAGGTAGAAGGAGTGTATTTATCAATCCATGTTGCGCTGTCTTCATTTGATGACTTGATAGCAACATTATTTACTGGTCTTTTCCTTTTCTTGGATGCTGAGTGGGAGGAAGATCCTAAACAAAGAAATTAAAGGGTGACTATGCTTAAATGATAAAATAGTGACTTGAATCCATGAAATGTAAGAAAATTAAAATAGATTCGAATTCAAAATAAAATTATTCGACTACAAATTTACAAACAGTTGTTTCAAGAAAATATATAACAGTACTGCAGTATGAAGCAGTATGAAGAGAATGATTGTCTCCGATCAAATCTTGTATCACATGTTTATTACAGGTACCAGTATTATTTTGGCCGCTTTGTTTTTTTAACTTTTTATACTGTTATTCCATATAATCTATAACTAAAATTCAGAAATCGACCACTTCACTATTGAGCTTAAGAAGCAATATTCTCATTTTTGAAAACTATCAATAAAGCTAAAGAACGGTACCGGTACCTAGTTCAGTAGTTAGATACCGGTATCGTACCGTACCTAGTCTTATTGCTAAATATTGAAATCAGAAATTGTAATAGAATAAAAATGATCACATCTTTATTGCACTTGTTAAATATACCCTAACATTTTTATGAAACTCTCGCACTAAACTAATACCACAATATTATGAAGCAAAGTTTTGATAATGACAGAATGATGTGAGCTTTCAGACTTTTCCAGTAAGTTTACGAAAGCAACTGGCACACGAACTACAGAGCTAACCCTAATTTTTTTCAAGTTTAAGCCAATATACACCCTTACCAAAATCGTCAAACGTACTAGGCCACGATGATGACATTTCATATCCAGTAATTAGGCTTGCACGTAATTTACGGATTTACGGAATTACGGAATTATTTCGAGTTACGGAAGCGAAGTTACGAATTACGTAAATTCGTAATTATTGGTGGAGCGCTTTCGCGATTGAAACGAGCTCTCTTCAGAGCAGTCAATTCCGTCGATTGTAAAAAATTAAAGTTTAATAAGTAGAAGAAGTTAGAGTTCTGGTATTCGCAGCCGTTTTTCTCTCTCTTGTTACGCAGATGGAGAAGGCATAACGCGTTGCCATTTACTAACCTATTATCAACTTATCTAGCATGGCAAATGTACATATTAAGCGTAGATATGGGATAGAATTGTGTTGAGACCGATGGACGCCAACACACCTGGTTTCAACTTCTTCGGGTGAAATGACTAAAGAATGTAAGAGATCAACTTACCAAACATGGTCTATTTGTAAATGCCGTGATAATTAATGTCGCGCTTATCAAACAGCAATATGACGACGGAAGAGAAATTGCGTAATGAACCGACGCAACTTAGTCTTTTCGGCATCGGTAAAGCGATTCAGACGGCAGAGAAACAACAAAAAGACGGGATTTCCCATGTTTATTCTGCGCGAGATCCATTTTCTATTACAAAATCTTGATACTCTGTTACCGGTTTTATCGTTATATATCTGTCCGGACTTGGCCTTGTTTTCACAATGCCTCGCACTATTTCGGCCAAATATGTCTTTACAAAATCTTTAAGTCTTTACCAAATGCGGCAACTTATTTTGATTTATCGTCGACTCAAATACCACCGGCACTCGACAAAACTTGTGTCAATCTTAGCCGATAGGATTGTCGACTTGAGTTAGAAATGTAAATTAATATTTTCGTGAGTGCAAAATAAATGTCACAAAATGCATTGTTTTGCGATATAACTTTGTATTTTCGGAGAAGGCATGTCATATAAGTACGGTATTTAAATTATGCGCAAATAATTAATATTTGATCTAAATTTATCGCAAATAATGTTATAACATTTAGGCCGCGAAATGATTTAATGTGAAATGAAGCATGGTAATCGGAATATCGTCAATAAGTCGGCATCAATAATTATTATAAAATGCTAACTAGGTAGTAAAGTCGGATAATGTAAAAAAACGGTACAATAACAAGTCTTCGTCGCGAGGCAAGCGCAAGTATAATCAACCGAGAGAATACGCTCGTCGTTGATTTATAAATTAGAAACCCGGAATTTTTATTTAATACGAAACTCGTAGTAATACGTTAATACGATTTAAAAAAAGTCAACTATCGTTTCATAAATATATTACCACTTACCAGTGTTGGTAATGATGAAATTGATCGCATAAAATTGGGTGATAAGGTTGATAAAGGAAAATCAAAGCTAACACAAAAGATAAAAATCAGAATAAAATTAATTTAAATTCACTTCTTGATATTTGTATTTAGCATCTGTCGCCGGCGTGTAGTACTGGCGGAAATATGAAAACCAAACTGTCTCAACTGTCGATGTCCCATTCGGAATAGAAGTGGATTAAATTGGTTGTTATGATAGGTTTAAAAGTGTGAAAAAAATATCGCAATTACGGGGTCATTACGTAATCGATTTGGCCGTAATTACGGAATTGATTTTTGTCAATTACGTGCAAGCCTACCAGTAATCAAACAACCCAGTTCGCCGCAGAACGCCAGGAGATGTTGAGTTGAAAGCTTGAGCTAAAATTAAAAAGTGAAGACCAATCTTTACGAGACACGAATCTCATACCACTGGCTTCTGTGGCGCGGCCACTGACGACGTTCTGAACATTGAGGTGGTTCTGAACGATAATAATTTTATTTTGATTTCAGCGGAGGGAGAGAGTTGATATATTTTGTCAATAATAAATGGTGAAAAATTAATACACGTGATATAGAAATAGTGTTGCTCGAAATATACTTTGAAACGGCGAGTCAGAACTCAAAACTCGGCTATGAGAGGACCGACACTATTTCCCCACATCAGCAGTTCCCAAACGTAACTGTTAGGTAGATAGACAGTACTCGCTGTACTCGCAAATTCGTGAGCCGAGTTTGTTGTTCAGGCCTACATGTCTACAAGTTTAAAAGGCAAAAGTACACATCAACGATCACAAAATTGAGTTCTATATATGATGGCATCAATTTTGTTTTCGGGTAGGTGTGCCCTGAGTTTTTTCCCCTGATAATTTGACGTCGCACTGAGCAAAAAGTTTGGAACCGCTGCCTTATATTCAAGCGAGCGCTTTATTGTAGCACCACATTTCAGAAAATGAAAATACACATTTGACACTAGCGTACCAATGGGATACGCATTAGGCCATTTTTTAATTTAAGGAAATCGAGAGACCTGGCTTTTATATGAGAAACATTAGCACCATTTCACACACTTACTTTTCCTTTATAAAACTCGTAATCTAAGACTCTCAAGTACAAAAGGGGCTTTATCGCAAAATGGACTGCTACGGTATCAAATATATTTATGAAAATATCTAAGCTAAATCTAATTTAAAACTACAGTCGAAAGGTCCGTCGCGCGTCTGTCTTTTTTGTTGATTTTTTAGTTCTTCAATTAAACTTCCAATTTTTCTATCGCGCAATGAGCATCTGCTCTTGAGATATTGGTTCTACGTCATTACAATTTTAATTTTTACCTGAATACTCCGTGATAAATGATACAAATGTGTAAACAATAGTCAATAAACAAGAGTCACATTTATTTCTATTAAAAATATAGGTCAGTTATAAAGTGCCGAATTAGATAAAATAATATTTTGTAACCTACGAGGGGTTAGTGGTAATAACATGATGATACAATAATATGGAATAAGTACATAATGTTGTCTTGCAAATATAGACTCAAAATAGAGGTTATAATATTGATCTTCCGTGCTCACATCTCCCCAATGAATGGCGAAAAGTTTTAAAGTGGTGCTCTTTTGAAATATTTGCTATTTCTTGCCGACCCAATCTTTTGTTGCAATGATTTTTCCGATTGCATCATGCATGTAATCGAATCCTTTGAAATGGTAATTGCTCGCCTCCATCGACTGATATGAAAGTAAATAAAATATGATTTAAAATTACTAGTCATCGTAAACTACTAACACAACAAATATATATTCCTAAATAAAGCAAACATGAATATATATACCTCAACTATGATACCGAAGACAACGAAAAATGCTAATGCGAGAGAATGAGAGATTGAAGTGATGACTCCAGTTCCAATGAGAGTAAACATGATTGACGCGCTCACGGCAAGCCTGCCTGTCCTATGATTAAAATAAAGAATGAAATACGTTATATTGTTCTAAACGTCATTCTGATATCCGTAACACCAAATAAATACTCACGTTATGTTTGTTATTCTGTCTGCAAAGTCGCCAAAAACATCCGCAACTATCGTTGTTCCATTGGACACCAAAGTGCCAGCAAGCACGGCGATGTAGGACCCGGGATAAGCTGCTAGGCAAGCTTCAACAGCTGAAAGAGATTGCCAATATAAATAAGCTTGTAATGAGGTTAAATACATATTCAACACTAACTCTATTTGACAATGAAATGTGCGAAGTGAATAAACCGACAAATAATTTTGAAGAATGGATACTGTTATTCGAAATTCCTCACCTACACTTGTTTTCACCATGCGACGAGCAGTTGCAAAAGTCACCATAATCAAAAACATTGGTTGAATTTCTCCAACTTTGAAATACAAGAATTTATTGAAAACATCGTACGGAAGAAAAAGAACGAGCCACCTATTGGTAAAGAAAATATATGACAACATTATTTACTGAGGTCGTATTTTATGATTTTTTTGTCAGACTACGTTTTGTTTGTTAAAATGGTAATTTCATTTTTAATTTTATCTCAATAATGTTGAATAAAAAATAGGAAGAAGAGCATCCATATATCATAGGTCACAACTTAGTGGGTATAGTCTCTCAAAATAAATAATACAAAGCAGTTACAAAATAAGAACTCAAAATACGGAAAAACCGTTTGACACCGTTCATTATTCAAACTGTTGAAGCCAAAAAGTTCCATTATCTAGAAAATTGAGAAAAAAAAGCTGTTTATGCCACCAAGGTCGAGGAAGAATGTTCCAATTGACGTCATAGTAGAAAATGTCATGGTTTGTCATTTCCGACACATATAAATAACAATTACAGTAAATTAAGTGGATTTTTCTGGTTATTAAGTCTATTGTTAATGAGCGATATACGAAAATAAACTTATTATATATTGTGGAAATATCGCTTCTATTATACCACTATTTCCAATTAATCTTGATTTAATTAAAATATAAAATAATGAAAAAATATATAAAAAATGAAATTTCCGATAAATTCAAATTAGCGAACCTCGTGTCTTATCTCACGCACACATTTGCCAAATTTAGCACAGCAAGAAACGAAAACATCTTCTTACCATGCTAAGGCAATTAGTGCCAACGATCTATTGACTGACATTGCCTCCACCGAAGATTTCCCCATCAAAATTGATAGAATAATATCACAACCGAATCCATATAGAACCGCTTTACAGTATGAAAGGAACCAGTTCTTCTTGTGCCATGCGTAGTCTGTCAAATTATCATGTAAGAAAAGTTCAATTCACTAATATCATATTCATCATCTGATTCTTATATTCACGATGATTTCGAATGTGAAGCCGTATTAAAGTCGTCGAATCGCCTTGAATTAATTCTGAATATGACGCAGTTTCGGTGTTAAGAAGCGTGATATGAAACACAAAAGTTTTGTCGAAATCATAAACGGATTACCACGTAAAAAAATGATCAATAATTTAGTTTCAACAATAATTTAATCTTTCTACAAATTACATAGACATTGTGGCTTTGAAGAATACTATATTTGGTTTTTCTACCCACAAACACACACCACCTATTTTCCATGTACTTGACTTATTTCGTACTAAACTAGATTTTATATTGCATATCATTTGCCTTTGAGAAGAAGACTTGAGAAACACCGACTTCAAAACGCTGAGTACCCCGCTATTACCAAAGGATTAATTTTTTAATTTCCGTACTTTTTTAATTCAATTCCATTTTGGAAGTCCGAAAATTGCGCAATATTTCAAGGCGAATCTGCCATTTTGAGAAATGAAGTATTTACCCAAACGTGTTGAAAACTCATATTAATATCTGGTTTATAACCTCATAGGTGTATTTACCGAAGGTGAGGTGACGTTAGACTGACTTCAAGAAGTAAACATATTTCGGGAACAGGCATAACTAGAGTTCACAATGCGGATCGAAATTGGATTTCATGCCACACCTTTGTCAAAATGATTCGTCAAAAATTCACCGTTTCTCGATTCAGTACGTCTTCCGGCCGCTACGAGAAAGACGGTTGGGCAAAAACGATTTATATAGAAATCGAGATGTCGGTGTACGTTTATTAAAATATCATATCTCGCCCACGTAACAGTGCAATAAATAATATGTCTACAACTGTAGCCAAATTTTATGTAATATAGATACATTCAAAGGTTCAATAAGTGATACGCAATGCCGTCTTACCATGTGTCTTGCAAGCTTGTATCGTCATAAAAATTAAATAGCAACAATTCATCTGCTTTGCCACATGAGGAAGAGTTTTCCCAGTAATTGTATCTGCAATCTTGGAAGAAAGAAATATTTATTAGCGATTACAAAATAAATTAATGTTGGAGTAAAATTTCAATGAAAAAATTGTAGAACAAGAATGGCAACAATACACACAGCGAGCGTATATGTCAGTAGCAAATCAGAAGTTTCCCGCCAAAATCATCAACGCGAATCGACTACCTAATAACATTGAATCGTATGAATACTGCTTGAATATTGGAAAATTAAATCATTTACAATCACAAATAGTTTACAATGACATAGCGTAAAGGACGATTAGTTATAATAAACACTATAGCAGTCATCACAATGTATGAAATTAAACTAACTCATTACTGTTAAGGTGGGACTGTGTCCAGTATACGGAGGTCAACACTGCACTTACCTCGTTAATGGCGTCCATCATATCCGCGCATTCAGTTCCAAAATAACAAATAGCCTACGGTTGGTAATCTAGCCAATACCGATTTAAGCTATGGCTGCAAATGCGGAAATAGTATGCGAATCATTTAAAGGAGAAATTGATAGATTAAACAGAATAAGAAAGATAACATACAAAGTGTGCGGAACTGCCTACAAATTGCATGCATAATATATTTGGAGTAACAATACGTCTAAATATATATATTTAAAATACCTGAGATATCAAAAACATTATTCAGGCAGCAGTATACGCCTTACACATGTCCCGCAGGTCTAAGTAATGTGTACACAACATCGTACCGGTAAATGCGTAATGCCTGACTGACTCACTGTCATTATTTGACACCGCGGCGACCCGATCATTTTCATTAGCTCATAGCGTGGAATATAAAAATTGTACGTTTGGCGTAACAAAATGGTACGTGCGCTATAAACAGGCGTTTATTGTGAAAATGAAGAAAAGTGTGAATTATCCTGGTTTTGTGGGTTTTCGTGGCACTTATTACTTTGGTATAGGGTGCGTCACGTTGGGATTAGAATTCACCTTGGCATGAATTCATATGATGCGGTGTTTATAATTTGGTCTAATCAACACAACACTGACACAAGACGTCACTTCTAAAAAATCTAAACTTTGAATTCTCTATTTAGCATATTACGCTTCGATTATCATAGATTAATACTTCTTATGTCGGAAATCGTTTTGCTAACCATGATCGTGGTTTAATCAAGCCATAACGGGCATTTTAGCATATTTGATCTTTTTATCGTGTTTATGCTAGGCTGTATATGGCTATTTCATAGAGGGATGCAAAATCATGGAAATCCTGTTCGAATATTAATTATCAAATGAAATGAAATTCTATTATCAACCGCGCAATCTACAACATACGGTGAAGCATTTGAAAAAAAAACGAACAAAAATAGGACAAGTAACCTCGATATGGATTACCATAACCGCAATTCAAAAATTTGATGGCGTCGTCAGTTCTAGCTTCCAAAGCAAATTTTTCGATACGCAACGCATATACTGTATAGGATTTAAGGGCCCTCTATATAATTTTATATCGTGAATGACATTTGATGACAGCTCTTATCCAGCAGAACTACCGAAAACTGATGTAACATTTCCTTGTGTACCAAAACGTAGCGACTTTTGAAATATTATATAATACCATAAACTACTGATGAAACGAACATTCATTTTGACAACAGCTTAGTGCTTGACCTTCGAGTGACTAATCCATTGCTAATTAATTCCGTAACGTTTTTGATCCGAGAAAGATAATCTAGTCACACGATATAACAACAATGTTGACAAGACATAAATATTTCTTTTTTCATGGTTTGCCTCAAGGCCTGTTAATATCTGTCAATCTCAAATGACACTTCTTGGATTTGATTTATTATGAATCTTAATATTTCTAAATATAGCTCTACTGAGACATGAATTTTGAGATCGGTTATGCGGTGGTTGCTCAAAATATGTCGTATTTCACTTTGTATTCTGAAGAAAATTGAAGTATTACAAAATGCTTTTTAGTCGCAATTCTGTCTCATACTTTCATCAAGAATATAATAGAGTAATGGTAGCTTTAACTTTCACAAGATATGATCCCAAATTTATATGCTGAAGTTCCTGTAGAGCAAGATCTAATAACTACGCATTTTCTATATTATTTCGGCTGTTTACCGACTAAGCTTGACCATTAAATCACCAATAATAGACTTTAATAGACAATAAATTAATTACAATACTAAACTAAAAATGCAATGCAAACAATTGCGAATACCAATTTAAAAAAATTGTCACTCCCCATTTCTGCAAGTTGATTTTCAAAAATTGCCGATTTTAAAATTAGCACTTGCAAAATTTCAAATTCTCCTATTTTATAATTAGAAAACGAAGCGTGTAATATTGCACCACCTTTTATCGCACTTTTTAATCTGGTGGCAAAACCCATGTTTTCGTTGGACAAGTGTGTTCACAAAGCTACAATTAAACATTTAAAATTACATATTAAAAGCAAAATCCGTTAAGATTTGAATTATAATTTCTACCGATAAACCGGAAAATAATAGTACGATTGGAATATAAACCGAGCCTAAAAGGGGTCTGATATAAAGCCCCTGGTTGGTCCATGTGTATATATTGTGGACAATGTTTACATGTACACACACCCTGCAGGGTTTATAAAGTCGAAATGTCATTTCACAAGCTCTTAACTTTACTGCCAGTCATTATGCAATATTTCTAAGAGTTTTTCGCGCGGAGAAATTTTGACACAATTCTCGGCACTACGAAATAACGTTCGACGTATTCAATACTCATTTAACAAAATATTATGCGCACGATTTCATTATTATTTCATTTCATTGAAAGCCACATTGTTGATCTTCATTTCTCTCTTGTTTCAATGAACATAAGTGGAGAGATTTATGTATAACAGTGGTGCATATATCATATACGATTTCAACTTCAAGAAGTAAAAAGCATACTGATAAAAGCCATAGTCAAGTTTATTTTTTCCATCCTGTAAAAAATGACATACGCAATTGAGAAAAAAATAGATAAAATTCAACACACATTTTTACTGGGAAAGAGAAGCCGCGGGGAACCAAAACTGGTTATCGAGCAACGACACGTAAGTTGCAAATATATAGGTTTGTCTTCATGGTGGAGATTTGAATAGATAACGGTTGTCACGAAGCCAAAAAAAAAATAGGAACCTCTGCTTATACAGGGTACCTCTACATTATGACACGGACTGATGTACTGGGACAAGCAAACGTAATAGTTTCTAATCATAATTTTAACTTCCTCATGAATTCGTCAACCAGGTTCATCTACTGGTCTATTTATATTGATGAACGCCATCAAGATTGCGCACAGCCTGAACATAGTATGTGTACCAGGTTAGAGTTATCAGGTTGTGCGCCATCTTGGTGCACATACTTCGGGAGCGCCTGATAAACATCAAAAATTTATACTTTCAAATCAGTGGCAAATATTGATTAATTTCTTTACTTGGTACAGGCCTGGATATTACTTTCAATGGATAAGCATTCCATACAGCCGTGTAATATACTGTTACTGATAGGCCGGCGTAGTTCGAATGACAACATTTTATACAAACGTCTCAAATTATAGGAAGTTTCCATTTTTAAAACCTATCTTTTTATGCGTACGAAATTTAACAACCTTTTTTGGGTAATTATATTCATTTAGGAAAATCTTGAAAGCAAATATGAAAATAAAATGTTAACACAAGGTAATATCTATCGCCAGTTGTTGGAACGTTGGACCAAACTGCGTTAACATCATAGGGTTCAATGCCCTTATCCAACATCACATATGGGGCAATTAGTTGGATGAAACCTATTCAAAATGTGAAGATTTTGCCACATTTATATTATAATCTTGACAGATTATAAGCACGAGCAAATGATGCTTATTCAGTACCGGCCCTAATTTATACAGTGTATGTCATAGAACAGATCGATCACAAGGCAGCCTTGGCTGCAACAGAGAAAATGTGTTTCTATCAATACATTATGAAGCTTCATCGTGATAAAATGAAGACAAAATACATTTTAGGTGCCGCAGATCGATTGCTTCTACTTTAAGTCATAACAAATGCGCTTTAAGATGATGCATCAACACTTCAAACTGATTTAGAAAAGACATCAGGTCGACAATATAGTCTCTTTTTTTTCTTTTAGATTTTCGCATTTTCTCAACGGAATTGTTCTAGGACTAATGATTATTTAGCTTAAACTAGACGTAATAGTGTGGTATACAAGAACAGAAAGATTTGTATAATACTCTGAATTAAAATTAACTGTACGGATAACTGAAAATTCACCAATGGTTTGAGATAATTCAAAAGCTATGGATCTGAGGATTGTGTTGATTTTTCTTGCAATTTTTGATCAAGGTAAATATAATTTTCTATTATATTATCGAGAAACTTTTTCTATTCCCAGTGGTAGAAATGTTGGCATAACAGTTGTTGCCAAGTTTAAGGTCTCAGCTCCAAGGCCAGGTCATATTGCTGATTGTCAAACCGAAGTGATCCATTTAGTATCGTCATGGATGAAATGTCTGCTCGTATTCAGCCTCCAATGTGAGCAAATTATTGTGCGCATGATTGCACTTTTGTAATCGCCTCACAAGAAAGGTTATTTTAGTGTTTTTGCCATACAAATACAGTTTCCATAGCACTTCTGCATAACGTTCATAAGACGAATCATATTGAGATATTTGCATGGTGTTTAGAGTTCTTTTTTATTATCCATTTATATCATATCATTACCTTTCAAAGCAAAATCATGACCCCACATTCAGACGCCTAAAGACACCCCGTCACAATTAAGATTACAAGCAAAAATCGAATATTATTTTGTCCTAACCTAACTGTCATTGATGTTACATCCAAAAAACGTGGAATCTCCAAAATCAATTTCCTGATGTCAATTTACAATTTAATTTAATTTTTCAGTCCGGTCTTCTCATGGCTTCTGTTCATATAGCACTTTCATTGAAAACAATGGATTCTCTGAAACCGGTTCCTTTGGAGTATGGGACCCAGAAGGTTATAGAAGAAATGAAACCTGCACACTGGAAATTAGAAGACCTAATATGATGTATATGTCTTTAATGATAGACTACGAGAAATTTGATTTCCAGGAATATTCTACGTGCGCAGATTTTATACAATTGCCAACAGGTAAATAACATTTAAACGATAATTCTATAAATTATATTAGGTAACCAATTACTGGTGGAAATGGATGCGTCATTAGGGCAGACTACGTCAATGTCTTATGCATATGCATTGGCACAATGTCTAATTAGTCGACTCCATGCAAAAATCTATTATGCTAATTTTTCAGATTAATTCTGCCGAGCATAAATCAAGTTAGAATATTCAGACCCTCAATTTGAATAAATTATGCACATTGAAATAGAATGACATTTTGCTATCATTTCAATCTTTGAGATCACTTTAAAGTTGTTTCGTTTATTCATATTGATAAACATATATTCATATTCATTTATTTTCTGTTATTTCGATAAATATTTAACCAAAAAATTTATACCACAGGTACGAGAATGTGCAAGGAGCCACAGAACTGTCAAATATTCACATCATATAATCAAGAAGTATCATGTTTAGAAAAAATAAACGAACACTGTGATGTATTTTCGGTCAGTGCTGATACGTGGCCGATGAGATTTGTTTTTCATTCCGCCGCCAATTCAACTATTCATCGAATACACAGGGGATTTGAAATAAGTTATCAACTTTTACAAAGTTGTAATGGTAAGCACTTTTACATATTAGACATTAACATAACATTTCATATATACGTCAGTGTGGCCGAAATCCAGGCCATTCATTCAGTCATTGCAGCTACTGTATGCCCAAAAATCGTTGCCTCATTGTCGGCCCCGCATTTTGATTGGAAAAACGTTGCCCCTACTTATACCATGTACGAATTTGGATTTCGTAATTTGTTCGATCTCAATCAATCTATTCGACTGATTTAAAATGTTTACGTTCAATTCGATATTTACAGTAGTGAAAATTAGCACATAGCAGGTATCTAATGATGAGAAAAATGTCCCATCCAATAATGAATAAAGTACATTTGTGTCAAATTTATCATATGTTGAATGTACTGTTCACATACCAAGATCACTATTTTCACATACAGGTACAGGAATTGATGAAGAGAAATGGAATCACTACGGACATAAAACAAATAAAGTACCAATAAGTGTACCAGTTGCTGTACTCATTGCGTTAGCAATACTAATTTCAGCGCTGATGTCTTTTCGATGGTGGTATTCATATCATTTTTATTTGTTTCATTGTTATTATGTTGAAGCACAAGCTTGCCTCATTGACCAAGCAGATTTTGCTGGAGGAAAAGATCAAAACATGAGCACAAAGCCAACTTGATTATAAAAAAAAACTTTTCCACCTTTGTAATGTATTAATTTGAGTAGGCTATTTCCACTCTCTATACATAAACTTGAATGACAATTATTATCCACACTAGTAAGGGTAAAATATTGCAGTATATTATTACTGAATTAGCTTGATTTAAGCTCAGCCTCCATATAAATTTGAAATATTATTTAATTAGCATACAAACTGTTGCACGTGAATAGTTGACGCATGACTTATGATAATTAAAACAAGCCAAATATAATACTTCACAAAATTTCATGTTAAATATATTCAAGTGATCTAAAAAACAATCTCGGTTAAAGTATATAGTTCTATTTAATCGTGCATTTCAGGGAAAGGCGATATCGAACATCCGACGTTAGGGAAGAAACGCGACCTCTAACGGCGACTTCTAATAATGTACACTCGTCCTATGGTGGCGGTATAATGTCCGATGATTCTGAAAACGAAGCTGAAACCGTTTATACAGTTGCTGATGAATCCTCTAGAATTTACAACGAATCACCAAAATTGCCAAAGCGAGAATTAAGAAGGCAAGATAATGTGAATGACGAAGAAAATCTTACAATCGATCGATCAGGAATGGCTTCAAAAAGAAATACTATATATGCACATCTGATTCATTGAGACTTTTAGAAGTGCTAGACGTGACAGAATCGGAATAAAAGATATTGGTAAAGCCCTGATACAATGCAAATTGAAAGCTACATGGTGAATATTCCATATATTGGAACTAATCCTATATTTTGACCAACTAATTCAAACATTTAGTATTTTATAAGTATAAGTGTTGTTGTATGAGTGTCGTTTTGCTTTCACATGTGGTTTTTATATATTAATTCAATGATTTCAATGGCACGTGGTCCAACCACCTTGCTGCTTACTAACTGTGATGCTTAAGGACCAAGCAACAAACGGGAAAGTTTATAGGGCTAAATAGGTATGGATGAAATATCATTTTAGACCCCAAAAATAAAACGAGGTAAATAACGTATAATCTAAAATATTTTACTTTATGAATCGGGATAAACAAATTGCATGATATTTTGACACTAACATTGAATCAGTGTCACTCAGCTTTACAAACGCTAAAATCAAGATTAAAAACCTTTTATAGTATATCAATGTAATATTCCCTGAATTGCCCTTGATCAAAGCTCAAACACGTACTTTTATAACCCCTTATTTTTCCTCCAATTGACTTCCTTCACCTAGTTGATTAAAAAAACAAGATCTATTTTTAGTTATCAACTCCAGATATATTAATAATTAAAGTGAAGCGATATTCCAATTTGGATGGAAAATTTTATAGATTTTCATGGCACCATTGCAGTCATTTTCTGGATAAGATTTTTTCAAATATTTCAAAATTATCAAGTCGAATTAAACAGGTACATTGTGACTTGGATGTAAATAGCAGTAAGTGTGGTTAGTTTTTGGCAACTTCTCTGCCTGTTTTGTGTGTATTACGTTTTCCTATTTGTATCGTAATGTGAATATTGTAAATAAAAAAAGTTAAATTCACTGACGTGTATTCTTGACTCATTGAGATTATTTTATAGTGAGAGGTGTTGTCATAGTTGACACATGTGAAGTGAAATAGAGTTTGGTAAAAGATTAAGTCAATTGCAAGCGATGGAACAATTTGAAACATGAAAAGTTGGAACATCAAAAGATGCAATTTTGTGTATTTTTGAACAGGATTTCTTTGCAGTCGTAATCGAAAGATTAAACAAGTGGAAAGATACAGAGAGGGAAGGTGCGATTAAAGACAAAATATAAAAACTTCCCCTTTCATGTTGTAGGATTTTGAAATTCTGACATAATAGCTACCAGAGCATTTTGACATTGTATTTAGAAGTGCACTTGCCTAAACATCTCTCTCTCTCTCTCTCTCTCTCCCACTGATTAATTCCTCGGCAGACTATGGCGAAACCAAGATAAGGATAGGATTAGCATATTTGTCTCATGATTCCGATAACACGAAATAATCATATACATAGCAGACCGAACAACGTTCGATCCAGATCGAGAATAGCTTGTTATTTAATTGATTCAGTTGCATGGGCGTGTAAACGGAGGTAACCGACGAGTAATTAGGTGAAACACCCTATAAAGGTAAAGTCCGATAACAGTCTTGCACACAATCCTTCAAACATTAAACTCATGATTATTGTAATCTTAAAATTTTGCAATTTTTACTCGCTATTGTTTGAGGTGGAGAGGTAGGTGAAGCATTCCGTTATTCGCTTGTTGAAAGACACGAACCACACGTTTCATTCAAGGAAAAGTAGCAGATACGGCCTTCATCAATACAAAGTATAAGTCTTACAAAAATCTCAATACTGTTTTTTTTTCGACACTCAGAAATATTCTAATAAAATACACAATATAAGAGTAGCACAAAGTTCGATATGTCAACATGGGATACAGGAGGATTCAAAATACAAGTATTGGCAATATTCTTCATCTATGGTAAGGCAGTGTAAGTTTTTATTTTTACTGGTTTTGCTGGTATTGTCACTCAATAACATTTAGTTTTGTATCGTAAAAGCAAGTTTAATAATGTCCTAGTACAAATCACAAAATTCTAAACCTAAAAGCTAATTTTCAATTTATTAAACATTTTATCGAAATAATCATACCAATAAATATAATTTACAGCTATCGACATAGTACATGCAACCTCGTGCGAAGGAATGACATCACCAAAATACTTGACTACGTCACGAGGCAACATTACATCACCGAGATACCCTTTCGAGATTCCAAGTAGTCAAAGATGCGAATGGGTTTTTCAAAATTTCGGCACAGATGATATTCTCTTAATAAAGATACATGAAATGTCTTTAGGCGATCTATTATCAGTACTGTTTCTAAATTTTGTTACAATGCCAAATGGTGAGTGAAACAATAATCCAATTTTTCTGAGGGACACTTAATACAAAGTTGACCAATTTTTAATGCATGATTTCAGGTTGACTTCTATAATAAGGGGGGAAATTTGTCCTAAAATATAAATACCAAGATGAAATTAATCAAATATACAAGCAAGGCTAGTATCGTCATCCCAAACATTCAGCTCTTGTTAAACACTTGGACGACTATATTGTTAGTCGCTGGGCCCAAGTGGTGGAGCAATTCTTTAATATCACATCAGCAAAAGTGCAAATATTTGAAATAAATATAAATGAAAACATATTTTTCATTCTGGATTCATATATTCAACCGACTTTATATCAATATGACTAGTTCTATTTCGTGGTTATGTTCACACTGTCACCTTACTTTGTAACGCGATGTGTCTTTTGAAGGTTACACTTTTCTTCGGTTTGCTCGCAGGATTCGAGATAAAGGGAGAGAGGAAAAATGAATGTATAGCCTACGGAGAAAACCAAACGATATCAAGATGCTCAGAAAACGTCAAAAACGCTTTGAAATTTTGTTCATATCATAAAATAGACAAAACTAAACTTCCTCCAAAACTACGATTCAGATCATCAAGTGTTCAACTGTCAAAGAATCGTTTTTCACTCTCGTACGAAATATTGCAATGCAGAGGTAAGAACTATTGAGACTCTAGCTTTAGCCTATTCGCCTTTAATAAGAATTGGGCACAAAGCCTAAACACAACACTTGGAGATGGTGGATGCGATAAAATAGGAAACAATTTGCTTTGAAAAAACTAAGCATCTACTTTCCTACGAGGTGGTAAACAGTGCTGACGTTGAACCCTAGCCTACGACGATATCACGGGGTTCCAACTTGGGGTCAGTATGATTGCCATAAAATGAAAAACCGTAAATTCCCCATAAAATTTTCAGACCATTTAATTGATGCTGTGACGACTGGTTCTCCACCATTCGACTCCAAACCATACATCATAATTCCATCTGCATTAGCAATATTGATATTTATAATTGCTGGAACTATGATCGGAATGTTTATTGTAATAAACAGGTTAGTACACTTGATTTATATACACGTATTCAAATACACATACCAACATTCATATTACGTAAGATAAAGCTGAACAGTATAGTAAAGCTGATAGTTGTTAGTAGAAGTATGAAACAAAGTAAACATCTTATCACTAAACAAGTTTTCCCCTACTGGTACACATGCTTGAATTTTTGCTGCGTTGTTTATTTCACATACCTTTTAAAACAATTTCGAGTATATTTGAAATCGTGGAGATTCACATAAAACTTGTCACAAGTTGTTGGTTGGTTACTATTTCTATATGCGACCAGGTTACATAACGTTGAATATTTCACATGTCTTGTGAAACATTTTCGAATGGATTTGAAATCGTAGAGATTCACACAAAATTGCCACATATGGTTGGTTGGTTAATAGTGCCTACATGTGACCAGATTACACAAAGTTCAATATTTCACATGTCTGGTAAAACATTTTCGAATGAATTTGAAAACTTGGAGATTCACATAAAATTTTTCACATATGGTTGGTTGGTTATTGGTGCCTATATATGACCAGGTTACATAAAATTGAATATTTCCCATGTCTGGTAAAACATTTTTTGAATGGATTTGAAAACTTGGAGATTCACATAAAATGTGTCACATATGATTGGTTGGATACTGGTGCCTGTATATGACCAGGTTACATAAAATTGAATATTTTACATGTCTTGTAAAATATTTATGAGTAAAGTTTGAAATCGTGGGAATTCTCATAAAATTTGTCACATATGATTGGTTGTTTATTGGTGCCCGTATGTGTCCAGGCCACATAGAGGTGAATTTTTGGTCACAATAAATTTAAATCAAGCTAGAATTTGTAAGCTAAACGTAACCGTTTTGAACACACACACACATACAGGGTGGCATTCCAACGAAAATATAATGCCTTCAATTTCCAGGTCTAATCATCCGAGCCGTGATCGTATTCAGAGTGTCGACAATGTATATGAGTCTCCATTATCTGAACCTATGGAACGCGCCAACACATACGATAGTATACGAGTTCCTGCTGATTTGAACAGAGAAGACATGGCAAGTTATCTATCTCATCGACAATTAGTTCAATATCCACAACAACCGGAAGAAAAAAAGGAAAGAAAGAAAAAAACGGGTACGCGATCTATGGCCCCAATACCGGAAGTAGATGGGTACATAGATATTCAACCACTAACCGGTAACGCTCCACAGCCAAATAATGATTATGCTACTATGAGACGAAGCGATCAATAAAAATAAAATTCCTACTTTGAATAAAATATTACTCAAGAGGTCAAAGGATAATTAATATCATTTACATTCGGAACCACTTATTTTTACATTGCGCATCATTAGCTTGCTTTTTGCGAATAGATATATTATCAGAGATTAATTTGGTTGGCAGGTTGAAACGAGAACAAAATATAAGAAAGCTTCGTGTTATATATGCTGTACTTTAAATCAGAAAATGACAAGGACATTTATTCATAAAAATAGTTTTAAATAAACTATGTTTATTTATCGAATATTATACGATACTTCTATTCATTCAAATTTTCTTGGAAACGTTTATGTTTATGACTGTTTCAAATACAGTTTTTCGTTTGAGCAAACAAATTTATTTTGAGTCATTATTTCTGCAAATTAACTCCAGCTTATGTTAAATATTCACTTATTTCTTATATATATATCTGAAAAAAAAATTGTATTTCAAGTCTGTATGAAATTTTTTTCGCGTTCTCAAAGACCCACAAGTAAAAGTTGGTCTTAGATGGAAAACAGAGGTTAGTGTATTTTACTTCAAACAATGTTTATAAGGATTTTACACGTTCACTCAGACGAGGCCTTGATAGCCAGATATTTGATCTTTGCGCTGTTCAGTGTGTTTAGCATTGCCTCACAGTATAACATAGCTTATACTAGCGAAGATATACGCAAGTATCACGGAGTTGAGGATATTATACAGTTCGAAACCTAAATATACTTATAATCATCATTTGGTAGTTGGATACAATAATGATGAGAGGAATAACAAAATGCAAACGGCAATATCTAAAAATGATAACGTTATACACGAAAATAGCCTAAATGGATATGGAGACGGAGCTAGTTAGGCAAGTGAGTTAAATTACACAAAGAAAGGGGTATAAAACCATATTCTAACGCATTCATTTTTCTTGAATACATATCAATTTTCCTTCTGGATGCCCGTCAGGTCAATTGTCAGAATGACTACATCATTATTCACGGAAAGCGCAAACATTTTTCCATGTAAAATTTAACTTCAAGAAGTATATGCGTCATTTCCGTTTTTTGCGCGTCATCCCAAAGGGAAACGGACGACAGTGTTTGGTATAATGGATAGAGTACTCCACATATATCCAATTTGGCATCAGTATGTGACTGAACGCGCAATAAAACGAATATTACCTAAAAAGATACTGCGAAAATGACGTATTGATATCTATAAATATAATCTCTTTTTAATCGATCGGTAAATATTGATAAAAATATATATCAAAGTTGATCAAATACCTATCGAAAGTGTACTTTCGAGGAAAGGTAACGGATCATTTTGTGAACTTAGCAAATGTCGTCAGTGTTTTGCATGCAAAATTACGTCATAAAATGGCATTAAATGAATTCACAGCTCAGGAACACCTGAATAGAAACATGCGTTTCCTACCGGCATGATTTATCAGTTATAACTTATATGTTAAATGGTCAGAGTAACATGATGTGTTTAACATAGAAAGCAACGGCAAGGAACCGGAATGCAGGACATCGGAAGTTCCTGTGGTGGTACTTTCGATCCAAAGCTATATTCACCGAAGCATCGTTTTTGGTAGTTCGTCGGGTGTTTTAAATTTGTTAGAATGCACTCTTTTCTTCAAATCTTAAATGCAGTGCACGTCTTGTGCAGTTCTCGAGATAAAGGTCCGAAAACGGTCATCCGTGTAGAGATTGTGTGTGTGTGTGTGGCGGGGTGTCTGGGGGCAGGGGTTTTATACACTTTCTATTCGTTTAGCAAAGGGTTTTATTCCATATATACTATATCTCAATCTTTTTTTACAGTTCAGAACTATAAAAATCATAATGTCAGCACAGTTGTTTCAGCGCTGTACAGCCCTGGATGTTTTGCTTGTAGCATTCTTGATGATAAATTTTGCCACGTGCGGATGTAAGTACCGTTTCAAATAAAATTGCAAAACGTAACAAAAAAATTTAAATATCCTAACTGTATATATACAAACAAACCATACAAACGCTAACAAATTTTGATGATTTTGAAACACCGACTGCATAATGGAGTCGGTGAAGTATACGCTAAACCTTAACTGCTATTGGTTTTGCACGGCTCTAAATCTTTTCGATTCTTTATGGTCTGTTTTAGTTTTGGACATTTATCATCCACATATTATTTTAAAACAAATTACACTTCTCTCACAGCGAGCCCAAATTCTAATTGTGAACCTGCTAAGGAACGAAATCTGAGGGGATTCACATCTTGGGAAGTTAAATATGACAGACAAAGAGATCCGTATCCATCACAATGCAAATGGGATATGCATCCACCTTCTAAAGAACATCTAATATTTATACACATTTTCAATCTTAAATTAACAACCGAAGAAAACCAGTGCTCAGCGAATTTGCTCATAAATGGTGAGAATAGTCTTTTCTAGTATCACTAGTTGAAAAAGCAAACGGTCAGCCAAGAATGTGCCGTTTTTCTCGACATAGTCCACGCCATACCCAATTTTGTACGTCTTTGGTGGGGTGTGGTACCTAACTTGTGATACTAAAATGACTTAGTACGTTTTATATGAAATTGAATAAATTTGTCTATGAGCCTATGCTGTGTTTGATGCAATTAAAAAGTCACATTTATTGAATATATGCATATCTCGTTAGACAAATAAAAATATACATATATTTATTTTGTGAATATAACAATGGAAATTTGATATTTACAGGAATGAATATGTGTCGACCGCGAAAGAAAAATTGTTTAATCTTTCGCCTCAGTGACAACCAGAAATGCCAATCATTATTAGATTCAAAGGAATACAAACACTGTTCCGGTGAGGATTGGAAGGAACCTACCTATTCTATACAATTTACGGCTAACTTATGGGCTGTAGCTGAAATAAAACAGCAGAGCGTACATTTTATATACAGTTATTTGGATTGTTCAGAAAACTACGGTGGAATTTCTGGAAAGAGTATAGGTAAAGCGAAAGTTACTTCGTAAACTAGAATTAGATTTATAATTGCGTAATATAATGCTTAAATTATATACTTCCTTACGTTTTTGCAAAAAACTCAAATATATATATATATATAAATTCTTCAAGACGATTTTTTTTGGATCGGATATTTGAGCATTAAAAAAAAATGTTTTTCATGCTCAAAATTATTTTTGAATTCACCCAACTTCACGTTTTGTTTTTGAATCTAGGAACCGGTTTCCCAATACCGGGCAAAAACAAGACTCTTCCCACCACTTCAACAACGACAGAAACCTCATCGCGAACGAATACCTCAAGGAATCGAATACTTTATTCAACAACCATTCCATTATCTGCGGCATTATTAATTTTAGTAATTGTTCTGCTGGGGATAATGATAAAAAGGTACTTGACTTTGAATAACAAAAATATTGTTATGATTCGTTTATGAAACATTCTTACTAAGAGATAGATAATTATCGTTCGCCTTCTGAGTTAGGATATTAGTAGTATATATACTTACGCCAAACACATGGTCTTTCTTGTTCACATATTCATTGAAATGCCAGATATCAGAATACTTTTTTATTCTAATTTGAATGCTCTTCTTATTACTGGCCGGCTGTACTGTTCACCAGTCCTACGTAGTAACTTTTGTCATTTTAGTATAAGTCAAAATTTACAAAGACTATACGTCGTGATATATCAAAATAATGCCACCTCATTTACAAATATTTCAATTTTCATATTAGCAACACAAAAAAGAAACTCAAAATTTAGACTTATCGTATTACAGAAAAATTCATAGGTCAAAGGTCGACCCGGATGCGGAAGAAGATAGCGATCAAGACAACCACTGCGAAGATACATATACAATAGCAGATGAAGCGCCTGCGATTTATGAAACTATAGGAACCAGCAATTATGAAGTTATTAAAAGTTTTAAATTTCGGAATAAATTTGAGGATAAAATCGAAAATTCTGAACGAGAAATAGTTGATAATATTATTTATGATGCAAGCCAATCGCCAACCAGATTATCGGCTGTAAACGTAGCATATGATATTTCCGTCGATTGAGATTGTTATATTGAATGCTTTATAATTTCATTCTATTTTACTTACATTAAAAATATTAATACTATAATTGTAAACTATCATGGTAGTTCATATAGTTATCGTTATAAAGACTTCTAAATCCTATTGTACTTGGGGTTAGAAAATTAAAATACGGTTTGGTGGGAAAGCGCATGCTGTAGGTAACAGCTCTCAAAATATACTTGAGTTCATGAGTTTAAATAGCCCAGGAATGGGTTTTCGGGGTCGAAAGTTTGAAATATTTTATAAAACCGGAGTCAGATCCGGGTTTTTGGATTGATTGGAGTCAAATAGAGATTTTCTCCGACTATGGGCGCAACAGTATATATATCACAAAAATTTGTAATATACCGGAAGTGTGTCACCGTTGCCCATATGATAGCATTGGAGAGTTAGGTATCTTGGCTTTCATATTCATGAAATATATTTGTTTTATATATATTCTTCTTATTAATAACGTGGGCAAACTATTTATGATAAGGAATATTGAAAATCTGACATGCTTTGTGCTACATATCGGTGTTTATGAAAAGTAGCAGGTGATATATGCTTTCGCCGATATGACTTCCATGGGAAATGGACAATAATTACTACATGCTTTGTATTGTGTGTTACAATGTAAGCGTAGTCTTCTTCTAATCTATTATCTCTTTATTATCGTTGTTTCCCTAGGTCGTAGAACGCATATAGGTGCTCTATATTGCAATTTAGGAAAAAGCTACAAGAGTATTTATTTCGTCGTAAATTAGATGTCAAGTACAGCAATGTATATTACCGGTACACATATGCTATTGCTCAATTACTTATTTAGATGACATGGTAACAGGCTTAGAAAGTCGCCTAAAAGAGGATTAGCAGATTAGGGAATTAGTGTAAGCGCACACATCTAAGACTCGCTACTACTTATCTTATTACGTTTTCGGTAATTTTTACCTTTTTGAAATGTACTATTTATTTTTTGATACAATTTTGAGAAGAAAATAACTGAACTGGTTATGCATTTCACCCTTCTTATTAGGCTAATCATTATTTGATTACACGTATCTTCCAATGGGGTATGCGCTGAAGTTAAACCCTCACTTTAAATAGCATTCACTAATCTGTTAGAAATTACAAATATCAATGCACCATATGATAAAGTATTTTCAAATCATCGCTCCATAGCTCCGGAATGAGTTTTTCACGGTTCCATTACCAAGTTTTCATAGCTTGGTTAGTGTTCGGTTCGTGCTATGAACAGCATATTTATAACATCATTTATTAAAATCATTCCGTTCTCATTAAATACCACTCAAATCCAATCAATTTTTATATTTATTTCATTAGTCATTACGTCATGGAAGGAAAAAATTCTCGGACCATATAATAATCTTTATTTATTGTTTATACATTTCTAATGTGATTCAATCTAGATTAGCAATAACCTTGTACCGTGGCCGTTCAATATGACTCTAAAATTATCGTCACATAACCCATCACATTTTGTGGCTTTAATTCAAGTTGATTACGAGACGGCGCGCGCCGACAAGTTCGCCCGAGGGAAAAAGTGATTTTAAAAGGCCAGTTTGAGAAACAGAACCGGATCATTACAGTAAATGGAAGGGAAAGGTAGCTAAGCCTTTAGAGTTCAGGTTGGACAGAGGTTACTGTTTACAGTTTGTTGTTTGAAGTTGGGGCCAGGATGTCACGATTTTTCGTCGGCAGGAAAACGATATTTGCCTTTGTTGTTGTATTAGTGATGAGATATGTTATGCATGTAAACATAACTGTACGTGGTCGAAAAGACCTTTCCTCACAATACTTTGATATTGGGATTCCACCACAAATGAATTTCAAGGATGAAAGCGAAACAGAGACTACAAATCGTCAACAAGACTTCAAACATTTAAACGTAAAGGTCGCAGAAAATGATTTAGAGATAGAAGCACCTGGAACAAAATGCGCGGATAAAAAAATAAAATGGAATGATGGGACAATTCCGAAATATGTTATGAATCCGGATCTGTTTCTCATCCCTACACTACAGAATGGACCTAATAATCAAATCATTGGACTGCAACAAAGTATTTTGGTTGCATTGCTACTAAACAGGTAAGGTAATGTTATTTGTTTGTCTGTTTTCAGAATACATCTGATTCAAAAATAGAAAAGGTACTGACAGTTATAAATTGTCAAAGAATAAATTACGAAAACAAACGAAATAGGGTCGCTCTGAAGATTGATTTATTCAAAAAATATCTGTAGCAAGTAGAGGCATTGTTTCTAAACGTTATTCGTATACTTTATTCTTGTTAACAAAGTTGCTGATATTTAGGTTCAAATAAACAAAACCTTAGTCGGTCAGCTTGCTTGTTTATGAGCTTCTAAATTTAACATAAGATAGTCTTCATTTCCGACTAATTTAAAACGTGTATGATAAACGTCCGCTCTGAAATTGTACTGTTTGGCCATGTCACTTTCGCCGAGGTACTTCTCTTGGTTTAGAGATGTTATTTATCGGCACAATTTACCGACTAATGCAACCGCCGATGTGCCATAGTGCAATTCCTAATCCTAAAACCCCCCTGTACTCGCCATTACCAATAAATATTCCCACAATTTTTTACTTTTTATATCAAGTTACACATGCAAAAATGTCTTGTTAAATAAAATAACTCTGAAAAGAAGTTTGATTGAGGATGATATATTTTCTAAGTACATGAACATGGACAAAAACGTAAATGACGACTGTGTCCAAATTATAAAATTCTTTTGATTACGTATTTCGTCGGAAGGCAGAAATTATACTTAATTACCGACCGTGAGTTGCGCGCTTCTTAAGGTATATATTTTAGCAGCATGCTTCCTTGGTGAAATATCGCCAGTCCTAAACTAAAACTAACGAGTGATTACAATCGAACTTAATTGACTTTTGCTAAATATCGGCTGACACAAGCGTTAAAACGAAACCAGTGAAAAATGGGGTACTCCCGTAGTATGTGTACCAGGGTAGTAGGGTTAGGCCATGATTTTTCCAATTTTACTAATTTAAGTTCCATTACGAGTTTGAGTTTGTACCAGGTTAGGGTTAGGCCATGATTTTTCCAATTTTACTATTTTGAGTTCCATTACGAGTTTGAGGACTGTCTGTTGTATCCAAGTGAATAAACCCGCTGCCCATAGATTTCAGTCCCGTTACACAACTTGATGTAAATTAAGTGAACAAAATTAGTTACCTCCATAAGTTACCTCGCGAAGTGGTCACAGTCATTGCGAAAATGCTAACACAAATAATGTGATGAAATACGTACTCATAGCTAACGTCATAAATATCTAAATCTATTCCATATATGGCGATGAATCACAGTTCAAAAAGTGAAATAAGAACGTTATACTGCTTATAAAGCCCAATCCAGTTGTTACATATCGCTCAAATTTAATTTAAAACAACCACAAAATCTAATATACATGTTAAACCTGTTGATTTACTTCTTCTGATATTAAATCTGTAACCATAAGCCACACCCCGGGGTATTTGCTATCAGTATTAACTTTGCTAACGATACAAATTGTATGTTTGTATGGTTATTCCAAAACCGCAATGCTTTCAAGGATTTTGTTTAGGATTTAAAGTAAAGTAAACTAACAGAGAAAACTTTTTTACCAGTTTATTTCCTTAGCTCAAATCCCGCACTTAATTCGAGAGGAAAAAGTTAATTTGTCTTTCTAGTAACTTAAATATATTTATATTTTTTGTTTTTTCGCTACCAATAAAATTGTTACTGTTACAGGACTCTTGTTCTACCACACTTTTACGAGCACGCAATGTTGGGTGTAACGTTCCGAAATATCGTTCAACCAAAGTACAGAATAAATGTTCAAAAACTACGGCAATTTATATCTGTTATACCACTCAAAAAAGCTGTCAAATTGTGCAATTCAAAATTCGATGCTGTTTTTACCACAAAAGGAACAAAAGTCATGGTTAGATTTTACCTTTTAATATGAATTTATATTACATTATTTTGATCAAAAATTGAAAGGATGCCAGATCTTTCACATAAAATGCTATTTCGTCATCCTCATTTTTATTATCATGTTAATGCATCAGCTAAATCACCCAAATTACTGTTATTATTAATTTTTGAAACTGTTCAAAGCAAGAATTAGGAATTTACACCTAAAACACTTACCATAACCTCACTTTACAGCTGGCAGCCGCTCAAAAGTTAGTTCTCATTGAAATGGAAACCGGATTATCAGCAGCAAACTATGTGAACGGTGTAAATAAGCACGCCCTAGATGAGCTTGAGCGTTATGTCAGAAGGAACAAACAAACAACAGACGGTAGGAAATATGAAAAAGTGAAAATGAAAGCACATATTTCATTTCAAAATGTCACAAATAAAATTGTTGAGATGATTTATGCCTTTCCTTCATACAAGGTTTTAGAGGTGCCGTCTCTAATGCTTATATGTAACTCATAATTTTAAGCAGAAATTTTAAGTCAGGCCTTACACGCTAAGACAAAGTGTTCACAAAGAAACGAACAAACTGCAAATATTAGGATAATTTTAGTGGTGAATGATGTTATTTTCCAGAAGAAGGTCTTTAAAAAAGTAACATTCCATTGTGAAAGAAATCACTTACTGAAAATACCACAGTCGAATTGTAGAAATTGTAACAGTTAATTACTTCCAATACTAAATGAGTAATAACTGTCCGTCGTATCAATAGTTTAATTATATAGTACGGAATTAAACCGTGGTCTGAACAACACCAAAAGTAAACGTAAACTAGAATATGCGCCTATAAAGAGGTCCTCAACTATAGCATCTAACGTATACGGATAAATGATTGGTTTTGATCTACATTTCGCAATGAATACCACCATTGATTTTTTAATATACGGGTATTCATTAAAGTCTTTATATTTTTTAAATTGCAAAGAGGATTATCGATACCACATATAGTTTTGTGGTCCTTACCGGCAAAAAAGGTAAAAAATAACTTGAACAAACTTGAGAAAAATGACGCAAACCCGGTTAAGATATATTGAGAACTGACTTCATTGAAAACTTGAAATTGTAGCGGAGCTTGAACGACTCTCAGTATTTGCACTTTATTTTATGATAGCTTCCCAAACAGCAAATTATTTTCGATTGTTTTTGAGTTACGTGTCTGTGAAAGTGGACGATATTTTGAAATCATATGATGTTTAGTTACCAGTATAAATTACTTTTTATGCCAGCTTATATTTTATAATTAACCTGTAGAGTAGATGAACCTAGTCACTCGCAGTGACTTTCCATTGTATCTTCAAACCTAATTATGACGTCAAATTACAAAATTCGATGACCTTCCTCTTATTGAGATACGAAACACGTCAATAATCGAAAAATATAATATTTCTTGAAAGGGCAGAGAAATATTTAGCATTGGCATAATTTCTATGTTTTACTTACACAGTGGATCTACTTTCGCAACGTTGGTGGCCACATAGCCCGTCTGATTCTCAATGGATGTACAGGATACTAAATCCAGGTAAATGAGTGATCATTTTACGATGAAGATATTTGAATACATATGGGATGTAAGTCTTTGACTCAGAAAGACCAATTTATATGTTTTGAAATCCTGCGTAATCACAATCTGATTAGCCGACAGGGGCAAATGATAAGGCAGTCAAAGTCGTTTGAAGCTCATAGTCAAATTAGTAGAGGCTTTGATAACGGTAAGCCGACACTTGGGTCAAATTACAACCTCATGGTAGCTTAATGGGGCTATTATGATAACGCTTTAGATATTAGCGTTGCGACAAGCCGTAAATCAGCAGTGTTGTGAGCGGATTCACTTATGAGAGATCAAAACCCGGACGAATAAATCCGGTTAATATGTAAAAAGTAATAATATCAACTCCAAGACACGAATAAGCCCACTCAGCTGAAATGACCGCGTGTAAAATGTGTTATACAAAATTGTTCACATGTAATTTAATTTTGGAAAATATGTTTTCTTATAAACTCAGAGATACGCCCAACCTAGAAGGGTGTTACCAATGTGCCCGACGGGCGACTCTGTGAAACGCCAGCGCTTGCTTAACACGGATAACCTATTCCGTAAAGATGACTAATTATCATGAGACTTAATTAATTACTGAATTATTCACGTAATCTCTGCAATTGACAATTTAAAGGAATATGAAACATTACAAAAATAAGGGACAATTATGGGGCTTGTTTTTTTTATTAGAAAAATTTGTCATAAAAGTTCTCATCTAATGTGGGAATTCAAGAACTGCTGTAAATTGATAATGATATATCGACGTACACTTGATATGTTATTTTAGTAAACAAGATAAAAACTGATGAATATATCGTGTATTAGGTATACGCGATTATTATCAAAGGCATACCAGAATTGGAATAACGTTTCCATTTTTTTTTTCAATCAGATCACCCGGTATCAGTTCCTCTGTATCCAAACTTCAGTCCAGCAGATAAACAAGTTGAACTGGAGGACGTACCGACAGCTTACAAAACTAATGATAAATGTGCTTTATATTGGTTCCCGTTCAGAGAATTTCACATCGATTTTCCATATCAAGGTAAGATTTTCTTATCAAAAATATCAACAGTGTGTTGTTCTTGCGAGTCTAATCGAAGTAACTTCATTAAGATAAATTGTAAAAATAATAATTTTTCAGTCATAATAACACGCTTGTCGTTTTTTTGTTTGTTATAATATTATATTTCCGAATCAAGCATTGCTCCAAACAAGCCCCAGGCAAAGGGTTCATTATTGGTATGTAGTTACTACGTTTAGAAGAAATATCGCCGCGATATGACCTACCTCGTAGTAGGGATGGCGGAATCGAGTCCGGATTCGATTACAGAATCTATTCTTCGCGGAATCGACTAGAATCTCGAGTTTGAAACTTGGATTGCAAACAATGTATAACGTTTTGTGGCAATTCCTTCACATATATGTATAAACTGCTCCACTGCTATGATGAGTTGCTACGACGCCGCAAACTTCACTATATATATATATATTTCGCTAGAAGGCTTTAACGTTTATTCATTTTAAAAATGTCTGTGGGTTCTGAGGCATTCACTTTTTTTTTGTGCGATTTTGTCTCCTGTGACAGATTGTATATCCATACTATTTAGTTTCGGCCTTCTTGTCCGTCCAGAATTTGAACATCGCTGTCTTGCTTGATTTCATATGGTATTGCTTGGGTGGGTATGTTTTTTCGGTAATATGTCGAGGAATCGAGATTCGCAATCAAGAATCGGAATCGAAAATTTAGGAATCGGATAAGAATCGAATACTTGTAAGTACTCATACTTGGCATCCTTACCTCGGAGGCGAGTGAGGTAATCCCCAGTTTATGAAGTCACAGTTCACTTGGACTAATATTCGGAGTTTAAAATTCAATACCCTTTTGTTTTCTCATTTCACAGATGCATTAACAACAACGAAAGTAAAAGATTTAAAAAATATTAACCAACAGAAAGCATCAATAATACACGGAGACATTCTCAAATATTTACAACCACCCGAGCCAGTACAAGTATGGGCAGATGAATTTCGTAAACAAGCACTTCCACGGGATTATATTGCTCTTCATTGGAGATTTGACGAAGAGGTAAGTCTCTAATGTCTATTAATCTAACAGATTTACTGAAGGCAGTTCACAGCGGATTTCATAAAACCTTTTTTACATTTTTGATGAGGATGTGGTGGTATGGATCCTTTTCCCCCTCAAAGGCAGTTGAGTTAAATTCAGGAGCTAGCACTAATAGTTTGGTCAGTGCTGTAACAAAATAATGGTAATCTGTATGGCCATCGATCGTAATTTTCGCTCAATTTCTACTAAAAAAAATAATTGTCCAAATTTGTATTCGGCGCAAAGTAAAAAACGAGCATTTTCCTGTTTCTTATGTCAATATCAATAAATATATATATTGAAATGTAAGTATTTTATAATGTTTCAGGATTTCTTCGACTATTTGTGTAAAGAAGGATTAGGACGAAACGAATTTTGCGAAGGCGTGAGGCGAGCTCACAATGCATCAGCCATTGCGACATCAATACTGAGACGAACTTATGATATAAAGAAAGAAGTTGGGAAAACCACAACTTCGTTATATTTTGCAACACCCCCAACAATAAAAACATTGGTGGATGATATAAAAACAATATTAAATAACAATAATCTTGTTCGTAACATTTTACAAAATTTGGAAATTTTTGAGGAAGTTCAACCACCCATTGTGATATCAGTTAAAGATTTGAAAAGCTTTCTTCAGCAAAGGCACAGGTATGTATGTAATCAGTAATGTCATCAGTAGAAATTGCAAAAGGTAAAAAAAATTATAAGAAAATCGAAAAGGTGTCATTGTTAACTTGAAGCTGATTAAAATGCAATATTCGTATATACTGATATTTCGCTCGTATTCGCCTGCAAATTCTTTATCAGTAATCCAATCATAATTTTGAGTGACGGTTGGGGCTTTGATAAAATGCGAACAGTAAACAATACATATTTTGAAATATTTTATCTCCAACCTTTTATGATTGCAAAACTAGCGAGTAAATTCAAACTAAAAAACTCGAAGTTCACAATCTATTTTGCAGTCTAGCTATAAATATCTTTGGAGCTAAAGATTCCTCGTCATAGCATCGGACAATTCCAATGATTTTTTGCCTTGTACATTGCGCTTGATCGACAATATATCTCTTGTGTTATTTCCTTGAAAATCAACCCACTGTTTTTATGGTAGGGGCATTCAAAAGACGACTGAAAACATATCCCATCCCCATTTCTAACGAATCTTTTCATATCTCCTTATTCAGTGGATGTGACATGACGGATCCGCGACAACTTCCTGATACAATCTCCCAAATTGAAATGAAGCTGTGCGAAGAGAGTTCTTCATTTTTATGGTCTCGTCAAAGTACTTGGTCTAAGAATGTCCTCGTGCAGAGATATCTTTCGAAAGGAAGAACAATCAAAGAGCAAGATTTTTCTGTTTCTGATTATACCTTAAAAATTATGGATGGAAAATTGAAAAAGAGAAAAAAGTTCAAATTTATTTAAAGAAGTGATTTGATTTCATTTTACTCTATAAAATTTCTTAAAACGCATTGTGAGTATCAATAAGACACTGTAACAATAAAAAGCAAAACATTAACTGATATAATACAATAGTTGTGATTTTTTTCTTCATATACTTTTGCTATGAATTATGCCATAGTCAAGCATGGAGTTGATATTAAGAATGGTTGACGCGAAGGGGTGGTTCTGTCATAAACCCTGGTATAATTTTTTTCACGAAAATTCGTAACGACTTTTTTTAATCATGTTTAATAAGAGGCCTATACTATAATAGTTTATCGTTGTATGCAAATGATCAGTCTGAAATCTTTCTTATCAGATAAAAATAGCTGGAGAAAACTGACTGTAACTGTTTCACGATGCCTTTTAACTCTTCTGTAATTTGTTATGTTAGTCATTTTAACTTTTATTACTTTCCGTGCAATAATTTTCTTATTCATCGTCTTATTTCTGTGCTTATGTGTCATTTATATTGTTTGTTTTATATATTAAGTTACACGCAATAAAAAAAAAAGAATTTCAGCATATTATTTACACAGTTAGAATTTCACACAACAGTCTTATCTTGTAATTCGAGTCATTTTTTATGTTATCTGGTAACGCCCTTATTCGAAGCACTCCATGAGAAAAATATTTGTTTGTGTCTATGAAAGATTAGAAACACCATCTCTTGTAACCATTATTCGATTCCAATATATCCCTTTTTTGAGCGGGCTATTTCGGATAACTCTTACTTTATGACCTCTTAAATTATAGAACACAAAATGGGCGTAGGGATTTTTTCGATGTTGTGAAAAATCGCTTTCTCTCCAAGTACGAGACCAATTGAATTTAAATTTTCAGTTATTAAAGCCGGAAAAAGTCACTGGAAAGCTATGGTTATTATTTTTTTCGATTCCACCAGAGGCCGACATTTATTCACATGATCTTTGTATGATATCTGGTAAAATTATTTTCCCATTTGTCCTAAATTTCGTTTACATTTAGATTATCGATATTTGCTCACTTGTCTTAACTATTTATAATTTATAATATTTATAATAATTGTTCATATAGACATTCAGTCTGGAGAAATGGACGAAATAATTACTTACACATACGATCTAAATTTTTGCGCATTCCATAGTGACTCAATTTCACATATATAATAATATTAAAACTTTTAGGTTGATAACCTGAAATAGTAGTTTTGCGAATGTCCGACATAAGTCAAATCCTCAAGTCAGTAATGGTGTATGTAATAAACTTGATATTGCCCACCATCGTCGAATATTTAATTAAATTCTTGAAATCATGCGATGTAATTACATACATAAATCCGAGCCTTTTTTATTCTCATAAATTTTGACATAAAACTGTGATAAAGAGGTAATATGTTTTTTTTTTTTTTTATGACTTCTTAGCCATACTCAAAGGGAATAATGCAAATGCTTTCATTACAGGTATCTGTATTGTTTTTAATGAGATAATTATCTGAATTCGCCAAAGTTTTGTCTATGTGAAATAAAGATCGGAAAGAGGATAATAAAATGTCAGCGTAACAAAATTTAAATTTAGTGTATTCAGTGCCGGAGGCGTAACGACAAGAATGTAATATTTAGTGTTCGCTTTTATAGATTTCCAACAAGACAGCATTCGTAAATGCAATATACAGCACAGCATATCAAAACACAAAACACAATATTGTTTTACAACGTAAATCCAATAATAATGCCCTTAAGACAATTTACCATTCCAATTTACCACTCGTATAACAAGTTTGTTACAAGTATTTCTAAAGTGTATTATCTCTCTCTATCTAATTATTATTTACATGATTTTTCCAAATTGCTTTTGCTGTAAATTTCTCTCGATTTGTCTCTTACTAATTCTATTATATATGTTAGCAAAGTTGCGCTCGCTCTCAAGTTCCCAAAAATATTTGGGTTATAGTCAAAATCTGTTCACTATCATGACTAATGCATAGCCTATGTGTGTAGCGAATGCAGTTACTTTTTACACTAAACCAGTAACAACACTATAGGTGTCGCTGATTGAAGACCCGACCAAGTCCCTCGCGATTCCTGTTGCACAATTATCGTTACTAGTCTATTTATTTTCTGTACCAATCTTTGTTCATTTGTTTTTTTATGACGACAAATAAATGATTGGCTGACTGACTAACAAGGATACCAAAATTCTTCGAACGGCCTGATAATATTAAATTGTGTTTTAGATAGCCGTGCATACATAAACCATACTTGCCGAAACAGTGATCTACCGTATTGTCTTATAACAAAATTAAATGGCTACAACCAGACATACGTCGTTTTGAAAGTCTTACACTAGTAACAAAGGTATCGATATTGCCTAAACAAATCCCAGAAGAACATAAAAGACTCATAAAACATTCAAAACATTCGTCGCTTAAACAAATGGAAAGATTTTTATATTAAGATATTACTATTTACAAAACATAACTTATTGTCTTGAAAATAATGAATGTATAACCTATACAACTTTCACAAGACTTTTGAAACAGAACTAGGCGTTATAAAGTGCTAGATTTAAAAAAAAAATTCGTATAGAATTGAGGAATAAGAAGTTACTGCTTTTCAAAAAACACGGTTGGTTTAGTTTTTAATGCGAGGATCAGGCTCATACAACAAAAACAAGTTCACCGGTATTTGACATGGACAATAGTATTAATACAAAATGAGTTACTCAAACATTGGATCGGATGATACACGAAGAAGTTGGTCTGAGCCCCCACATATAGGCAGTAAATATATCTCCGACAAGTCAAAAACACATCCAGCATCTTCATGGAGAGATATGGGAGTGCGTAGAACATTTCCTGTAGCATTACATCAAGCAAAACTTGAGCCATGGCACTCGGCAAAAGTCATTAATTATTCACATCGGACAGCATCACTAAGGTTGTCAAAGCTGAGTATATCAAATAAAAGAAAGGGAGTACGGATAAAAGCTAAGAAGACGATTCTGTCATTGAGAGGTACAGAATTGCAAAATCCACCTAAAGATCCCTTCGAAATGACAGATTTGGAATCTCTATCTATGAGTCCAGAGAGAGAGTCGTGCTTGGAGGTAAATATAATCTACAGTGATGATTTTTGTTACTTTGAGTAAAATATATATTCAATTGACAACTCAAATGAATAAAAATATCAATAAGTTATAATAGCTTATGTTAGAAGCATCTCTAATATTCCCTTCGATTTAGCAGTCATTTCTTTCACACTAATTCGAAGCATACTGTGTAACAACTAAGATTTGTTGATATGCTGGATTAGGGTAGATATAAAAGTTTGGCTAACGATTGGTCAAAGCGTATGCTATGTCATTCTTGTACAAAGTTGTTCGCAATCATTGTTTCACATATTCAGTTCAAGCTGACCGAAGTTCCGAAAGAGATCAAAAACTTAAACAACCTTCGTCAATTAGTGCTTGACACAAATGAATTGAGAGAAATTCCAAACGAAATATCAGATTTAAATCAACTTGAAACACTCACATTAAGCAACAATCGACTTGCTGAGTTGCCAGGAGGATTTGCGAAATTGTCAAGTTTACGAAGCTTACATCTTGCTAATAACAGGTAAAACAACATATAGATTGTCTCTCCATTTCATAATGGTAATATCAACCGATATAAATATTGGATGGGTAGAAAAAGTAAACATTGCAAAAACAAAAGTTTGGGATTATGTTGTTGAAGTTGGGGAAATAAATTGATGCTATGTTGAGAAAATATTAATAAATATAATATATATATTTGTTCACAATTTTGTTGTAATATGACCTATCGCACTTGATTAATTTTCGGTTGGTAATATCCAAATCAATTGATTTGCATTACATTTTTCGAAGATATTTGTTGTTCGACAGGCAATAAGAGCATTTGTTAACAAGTGGTCCGTCGATTCATTGTATATAAATTCAATCCGAGCGAATGAATATAGTGTTTTGGGCAAAAAAGCATTTAAAGTTTCAATCAATAGATTATAATTAGCCTCTTGTCACGTTAAGTCAAATTTATAATTAGAAAATCTTCAAATCTGGTAGCCCACAATTATAATAGATCGCTATTTTTGTGCATGGAGTGATAAGCACATGCAAGCCTTTATTGAAAGGCTGTTAAAAACGCGAAGTCAACTTTTTTTTTTTGAGTTTGTGTTGAAAATTTAACTTCGATTATCACCTTAAAAGTCTAAAATCAAGACTCCATGGAATTCGAAATTACGAATCATTGACGCCAATGAACTCTTGCCCAACTCCGACTCCATATGCGAATAAACGGATAATACAAATTTTAGCACTTGTTGGCGACAGGCTAATCATTCTCTTTAACAACATCTAACGACACGAACCAGAAGACTATAGTGAGCTCAAGGTCGGAGAAAATCCTCATACGCCATACATGTTCCGAATTCGACTCTGTTTCTGAAATGAGACAAAAATCCTGATTCATTTACCAGTAGTTTCACGATCGGTTTTTAACTTTCGTTTGATATTCAATTTTCTACCTTTAAAATCGCCAAGTTTAATTCAGCTGACAGATTGTTACTAATTATGCGTACCGTACCGATGCTTCTTTTTAAAGATTCGCTGAGTTTCCCAATGAAATTTGCGGGCTGGTCAGTCTCTCGTTTTTGGATCTCAGTGACAACTCAATACGAGAGATTCCTGACGAATTTGATTGGTTATCTTCAACACTACAAACTCTCCTATTATACATCAACGATTTACAAAGACTGCCGGAAAGTTTTGGCAATTTAACAGAGCTAACGACACTCTGGCTTGGTAAGTATGAATTAAAGTAACTCATACTTGATAATTTTATTATACGCTTTGTCTTTTAGGATAAGAACAACTCTAAAATGGCAGTAATGGGAAATTCGAATTTACTCGTTTGAATCTATCATATTATTCACATCGTCAAAAATCGGTTCGAAGAAGAAATTCGGAATATGTCTTGCCAATGAAGATAACTGTAACTAAGCATTCAGTCTATCAAATTATTTCATTTTCAGGTAAGAATCGGCTCGAAAGTTTACCAAAAAGTTTTGGCAAGCTAGTCAATCTAGATTGGAGCGATTTCCCCTCTTCTTCCAATATTGACGAAAACCCCCTTAAATCACCACCATTGTGGGTTTGTCAACGAGGAGTAAGTGCAATTCGTGAATATTTTTCCGGAAACAAACCAGAAAAAATTACGGAAGAACGAAGAGAAGAAATAGAATTGAGTTTAGAAGACTAAGATACTTAGTTTTAACATGAAATGCAAAGCGCAATTTACTCTGAAAAGGAACCTCGTACAAGAATTCACTGGTATGTGAGAAACTACTATTTCTGGGAGGACGAAACTTTAATGATTTGCCACCTTAAAAACTTGTCGGAAAGTTTTGTCCTAAACGCAGAGTGGCAAACGTGGTATTAGGTTTCGTAATCAGGAGCCACTTGACAAGAACTACCGTACGTTACTTTGCGTATGTATCTGATCGACTGGGATATTATTATAATTTGTGGAATTATTTTTTCTTTTGCTTTCATTCAACCAATAAGCCACCAAGTTTGAGACAGTCAAACTTTATGAACTTATTTATGACTGAATTTTTAGTCAGTTACAGCTTTTATTGGATTTACAGTGCTAATTGCTACAGTGCTAACTAGCTCATCGTCATCAATTTTACTTTTATTCGTGTTGAAATAAAGAATTATTAGTTACAAAATTGAATTTTATTCGCCCCATTTAAGACTTTATTCATGTTACACATAGTTAAATTAAAAGTTTTTTTATAAATGGAAATTGAACAAAATAGGTTATATATACATTATTTATTCTAGCTGTTACAAGTATGAAAGAATTTGAGATGATTTTAAATAAATATATTGTAATAATTCAAAAAAATGTAAGTAAAAAAATTTACTTGGAATGATCCCAATTTTTTTTACCTTGTTTAAAAACAAGCTTCTTTCATCAAAAAAACGGCCGAAATTTTAGAGTTGTCTAAACATGACTTATCTGTAATTTTCTTCGGTAAGTTTTCCAAACAGTTTTTTCACGTCGCCTTTTGTTGTGTCTACCACATTTGATAGACATCTCAAAAGGCCTCATTTGAACAAGGCGTTCCCATAAACATGCAAATACAGCAAAATACTTATGACTTGAAATACGTTCACACTTCGTCGCGCGGAATATCTTAGCTGAGAGTTTATTACGGGTCAACTGAAGTAAATGAATAAGGCGTCAACGTAGACACGCAATGTTGCTATATGTTGCTTTTAAAAAAATGCTTTTGACATGAACTAAGTTCACAATGCTTCGTGCAAAATATTTGTCTGTTATGAATAAAATCAAGGAAAAAATGTAGGGTGAGTAAATTGAATACGAAACCCGCGAAACTGAGGCATTTCAACATCACACGACTGCAAATTACAATGTTTGGTGAAGTGATACATAGCAGAATAGTATATAAAATTTGGAAATGTTTTGCTTGTTCCATTTGTGGAGTGTAAGAATACACATTTTTCGACCTAGTTCCCATACATGTAGGCATGTTATCAATTCAATTTGTTGACTATTTCATACCATAAGTTTCAGTTTACCGCATATTATCGACTGGATTTTTATTGAAATGTCGCTTTTTTCATCATCTTTGAGTCTTGACATGTCGCCCTTCATCATCTTTAAATTCGATGAATGCATTACAACCTAAAATGGTTAGTATCGTCAATCCCACAGGCTGGCTGGCCAGTGGTTTTTCATTTGGTTGGGCGGAAACCTAATTAGAGGCTTGCGGAACCCCTTTGAAAAACAGTTGTTTATTTGTCTTATTATTTATAATTTATCACAAATCTATCTGTAACTGTATGGATGTAAAAAGAATTGTATAAACTATAAATATATATAAAAGCAACTCATTACTAGTGAAATATGAAGAGGTTTGAAATGCAACAAGCCCACTGATAGTGACAAACCTGATAGGTATTTGATTATATTTAAACAACATATATATACATTATATTAATACATACTCCAGGATTTAAAAGTAAAATCGCGAAACCCCTGGATTGGTGGAGCGGGAACACCGGAGTTTACATGGTTATTCTAAAATTTTACCACTGGACAATCATGTTATAGAAACCATTAACTTTGGTGTATTTTTGATATAATAATAAAAAGTTTTTGAAACTAAAACACAATTAATATTTTCGCGTACTTGGCGTTTTGTGGAATACCCCCGTTAAATTTCATGACAAAAATTGAATCAATAATTGACAGTCATACGACTCATACGTGACCATATTTTGAAAACAGTTTTTATGAACCTAGAAAACTTTAAATGTTTAGAATATATAAACCACTCCAAATGTGTGGGATCCCCTTCACCACATTCAGAAAACACTTACGCTAACGCCCAAAATACAAACATTTTTGAAATGGCATTATTGACGAGTTCTGTCTACCTCAGACAAAAAAAGACAACATTGTTATAAAAATACGGGATGCTTAAAATAGATAGTTGAACTTGAGAGAGAAAATGGAAGCTATAAAAACTTTAAAAAGTTCATGTGTGAGTAACATGAACATATTAATTGTGGTTTCCTGGTGGCCCAAGTGGGTAATCTTGCCCGGGATGCTGTGCAAGCTCCTGTTCACAACACTCCATCATTTTCGGAGTACATTTCCAAATTTTATGAGGGGTCAAAGTGGAAACCAAGCTTTTGCACAACTACGTGCTTGCGTTGACGCACTACAAGGTAAGCCATAAAATATCACAGCCTATATAGAAAAACAGAGTTTTATTTTTTAAACCCTTTTTTTAACGAAAATGCTGGAAACTTCCTGATTAATTTTGATTTCATCTCGAACTAGATTTTCGTCCGCAGCAGAAAAACAAAATAACATAATTTAACTAAAGTTGTGTTTGTTTTCGAAGATGCAACTTGCCTTCTTGGAATGAAGAAAGGAAAAATTTGGGACGGCAGATAAGAAGTTACAGTAGCGCGAATGCAACCCTGATAGGGAAATATGCTAGACTTGATTATCCAAATAGGTCATGGGCAGCAAAGAAAAGTAAGTTATTGGCGTGACAACTTAGTACCAATGATTCACAAATATACTATCAATGAATACTATAAGCTTAGTCAAACTGTTTATCATGACCTTGAATCGTGGTTCAACCATTTGTTACGTTTATTTTGTTTAAAACATGTATGTATCTATAAATGTACTCCGAAAACTGTTACATTGAGGACAGATAGAATTTTTTTTAATTTTTTTCTAATAGATTGAGTCGGGCAGTGGATCCGAGTCGACCTTCGTAGGTACGGATTAGTAGCAGGCCTAATAACACAGAGAAGACCATTATCTGATCAGTGGGTGACACCATACAAGGTTCAATGTGGAAAAACAACGAAGACCTTGAAATTTGGTTGAGAGAATTCGGAAGATAAAGTGAGTTATATCAAATGCAGGAACATAGTTGAACAATTTTTTAGGGGCAATGTAATTTGAGTTTCATTGCGTCAAAATAGTTTTGGGCCGCTTATGAAATAACTTAAATAAGTTTATCAATCGTTTTGATACATAGATGTTTTTTTGTTTCAAAAGCCATTGTGGTTTTGACAGCAATTAAGACAAGAATATTTTCAACTTCTAGACTAATCGCATTCGAATTTATTATTGAAAATAGAATGCTTTATAACTTTTTTTTAATTACATACCGCGAGTTCTATGAGGAATATTGTTTTACCATGATTTTCTCTAGTTTTTAAAACAAGACAGCAATAGTCACGAAAATGAAATCTCAAAAGAAGAGTAGTGCACTTTTAAAAAATCAACAAAATAGGAATAAGCTATCACTATTTTTTAAATCCTGTCCGTAATTTACTGGCCACAATGACACTACCACAACTCTGGGACTACCAATACTAGTTTGAAATTAGCAAAATTACTCATAAAATATTCGGCTGACGAGCTGTTAATTGATATTCGTTTTCTTTCAGCTGTTCAAAGGAAACTGGGACCGTAGCACAAAAGTTGTGACCAAGTTCCCGCAGCCCATGTATTGTCGCTTTATACGCATTTATCCACAAACATGGTACAAGCACATGAGTATGAGATTCGATGTAATTTCTAGAGTATGTGCAGACTATACCACCGAAGCTTAACTACGATACGATTCTAATGTGCTTTGGCCTGATTTCTGTTAATTAAGTTGAACAATTCTTTAATTGTTAAGCATACATGTATCAATAAAGTGCTAGAATATGCGCAAATTGTGTGTCATTTTTTCAGAATGCATAAATGGTGTGGAAATAATAATATGACAGAAAGCAATTTTAGGAAAATTGAGGCAAGTTGAATTTCAGGCATTCAAAGCCACGGGAAAGAAAATCCCGTCCCACGGTGAACCTCCAAATCAACCCAAAATGTCAAGAACCCAAAACATAATAAAAAGAATGTAATTACGGTAAAAGTATGCAATTTAAAAGCAGACAATTCGATTTAATGAGAAATTTGCTACTGTCATTTCGATATCATACATGTTAAACGTGGTTCTAATGAAGTTTTTCCACGGTGAATTCTCTGTTTGGTTTTGATGAGAGATAACGATGGAAATCTTTTAATATGATGGCTTTGACACTGAGCTCAGAATATTCTATTTCAAGCGATATCCAAAAGTGTGACAATCTCATCCAGCCGTTCTGATAATGGGCGTAGGAGCCCTGACCAAGTTTGGTTTACGCACCAATAGGGGTTAAAGCTCACAAATTAAATGTTCATGCGATTAATGCCTTGCATTTTGCAGTTCAGATATAATATTGGAATATATTTGGCAAACCGGCAGGAAGGTTGACGTGGACCGGCGCTGGACCGCAGACCGGCGGTTGAAAACCACTGGTTTATATTACCATACGGCTTTAAACTTATTAGACCTATTCAGTAATAGTATATGTGAACTGATGGACTTTTATGCATCAGGCGAGCTCAATTTGAGACATTAATTTAATCAACAACTTACTCTTACTAAGCCAAGGCGTTTGGAGACGAAACGCAAAGTTCGTTCATCTTACATGGTGCTGTCATTCAGTTGTAATGTTGTGGTAGACGCGGCTTAATGCCATGTCTTCCGATAATGTCATCTAAAATGAATGTATACTGCCGGTCTATTTCTTAACGTTCGTCCGGTATGGATTGATAATTCTAACGATTAATAACTCCTAACCCAATACGCTATATGAAGCAAAAACGAGAGAGAGAGTACAACCCCAGGATCACAAATAAGAGAGAAATACAAATCTTTCTGATATTTTACAGTAGATAAAGATATGAACTGCACTATACAAAGCCAATATCTTGGAGTGATGTTCAATTCTGGGCCTTGTAAGGCTGCAGTAATCTCTTGATCGAAAAACGTAAACAGCTTTTTGAACCAATTTTGTAGACATGACTTCATAGTCGGTACTTTTATGTCGTTAACATTTATCAATGGGTCTATGAATATATGCATCTAAACATTTAAACGATACGTGCTTGTTACATGAATGAGCCGAATGATCAGTTTCGAAATCATAAAACGGAAGTGACGTAATGCAAACCAAGTTTACTTCCGGAAATCAACTAGTTATAAACAGGAAATATATTTTACTAAGCAAAAGTAGAATAATATTATTTAACATCAGATTCTAATTTCAGCTAACTTATTTTATATATGTATGTCAATTACCATACATGTTACAATTACCAGACGTTTTTCAAGTATAGCATACCCTTATAGGATCCATATCATACGAATTCACTTGAGTACCAAATTATATGTCATTCAAGTTCATTTTTAAATAAACTCAACGGATGCGTGAATATGGTACAAATACCATATGTACTGTAGACGAAATTAAACAGAAATCCCCCTATTTTATAAAAAGAAACGAAATATGAATTTTTATATTCTGTTAGAGTTTTCATTTAGGTCTGTACATACTCTATAAAAGATGAAATTTCAATACCATGATGTTTTATCACGACTTGAGACAAGTAATGTTTTGTATTATGACGTATGGATCACACGTTTTAACCGGTTATGGAAAATCACAAGCCGTCCTATTTCCGCCTTGACTGGGAATGAAATGCCACGTGTTTTCCAAATGAATAATTTCCACATTCAGTTAGCACTTTATTTGATTAATTTCATTTAATATAATAACTAATTCCACACTTACATTAATCTCAGAGCATCAATCGCACACGATAGCTTCACCAGGAGAAATGTGGCATCACGTAATGTCGAATTGGTAATTCAGGTAATGCTTTACTAATCACCAGCGTGGTAATTTGAATATATAAATATATATCCTATCCGTGAGTTGTCCTTTAAGCTTCCGCGAAACAATTTTCTTATTAATCGCATGTACGAAAAGAAACTGCATCAAATCCATGCTGTAACTTCAGTTCAATTTCAATATCTAAATAAATTATTTAAATAAGTTCAAATTGCACTAAAATAGTGGCAATCTAAGATGTTTAGTATCATTTAACATAATTCGTTATTCCTTTGTAAGATGAGACTGAACTGTACAGCCCTTGAGATTTTTGTCACCTCCTGGCAAAAATATGGCCATACACTGAATAGTCTGTTCAGAAAGGAAAGATCGAAAATTATTCACGGTTTGAGGCCCAGTATAGCAGCATTAAATTTTAAGTTCATCTGTAATAAATTGCTCTGAATTCATCAAAAATTGTGAAATTGTTTAAACTCGGCGAAGGCAAAATTTTGTCTGTATGATAATCGGGGTCAAAAGTATAATCTATGTCCACATTTTTATACAATGTAAGTTAAAACTACACATTTTTTGGCTGCCAAGCTGCATATCATATTAAGCAATATCAATTGATCCGTTGTTCGTGATTCTAAATGCGACTGTTCTTCTGTTTTAGGTCGATTGATCAGACGCCGAAAGCGGCTAAGTGAACGTCACAAAGGGCGTGCTCTCAGTTCTCTTTGGGACTGCGATTCAAGGCGGACGCAAGATAGGCATAAATATGTTCATTTTTTATATTTTACCTTTAGTGCGTTTTTTTAAGTAAGATGCAAAAAAGATTTGGTATACGGGCTGATAATACATTGAATTGTGCTTAAATGAAACATTGTAGGAACGCCATTCAGATTTTCCAAAAATACAAGCTAAAATTAAAGAAAAGCGATCACCACAGTGCTGTATACAGCTGCAGCATCAACTTAAAAGATAAGTAAATAGGCTGGCGTAGGATCGACTGGTAATGAGAACAAGCATTTGACAAAAAATTTAAGGAAATGTATACAGAAGACGAATCAAACAAAAATGAATAGATAAGCAGTGCAACTACTAGAAGTAATAGCTATAAACGAACGTGATAAACCAACATTTCAAGTAAGCCCAACCCTCAAGTTTGAGAGATTCTCATCCCATCTCCATTTCAATTTGCATCGAATACTTATTAAGGAACTTGACCTACCAGAACAATTCATGTCGATAACTGCGTTGCATTCCGTTATTTTCTTCTAGTAACTTTCAGAATTTGATAACATAGAAACAAAATGAGTGCTTGGGACGAAAATATTAAAAAAGTCATCACTGAGGCAAAACTTAACAAGGGCTTAGAAGAAATCGAATTCGTAGTCTTTACAAAGGTAAGACAATGTTGTATTTACATTTTTAATCAACTCAATATTTTCTATATTTAACAACGACATGGTGGTGGACTTAACCGATTATACAACATCAGCGACTGTTTCAAACTGCCTCGTTACTTATAATAATCAAAAAAATGTTATAAATACCTTATTTCGCCTCGTAAAAGGACAAAAATGTTCATCCATTCTGACAATGATATGTTCATTAAGAAACTTTGGAATAAGGGGAACATACCAATCGTTTCAAGTCATAAAATGAAAATGTGTTTTGATATGTTGTCTTCAATCTGAATTGGTAAGCCCCACCCATATTTACATCATTCAGTGTAGCAATACCGTTAGTACTTTCATTAGGGGTGGATTGTTACATTTTCAATCTAACCAGAATGTTTGCCTTCACTCAGGCAGGAGCTTACTGTGGGTCTGCAGGTACCTCCAAAATAGAAGGAAGACTCGATGTGGAAAGTATAGGCAAAATAGCCACAGCGTTCAGTGACAAAACGGACAAAGGAAAGGAGCCTATTCGAAGCGGAGGAGTCAAAGTCGGAACAGCGAAGTATAATCTTATCAACGACGTAGAACATATCGTATTCAAGAATAAAGATTGTGGTTTAGTTGTTGTGGACACCACCAAAGATTACATTGTCTATGGCATCACAGACAAATTTCAACTGCGTCAAGGACACATTATTGCAGTGTGCGAAAAATGTGCCGAGTGGCTCAAAAGCCAATAAAATGGAGAACAATCGACAATTAGTGCAAATCAACACTTTTTCGCATGGATTGAAAGCATCAAATTAATTGTATTTAACAATATTAAACAGAGACACCATTTAACACTATTTAATAGTTTATTGATATTTCATTTGCGTTTGCTGTAGTAGATTGCAATACATAAATATTCCCGAAAATTCGTGTTTTTTTTTTATCAGCTTTCTTGAAATTGAAATAGGCTACCTTTTAGGAAAATATGCTGTTTGAGTTACATTTTTTGTGCTTGAAACTACAGTAGAAACTGTACCTACAAAATTGATTCGTTTTGAAAGCTCATTCGTGGGTAGAAAATTCCGTAAATATTTGTATAAATTATAATATTGGTTAAAACCAGCAACAAATACATGTTAGAATTAAATTACTGCAAAATAAATAATAAAGGCACACATGGAAAAAAGAAAGAACAAAGAAATATTGAATAAAAACTACGAACGGTATGTTTGTTTATCTTTGGCAAAACGAAGACCGCGAAGAGTGGGAGGAGGCGGCAAAAGTTGATCGCTGAGAGAGATCGTAATTTATGAAATTGAGCACACACACATAAAATTCAATTTTTTTTATTTATTTTTTTGTCGTATCGTCTTCTCCCTGAATTTCGCTAGCAACACATTGTACGTGCCCACGGGAAACAAACGAGTCAATAGGATGACAATAATTTATTGTCGCGCCGCACACGACTGCCTTCGACTACGATAAAAGATGAAATATTTGTAAAATATTTTAAATCAAAACCTGAACGGCGGGGCTAGGATATGTGCGTTATATTCGGTATTCTTATAAATACGAAAAACGATATTCGAAGGTCGCAATATGCGATTATTAAATTTAAATTGGACACCTCTTATTCAGGCACTGCATTAAATTAACCTAAAATAAACAAATATACCTAAACCCGTTTTTTACCCGGTTTTCGGCCTTTCGTATCTAGAAAATCTTACGTTAGTTGAAGCAAAATTTTTACGATAAGAATTTCCGTAATTTGAATTTTTCGTATTCAGAGCCTTAAGTAGGTAGGGTTTCTAGGTGCGACCCGAGGCTTCACCTAGTTACTTGTTACCTACCTGACCCTCCTGTTATAAAGGTTGCACACTCCTACTGTAAAGAATAATTTTACGGTCTGCTGATCTATGTGGGCGTCTGGGGCGAGTAATTCATCGTATATAATATACCATACCAGGAGGTCTCCAAGTGTGACGAAATATACAAATTACTTCTCAAATAAATAGAACAGCAAACCTTTGGGCGAAATATAGGAATAAATTTGATTGAAGTAAATGTCTTCTAGCGGCATCATCCATCTTAATAAAAAACTTGAAAAATAAGTATACTGAAAATTTCTTAATATCGCCACTCCCTATGAACAAGGCGATAGTATAAAGTTTTTTTGTAAATCGACGACCAGTCGACGTGAGGGGGCTTTGTTAGTTGTAAAAATATAGCTTATTCATGTGAACATTGGCGTGTACTACTCAGACAGATTCAGTTACTACCTGGTTCGCACTCGCGATTATTTTGCGACTTTATTATTTGAAAGCAATAGGGCGTTGAAATAGCGCAAATAGGTTGCGACGTGGCATTGACTTTCTTTATAGAAAATCGCTCTTGGCTTTTATCGTAGAAATTGCACGAGTGGGAACGTTGCGACGTATCCACAACTCGAAATCAGAACTATTTCGAATCTAGCCATTGTGAGTTTAGATTAGTGGTAAGAGCTGAATAAGACAGCATCAGTGATCAACAATATTTTCTTGGTAATGATTGTCAACGCTTTAAAATTTCACGATTTTCATCAGTTTAGAGTTTTCGCAATCACAAATTCATGCTGAGTTATAAACTTCATACAATGTTTGTTTGTAATCGACAACATAAATCCGGATGGCAGGAGGGTAGTGCAGTATAGGCGAGCAGGTAAATGATATGCATCGTTCCTTGCCAAAAGAGTTTATATTCCGTTATCCAATTTCATTCAGTTTCAGAATTTGATAACATAAAATAAAAAATGGATGGTTGGAAAGACGGTATTAAAAGAAGTATCGAAAATGCAAAAGCCAACTGTCGCTTAGAATGCACCGAATTTGGAGTCTTTACAAAGGTAAGACAAATTTAGTTTGAACAAAGTTTTTTAAGAAAAGCGTTTGCCCCAGTCCTTGAAAAATATAAGCTACAGCCACCATCGATTATCATCAATTAAAGCACCGGTAGCAGCGCTTTGTGTCATCTTGCATTTTGACATGATATGGGCAAAACTTGTGACTTCATTAACCAAACAAAAAAATGTAAAAAGTCCGTTGGATCATTTTTCTAAACAAACTATCCAAATATTTCGGTACCCAAAGATGGGAAGACTCTAAAATGCTATTACTTTTTTTCTTTCAAATTCCCTAGTCTATGAGACCCTATATTCTGATTGAAGAAAACACTTTTGGGTACTCCTGAAGTATGCACACCGAGATGTCGCATAACCTGAACCCTAACCTGGTACACAACCTAAGTTCAGGAGGTCCCACTTTTGTATTTCGTATTGCTCGACCGCCTGTGTTGCTTGTCCGCCGATCTTTTCAAGAAAATTCCAAGCCGTACCCGTACACAAGATTTGCAAGTCGTGCCGTTTTCTCCTATTTATCTATTCAACCGAAACGCTTTTTCCACGCAGAATGGAAGTTTCTGTACGTACATTGGAACCAGCAAAATAGAGGGGAGTCTAGATGAAGAAACTAGACGCAAAATAGCCGGAGCGTTTGATCAGAAAACAGAAAATGTCATGGAGGATTTACAGAGCTATGGAATCAAAGTAGGCCCAGTGAAGTATAAATTCATCAATGGTGAAGATAAAATCGTGTTCTCAGACACAAATTCTGGTTTAGTCTTTGTTGACGCCGGCATTTACATTACTTATGGCATCTCAGCAGAATTAAAAACAGATAAAGCAAACGTTATTGCAGGATGCCAAAGTTGTGCTGAATGGCTGAAAGACTCTCAAGTGAAACAATAGATTATTAGTGAGCCATATAAATTTTCACAAGGGACGTGTTGGACGAAAACATAAAAAGATGATTTTCATTGCATTAACCATTATTGAAAAGAGTTACCATTCATTTATAAAAAAAATTTAATAAATTGATTGCTATTATTATTTGCTATTTGTTATAGGAAAACTGTACGACACGACAGACCGATTTCAACATTTATAAAATTGTACCTACGAATAAATACTTTCAAATGGAAGGTGGTTGCATTTTTACACACGAAGTGATGTTTATCTAAATGTAATGTATAGGCACCAACTTGCGAAATCACTCTCGAAATAGGAATTAAAATGTTAAAGTACAGGATGACGTTTAGGTGTAAAGCAGGGCGTCCAACCCGTGGGCCATATGTGGCCCGCGGAAGCATTTAGAGTGGCCCGTGCTGTATTTTTCCGAATTGAATTTAAAAATTTGAGTAAAACTATTTTTTGAGTGATGTATTATACAAAGACGTGATACAAACGAGTTGTTTATTTTCCTGAAATGCGCTCTGCCATCCCTTTCAAACGAGCCATTAGTGCCAATTTGAATCGAAACCAAATGGGAGGAGATATCGATACATAAAGGTGCCATAGTCGCTTACACATTTGGTCTTTTACTACTCTATATGACGTTATCGCGAAACAATCGGAGCCATTCTCAGATTGAGAATTTGTTGAGGAATGTATATTATGTATTGTTCGGGTTGCCAATGTTTTACGTCCGGAAATAAAAGAGGTGTTTGCAAAAATAGCCCGTCAAGACAGACCATAACTCGTCATGTTGAAAAGCTTGGAGGCCATTGTCCCTTAAGGGTACGACTATAGGCATTTACTGTTGGAAGCTGTGGTGAAAAAGATCAAGTGTCTTGGCTTGTCTTTTGACCGCTCAAGATGAGAAAAATCATTGAATTATTCAATGTGAGCGTTGCGTCCATATATATATATGTAATAAAGAACACCTAAAAACAAAGCTCACAACATGTGTTTTGATATTTGAAATAGTTGTAAAAAACGAGAAGATTGTATAACCGATAATGAATTGCATGAAAATTTAATTTCCTTGTGAGTAGTGCATTCGTTACTTCTAACTTTTTGATTGAAATAGTTGCTATCGGGTCATAGGAACTCATACCAGCAATAACCAAATCGATATAAAATTATTTTTTACCTCGTAATTCAATGAGCCTACACATACTTTTTAATCAGTATTCCCTCGGATGAGAAGAAATCCGATAACGCAGTTCAATAATATGGCGAACTACGGCCTCTCGTCTGGTTACCAGTCCATGTCGGGTATGGTTAGCTAGCCAGTTATTTGTTTCAGATGCACCGACTCGATGATAAAGAAATCCATAACCGACCATTACGATAGAGGTAAGATCGGGCCCAAAAATTCCAGCCTGACCCGACCCGGGCCAGTGGGTATTAAACCCGACCCGAGCCCGACTAAATAACTGGAATTGCAGGCCCGACCTGAGTCCGACTAATTGAATGGATTTGCAGGCCAGACCCGAGCCCGACTATAATTAACTGGATTTTCAGACACTTTTCTCACTCAAGACATATTTTCGGGCGTGATCGTGAACATTAACTCGTTTTCACGTTTTTAAACTCTATTCGTTAGTTTTCAGTTGTGTTTCGGAAACTTAAATATAAATCAGATATTTCAAATATCACTTTGTCTTTCTAGGAGTTTTAATTTAATTGCAGTAATAAAAAATTAGTGTAGAAATAGCTGTGATATACTAGGCTGAAATTCTCTACCGGTACCTTTAAAAAACAGATTGTTGTATGCGATGAATTATAATGATGGATTGAAACAAATACCCAATTTTACTCGAAACCACTCTTAAAATAAAATGAGCCCCGAAAATTTTGCAATGGTAAAGTATGGGTAGAATATTTTCGGGGGTCAAAGGTCAGGGTATGGTCCACTACAGCTTCTTTGTTTTATTCGAATTATTTTTTTATAACAAGTATTCCTTAGTTTAGTATCCACACATAGTTTTAGTATATATTTTTTTATAAACATTTATTTATTTTAGTCAGCGATAGAGAAGCCCAACCCGAACGTAATGATTGACATTTCAGGCCGGACCCGACCCGAAATTTCGGGTAGGTCTCGGGCTTCCGATCTTAGCTCTAGATTACTGCGCAGGATAATTATAGATGTGGTGGCGAGCGCGTATACAACGCTTATCATGAAAAGCCACACCTGCGAGCTGTCACTTTCTATTGTACCAATCGCTATCCTACACTGTTTAACATGTTTGAATCCGTTAGTGGATAATTATATGAGGTTACGCTAGTCCATATGAGCATCTGGAGCTAGCAATTGGTTTTATTTCACCATACCAAGTCTTCACGAGAGGTTCATCGCATAATGAAGCCAAAGTTTCCAGGATATACATGAAAATCTAATTTCCTCTCACATAATAAAACGAAAATATATGGACAAGAAGGCCGTGAATCGATACCAGTACGGTGCGGCTAAAGAGCAGCGAGCCTGCTGAAGAGGCCCGTGCACAAACGGGTGGTCACACATGGCGGAAAAATTCATCTTTAATTAAACAAGAGAGCTACGCACAAATATATGGACACGTTAGACCAGAGCGAATCAGTCCTTACCGGTACCTTTGACGCTACCGGTACCCTCAAAAAAGTTCTGAATTTCCAGTAGCAAGAATTTTGCAGAATCAAAACGTACAGCCAGTCATGACACTGACTAAAATCCGTGTTCCCATGGATAAAAAATAATACAGCAAAATTTTAGACGAAATATCAAATTTCATAGAATTCACGCAAAATTTTGAAATAAATAAAAGTAATAGCCTTCTAGCGAAAAAATTAATCTTCAACCACTGAAAATTTCAAAGCAATTGGTCCAGTATTCGAAGAGAAAAGCGACTTTTTAAAAACGTGTCAAAGAACAAGAACAACAACATAATATTGAAACGATCGTTATGTCCACTACGTGTCCAATAAAACAGCAAAACTCAGGGTGAAATGAATACGACTCTGAGGCAACTTTGAAAGAAGTATTAACTTTCCCGCGACTTTTGCTATCTTTAATTATACTAAAAATTAAAATCAAGTAGTTCATTTGCGAGTTTAGGAAAACGATTCATGTGCACACTTCGTTTCCAATAACGGGTTTTGTTCACTGTGGACCTTTTCCCGAGCATCGACTTTCTTGTTTACTTCGTGACATTGGCCAATCAACAAGATGCAAAAAGTGACGTAACAATGCTCCCTTTTCGCATCCGCTCAGACACTTTTCTCACTCAGACAGATTTTCAAGCGTAAAAGATTTTCAAGTCGTAAACATTAACTCGTTTTCGCGTTTTTAAACTCTATTCGTTAGTTTTCAGTTGTGTTTCGGAAACTTAAATATAAATCAGATAATTCAATGATCATTCTGTATTCCTAGGAGTTTTAATTTAATTCCAGTAATAAAAATTTAGTGTAAAAATAGCTGTTATAGACTAGGCTAAAATTCTCTTCCGGTACTTTTAAAAAACAGATTGTTGTATACGATGAATCATGATGATGGTTAGAAACACATAAATCATTTAACAAGCGCCAACTCGCAAAAGCACTCTTAAAATAGACCCGAACATTTTGCAATGGTAAAGTGAAAGGAAGAATTTTTCGGGGGTCAAAGGTCGGGGAGAGGTCCATAGGATATAGGAAAACAAGAACGCAGCAGTGTTCGGTTACGGCTCAAGTCACTCTTTAAACATTCCACATAGCATAACTTAATATATTATGCTAGACCCATTGATCTAAATGAGATGCGCGATTCTAGCATGTATTTCACGGTTTTGGGTAATTCCAAATTTCACTGATCATTGATTGCTCGTAATATTCAGATCACTATAAGTAATACCTTACAGGCAGGGGCGGATTAACCAGTAAACAATATAAGCACGTGCTTAGGGCACCAAGCAAAGGGGGGCACCACAGAAATTTTTATAACAGAATTTTCAATAGTTCATCGGTGTTTAATAAAATATTACGAGTTGAACAGACAACTCAGACTTGTTCGTATTTTCTTTTCCTCAAGCATCATATTAAGCTTCTCGATCAATGTTTGGAGGTTTGCGAACTATCTTTAAAAAATCGTGTACATCAATGGGCCTTTCCTCGACCTTTGACCCCCGAAAAATTCTTCCTATACTTTACAATTGCAAAATTCTCGGGGCTTATTTTAAGAGTGGTTTCGCGAGTTGGCCCCTGTAAAATGGGGTATTTGTTGAGACCATCATTATGTTCCATGGCGTACAATAATCACCTTTTTATAGGTACCGGTAAGGAATTTTAGCCTGGTCTAACACAGCTATTTTTACACCAATTTTTCATTTACTGCAATTGAATTAAAACTTATAAAAAGACATGGTGATCATTTAATTATCTGATTTATACTCAAATTTCCGAAACACAACTGAAAACTAACGAATAGAGATAAAAAACGCGAAAACGAGGTAATGTTTACAACCATGCCTGAAAATCTGTCTGAGCGGATGCGAAAAGGGTGCATTGTTACGTCACTTTTTGCATCTTGCTGATTGGCCAATTACTCGAAGTCAACAAAGGAGGTTGATGCTCGGGGAAGGTACATTAGTGATGAACACTGAAACTTACTTGTCGAAAGTTTGGTGTAGCGACAACATCAAAATTAAAAATGGTGCACTATGTGGCGGTTCCGCGATCGCATTTCAGCGATCTAGAGGTCAGCGAAGTTGGGGAGTTTTTTGGTAAGGTAGACTAGACTAATAAGTACTGGTAAAATTTTAAACTGCAGTTTGTACTCGGTTCATCTGGTATTTCGATTCACGTTGAGACTTGACGCATGAGTCTTAATCGTGACAATTCCCAGAATATATGGAAATCATATTCTGCTAAGCCAGTTGATGCAAACCTAGGCAGCTAGACTACTTATATTGCAGATAAAATGCAAGAGCTGGATTTCGTTTTATGTTATTGTTTTGGAATGAAATTTTACAGAATTTTCACAGAGTAAGTCAAGTTCTGCAAAGTGAGAATGTAGACTTACAAACATGCGCGCATCTGTATGCAACATTACGAGGCCAGCTGCGCATTCCACGAGATGAATTTGAACGCTATGAAGCGCTCACGCTACCACTGCAACCAAATGTCTCTTCATCTGCTGAGAAGGGCAGGTATTCGCAGGGTTGTCAAAAGCTTATTGATGCTTACCCAGAAGATTTCAACAGTAATTTCTCAGCTGAGCTTCAGCAGTTTCATTTATATGTGCTCCATAAATTCAATGACACAGGAAAAAAAAATCAAGATTCAGTCATGCTGAACTTTACAAAATTCTTGTAGAATATAACATTGCGTGCGCCTTTCCAAATGTAGACAATAGTTTTCGAATATTTTTAACATTAATGATCACAAATTGTTCAGCAGAACGTTCATTTTCTCAGCTGAAGTATATTAAAAACCCATACAGAACAACTATGAAACAAGACAGACTAGAATACTAGATGCTTTATCTCTGTTGAGTATAGATAGAGGCAGATGTGTTACATAAGCTTAGTTTTGAGGATCTAATCAAAGACTTTGCAGCTAAAAAAATTAGGAAAAAACTTTTCAAAAGTAAGTGAAAGACTTCTGTCTTTTCAAATGTTAGTGGTGCCTTTGTAATGTCAGTGGCGTAGTATCTAGTATGGAGAGAGACTTGTTTTTATAATATGAGAAAATTTATCAGAATCAAATTCAAGTAAATGTACCGAAAAACATCGTTTGCTTCCTTACTGTTGGTATTGTTTTATTTCAATTTCATTTTTTCAAAATTTTGTGTTGTTCATTATTTAATGTAAAAGATGTATTATGTAAGAATAGGATTAGTTTTGGGAATATGAGCAAAATTTCACAGTCAAAAAATTGTAAGAAAACCTAAGAATGTTCGTAGAATTTTTATTTTTTTACTGTTGGTTGTGAGTATTTTTGATGGATAATACACTTAATTATATGTATTTTAAAAGACACATATGGGGGCACCAAAGCCTCCAGTGCTTAGGGCACCAAAGGGGCTTAGTCCGCCCCTGCTTACAGGGTTTACTTGTTCAATCGCCCTCGGCGCGTTGAAATGACTCAGCACTGTAACGAGACTTTGCTTGCTGCGTCACTCTATCGAAGATACGCTTCACCAATTACAGTAAACACACACACTTACAACGCATAGGAAATGAATCGCGATTTCTAATTTCGAAGTCTATGGGACGTTACAATAAAGTTAAGAGTTTGTTAATCATATACATGCTTTAGGGAAAATGGTTCTTTGCTTTTATCGTTGAAGGCAATAACAAATTGAACGATTGAAAACAATGCAGTGCAGTCACGATTTGTGCAGGCTCCTGTATAACTGTGACAGCCTTAATCTGATTTAATATGTGTAGATAATATGAAGGCGAACGCAGCAGTCAGTTACTCAACGTATGGTGTCAATGTTCAGACAGCGATTTTATTCGTCATGGTCTTCGGTTTGTGTTATTACTTGCTAAAACGCGACAAAAAATCAAATAATCTTCCTCCCGGTAAGTTATGTAAATATATTTGAATTATTGATTGTTGAAGTAATGGGAATTTAACCCTACCTAATTCCTAACGCAATGCTTCGTAAACAAGAGGATAATACTCGAATTTATAGACATGACGGACAAGTGACCTACATGATACACGCAATGCCAGTTAATGTTGGAAGAAATGTACCGGATGTCACCTAAATTTTTTAGCGAATGTTGTATGGTGTACCTATAGAGTTGGAAAACTGTAAAATTAGGGTAAAATATTGGACACAGTAAAACTTTATAGGGGCCTCATCTATCTCTACGTTCTGAAAATTCAAAATCGACCAGTTCGTCAGTTACGGAGCATACCAACACTATTATTTCGGCCAAGAGACCTTATGGTATGGCCCGCAAATAGAAATCAGAAGGAAACGCGGTATCGGCGTCCTCCGTGATGATGATATATAGGCGCTCCCGAAGTATGCGCACCAAGATGGCGCACAACCTGAACCCTAACCTGGTACACATATTATGTTCAGGTTGTGCGCCATCTTAGTGCACATACTTCTGGAGCTCCGATATATATATATATATACATATATTGGAGATAATGGAGCTTGATTTGGCCAAAATACTCCTCTTTTTCTATAGGCCCAAAAGGATGGCCGCTGCTCGGTAATCTACCAGCTTTGAGTTTTCATTCCGAAGAAGAAATGTTGAAATGGAACAAGGAATATGGCCCAGTTTGTCGCTTAAAAATGGTCAACATGGATTTTATGATACTCGGATCAGTAGAGGCGGTCCAGGAAGCATTTGTTCGAAAATGCGAGATTTTTTCGGACCGACTTCAAAATTCTATTTCTGCATTTTCGGGATCTCATGGGATAATCTTTCTAAATTACGACCGTAAATTGAAGGAACAGCGTCGATTTGCGCTAGCAACTTTAAGGGAATTTGGCATGGGGAGTCGCAGTATTGAACCGAGTATACTTGACAAATGTTCAGCTCTTTGTGATCTTGTCGAAACAGAATTAGAAAAGAAGCAACCTTTTGCTCTTGACTTCATGATTTACCAAACTGTATCGAGTGTGATTACACAATTAGTTTTTGGTAAAAATTTGGCTGATGAAAACGAAGACTTTCGTCAATATCTTCAATTGCTCATGACGGGATCAAAATATAGCACTCTGAGTGGAATCGCTACATTATTTCCGCCTTTAAGAGTGAGTTCATTTTGTTGCTAAAAATGACATATTTATAGGATCCATAACTGATTAATGCTAATCGTTCACAGAAAATTCCACCATTTTCATGGGGACCCCAAGTCGCAAAGCAACGAGAGAAAACCCTTCGTCTACTGTATCAAGAACAAATTGACGAGCACAGAAGAACAAGAGATCCAAAAGAACCACGTGATTTCATCGATTGTTTTCTAAACAAAATGGATGTTATGGCTGAGTCTCCGGATGAGGCTGAAGCAATCGGTAATTTAGTTGATTATTGTATAGGTAACTATATGAGAAAGAGTGAGTGCCCGGTGCTGTTGGAAGTCTCAGGAAACTCGAGGCATCTCATTCAAAGACTAGAAATGACATGAGTCATCTAATCGAAATGATTCGATTCACGAAATTGTCTTAACGCCAGAAAGACTTGACTTAGGCTCGACGAATATTTTGGGGGAGTTTTCGAAATAGCCAACGAAATACCCGATCTACCCTCTGATTGAATGATTTGTAGAAAATACGCTAGATTTTTGCAGCAATAACTCAAAGTAGACCGTGTTGGTGCCGAGATAATGTGGCCGTCACAACATGGTTGCTTCTTACATTGATTTCCAAGATCAAGTAGTATCAAAGTTTTCACAAGTCTTAGTATCAATAATTATAAGGTATTTCTTGGAGTTAACCAGTAACCTTTGACCCTTGACTCGTAGTTTAAGAACTTGCGTCCTATAGCAAAAAAATTCGCTGCCTCTTTTGTAATTAGACTTCCTTGAAAACAACCAAGTCTTGGCATTTCAATTTCAGGATTTAATGAGGATCAATTGCTGGCTCTCGCCCGTGACTTCTTCCTAGCAGGATCAGAGACTACATCCACGACAATTTGTTGGGCTGTTCTGTTCCTCTCACGCAACCAAGACATGCAGAACAAATTTTATAACGAGATTATGGATGTGATTGGAGATGCAAAACAACCAAGCACCGCTTTCGCTGATGAAATGCCGTATTCGAAAGCGGTTATACAGGTGAAACAATTGCATAAAACGCGTTAAAATTATATTTCTGTAGGCGGATAATCTACGTTTATCACACGTCTGAAAATTGAAACCATGTTTCTTCTGTGTATACAAGTGTATAGAAATAAAAAGGGCCTCCAACTCTGATTAATAACTTTCTGGTAGGGCAATTAAGGATGTGGAATCAAACAATGTAGTAACCGAAACATCCCATGGGATCATTTTAGTGTGGTCAAGTAGAGCCATGAAAGAGGAGAAATGCTCGGCTCACTTCAGGCTACGACATACCATGCTCCATTTTATGCTTTTGTAGGTAAACATTCCCTCGCAGGATTGAATCTACTTAGGTTTTATTGACTGACACCACTTCTACGTCAATATTAAATAACATGTTGGTAATAAGTGATTTAAAGTCTAGTTTCATATATTAAACTTTTATAATTTACGTAGGAAGTATTGAGGATGCGCCCTATTGCACCGATTGCAATACCACACCGTGCAAGACAAGAAGGAACAATCATGGGGTATCGGATTCCAAAGGGAGCTATCGTAGCTGCGAATATATTTGCGATTCAGAATAATGATGAAGTATGGAATAATCCAAAAATGTTTGATCCCTCTCGCCACATCGATGCTGATGGAAAATTTGTCAAGTCTGCAAACGTGATTCCATTTTCAATAGGAGCTCGCCAATGTTTGGCTATGCAGCTTGCTAATATGGAGTTGTTTTTAATCATCGTGTCTCTATTTCAAAGATACAGATTTGAGTTTGCAGGCGATAGTGATATTGACATGCGAGGGAGGAATGTGTTTACTCTTCGACCGTATCCATTTAAAGTTCTGGCTACCAAACGCTGAATTGAGTGATGGGTGGTACAGTTCATTTCTCTCAATTTGATCCAGCGGTTGAAACCGCTTCTCGGGGAATGAAGATGCTAAAATGTTTTTGTTGGTTATTTATATTTTACCGTCCTAATAAAATGGTGCAATTTCTGTTTGCATTTGCCGTCTATATCGACTTCCAAGGACATTGCTTACGGGGCCTTGCAGGGACAAGGATTCCTGAAACAAGTAGCCGGCAGTTGCGAAACGTACAGTAAACAGCATTCCGACAACTAGGAATATTTTATAGATACTGTATCTAAATCAGGGCTGGGGATTCGGAGCCTGGAGCCATGGAACCGTGACATTTTGATGAAGCTTGAGCCAAGCTTCTATAACAGATGGAGCCGGAGCTGCCAGAAATTTTAGTGGCTCCAGCTCCTAACCTTTTTTTTCCACACACTTTTTCACATTTATAATTTTTAGAATACAAAGGATGAAATCGATCCATTTCAGCCTAAATTTAATTTTATAAATTTCAGTTTCTAATATTACTTTAAATTAAGTTTCAAGTGATATTTATATCATTATATTATGTTTGAAAGTTGGATTTCAAAATTTAAAACGGACTATATATATCACAATTTTGATTTCTAATTCCGCTAAGCCATAATTTTTTATGATTGTGGTCAAACTCAAATATCCTAATGGCCAAGGGCGTAGTCAATATTTTCAAGGGTGAGGGGTTTAAGATCAAAAATTCCCGTGCAACATATTGTGATTTTTCTTATACGTGAAATTTACTTCCTATCACAATATTATTTATGCAGATTGCCGTGTTATTTAGTATAAAATGCTCTTATTTGGCTTTTAGTCGACATAATCGCGAGTTAAGTTGAGCTCAATTAAATTAATATAGAAAGACAGTTTAAAATCCCGTAGTTGTCATGGATTGAATATTACGCGACAGAAAAAAGTCATTGGGGGTTATTTCAACGAATACGCAATCTCGGCGACTGTTTCAGAACCGTTGCATGGAAATTTTTGATTTCGATTTTGACCCTCTTCCCCCTTTTAAAAATCCTGCGCCTTGCTAGCACGTCAAAATGAGAGAGAACACTGGTGCGTAACTAAAGAAAAAAAGCATCGACTGGATCGATAAAAATACAGCACACGTTGTTGAGTAACTGACTAACAGAGACGCATAGTTGCGATTTTCCTGCCCCATCTTATCGAGGGGGTTATATCCAAAAAAAATTGTTGGGCTTAAAAACGGGCCTCGTCCTACTTGCTGGATAGTTTTATTTGCCAAGAATTACGGTATATAATAACTCTCAATGGATTCACAGTTACGTGCGAAAACAAAAAGGAATTTCCATATCCCCGGTGTTTACAGACCTGATAACATGCTATACACTTACAAAACAATCACTGAAATGCAAAAGCATGCGTTATTTGCGACTTCGACCCCAAACCCCCAAGTGAAGCGCTGGAGCCGGACCCACAATTTGAGTATACTGTGAGACCGGAGCTAGAGCCATTGTGATTTCGAACCATGATCTAAATAATATGTTTTTATACAGTTTCAAAACATGAGCGTCATCATATTCGTGTCGTAATATCTTGATAACAACGTTTGTTTTTAAAACTGTGTTTATTAAGCGCAATGTAGATATAATCAGTAGGTAATTTGTTTCAGTGATAGCCCATTTGTGTAGGCTCATAGGTTTAAATAAAAGCCATGAATCACACTGATACTGAAACACATATTGGGTATAGGTAGCCAAACTATGAATGCTATATATATGCCAAGCCCTAGAACAAGAAAATGTATAGAACGTAAGATAACCAAGCCAGACCATTCAAAATGTTTTTCAAAAATAACTTAATAAAAGTTGGTGCATATTGATTACAGGAATCAGTACTCCCGAAGTATGTGAACCAAGATGGCGGACACCGGAACATTTCGGCGATCTGGTGGTCGCGATGTCGGGAGTTTTTTTTTTATAAGGAAGGCTTCCTGGCCCTATTGAACGTTGCTCTCTAGTTTTTTTTTTTTTTTCATGTATTTCACAACCATATCATGTGCGTGTTGACTATGGGAGCTATTTGGGTGTCAGGTCTTGGACTCAAGGACTAATCCCCAAATTTATCGTTTATTCGTCTTGAAAATATACAATATTATCGAGGTTCCGGCATCTATTTTTTCCATATATACAGTATATGTATATTTTATTCCTAAAAATGGGAATAAGGCCAAATCGTGATAATTTAAATTAATTTTCATGTCTTTAAGTGATTTCCTGTCCAAAATTAAGGAACTTAATTTGACGTCATGAAATGAAATCGATACAAGGAAATATACTCCGGAAATGCATAAATTTTTTTGGTATTTAATGTCGCAAATTATTTGCAAAATTCGGATCAAAATTTTCCCCAAATCATCGAAACTAATTTTGCCTTTGTCGAAGATGGTACAAAGGTCGCCAAGTATTCTAATTTGTATTGTATTGGGCTCGGGCAAGTAATCGAAGTAGTGATGAGTACAAAATGGTCTTATAGAAAGTATACTTGGGTAAGTTTTACGTAGTCCAGTAAATTTAAGTTGTATTTTTCAAGAGTCGAGGAGTCATAGTGTTCTACAGAATAATATATTATACGTGACCCCCGATCCTTAACTATATAGACAGGACATAAAATTTGATTCAACTTGAAATATTTACACAATTTACTAGATATATCTAATTTGTTCATCTAAGCTCGTTAATGAAATGATGAAAATGCAATTTGTTTCTATACAACAACGTTTTAATTGCGTCTCAAATTAGACTGTAGTTTAAACCCCAAAACAAAAATTTCCTGAATAATATTAACATGATTTCAACACTGATATATGTTATTTGCCAGTGAGAATTTGGATGATTAAACCTGTAATTAAAATATACTATTATGTTTACTAATTTAGTTTTAAATATGCCATGTGTTAAAACCCGATGAGTTAGAAACAAATAAATAATAATTCATTGAAAAATTCTTTGTAAGACATGATATGCAATACGTCTCTACTTGAAGTTATGCAATCGAAATGCACAAGTTCATTTCCGCGGAACCAAACGGCATTGCTTCGCACGCGAGTGAGAAATGCATCTGTTTATTCTGCGGATAAGGTATTGTTCTCACGCAAAAAGATGAATTTCTTACTAAATGTCCATTGAAGTATGACTGAGCTAACTCGAAAGTGAAACAAGAGAAACATTTATTGCCGTTAGGAAACCCCATGACGGCAATCGAAAGGAATGTGAGTTGAAGTTGAGTTCTCCTTTTTTGTCTCACTCAAGTTTCCTTGCGCATGATTCCGTCATTTATAATACTGTAGTGATGTCTACAAGGCAAGCAATCTCGATAATAGCTGAACCTTGACGTTAATAAAAGAAAAGAATCGGAATTCCAATGTTCCAATTCCAAACAGATATGATGATTTTTAGTCTGAGAATGCATTACGTAACGCATATGGGTGTTCTTAAACTTCTGCTAAATTTTTAAAATTTTGTTTATGAAGTCGGTTCCTAAACTGAACCAGGTTGTGTTTTTTTTTAATCGGTGTTTATTTTAAAAAAAATTTAACTTCTTTGATATATCCATATATGGCCAATATTAGTTGTACGAATTACATCAAATTTTTTTTAACCTAATTTCATACAAGACTCTATGAAACCTATTGTGGCAAATCCCGCATGTTATAGCGTATAGATTATAGAAAATATGCTCTCACCTGTAATATTAGATTTTGTCTGAATAATCCGTTCTTTCCTATTCGGAATCTCTCCATGTTTAAGTAAAAAGGGGGCGAAAAGATTTAAGGAATGCATGAAAAAGTTATTAGTATAACAAGGGTTAAATATATCTAATGGCATGACTTGCATTTTCCTATACGAACTGATCTCTTACGAAGTTTATAATTTTATTATAAAGTGTAGTTTTTCATTCTTTAGTTATTAGCGTGTTTTGCAAAAATCCGATTTGAAATTTTATCTTGTAAATATTTAGTATATTATGTATACAAATGAATTATCGATCATAAATTTAAGATCAAAATCTCGTTATTCTATTTTTTACGAATTTAAAAACAAAATTGGCAACTTCGTTCGCTTGTATACAGCTATGTTATTTCACGATCAAACATGATAAAAAACTGATATTTACGTAGTTTTTCCACGTATCAAGCTTAGTAAATGTACGATAAGCAACAAAACACCAATTCTGTATGGTAAATAGTAAATACGCGTCTTAAACAACGGGAAAAATGTAATCCGATCTCGGCCCATATATAATTTATATATATTTTTAATTACAACTAAAATAAGTACCACGCGTGTTCAATAATAATAGTAATACGAGTTAGAAAAGATAGCGATTATGCTGGGAATGGATAATTATTACCACAATTAGTAAAATTAATATTAAAGCCTAATTGGCATTATGGTACGGAATTTTATCAATTTATTTACTATTACTATTTTCATATTTCTTAATTATTTTTATTGTTATTGGTTTTAATCTATATTCTAATTATCATAGTATTACTTTATATAATATCGAATTTTGAAAGAAATATGAACATATGATACAAGTTTTGTGTTTTTAGTTAAAGAAAAAGTATAAATTTGCTCGAAGCAACGCCGCGAGCTTTCATTTATTTGTAATGTTATAAAAAGTATGATAGTTACGAAGAGTTAATGGGTATAATCTTTAATTTTGCTATTGTTTGTTTTTGTAATTTTGTAGAGATAATACATAGCACTCATATTTTGACAGTAATTAATAATGAAGTATGCATAAACATCTGATAAATTTGCAATAAACTAATACAATCGCTTAGTAGACGAAAGTAAACATCGATTGACGCACTTGAGTTCCGAAGAGAGAATAGACGCTCCACAACGCAAAAGTTGCGACATAAGTGGCTTTCCTTGCACGATGCCCCGAAACGCTAATTCAAAAGAATGGAGTATTAGCATTCGTGAATATTTCAGGCATACCACCAGGGTAGAATATTTTTGTATCTATTCTGCATTAGGTTTTTCGTTTTTTTGTGAATTTAAACACTTTCTATACAACCATGTATATGTATGGGTATGGAAGAATTTGATCAAATTGGCATAGCATTAGTATTTTTAGCAGGGTAAGTGCGCAAAATAGACAGGAGACTTGAAATCAAATTTTCAAGTGCGATGTCAAGCCCAGAGACCAACCACCAATACGCGTATACAATTTGCAGAAAATTTCAAAAATTTTTCAAAGTAAGCTAATGTAATTTCAACAAGATTAAGTTCAATTGAGAAAATTATTTTTTCAAGTTAAGACTTTACTAAAATTAACTTTTCAAGTCGTTCTAGTCGTCCCGGTTTCGATAGGCCATTATTAAATCAGTATTTTTAGCTAAGTCAGGTGTGAGCACGACTTTCTCTGAAATTTACTTATAAATGTGAATGGGTCAAGATCGAATTGAAAGTATTAGAATTTTTTCGAAGTTCACCGCGTCTTATTGCCGATTAAAATGGACGATATTGAACACTGTCTATCAGGTATTATAATATAATCGGATCTTTTTGCGAAAACGTGTCTTGTGAATAGCAACAATGGCTTTAGTTATATCGAATTTGCCCGTAATTCTGAACCCGGTTTCAGACTTGATCGCTTGAAGGAAGGAAGGATGTAGCAAACGTTCCATAGTTAGGAAAATATTGATGAACCTTGGCAAGTGTTATCGTCTATAAGAAGCAGTTAGTAGCCTACTTAAGTGACTGAGGAATTTGTATAACTATGTTCATAAGAGATTAGATTTCAGTGCAGATGTACACCGACGACCAATGTCTTACCGAAGAATGGGAAACATAACGGTCAACTCAAATTTATTTGATTCGTACGCATTCGTTATCCTTCAGATAGAGCCATGTTTTAAGAGAAAATGCAAAGAGGTTAGATAGTGTCCATGTTCATCACATAAAAGTAACCTTGTGAGAAGCTGCAAACCAAAAGAATCACACGTCAAAGTTTGGGAAAAACTTTTTATTTCAGTAATCTCGGGATATGTTTCAAATTTCCGCACTCGTCGACAATTTTTGCAAACTAAGCCGCAAGGATTAATATTAACTTGACACACAAAAAGGGGGCGTTAAACGGAAAGACATGCATCGATGCATGAGTGTCTTTTCTTTTAGTATAATACCTGGAACTCGCGACATGCATTTTACGAAGCTTGTCAGATTCCACAGGTTTATAGTTTCATGCTGGCAGGCTAGGGTCATACTCGTGGTTGAGTTCAGGGCGAGTAATTCGATAGTGTAACTTTAGATTATTCAATTCCTTATATACGTTTTGATCTCCATAAAACAAAAAAGATGACTGCGGAAATACATCAAACCTCAGCTAGGCGTTTTCACGTCTCACACAACGGCGAATTTAATTTTTTTTTATTAAAATAAAAACTGAAAATATTTGATAGCTATCATTTGATTTAATAAAATAAGTTGTGCTTAAGTCGTTTATGCAGGTTCAAAATATTCGTGTTTGGTCGGAGATCCGATTAGTGAACACGCTCACTTGCCAATAAAAATATATAAAATACATAAAGTCTCATGAAAGTTTGCAGATACGATAGGCTTGCACGTTTTTTCAATTCTGTATATTTGTTTGCAGACAATTTCTTGGCCGGAAATTACTTTTGTCTGAGTGAAAAAACATGATCATATTTACATTTATTAGTGTAATTTACGCTTTATGCCTCTTTTTAGTGTCTTTTCGTTGTGGCTAGACATTTATCAGTATCTGTAGTGTATTGCAGTATCAGGTTTTGCCCGCACGTACGTGATAACCGGGCCTTATTGTGAAAAAAAATTGAGTGTATATAACATTGTATTTAAAAAAAAAGCATTAGCATAAAATAGTGATTACTTAGTAAGTAGTGTTTGGTGGAAAGAAAATTGTGATGAATATAGTAAATTTAAATTGTATGAAATATACAAAAAAAATCCTCTAACTGAATGATACTAACAGAGGAATAAAGTACATGATTGTATCTGTAACCCATGAGATGACAAAAACATAAACTAGAAGGCGGAGCATAATTTGAATACAAAATATTATAACATATCTTCATTTAAATCAAGACTTTTGGACTATCATACTATGTGATATGGTACAAGTGAAGAATTGTATTTTCCATTCAGTATGAAGACGAACTTTTCACCTATTAAGGTTGACATGATAATTCAAAAGCAGATCAGATATTATTCATTGTGCGTAAAAATGAATTAAAATTTACGAAAACGATGTAAAGCTTCAAGGCCGTAAACAACATTATTTTTGCAGGTCATAAACTACTGTGCAAAAACAAGAGAAAAGTAATTCCAAATAACAGATGATCGATCATAAAACCCTATACGTTTATCATACTATCAGAGCATACTTATTTACTGATTGGAAACCGGAAGAAAATAACAATTATTTTAGCCACCGGCATTTCGCTCAGAACTATGCATTTACGTCAATATATCCGCTAAATAACGCATAAACATTATCAAGTTTCTGTAATTATAAATTTAGAAGTGACATGCTAATGATGTATATAAGCGAAAGTTTATATAAAATTTAAAATAGTCGCCGCATAATGGAAATGACTTACTCCAATTAAAAACAATAAAACCAAGCAACTAGATATTATAATAATGCTATTTTTTATTCAAAAACGTGTGGCAACGGTACTGTGGAGGTAAAGCTTACAAATATTCTTAGTTGTTTTAGTGAAAAATTGCAATAACTTAAGAACTGGCACAAAATTAACCGATTTTTAACGCATTCTTTTTAGTTTTTTAATCTATCTTAATGCGTCAATGCATAAGATTATACCTTTGATGGGCTTATGTTGAGATTAAGTTACAATGAAGAACGACCACCAGCAAAAAAGCGTTAAGCCAATGGAGTATGATAATCTTCAGAGCACAGTACTTGTACTTCTTGTTATTGGATTATATTCATATCTATACAAATATAGTAAAAAAGAAGGATCTCGTTTCGCGTCAAATCTACCTCCAGGTTTGTATATATAAATTTGACTGTAGATGGTCCCTTAATAAAGGGAATTTAGTTCTGAGTGGTATAACCCATTACCATTATTTTCTCTCCATCGAAAAAACAACATTTGATAAATATCAGTCGGGACCATTTTATTTTTCATTAAACACTGTAAATCAGGGGTTCCCGAAGTTGATTAACCGCGGGCCAAATTTCGAAGCTAAAGGATATTCGCGGGCCAGAAAAGGTGAGCGACAAAAAGAGCTCGCCACGGCTGAGAAAATTTTAAAAATTAGACACTAAAACAGACTGCAAGCTTGATATTATTACACCTAGCATCGCAGTTTGTTATGATAACTGATTGAAGTTACTTGCTCATCTGAAATATACGGCTTCGTATAAAGGAGGCTACTTATGGCTTGGTTTGTTGCACAAAAAACATCCCAATGTATATAAGTATAAAAAAACGGAATGCCAACATAATTTAATTGTTTATTTTGTATATACCAATTATATATTTTTGTAGGTGTAATTAGGGCAGATGTTCTTTACGTGGCTCCAATTCAGTACATTATATTCGCAACAACGCATTCAAGTGATTATCTATCATGCAGTCCGGACCGAAGTTTTGTTTCGTTAAGGTTCATAATTGTGTTGTTAGAAAGACTGATGCTGGAAAATTAACTGTTTAAATCGGGAGAAATGAACTCCAAAACTTGCAGCATACATTCGCGGAGAAATTCCACTTCAACAAACGAGCGATTCTTTTTAGTGATTTTGTGGGCTACAATATAACTGGATAACACCGCGGATTGACTTTTATTAGATTCATTTTTTTAAATATGTTTATTTGACTTTTGTATGAATTTAGCATTGAATTTTGGAATACGCGCATCAACTGATCATAATTCGAAAAATGCTTCGTCTCATAATGGCGCCTAATGCCATATTCCTTCAGAACTGGCATATTTTGTTGGCAAGGAAGACAAATCGCTGAAGTTTGATTTTTTTTATTAAAGAAATAAGAACGCTGCCAAAAACGTCTGTTTTCAGTGTCTAGTTTTCGCTTTTTGACATCTTTAAGCTTTCTTAAATATAGGGCTGATACCTAAAATACGGACGTATGTAGTCCTGATGTCGATACGTATACGTAAGATACCGGTATAATTGAATTGTTAAGAATATACGCGTGTTTAAACTGTGACAATGATGTAATAATTGGCGGTATCTGAACACATAAAGCGTTAAACGTATTAGTATTTATTCACGGTTAAAGTTTAACCGTTAAATTATTTCACTTAACCCCGGCGGGGCATTTTAAATCGATACGCGGGCCGTAATTGGCCCGCGGGCCGCGGTTTGGGAACCCCTGCTGTAAATGAACGCGTATTTAAATACGGTCGATATACTCTTTTAATCAAAACTCCCAATATTTTTCTTTGAAACTGGGGAGGCCTAATTTATGTTTAGGCCTAATCGAGCTAGGATATAACATTCATACTTTGAAATGAAGGGTTCGAGATGATTCCTAGATAGAAGATGTCTTTATCTTGGTGGTTGCTTGCGTGAAGTCTTATTTAAGTTTAGGTGTGATCTCAATAAACACAATCAAAAAAACAACCGCAAAGTTTTCGATACAACTGACTTCTTCTTAATCCATAAGAAACAGCATGATTTATCGATCAAGCCAGAATAAATTTAAACAATGGAAAAGACAACAGTATTGACGCATTTGAATATTTATGTTTTTTTGCTTCTGTTGCCCCACGCAATATCATTTTTGCAATCAACTGTAACAATAATAAACTGGTATTCCACTCGGTACCAAAAAAAATACTATTTTCATTTTAGAAATCTTATTTTATTTTACTCGAAACGCAACAAAATTTATTTGCTCATTGATTTGCATTTTTATTTTTTAATACACAGGTCCTCCGAGATGGCCAATTCTAGGAAATTTACCATCTTTATCGCTTCATTCCGAGCGAGATATGTTTGAATGGAACAAAAAATATGGACCCGTTTGTCATCTTAAAATGGCGAGCACTGACTTTATTATTCTTGGCACTCTTGAGGCAGTCCAAGAAGCATTTGTAAAGAAATGTGAAACTTTTTCTAATAGGATGCAAAATGTAGTACCTGGATTATCAGGGGTTGATGGAATAGCCTGTTCAAACTGGTCCGAAAAGTTGAAAAAGCAAAGAAAATACTGCATTTCAACTTTGAAAAACTTCGGCATGGGACGTAAAAGCATAGAAGCAAACATTTTGAAAGAGTGTTCAATACTTTGTGACAAAATTAAAATATATTCCACGGCAGAAAAAACGTTCAGCATTGATTTCATGCTCTACGAAGCCTTTTCTGGTGTTATATGTCACTTGGCGTTCGGGAAAAATATTTTACAAGAAAACAAAGAATTTCGTAAATTTATCCGCTCAATCGCAAAATCTTCAAGTACATTGAATAGCGTAATGATATTTTGCCCTCTGTTAAAGGTAAGAATATGACTCTAATATATATGCATTTTTCTGTCATGTTGAACGCCTGCAATTTAATAGGTTCCAAATAAATCTAATCGAAATCAGTAAAAAAAGGTTTGTCTAACGGTCTGATTATGCTTTCAAAATGCAACATCAAAATTTTTAAGATTATTCAAATAAACAAAAATCCTAATATAAGTAATTGCTATGAGGCAACTAAAATTGACCTAAGTTCGACTGATGTACGTTCAGCATTAACTCCACAATTGCAATAAATACAACATATATATATATATATAAATCGCGAGACTTATCCCTCTCAAAACATCAACTAAATGTAGTTCAGCTTAGCGATCTTAAGCTCAATCAACATGGTAAAGTTTTAAAATTGACGGAGGCACGCTTACACTTTTGTATTAGCTATTTTCAACATTAGATTGTAACAAACGTTGTTTCTATAGGTAATACCACCGTTCAGTTGGATTCGGCAAGAAACAGATGGAATAGAAAACGCAGTGCTAAAAATACTCAATCAAGAAATCGAAAGTCATAAAATTGCAAGAGATCCTGATAAACCACGCGATTTCATCGACTGTTTTTTAAACGAAATGGATAAGCCGAATGCACATTTAGATGGTAATCCTTTTTGATTTTGAACACAATTTTTACAGCAATTTCTCAAAACATTTTGAGTCTGAAACCAACATATTCACAGAGAGGACAAGTGAATAACGATTGATTCTTGTGACACAATAAAGCTCCTTTCGGCTCCAATCTGGCCACAAATCGATCCCCCGGATTACACAAAAATCGACTCCAGTCAATTTCATTTTAAATATGAGACTCCGATTTGCATATTTTTAAAAGTCTGAAATTCTGTCTGAGCCCTAAGGGGATTTTGAAGTATAAGGCTGTAATATACTGTTGGAAAAAATCCCATCAAACGCTGAAGTTACACAAAACCCTTTTTTCAAATCACTACACATCAGTTTTTATCGCTTGACAAAACAAATTTTCAAAAATACGAGCCGGAACTAAATGCACTTGACAGTGAAGTGTTTTTATTTTTATATAACAATATGTACCGAAACTGAACACAATAAATGAAGAAAATGATATTGACAGTTCGCAGGTGGATGATACCCGCATTTACAGATTAAAAGAACTTGATACAAAACAGGACATTAAAAGGACATTTGATATCAGAAAAACTCTTCGGGAATATCCATATATCTTATCATTATGAAAAATACTTTTAAACAGGTTTCTACCACTTGCAGCTCGTATTGTCAATACGTGATATTTTTTATGCGGGAACAGAAACGGGTTCAAATACCGTAGCTTGGCTCATATTATACTTATGCCGTTATCCGGAGGTTCAAAGAAAAATGCAGAACGAAATTTCTGAAGTACTGAGTGAAGAAAGACAACTGAGTATGTCAGCATCAGAAGATATGCACTACACAAAGGCAGTCATCCAGGTGACTAAATCCGTGGTTCGAGAATAGGTTCGCGCTTTATTGAAGATCTTTTTAAAGGGATGATAGAGTGGGTCAAAAAGTAATATTTATTTTGAAAAAGAACTTGTGAGTCATATATATTCAATCAAATCCCTTTTGCATCTTTTCGGACAGTGCTGTAATCTTTGGTCGGTATTGTGTAGTTTTGACCTTTACGCACACAACACTTATATATATATAACACTGAGGCGATTTTTGGCACTCGATGTTATGATATTCATGAGATAAAACATGAATTCGCGTGTAACGAATTAACAGAAAAACGTTTATAATGCTGCAGCAAATCTGATACTGGTTTAAAAAAAAGAATTTTGAAGGGAATTCCACTCAGAATTATATTTTTCGATCGTCTTTCGACCACATCAAAGTCCCTATCGTTATTTCACATTTCTGTGGTCGTGAATCCAAGTCCATGAAATTTTGTTTTCCAAACGGCTTTGTATGCAGGAAAAAATAAATTGCAAAGTCACATCTGGTTGTCGTTTACCCTCTCGGCCCCTTTTTAATCATAACTCATGCACCTGACAGAGACCCCAGTTACAAGACAAGTTGTGAGAAAATGAACAAATCAATTGTATTGTCATGAAGGATGTAAAATAATTGTTACCAATATCAGTATTCACGTATTGTCAGCTTGAATTGAAGACGGTAATTCGGTATTATTATCAATTTTTATCACTGGAATGTTGTTACGTTTTTTGTATTTATTCGTTACTTGGCGTGTCACCGAAAAAATATGGTGGGTCATCGAGTTAGTGGTTCGCCATTCCTACTGTAGTCTATCCGCATTATGCAAAGTTATATGCCTGTACTTCGTAGTTCTTAACTACGATTTTGCTTTGCTTTAGAGCTAATCCTCGGTCGTCGTAGTATTCCCAAAACCACCACAAAGGAATTCTAAAATTATCAATAATTGTTGTTTAGGAAACGATGCGGATCAGACCAGTCACACCAATCGGAATACCACATGTTGCGGCGAAAGAAGATACTATTATGGGATACAAAATACCGAAAGGCGCCGTAGTCGCGTCAAATTTGTTTCGTATTCACAACGATGAGACAATTTGGTCTGATAGCGAATGCTTCAGGCCAGAAAGACATTTGGACCAAAATGGAAAATTTAGGAAATCACCGTACGTGATACCGTATTCCATTGGCGCCCGTCACTGCCTCGGACAACAGCTGGGAAATACGGAAATATTTTTGTTTGTTGTGTCAATTTTTAAAACATTTTCTCTCACTGTGAAAAACATTGATAGTATCAACATGCATGGTAAAAACATCGTTTCTTTGAGACCATGTAATTTTGAAGTAACTGCCTCGGAGCGATACCGGTAACTATTACTACTGCTTACACACTGTCTGACCAACGCTAAAATCATTTTCGCTTCAAAACATCTCATCATTCTTTACAAGTTTCGTCCTAATTCAAACATGATTTCTTACCTTTACTGTAATTATGCAGTGCAGAGTCTTCTATGGGGCCCTTCTGAATGTAGTGCAGATGAATAGGGACTTATGATAACTACTTAGTCAATGGAATCTGTCATTCAGCATCTGCCTCGCCATTATCACAAATTATTTGGATCGCGATATACTTAGACTAAACGTAGATGACTCTAGCGTTGTTCTGGTAAATACTAATGGCTGTCCCACTTCGAACTTGACCCATTAACTCATGATTCAACAGACGATTAGAGGAACCGCAGGTGCTACAGCAAACCTGGCATCAAATCATCTGCCTTCAAAACTGGGGCAGATCATCCCCGACCCTTGACCTCGGCAAAATTCTTTACATACATTGCGAAATTTTTCATTATTGAATTAGAGTATTTTAGCGAGCTTGCAGACCAACATATCTTTTATCGCCATTTTGTCACAAAGTGTTCAAGCAGGAGCCACGAAAAAATTTTACAGCTGATTTTGAAAGCTCAGTCTACCCATTCTCTCGATGGAGTTTACTACAACTACAACCAATGAATATATATATCCAGTGGTGGGATTCAGTCGGTTCTATAGAACCGTCTCACGGAATTTTATAAGACCAGCGAACCGATTAGCATTACTGAAAAAACATGACTTTTTGTAGCAGAATCGGCTGAAAAATATGTGATGGAACCGGCTGACAAAAAATTGAATCCCACCACTGTATATATATATCCTAATTGCTGCAACCTAACTAAAACACACCCGGGGCCATAATCTGAGTTATTTTTACTTAAATTTTGTAAACTTAACGAAAACTTAACAAATAACAAACAAAACTACAAAAACGAGTCAGCGTGTAAAACATGTTGAAAAATCTGTGAGCAAAAATGGCGTCTGAACGACTGCTTGAATTTCAATAGTATATCATCGTCGACTTCTTGATGATTAGACCTTGTCACTAAAATAAACAAGGAGGTCGATGCTTGAGGAAGCATTCTTTGTTAAAGGGAACGACGATCAGACCCGGTATTCCAAGCGCGGGTTCGCTAGAAACGCACTACTTCTTGTATCCATAAAACTGGGGAGCGCTACTGGGACTACTCCATCAGCAAACATACAGTGTGGAGTTGGAATATATATCCAGAAAAATTTCTCTTAATACAGTCACGCAACAACTGCAGGAAATATTGACGATTCGATAAAAAGATGTCGTTGACACGATCTTTACATAAAATGATCAAATATCAATTATGAACCAACGAAAGTCAAACCTCAGCCTTTTTGTTGAGGATGTAGTTTTTGTTTGGTGTTTAAATTATATTTTACCTATCGCAATACAGTTGGAACTTTGATCGCAACATTATGTAATATGATGCTAATAGAGCTTAAGAAGCACTATATCCCAGCAAGCACGACAATGCTTTCCTTACTTCCCACTCAAGGCGATGGCGGTTTTCTCAGCTTTAGTAATAAAGCTTTATATACCCATCCATATTTCTGATTGCCGTTTACACAATTTACCCGAGCATATAGAAATACGAGGTACATATATGTATGCGGAACAATGAAATTTCAAATGTAGCTCACTTAAACCAGAACTCCACGACTTCGTTCAGCACAGGACAAGCAATTTACAACTCGGCCTGATATTTGGTTGTTTCATAGCAACGCAATCCATTTACCGAAAGATGAACCCTTTTTGTATATTTCCTTTTTAGTTAAATATGAAACGTACGTAGCGTTTAACACACAAGTTAATTTCGTTCTATATATATAAAAGTTTGCTCTCAGCATGGTTCCCATTCATTTACCTGGGAGTGCGCGAAAAGATGTTCAAGACTGCTAGATCGAAAGATGTCGACAGGTTGCGCCATAACGCGGGAGTATAACATAAAGTCAACACTAACAGAAAACCAGGCGGCTTGGTTAACTCCAGAAAAATCATCATCTAAATCCGTTTGAAAACATCTTTGGGTACAAGTGGGGGACCACACTCTTAACTCGCAAAAAATGTATAAATCCAACGTCCAATAAATTCATTTTGATGGATTGTAACCAGAGGACAGACATACCGAACCTATTAGCATTGGTTCCTGCTAGTGATAGTTTGTAAAATGATCATCGAAATATTATGTACAAAATGTGTACACATTTTATTTGCATATTGCACAATTACATTAGATCACCACACCACCGAAGGAAGAGACCAAAATCTAATACTAAAACAAACAAGCACACAAATTTGTCCAACATTAAGTGTCTTCCGAAAGTTATCTGGAATGCATGGCAAGGAAGCAGCGCAATGGGTGGACAACTTCGCTGCAGTTACGCATGCCATGAAGATAATTATTTTATTGCAAAAGTTGTTAAAATACAGATATTGTATATATATAAACATTACTTTACATTAGTAAATTGGAAGATGCACGTTGGTCTTTCTTATGGATTATGTCTATGGGCTACCAAACAAACACACAGCCTTGGTTCCTAATCTGTAGAGAGGATGCAAGGTTTCATGATGCTTTTCTTGAATATTTCACATTATCCTTATGTGTTAAAAAGCCAAGATGTATATCAGAATATATTTAATTGAAAAGGCAATCAGAAACGAGATATTAACTAATATTATATACGTCCCAAACATGACACAGATATGGCACATCCTTATTACTCCATAGCAAAAAAAGTTACAGCTTAATGACTACCCATGTATTCAATCTGAAAATTATCCTCCCAAAAATTAAATAGTATTGGAATATGGAAGTTTGAATTGCATTGGTTGTAAGTTGTAAAGTTCATAAATAAATATTTTTCAATCATTGCCTATAAATATAAAATGCAACAAAATATTAAGGTTACCCATTTTTTATTAGAGCACAACCTTCATTTTAAAAATTGAAATTCTGCCATTGTGGAGGCATTTCGTCAGACCAAGTTGGATGAAAGCACCATTGTCAAATTATAAAAAAAACAATGATCTAGCAAAAATTAACATCAAACCATGGAACTCTGCCCCTCTAACTTTTCACACAGCTAAAAAAGAAAATATCATTTTGAGATATAAATATTCTTATGTTATGAAAAGATGAAATATGAATAAAGATATTCATTATATCAGCTGTTGTAATACATTAATGATGGATTTAGAAATAGAAACATTAGACAAAACTATCATTTTAAAGACATAAAACAATTTTTTTATTGATAGTGTTTATATGAAACTGAAATACAATTATGAAGATACTATATTCAGACAATAAAAATGGAATAGGGGCAACTTGCCAAGGCTTTATCCACTTATCTTATATTGTTAGGCATATTTTGATAAATTTGAGCTTGAAAAAATACAAGATAATCCCATGTAATAATACAAACCTTATTTATTACAGGAATGGCAAGAATATTTCCAATTATTGGTAACCTCCTCAAAAAATTGATTATAACAGGAAAAAAACCACTGTGAAAATGAAAAAAGTACAATTGGTAAATTTGAGTAAGACGAGGTTGCACTTTGAAAGGCAAAAAAAATGTGTTGATTGACTCAAATAGTTTTCAAACAGCTATAGGGATGCGGAATGATATGGATATTGAATTGGTTTGAATTTAATTATATTCTATAATAAAAAATTAGCACAGAGAAGCCAACATTGTAGAATAATATCGGATGTATTTTATTAATCAAATAAACATACTTACCTGAATAGTAAGAAAAATCCATATGTTTCAACAAGCATTCCAATCAAAGGCCATCCAAACAACACTATCAAAATCCCAGCAAAAAAGAATCCGCTTGATTTGATTTTATGTTTTTGAAAAAAGAAATTGAATGTCCTTTGCAACCCGATGATAAATGATAAACCGCTGATGAATAGAAGCTAGAATAAAATATCATAGAACATTGCTATTTAGATCTGTCATTTTGACAATCTGTCCTAACCACCGTTTGTAAAAATCAGTTAATATGGGACTAGAATAATCAGATGATTGTACATGCATAGGTATATACATAACATTATGTAGACCAGGGGTGTACAACATTTTTTGTCGCTGGGACATATAACCAACTCCAGACATCTAGATGGGCCACACATGTGTGTTAACAACAAATTCCAGTAATAAAGGCACTGGAAAAACGAGAAAGATTTAACGATTTAACGCAGCGACAAGAGAAAAAGACATCGTGTATTTTTGATTCAAGATAATTTAAAAATATCATCTAAATAAAGTTTTATGATTAGTGATGATCTGTTTAACAAATTTAAGTTCAACGTCAACATGAGTTAGGTTTTATTTATATAACAGCTAAGAATAGAGGAACAGACAAATAAATAAACTTGGTACTATTTATTTATTTTACTTCTACTCACATTTCCAAAAGCAAGTAGTACTCTGTCAAAGAAAAATATCATTCCAATGAAGAGAAAAAATGCGCCAAATCCAGTGAGACCAATCCCTATTTCTGAACAAGAAATAAAATTTGTTATCTTTACAATTCAATCACAGAAATACATTAGGCAAGTACTTTTCAATATGCAAGTATTTATCAAACAAGACTACAATGGTAAAACAGGAGTCCATGCTGGGACATCGTATAGTTAGTCATAAAAATTATCAAACTTTTTCAGACAATTGATTACTAGGCTAAGCAGTATTATTTAAACTTCTGGGTCAGGAGAGAGACCGATAACGTCAGTCAGTTTTTTATCGTCGGCACCAATGCCGTTTCGGTCGATCGTGCGTATATTTGGCAAGCTCTATGCCGTGATTGTGATGTCGTGGTGATTAAATTTTTGGATGGCGTAATCAGATGGGGGTTAGGATTGACATATCAAAAAATTGTTATGCCTCGCCCACTAGAAGTACGTTAGGTACGAAACTACACGGGACCCGTCAACTCAACTTAAACATGTAAGTCAGTACAGTTATGGGCTGATCAACTAATTCAATAATTTGACTTACTTTGAGAATCTGTTACAGATAACATCTTAAAGTTCGATTATTTTCCAGTCTTGAACTACAACCAATTTACTACAGAACAGCATGCAGAACTAGAGTAGAGTAGGCCTACGGTATTCAGGTATTGAGGCTAATGAGCTGACTTCTAGTTTGTCAATATTTAATCTTGTTTCCCTGAAAATTGAACTTCGGACTTTGCACTCGTTGGATTTGGATAGTCCGGAGTTACCGGTGCAACAACACAACAGTGCCGTATATTATTATGACTCCAGATCTTTAGTAACAGCTACTATAAAACACTGTTAATGTTAAATAAGATAAAATTGGCACAACAATACCGGTACCGGTATAGCCTAACGCAGGTTACATGCAAATGATAAAACAAGAACACGTTAACGTTCTATTTTCCGCTCGGCTGATCTTCAACAACGCAGCTTAATATCGCCACCTAGCATCAATGTACATTTCGCTCTATCACTTTGGTGTTAGTCATTCATTCGGATATAGATCACACTTTCCAACCAAGAAAAAAAAAATAGAAAAATGAATGATAAGTACCCGCGGTACATTTCATAAATGAACAATATGTACCAGTTGTACATACATTTTCCGTTCTTAGCTGGCTTGTAGAGCTCCTGAATGTTCTTTAAAACAACCATTCCCGTAAGCATGCATCAATACTATTACTATGTAAAATGTTTGAATCTAATGACCAATGACCATTACGTTTGCCACTATTATTAAACTTGCTACGTTTTGAAGATCATTTTAATTTGGCAGTATTAAGTTTTTTTTATTATATATTTTCATACAATTCTTTGTACAGTTTTACAACTATTGGGCTGGGGATTTCTCAATCCTCTGAAATGTTTCAATGGAGTTCGACTCCACAAAAAAACAACTAAAACCACTGGAAAACGGAATAATTCTATCTAAAAACTAACCAACTACATATTCATGTGACTATGGGATGAGTACGCTTAATGTCTCCCACTACGACTCCGAGTTATAGGGTAACTGAAGTCGCGTCCTGTCCCTTGGGTCCCCAAATTAATGTCTCCAAGCCATGCACCAACAACTGAACAACACTGCAATCTGTACACCAACAATCCCGTACACTTGTGTTGAAAGGTACTTTATTCTGTGCATTGATAAGGATCAAAAAAATGCAGCTGATGTTGACGCCAGTGTTAACCGTCTTAGTGTTACGGTATTAGTGTTAATGATAATTTGACTGTTTTGACAAGGGCTCAAAGAACAGCCACCAGTATGCTAAGATACAAAATAAGACAATGATCAGTATAACTATACATCAAAACCTATTCGGCTAATATATGAACGAGAATATCGGTCGGAGACCAAAGACTTGTCGATCAAACGTTACTTACTTACTCTTACTCCATAGCACCACCGCGTGTCACATCACTAATTAATTATTAACTCGCTAATTATATGACATAATTCAAAGTCAATAGGCTTCTGGTCCGAAATACGATGAATGTACATGAAAAATTCGGAGGTGATTCAGCCTCGCTTTTGTGAGATATCGCGTCAATCTAACAGACAGACAAACAAACAAATACCTATCAACATACTTACCGATCAAGATCGATAAGTAAAAAACTTAATAATTTTCTCAGTAAAAAATTACCCCCTGATAATCATTTTGTATTGTATGGCATAAGTATAACCATGGCACAAATATAGAAAAACTCATTATTAATAAAATATATAACCGCACAGCATCCTCCCTGATCCGCAAAGAGCAACGAGCGTCTACCTCGTGGCGAGACAAATTCTAGAATGCCGTAAAGCGCGGGGGAGTCAAGTGTTACGTCACAGTAAAGATATGCAATGCAAAATCATAAAACGGGACTTCTACAGTGACTTCTTATCCCATACATGAAATAGTGATTCTGACTAATAACTTACGAACCAAATATCATATGACACTTGCATTGAAGCAGCTTTATATAACGTAAAAGTTTATTGCATTCCTTCATATCGAACTCAAATTTTCTACCGTGTTTCCCCGAAAATATGACTGGGCCTTATTTCAATTTTCTCCCAAAAAAACAACACTTATATTTATATTTTCATATATCAAAAATAAAATTATAAAGTAGAGAATTACGAGATTTTCAAACATAGAAAATATGAAAAGCGATACCCATGACACGTTTTTAGTCAAAATAATTGCAAAACATAGATTATCAATCATTTAAAACGTGTAGGAGAGATTTCTTGTTATCGACTAAGTAAAAAAAAAGTTCGCGCTATTGACTAGGTCTTATTTTAAGGGGCTTATGTTGAAATCATTTTTAAAATTCGGGCTAGGTCTTATTTTCCGGGTCGGTCTTATTTTCGGGAAAACACGGTACTTTATTTAATCTCAATCATTGCTCTTTCTTTTTTCTCTTTGACTTGTTTTTAATGTTTTGTTCTCTTGGAGGAGATGTCAAGTCTGACTGTTCAGATGCAGCGGCACGTCTGTCATCAGATGGCGTAGGCAGGATAACAATGCTGGCCATACTTGAAAATGCAAATAACACAACTCCGTTGATTCCGCCTAAGAACCTGTAGTAGGAATCCACAAGTTAGAAAAATACCATTACACATAAATAACAAGAACAAGAACAACTACGAAAACAAAACGATCTATAGGTCCACTACTTGTTCAATAAAAGGTTACGATAACAATTAAATTTATGAATCGAACATGAAAAACTATTCAATAATTCAAGTACCCAGCTTGGGTTGGCAAGTCATGTAAAAAACTTTATATTAAACAGAAGAGAAGACTCTACTATGTTAGAGTTCATAAATCTTTATCAAATACTGTCTGCATAAATATTCGAGAAAAGCCTGTTTGTTTTAGTCGACGAAAACAAAAACGTACCTGCATAACGGCTGTACAATCATAAATAATAAAAGAACATTAGTTGGCGCCCTTCGATCGGTAACTATCACTTGACCTTGTCTATACCGATGCATAAACAGTAACATATATCCAATATTAATAAATCCATAATAAGAAGCTATAAGATTGATAGACATAGCCAGCGTATGTCCTATACTGTCCGTTTGAATCAAATACTATCCTGCTAGTTTACGGTAAGTTGTCGCATTACATGTTTTATTATATTATAGTTAATGTTTAACAAGGATTTAGCAGGCTCGCGACGTCTAACAAGCGGTAGAAGAGAAAATAACCCTAAATCATTGTAAAACGTTCAAACGTGGCAATAACATAAGTAGTAGGCCTGCTTGATAAAACTTATATCATGAACTTGATTCAATTTCGGGATATCGCTTACGATTGACGAGAACGACATTCAGGGGGAATGTTGCTTGAGCAAACCACAAAGCGAGCGTCAGTGCCGTTCTATGGTTTTTTATGACGATGTGCACGACATAATATTGCACTGAGTTGCAGTTTACGCGCTGACGTAACGGATATTTGTAAATAGAACATCGGAACTCGGACTACGCCAACAGATTGCGACGATAACGGGTAAATATTTGCGGATTCGTTGGTGTTAACTTACTGCGTCTCGTTATTGACCGATGTTGAACTGAAGTAAGCAAACAAAGCTTCCCTTTACGAAATTTCTCTATAATGTCTATTACTTAAAATATTGGCCGAATAGTACACACGACGTTGCCAGCAGTGATTCAAGTGTACATATTGCAATATAATGAAACTCCAAATATAAAAGACGTGAAAATAATATGCAATTTACTGATAAAATTCAAGAAATTTATTCGAATGAAATCCAATATGCACAGATCACTCTTAGAAACATTCGTGGCGCTAAACTCTGCTAAATTACAATACTCGACGTAGAGGAATTCTCGTTCAAGTCATTGTCCCGGTTCTTCATTGAAATGTTGCAATATTTATTTGGAATTACAAATTCTTAGACATAAGACTACACTTTGTGTGTGGTGAGGGAACATTCTCGAATATCTTATCTCCAGTTATAGGATCAATATAGTCTTTGTAAATTACATCTTTCAGAGACTCATACCCCATTTTGTCGCATATCTTCGATGTGAATGCACTTACTGAAAATGTGAACCTCTTTTCGCATCTTTCTTTCAGAGCTATTTCTTCCGACCTACCGAAAAATGTGACATCAAAAGTAATTTAAATCTAATTTATTATTATGTTAGGTTATCCGCGGTTGCTACCTACCTCTTGTATAGCTCTGTTCCAAGACCCTTGTTACCCCTGTTTTCGAACAGAGCATAGTTGACTGCATATAATTTTTCGTTCCCATAAATTTTTCTGGCGCAACCAGATTTTCTTCCCCTGACAGAGTTGTTAGCATCTTAACATAAAATAAAGCGGTTAAACTTTAAAAATAACTTCACCGCTATAATGAATCACGTTTATAAATAGACTTTACCATCCCATATTGCTGCATTTCTTTAGGAAGTTGGCTTAAGTCAATATCGGGTATAGAATCTCGTTTCTTCGCCAACAAGGTTAAGTTAATTCCAATTAATTCCTTCGTTTGTTTATCAAACGCTCCGAGACTCGCTTGATGGCTTATACTATTCTGCAAGAAAATTGATAAGAAAAATATTTAATTGGAGGGAAACTAATAGCGAGTTGTTACAAACAAGTTTGTTTATTCTTACCTTGGCCAAGTTCAGATAAACAGTGCTGATTTTTTCCTCGTCCAAGTCCAGTGCGACACAACAGGGCTCACGGGTGATATATTCGGCAAGTATCAGATTCCATACCGCATTAAAATCTCCCTCTTGAAGTATTCGAAATTCAAGATTTTCAAATATCATTTTATCGTTAGTTTAATCTTCAGAACAATCGAGAATATATCAGTCCTTAATTCGAAAATTTCTATACTATTAAAACACGGTAGCGACCCGTCACTACCATCGCATATCCGCTTCGTATGGTTTGACTCGAGTAAAGGTTTTCCGTTACAAAACATCTATTTGATGTTCGTTCACTCGGGTGATACGGCTCTGAAAACGCTCACGTGCACAATACGGTGCTTGCGGTACAGACCGCGGCATTCTTTCGTGGACTTGCTATGCCGCACGCAGCAAAGTGACGTAGGAAGTTTTTTCGTTTCAAAGCGCAAGATAACTCGGACTCGTCAGAGCATGACGTTCAATTTTACTGAAAAAATACCTTTTCGTTTTCTTATTTTATTGGACACATGAGTAGACCTATTATTCTTTATGATAGTTTGCAAAACGTGATGCGGGTGGAACACTGATGTGGGTTGCGGTTTATCGAACATTTATACAGTGTATATTTAACCGTCAAAACTGTTACCGGTAAGTTCTATATGCGTTCAACTGCGCTTTTAACAAAAATCTGGATATATGGCTGAAGTAATACAAAGCCCTGGTCGAATTGAGTTAGTCCATATGATGGAAAGCTTTGCGGAGTCAACAATTGAACCTCTAATCTACAGGTCACGCGCAAAAATATGATCTGCAATGCAATCCGCGTATTCGAATTCGAATAGATTGCTCTATTAATTAGCACTAGTTACGGTATTATTGAAAAACACTATAAAATGAATATACTAAAGGCCAAATTTATTACCATCGTCATAGCAATTGCAGAATATTTGACTGAACGAGGTATATTTATCGAAAATATTTCATCGTTTGCACTCATAATGAAGTTGAAGTTTGTAAAAAATAATGCTGCCCTTGACACCGGCAATCATATTACAAAAGCAAAGTAAGTGATTTCAATATGTTTTTACCATAAGACTGATCTTTATATGAGGGGGAGGAATACTCTCTAGAATTTTTCCTCCGGATACAGGATCAACATAATCTTTATAATATATATCTTTCAAGGACTCATATCCAAATTTGTCACATATTTTAAATGTGAAGGCATTTGTACAATAAGTGAACCTCTTCTTGCATCCTTCTTTTCGAGCAATAGCATCTGTTCTAAATAACAAAAATAGGAAAGTGATTATCTTACTATTTTATCGATGTTGCTTATTACTAAAAAATAGCTGATGGACTCGAAAAGGAACATAACCCAAATGAAAGGATGTGAGCGGAGTTTGGATAGGGTGTCTCCAAAATGTCGAGTCCCACTTGTCCCACTTCTCCAACTTGTCCCATTTGTCCCCCATGTCCCACTTGTACCACTTGTCCCACCTGTACCATTTGTCCCACTTATCCCACTTGTACCACGTGTTTCACTTGTACCACGTGTCCCACTGTACCACGTGTCCCACTTATCCCGCGTGTCGAGTGGGACAAGTTGGAAACGTGGTACAATTGGGCCACGTGGTACAAGTAGGACAAGTGGGACACGACATTTTGGAGACACCGTTTTTTTTTAAGACACCTGTTTGGATACGTATAAAACAAGTCTATTTAGTGATCAAAATAGTTATATTCATTTTTATCTTCCAACTAAAAAATCCTTCAATGGAGAATTCGTCAGGATATTAGCTGGAAATGGGTATCTAATTGAACATTGATGAATAATTACAGCAATTTGACGAAACTGTTCACGTATATCACGGTATATGTCTTTCTTATAACTGATAAAACTGTTAGACTTTAATAGTGGATGCCGCAGATAATATCATCTGTGCGACCGATTGATAACAAATTGCATCAAGGAGATGGGAGGTAAATTACAGCTTAGATTTGTCGAAAGACTTAGAATTTGTACTAAGCAATGCGCCTGGAAAATGTATGATCAGGCCTATGCATATTTGCTGAAAAATAACATTACACTTCGACCAAAGAAATCTTAATTATTGTGAAGTTCGAAAAAAGGAATATTATATCATATCGTCACGCTAATAACCGAATTGCGTAAGTCATTTTTGGCGATTTTGAGTTTTTTTTTTTTATAAAGTAGGCATTTATGTAATGCTGCACACCTGTCTGTTAACTCAGATTTTATTTTAAAAATTCCGAAACCCATAAAAATGGAGATTTAGTATGACATGCACATTTGTGCAATTGTTTCGTCATAATGAATTATCATTGTTACCGCAGGACTATTGTGACGTCACAAAGGCAAAATAACCTCGGCGAAGTATTTTCGAGTTTTTGCATCTCGGATTCTAGCTTAGCGCGTATTAATTTGAATTTATACTACAGAATAGGAAGGCGTGCACTTGTGATATTCACTGTTCGAGTCCAATTCACCTTGGTTGGCTTTTATATTGGATGCATTGCTGTTTTATTCTTTATATTTAATCTTATTTCGGCGGGTGTGCAGAATGTGTTATATTGATGAAATATATATTTTCGTATAAAACAAGTCTATTTAATGATCAAAATAGTTATATTCATTTTTATTTTCCAACTAAAAAATCCTTCAATGGAGAATTCGTCAGGATATTAGCTGGAAATGGGTATCTAATTGAACATTGATGAATAATTACAGCAATTTGACGAAACTGTTCACGTATATCACGGTACATGTCTTTCTTATAACTGATAAAACTGTTAGACTTTAATAGTGGATGCCGCAGATAATATCATCTGTGCGACCGATTGATAACAAATTGCATCAAGGAGATGGGAGGTAAATTACAGCTTAGATTTGTCGAAAGACTTAAAATTTGTACTAAGCAATGCGCCTGGAAAATGCATGATCAGGCCTATGCATATTTGCTGAAAAATAACATTGCACTTCGACCAAAGTAATCTTAATTATTGTGAAGTTCGAAAAAGGGAATATTATATCATATCGTCACGCTAATAACCGAATTGCGTAAGTCATTTTTGGCGATTTTGAGTTTTTTTTTTTTATAAAGTAGGCATTTATGTAATGCTGCACACCTGTCTGTTAACTCAGATTTTATTTTAAAAATTCCGAAACCCATAAAAATGGAGATGAGTATGACATGCACATTTGTGCAATTGTTTCGTCATAATGAATTATCATTGTTACCGCAGGACTATTGTGACGTCACAAAGGCAAAATAACCTCGGCGAAGTATTTTCGAGTTTTTGCATCTCGGATTCTAGCTTAGCGCGTATTAATTTGAATTTATACTACAGAATAGGAAGGCGTGCACTTGTGATATTCACTGTTCGAGTCCAATTCACCTTGGTTGGCTTTTATATTGGATGCATTGCTGTTTTATTCTTTATATTTAATCTTATTTCGGCGGGTGTGCAGAATGTGTTATATTGATGAAATATATATTTTCAAACATAAAAAATAATGTAATTGAAACTGATTAGCTATTTTGGGGATTGGACATTGTAGATACTGAGAATTACACTTATTTTTGGAATGTTTAGTTTTCAGGACTGGTGCATATAGTAAAGTTGCAAAATTGCGTAAGTCATAGACACATTTCTGCCTAAGTCACAGTGCGCCATTATGACGTCACTTAACTGCGTCATACAAATTAACTCAAATCCGGCTACGATCAAAAATTGAACCATGGCAAATTATTGACTCTCAATGGCATAAAAAATATCATTAGGAAGTTTTTTACGTTTTTCTCAAAACTGCTAAAAATGACTTACGCAATTCGGTTATTAGCGTGACGATATAATAATTAACCATAGATGGTTGTAATAAAATATGCAGTTAAAACACTTATAAATGTGTAACTGACAGCTTTACGTCAATTTTGTTATTCCCCTTTTAATTAACAATGGACATATATAAATTCGGCGGGGTATCGGATTCTAACATTTAACACGGCAGGATATAGTTCATTTACTAATAATCGAACTGACCTCTTGTATAACTCTGTTCCGATACCGATATTAGCATGGGTTGATTTTGAACATAGCATGAATGACTGCATGTAGTTTCTTGTGCCAAGGGCTACTTCCGGTGCATTCGGACTTCCACCTCCAAGTAGAATTGATACCAACTTTACATAAAACAAAAAGGTAAGATATAAACCTCAATATAAATTGCTCAGATTGCGGAGGAATAAAATATCAATGCACAAAACCAATATAAATTCTACAGTTAACACCGCGTCTGGAAAACTACGAAATATAACTGAAACGTAACGTCTCACCCTTCCAATTTGTTGTTCTTTCTTTGAGCTTTTACCTGAGCCAGTAACAGATATTGGCCCACGCTTCTTTCCCAATGCCGTCAAGTTAATTCCAATCAATTCACCTGTGTCCTTATCAAACACACCAATGCTTGACCGGTGGGAGATACCTTCCTATATATAAAAAAGGGGATTCTAATACTATTTCGCTTTCTCCTTTAAAAGAACGCTTATATGCCCTGAATATTATTTATATATTATAAGATAAATTTGCGTCACCTTGACTGAGTTTCGAAACAAGTCATTGCAATCCTCATCAGTTAGCTTCAGCGGTACAAAAGAGGGTTCTCGAGGAATAAATTCTTTAAGTACCAGATCCCACACCACATCATAATCCTCCTCTTGAAGTACACGAAATTGGAGTTTTTCAAATGTCATCTTTCTCATTGATATAGAATTCATTAAAAATAATAAGAACATCGCATCAAATTGTGTGTGTAAATTATATTTTGAAAATTGCTTAACACAGATCAGTAGGCAACGGGTGACATTTTGTATTCACTTTTAATATTTTATTACCACTGATGTGAGGTTGCTGAAGAGATAATTGCATGCCATACTAAGATTATATATACATACAGATGCAGACAATATTATCTCGCTTTCAAGGGACCTTCTAATTTCCTATCTGAATGCGGATATGAACATCTGTTATCAAAAATAACGCAACAATTAATAGGTTTCTTTTCTTCGAGCAAATTCATAATTACTACATGTATTCTGTTGATACTACCCACTGTTAATATAATCTCTTTTCCAGCACTAAAATGATGAACACACTTAAATCGAGAAAAAACGAATCTAAATACCTCAATGAGTGCTATCGTTTCAAATTTTCTTAGATGTTTAGAAGTATCAAATGTACTCGAAATAGTAAATTCGAAAGCTGTCGCCAATTTAAAAGTGAGATAAAACACTTAAAAATCTTAGTCAAATGGAGCTCCGGTTTCAGTGTCTAGAATAGATATATATAGTATATATTTACATATATCAATCATGACTGTCATTGTAATATGAATCCCCCTTTCTCGGTATGTATCAAACCATGAGCAGAACAGTTTTAATTTCAATATTGTCATACAGGCTCGAAGCAAGTTGCATGATAAATAGATGTTTGTCTTGTAAAGATCAGTTAAAACTACACATTAATTGTTTGTTGACTGGTTTGATTGGTTACGTCTGACACGAGTTTTGAATGACAAGAGTTTTGTCCCAAGTTTGTCAACCTGACGATAGACACCGGCAGTCGAGAATAGACGTTTAAAACACCTTGTGGTTTTATTGCAATCCCGACAATTTATATACAGAATACAACTTTTACCAGAACTACCTAACATTGGAAGATATCGAGTTGTATTTATACGTTGATCATACATCTGATTAAATACTGGAAACGTGAGCTCGTGATTCACGTTGTAGACAGATTTGGTCATTCCAGTTTCTGGGAATCTTTCAGTTGTCATATAATCAATTACTTCACTCAAATGATAAACTGCACGTTTGCCGTTGAACTTCGATGCCGCATTTTTCGATACATTACGACAGTCGTTATATCGCAATGGATCTTTCCCCGACCTTTGACCCCCGTGAAATTCTTTCTACACCTCACCATTGCAACATTTTCGGTGCCTATTTTAAGTGGCTTCGCGAGTTGGCACCTGGAAAATGGGGTATTTGTTTTAAACCATCATTCTGATTCATAGCATTCAACAATCTGTTTTTTAAAAGTACCGATGAAGAATTAGCCTAGACTATCACAACTATTTCTACGCTAATTTTCGATTACTGCAATTAAACTGACTCTCCTAAGAAGACAAAGCGATTATTGAATTATTTGATATATATTTATATATCTGAAACACAACTGTAAACTAACGAATAGAATTCAAAAACGCGAAAACGAGGTAATGTTTACGACCACGCTCGAAAATCTGTCTGAGCGGATGCATTGTTACGTCATGTTTTGCAGCTTGTTGCTTGGCCAATGTCACGAAGTAAACGAGGAAGTCGATGCTCGGGGAAAGGTCCAAAAACGCGCCTCACTACAAACAATTTGATTGTGGCGTAAAAATGAACAATTGCAAGTGAATGAAGGCGCTTATGTATCTTCGACGTGAAAAAAGAATGCACGATTGATCATAAAATGTTTAATCGCAGCGTTGATGAATCGTAGATTGCAAGTTATTTTTTCTTAAAATAACCAAGGCGAAAAGAGCCACATGAAACGTAGCAAGAGCCGCATGCGGCTTTGTTCCCATAAATGTTTCTGGCGCAAGCAGATTCCCATCCTCTGAGTTTTTGGCATCCTAACATAAAATACAAAGGTTAAATTTTAAAATGACTTCACTGCCATAATGATTTACGTATATATATGAATATACTTTGGCACCCCATACTGCTGCATTTATTTAGGGAGTTGGCTTAAGACCTAAGTCATCATCGGGTATAGATTCTCTTTTTTTCCCAACATGATTAAGTTAATTCTAATTAATTTCTTCGTTTGTTTGTCAAACGCTCCGAGACTCGCTTGGTTGCTTATACTATTGTGCAAGAAAATTAATTAAAGTATATATTTGATTGAAATGAAGCTGAGATCTCGAACCTAAGAACCGAATATATATAATTCAACCGCACGCGTAGTCCATTAGGATTTTACGCCCATCAGACAAACAAGAGAGCAACGCTCAATTATATGGACACGTTTACCAGAGCGAAGCAATATTTACCTTTGACGGTACCGGTACCCTCAAAAAATTTCCCGAGTTTCGCGTAGCAAGAATTTACAGAATCAATGGAATAAATAGAAGTAATAGCCTTCTGGCAAAAAATCAATCTTTAACTACTGAAAATCCCAAAGCAATTAATCTAGTATTCGAAGAGAAAAGCGATTTTTTTAATGAAAATCATGACGAATAACAAGAACAACAACATATATGTGTTAGGAAAAACTTGACGAAAACGTTGAAAAAAAAATTAATTAATTAGGAATTAATTATTAACCCTCTACTGTACACAGAATTTCTAAAAGTCTAATTTATTTTTAGAAATTTTTGAGATATTTTTGCAAAAAAATTTTTTTTTCGGAGTGTAATTTAAAGATATATTGCTGAATAGAACTCTAGCACACGCTTTTAAAAATCCATAAGAGAAGCTTTAGGGCTTAGTGGTTGACAAAAAAAATAACTTTAAAAAGACCATGTCAAATAAATTGGGTCAACAGCTGTAAGAGAGGTAAAGATCAGTTAAAACTACACATTAATTGTTTGTTGACTGGTTTGATTGGTTACGTCTGACACGAGTTTTGAATGACAAGAGTTTTGTCCCAAGTTTGTCAACCTGACGATAGACACCGGCAGTCGAGAATAGACGTTTAAAACACCTTGTGGTTTTATTGCAATCCCGACAATTTATATACAGAATACAACTTTTACCAGAACTACCTAACATTGGAAGATATCGAGTTGTATTTATACGTTGATCATACATCTGATTAAATACTGGAAACGTGAGCTCGTGATTCACGTTGTAGACAGATTTGGTCATTCCAGTTTCTGGGAATCTTTCAGTTGTCATATAATCAATTACTTCACTCAAATGATAAACTGCACGTTTGCCGTTGAACTTCGATGCCGCATTTTTCGATACATTACGACAGTCGTTATATCGCAATGGATCTTTCCCCGACCTTTGACCCCCGTGAAATTCTTTCTACACCTCACCATTGCAACATTTTCGGTGCCTATTTTAAGTGGCTTCGCGAGTTGGCACCTGGAAAATGGGGTATTTGTTTTAAACCATCATTCTGATTCATAGCATTCAACAATCTGTTTTTTAAAAGTACCGATGAAGAATTAGCCTAGACTATCACAACTATTTCTACGCTAATTTTCGATTACTGCAATTAAACTGACTCTCCTAAGAAGACAAAGCGATTATTGAATTATTTGATATATATTTATATATCTGAAACACAACTGTAAACTAACGAATAGAATTCAAAAACGCGAAAACGAGGTAATGTTTACGACCACGCTCGAAAATCTGTCTGAGCGGATGCATTGTTACGTCATGTTTTGCAGCTTGTTGCTTGGCCAATGTCACGAAGTAAACGAGGAAGTCGATGCTCGGGGAAAGGTCCAAAAACGCGCCTCACTACAAACAATTTGATTGTGGCGTAAAAATGAACAATTGCAAGTGAATGAAGGCGCTTATGTATCTTCGACGTGAAAAAAGAATGCACGATTGATCATAAAATGTTTAATCGCAGCGTTGATGAATCGTAGATTGCAAGTTATTTTTTCTTAAAATAACCAAGGCGAAAAGAGCCACATGAAACGTAGCAAGAGCCGCATGCGGCTTTGTTCCCATAAATGTTTCTGGCGCAAGCAGATTCCCATCCTCTGAGTTTTTGGCATCCTAACATAAAATACAAAGGTTAAATTTTAAAATGACTTCACTGCCATAATGATTTACGTATATATATGAATATACTTTGGCACCCCATACTGCTGCATTTATTTAGGGAGTTGGCTTAAGACCTAAGTCATCATCGGGTATAGATTCTCTTTTTTTCCCAACATGATTAAGTTAATTCTAATTAATTTCTTCGTTTGTTTGTCAAACGCTCCGAGACTCGCTTGGTTGCTTATACTATTGTGCAAGAAAATTAATTAAAGTATATATTTGATTGAAATGAAGCTGAGATCTCGAACCTAAGAACCGAATATATATAATTCAACCGCACGCGTAGTCCATTAGGATTTTACGCCCATCAGACAAACAAGAGAGCAACGCTCAATTATATGGACACGTTTACCAGAGCGAAGCAATATTTACCTTTGACGGTACCGGTACCCTCAAAAAATTTCCCGAGTTTCGCGTAGCAAGAATTTACAGAATCAATGGAATAAATAGAAGTAATAGCCTTCTGGCAAAAAATCAATCTTTAACTACTGAAAATCCCAAAGCAATTAATCTAGTATTCGAAGAGAAAAGCGATTTTTTTAATGAAAATCATGACGAATAACAAGAACAACAACATAATATTGAAACGATCGTTATGTCTACTGACGTGTCCAATATTAGCGAGTCGTTAGAAATAAGTTTGTTTATTTTTACCTTGGCCAAGTTCAGATAAACACCGCTGAATATTTCTTCATCCAAGTTCAGTACGACACAACAGGGCTCACGGGTGATATATTCGGCAAGTTTCAGAATCAGTATTCGAAATTCAAGATTTTCAAATGCCATTTAATCATTGGTTTAATCTTCAGAACAACGAGAATATATCAGTCCTGGATCAGAATTTTCTAAACTATTGAAACGCCGGTAACGTCTCGTCACTACCATCGCATATCCGCTAGCACGTCCACATGGTTTGACTCAAGTAATAGTTTTTCGCTACAAAACATCCATTTGATGTTCATTTACTCCGGTGATTTGGGTGACACGGCTGTGAAAACGCTCACGTCCACTATACGGTGTTTGCAGTACAAACCGCGACATTTTTGTGAACTTGCTATCCCGCACGCGGCAAAGTGACGTTAGCAGTTTTTTCGTTTCAATGCGCAAGATAACTCAGACTCATCAGAGCATGATGTCCAAGTCTTTTTTTACTGCGGAAATAACTTCTCATTTCTTGTCGTTCATTATATATGACCCATTTATTAGTTTGCAAAGCATTTTTGCGGGACCCGGTTTATCGAATGAACTTTTATATTCATTCTGCCGTCAAAATTGTTGCGTTTCATTTGCGTCGACTGCGCTTTTAACAAAAATCTAGATATATCGCTGAAGTAATACACAGACAGACCTGGTCAAATTGATTTGGTTCATTTGCTGGAAAGCTTTGTGGAGTCATCGATTGATTCTAAAACCTACAAGTTACGCGCAATCTTATGATCGGCAAGGCAATCCGCCTATTCGAATAGATTTTCTATCGATTAGCACTGGTTGTTAGTGAAAACACCAGAAAATGAATATATTAATGGGCAAATTTATTATCATCGTCAGAGCCATTACAGAATATTTGATTGAATGAGGCAATTTCTTCATTAGCTCTCATAATGACTGAGGATAATATAAAAATAAGACTGCCTTTGACACGAACAATCATCAGTCGATATGTGATTTCAATATGTTTTCACCATAAGACTGATCTTTATATGAGGGGGAGGAATACTCTCTAGTATTTTTTCCCCGGATACAGGATCAACATAATCTTTATAATATATATCTTTCAAAGACTCATATCCAAATTTGTCACATATTTTGGATGTGAAGGCATTTGTAGAATATGTGAACCTCATTTTGCACCCTTCCTTTCGAGCAATATCATCTGTTCTGAACAAGGAAAATAGAAAAATAATTTATTTGATCAATGTTGCTTATTACCAAAATATCTAAAAAGACTCGAAAGGGAACATAACCCAAATGAAGGGATGAGAGCAGAGTTTGGATACGTCTAAAACAAGTTTATTTCGTGATCAAGATAATTATATTCATTTTTATCTACTGATTAAAAAATCCTAAACTATAGAGAATTCATCAGGATATTAGAAAGCTGGAAATGGATATCTTATTCCAACGTTGACAGCAACGCAAATTGTAACAGAAATTTGAGAAAACTATCCATTTATATGTCTTCCTTATATCTAATAAAACGACTAGTAGATGCCCCATGTTATAGGCCTATAGGGGGTTAAATCACAGCACATATTTGCCAAACGTTTTAGAATTTGTACAAACGCTCGACTTAGCTAAGCGTCTGAAAATATATGATCATTATTATACATTTTGACTATAAACGGATGTAATAAAATAAAGAGGTTGACCACTTTAAAATGTGTAAGCCTTACGTCAATTTCGTTATTCCCTTTTCAATTTGCAATGGGGATATATAAATTCGGAGGTGTACCAGAATTTTAATATTCAAAAACATTTAAAAATACAGCTTATGCACTATTAATAGAACTGACCTCTTATATAACTCTGTTCCAATACCGGTATTAGCATGGGTTGATTTTGCACATAGCATAAATGACTGCATATAGTTTCTTGTGCCGATGGCTTCTTCCGGTGCATTCGGACTTCCACCTCCCAGTAGAATTGATACCAACTAAACATCAAACAAAAAGGTAGGATATAAACCTCAATGTAAATTGCTGAGATTGGGGAAGGAGAAAATATCAATACATCAAACAAATATAAATTATACAGCGCACACCCGCGTCTGGGAAGCTACGCAATATATATAGAACAGGGGTTCTCAAAAGGCGAGGCACGCCCCACGTATTTTCAACGTTTTTACACACCTAAAACATACTTTCGATTTACTATCCGCCATTTGTAGCTTATTGTTAGCTAGCTATTCTTGAGGTGGAGCGCGAGACTTGATAAATTCTAAAAAGGGGCGCGGCTTAAAAGTTCGAGAATCATCAATATAGAACATAAAGCCTTACTTTTCCAAATTGCTGTTCTTTCTTTGAGTTCTCACCTGAGCCAGTATCAGGTATTAGCTCTCGCTTCTTTCCCAATGCCGTCATGTTAATTCCAATCAATTCACCCGTTTCCTTATCAAACACACCAATGCTTGACCGGTGGGAGATACCTTCCTATATATAAAAAATGGGATTATAAGACTATTTCGCTTTCTCCTTAAAAAAAACGCTAATATGTCCTAAATATTAGTTATATATTATAAGATTAATTTGCGTCACCTTGACTGGGTTTCGAAACAAGTCATTGCAATCCTCATCAGTTAGCTTCATAGCTACAGAGAAGGGTTCTCGAGGGATAAATTCTTTAAGTACTAGATCCCACACCACACCATAATCCTCCTCTTGGAGTACGCGAAATTGAAGTTTTTCAAATGTCATCTTTCTCATTGATATAGTGTTCATGAAAAATAATGAGAACAAATCAAATTGTGTGTGGGAATGATGTTTTGATGACTGCTCATGACAAATCAGTATGCAACGGATGATATTTTTATTCACTTTTATATTATTTTTAAACTCCTCTATGGCACGCTGATATGAGGTTGCTGACGAGATAATCGCATGCTAACTTAGGGGGAAGAATTGTACCTTTGTGCGCGTTCTCACCTTCGTGCATGCATTGTAATGCCAAATGTTCGTGTATTGTAAAGTTGCACAATCGAATTGAATCCGAACAACAGATAACAAATTACACTTAACTTAATGCGTGGTGGAAATATTAAAATACACAGTAACTATCTTTATGTAATCGCTACACTACTAAGATTATACATATACACACAGATGCAGACAAATACTGAGCGAATTCTATTGCTTATCCATTGCAACGATAATACCCATCTGAACTATCGCAACACATAGTTAAAATTGAAATATATATAGTTGTTGGCCAAGAGTAACTTGTTCGCAACTATAATTGCGTTTCTCAGTTTACCGCTTTTAAACGAACATTGCCTATCTATTTACTCTAATTGACCGGTTCACTTTGTGCAATGTACCATGAGGTATTCTTTTACATCCGCTTGACCCCATCAGCAGAAAAAATAGCACAACAAGAATTTGCAACTCGGCGAACCAGTTTTAGCAGAGCACGACATCGCCTCGCGTTCATGAGAGAGAAATAAATAGTATTTTGCGCATTCAAGCATCGAAAAGCGTTGGCGATTGTAGCGTTACAGATACACACATACCAAATTTGACCTAACTCTATCTTAAGTCTATCTCAGATTCTTTAAATTATAAGAAAACGAGTTAATCATTACAATTCATTTTCTGGGTATCAGCTGTTGTACTACATCCAATTCTAAGACGAACGATCGTATCCCGAGGGCATTATATTTTTTTTACATTATATGTTTATTTCGTCGCGCAAGAAATCACTACACAAATTCAAAACAAGAAAAAATTTATGCATTACAGTAACGGATTTCATTGCAATTGACAGGAAGTCGCGAAGGACCAGAAATGGTCAACATAAGTCTGCTACACCAAAAAATAGAAAAAAGAATCCAAATACCCCTATTAGTTGCATAGTTTTAAATGTTCTTGTAGCTGACTCTCAAGTATTTCGAAATTTGAATTTTATAAGAGCCACCTTTTTTATCGGCCCTATTTATATGTTTATCTTTAAATTATCTTGTGATGAATATTATTGTTTATCGGCAAATAGTCCAGGTTGCATTGGATGAAATTTTGCACTTGCATTTTTGTAGGAAGATTTTACGATGTTTTGGCCCGGAAGTGTGAATAAACTGCCAATAGAGTAAATTCAGTATATACAGAGCCAGCAAATAAAGTTTACGAAAATAATGTCTTTTCAGCAGCATGGGAAACTGTTTGATGGTGTTTGTGTTTGATGAACTCGACATCTTTTTGCAAACCAGTAATATCATACGAGATCAATCCTGACTGTCAATGTAATCTTAATATTGTTTTCTCAGTGGGTATCGAACTATGATTAGAACAGTTTTCTGTCCAATAGTGTGATACAGGTTCGAAACAAATTGCATGATCAATAGATATTTGTCTATGTTTTATCTATGTTTATCTATTTTCATCCTACATCACGTTAAGTCATAAATCACAAGTTTGAGTTGGAACGCCCTGACCTTCACATACGCCTAGATATCAACAAGCAGTCATGAATGACAAGACGAATCTGTATTTCTACCCGCTTATAACACGTTTAAATAAATTTCACTTCATATCATTTAACAAGAAAGTGGAAAACCAATATTTTGCGGTACAAGACAAACGATAGAAATTCATTGTATTTTATCCAGATCGGTCCAGCCGTTAAGACGCTACAGCTTCGACACACAGATAGGCAGACGGACAGACAGATAAACAGACAGACAGGCAGAACGGCCAAGCATAAGTGTCTCCCATAGCGGAGATCAAACAATATTTTACCTGTTACGTACAAAAGAGAACTTGCATTCACAGAGTTTTTATAACAAGGGCACATTTCACATGAGGGTATGGGATATTCTCAAATATTTTATTTCCTGATATCGGATCAATGTAATCTTCATAGAATATTTCTTTCTTGATGTCGTATCCGAACTTATTACATATTTTCAATGTAAATGCACTTGATGCAAACGTAAATATTTTTTCACATCCTAAGTTTCTTGCAATCTTTTCTGATCTGTGAAATATGACAGAAATAATTCAATAAATATATATAGGAAACTTCCAGAATGTGATAGACCTACGCGAATTGAAGTCCAGTAATGGGCAGCGTTTACTTGCCTTTCGATATAATATGAATAGAAAATTAAAAAGGGCTTAAAAATGTAAATAAATTGGTCTGTGGAGCAATAGCTAGGCCCTACCTTTTGAACAACTCTGCTCCGATACTAGCGTTGCTATGGCTTTCTTTTACACAAAGAATGGGTAATTGCATATAGTTCCTCGTGCCCATCACTTCCTCCGGTGGAGTTAGACGCGATAACATCTTAACATATGAAATAAATTTAAGAATAAATACATCACATGCTTTATTAGGCCGCGAGATGAGGCCGTTTATCTTTCAGTTTCGTAGAGAACATGACGTAAATACCTGGAAATAATCTTAAGTGTTCCACGGAAATTTAGTAGCAAATAATACTTTGTTCCCATTCCCAAGAGTTGCACGTTTTACGAAAAAGACTCTTTTATTATGAGGAATGTTAGTTACGATTTGTCCTACTTTACATGCTTTTCCGGTAACAGAGAACAATCAATGCCGACCGACTTTTGCATGACATATATCTAAGACAGGGCTTGTATGTTTTGTATCGACAACAGAGAAAGAGGAAATTTCCGATTTTCGAAAATGCGAATTTCGGAAGCAATTCAAATAAAATGATATATATATATATATATTATATATAGAGAAAGAAAACATATTAATTTGAATAGCTCTGGTCACGATGTTACATACAAATAAGAATTGCATTTAATGTTTTTGTGGCCAGAATGACTATCCAGTATACAATTGTCATCGGGAAATTACAGATTTACATGTGTTTGTGTGCTAACGGTGTCAATTTGTAACTTTACAGCGTAAAAATGATGCGTTTGATGGTTTATATAAAATGAATATGATTTTGTAATGCCGTTTTGTTTCAAAGCTGTGGGTTTTTCTTTACCAGGGAATTTTGCAAAGTGTGATGTCAGATACTTGAACCACTCAAAATACATTACCTTGTTATATTGCTGTACTCTTCTCGGCTCTTTGCTCGAGTCAGTACTTGACTGTGGTTTCGTTCCTAACAAACTTATACAAATTCCAATTAATGCTTTTGTTTGTTTGTCAAACGCACCAATGCTTGTTCCGTGTAAGATACCGTCCTACGACAAAAAAATACAATATATATAACAGGGGTGGCCAACCTATGGCGCATGCGCCAAACGTGGCGCATTGCATGATTAGAAGTGGCGCATTGCATCTTTAATCCTTTTCATGCCAAAATTGTTAATTGCACTTGGCTTCTCAACGCCAAGCCGTTTTTTTGCGATCTACATGGTGACTTTTGATTGTACCTAAAAGCTATTCTCCTTACTCCACGTCGCTCACTTACGGCTTGTTGGAATTAGAAACAACAGGCGATTATCGATGTTAGCTTTTGGACGGACTTTATGACATTCATTCTAGACTTTTAGCAAAAATTAATAAAATTTAATATTTTTTCCCTACTGAAGTAAAAAGTTCAGAACTTCTGGAAAAATAGAAAATCGTCATTTATCAACTTGAAACATGGATTTTCCATTGCCCAGATTTCCCTAATATCTCTCAATAACCATTGAACAACCAGTTGAATTGCCCAAGCCTAAAAAATTTATTATAAATCAACCCACAACATGCTGAAAACGACCCCCTAAATACCACCTTTTTCATCCAAACTTCAAATGACCGTTGTCAACAAAAGCGAAGCGTAAAATACGTGTGTATATATGTGTGTGTATTATAAATTTATATAATTTCAACAAGAAGCGGACATTAGGCGTGGGAATACAAGAGATTTACAGCGCATCTGAAACATTATGTTTAAAACGTGGCGCATGGTATGTGAAAGGTTGGCCACCCCTGATATATAACGTATACGGCACCTAAATATTGTATTTTCAGCTCCAAAAACGGTAGCATTCAGAACCGAATCGGATATTTTTCTCGAATCGAATATTTGAGGGTATGTAATTGAATGTGATTTTTTTACTGTAATGAGTTCTACAGACACATAAATCACCAAAAACATGGAATCAGGCAGTTCGCTGGATGTTTAAACACAAAAAGAAACCCTTTCACCAATAACTCCTTCACCAATAGCTCATTCACTCATACAGAAATGCATTTTAAAAAATGGATTTAATAAAAAAAAATTAGGAATTCAACCTTTGGCGGGACAAAAAAGTTGTTAGCGATTCGAAATTCTTTACGAAATAATTTACTATTCGATTCGAATATTCGATGGTAATGTTCAGCCTTGATGGTGACACTTTAGATGTGCTATATGTCAAGCCTGCTGACAGATTCGGATCTTTTCATCGGATTTATCTAGGTAAATACGAAAAAATTACGACATCCTACTTTTGCCATCTTTCCCAAAAATATACGAGCTTCGTTTTCAGATAAATTCAGCGTTACTGAACCGGGTTCTCGTTTAACAAATTCATCAAGTATCAGCTTCCACACCATATCAAAGTCTTTCTCTTGAAGTAATCGAAATTCAAAATTTTCGAATACCATTTTTTGGTATTAGTCCAGCTTCAATAAATTGTGTATGCAAGTAAACGAAAAACAAAATTCAGGAATTACTTACTCTTTTATATTGCTTTTACGAGACGAATAAACATACATACATACATACATACATACATACGAAAACGTGGCTTCTCCATTTGTTGCGTTATCATATATATATTGTAGCCAATTCGTAAAACAATCCATGTGAGTACAACTTAGAAAAATTTACCCAGCGTGACAACAACGATATAATAGAGAATAAAATGAGATATTTCCTTTTTTCTAATTTTTTATCTAATCCTGCAACTTCCATTCTCCTTAGAACACAATTCCAGGAAACAAACGTTTCTTCCAGCAACGGAAAGGTTACGCAATGTTTGCTACAATCATGTTTGCCATTGTCCTATTATGTCTCTCAATTTGAGTATACATATTCTTTTCTACTCTCAGTTTAGTCTACTCTATAACATTCGTATCCAATATTACTAATAGGCAAGTCTGACTGCCTGCAAGTTCTTGATGGTCATCATAATTCTCTGGACATGTCCGGATTCAAAAAATTCACATGGCCTATTAACAACTCAACTTGAAGTCTTTCAAATATTAAATTGTTGGCTCACGTCGGTATACACGTATAATATATATAAATATATACATACTGACGTGAGAGATAGAATATATTGTTTCGTCAACCAGAAAACGCATAAAATAAAAATAAATAACAAAACAAGTAAATCAAAAAATTTTCACAAATTATTATTGAAATATTTCCTAAGCAAAAGTATCTCTCCTTCTCTCAGCTCCACTTTTCACAATCAATACGTCGTATGTGTATCCAATCATATTGTGCATTGAATATCTTTTGCCAAGGAAACGGTTGGGGATGGTGATCGATACGCCATGTTGATCAATACACGAGATTTGTTCGTATTGCATTAGGTATTTGATGCGTTAAATATGAAGAAATTTATTCGATCACAAAACTAAATTTCTTTCAGTTTGATTCCTGAAAAGGAGGTCAAAAATTCCTATGGAAAAACCTGCGCAAATAAAAACATATATACGGTTACGAATCTTCATCCTGTTGTCTCGTTTAGTTATCTTTAGTCCCGTGTGGTAATTGTAATTTTTGACGCTTTGGTTTGATTTTAGATAGGTTTAGTTCATAAGATCAGGTCCTATATAGTTCCTTGATTTACAGTTCAATCAATCATTCTATATGGGTTTTCTGACATGAATCAAAAACAAAAGAGCGGCGCTCAAATATATGGACACGAAAGGCAAAAACGAAGTAGTATTGGAATGCAATCTGTCACAGTACACTACCGGTATCGCAATTCTCACGACTAATGCGAACCCAAAACTAGAGATGTACCGATACCACTTTTGTCGCCGATACCGATACCGATCCGATACCAGCTAAAAACGCCGATACCGATACCGATACGCCGATACTACAAAAAGGCCGATATTACCGATATTCCGATACCGATACTATGTAATTATTACTTAATTGGGTATGCTGTGTAGGGCAGACTGGTTAAAACAAGGGTCTTTAAGCGTTGTTCATAGTACACATTATTTCAGATCGAAAAAAAAGATATATATATCACATAATATGAAATTAATGTTTGGTATCCATATGCTGTAACTGATTAAGATGCATTGTACAGTAACGCTAGTAATCTCGGTGTTCAATCAGAAAACTCATAAGCCGGGATGTCAAATTTGAATTTAATGTTAATATCGCGAGCTTCGAATATCGTTATTCGTGTTTAAAAGAATATCGAATATCACCCCCACATTCTAGCGCCGCCGTCCTACGTTCAAATTAAAAGCATTTTACAAATATTTAATTTAGTGGCTAATCGTAATCGTCGACGCAATAAGTCAAAGCCAACATGAAAGAATATCAATCAGCAACGACAAAAAGAAGGCACACCGATAACCGTTGAGGATGTTTTTTTACTTCACTATTTATAATATTTTACAATTGCTATCCTATATTTTGAGACAGTCTAGGGCTAGGCGGTCAAGTCAATATACCTATAAAGAAATCGTGTAGTTAAGCAGAATTAAAATTAATACCTGTGTAGTGGGATAATTGTGTCGGAATTTAGTTTATCGATGTCGACGGACTAAATGACACTCGTACTTGACGACAAACAGACAGAATTTATACCCGTGCTAAAAGTCCATGTGCCGTCAATAAGGAAGGACACCAATTCCAATGTATGATTTAAAACTGGGCGCATAGTTGCTTTTTGTTATGTGCTGTGTTGATATATTTCTTCATAAAAACTATGTAATATTAAAAATGTCAATATAAAAATTTGACAGCGGAAATAGCCAAATTAGTTGAGCTAGTTTAGCTGATAAATAGCTAAAAACACGTGAATCCTATTCTCTCGCAGGGGTGGGGACATGTATGGCTCATAGCTCACGATCTCTCCAGACAAAAATAAACTAAAATGTAGTATTCCAACTTATCTTTTAAAACATCCTGGACCATATCAAAAAGGTAAATATATCGGTAATATCGGCCTTAATCTAACCGATACCGATACATGGCCGATACCGAAAAAATGGCCGATATTGCCGATACCCGATACATCGGTACATCTCTACCCAAAACCGCAACAAGGTGGGCAATTTTGTATGCTGCTTGTCGATACCCAACATTGGTTTCTTGCGTCCCCCTCATCGCAAAATGCCATTTTCTAGTTTATGTTTGCACCAAGTGTATTTTCAGTTTGATGAAAAAATAAACGACTGACTGTTTAACATTGTATGTAGTATAGTTTTGCATGTTAGTTTATGGACATTGCAACTAATCTAATTGTAATCTCGATATATCTGGTTGTGCGGCGTTTTATAATTTACAATAACGAACTTTAATACCGATACCATGTCATACAGGTAGGGTACTGCAATTGATCATCAAGCAAACGATTGGCGTTGACTACCGGTATATTCTACTCTTTCCGAAATAATATGAAATTGTACCGGTACAGTAACTGATTTATTGATACTGTGTGTGTTACCTGTCCCAAACTTGAAGCCAGGAATGGTTTGCCGTCATCAGATCAAGACAACTTCCGATCAGAAATCAAATAGTTTTCAGGATGCTGTTTTATTTAAATAACGATGGCATGGAACATACTTAAAGGCAAAATAAAAGGAGTAAAAGCAAAGGCACACAACTACAAGTGCTAAATATCGCAATGACATATAAGTGGCTTGGAGGCAGTAACATAACTAGAAGTGCTATTTTGCATAAACCAATTCAAATGTATATGTGTCCTATATGACCACACCTCAAGGATATCATTTATCATTGACATACATTTGGCCAAGCATAAATAAAAAACAATTTATAATATGTGAAAACCAAATTCAATTTTAAAATCAAAATGAATACCTCAGTGATTCTGAATATGGGGTTTGAACCATTATAGATATTTATAGAAGTGAAATATAAAAATAAAGTTAGAGCGTAAATATTACTTTTGAAATTTGCAAAAGGGGTGAATGAAAGAACAAAAGTTAAGAACCCTTACCCTAAAGACTAATAAAATTTATAAACATTTAAAAGCAGACGCAGAGTTATATTTGGTTATTGTAAAATTTGCAATATCGACGATGAAGTTTTAGCACAGTGTTAAATGATAATAGTAACATGAAGGAAACAAACAAAAATGGCAATTTTTCTAGAAAATTTAATAAAAATAAAAAAAATTGAGTTATCCTGGTGCCATCCATCTTTCTGAGTTATCTTCTAACTTAGCACGAGCAACTCCATCCAAAATAGTCCTCACTGTCGCCAGATGGTAATTCATAATCGGGGTCTGAGATACTCGTTTGAGAATGTTGTGACAGTTGAGGAGTTATGCTTATTTCACTCACTCTTGGTGAGTTTTCTGCGTTATTTACCTCATTATTTGTCTTGTTTTCCTGTATTACTGGAAGCATGTTTTTACCTGATATGAGTGCTGGGGGTGATATAGCAAGAGTTACTCCATTACCTAGACTTGGCCTGACAGCAATGTACCTGCAAATGAAACTTTGTATATATCGATTTTTTTAAGATATATTGCACGTGTGTCTCACCCATTTGAATATATTGAAAATGAGACGGAAGTAATTTGTTAAAAAGGCTTTTGAGGAAACGAATGTCTATTCTTAAAGCACTTTTTAATATGTTATTCACACTCAAGTCTTCAGATTAGTGGGCAATTTGACACTTCAATCGTAAATAAATTAGTTTTTGTTTCAAGTAAGGTCTAATAATGCTTCAACCACTAAATATTACGTCCCTTCACGCCACATGACGTCATTTTTTTTTATCTTATGGCATAAAATTTTAAATAATTGTATCATATTTTGCAAATTTATATGTTGATAACCCCTCAAAAATGTCCATAAATATCATCATATTGGGACACTCACATTACAAATAACTTCACTTCAATAAAATATCTGACTGGGGAAACCACAAATAGCAACCAATTAAAAATGTACGAAACATGTAATTTAAAAAGCTTAGAAAAAATGTAAAAAACATTAGCTTTGTAGAAGACTATTTTATTCTAACAAATTAAAGTTGAAAGCAATTCTCTTCAGTAGTTGAAAAAAAGAAGAAAATTTTGTCTCGACGAGAACAATTTAGTAAACGAACTGCAAGTCTATTTTTAACCAAAAAAGATACATTTGTGAACAATAATGAAAAACATCATACCTTGGACTTAATTGATTATTATAAGTTTTAATTCCGGTCATAGATGATGGAAAATTTGCTAAAGATTTTGTTGACATTTCATTACTTGGCATTGAGGAACGATTTGAATGTCGAACTGAAAGATTGAAAAAAATAAGTGAATGATTACCAAAATATGAAGTTTGTATACCAAACTTATTTGAATAAGTCTGGCATTTACGGATCTTGCTAAGTAGTAGGAACACATTTGCCCTCGGATATCTCATCTTGCTCAGTTTAGGATTCAAATCTTCCACAAAAGAGAACATATCCCACCATTATTGTTATTAGCACCAATTCTTGTCCGAAGTCTCCAGATAACTTTTTCTTCAGAAGATAAACTAGAATTTGATACAGGTGTTGCGTTGATGAATCAACACAAGTTGCTTTTGACTTTGGTTCACTGGAATCAGCAAAAGCCATTATGCGCTGATGACTAAAAAACAAGATTTAAAAATTTGTTATCACTTCGTACACACAAAGATACACCAGATTCAAATTTCAAGGCCCCTAAAACAACTAGTCTTCATTCCTGTTTAAGAAGACCAAAGGTTGAAAAAATTACAATTTTGAATTCAGCATGAGAAAACCAAATGGAACCTAACCATGCTAGTGTTCTAGTTATAGGGTATATTCTAGAAACAATAGGGTTGGGACATATCTAATACTTCACTGACTCTCAATATTAATGGCATGGTCAAACATGGGTAATAAAGAAATCAGATATCAAATTCAGCAATACTATAATTGCCTATATAATGATTTGAAACCTGGGAAATTTGTGGTCTCGCTTAAAATACAGTTATATTAATGAAGTTTACGTACTCTACACAACACAGGTTACCTGAACTTGGAGTTGTGGTTCATCTAGGTTTATTCTCACACCTGGTAATGTAGGATTATCTTCTAATTCTGAAATATTGATGTAAATTCCAATAGAAATATAACAGTAAATGTAATCATGAGGTGAAACGATAACACTCTTAAATGCTAGTCAGGGCTGGTTATGGATTTCACTGAAGGTCCCTGTTTATGTGTTTACAATCTTCATAGATTGTGCTATAACTGACCAGCAATAACATGGACTACCTTACTGTTGCAAACAGTAATAATATTATCAGCTCTTTATAAAACTGACATATTTACCTAATGATGGAGATATAATGCTGCAGTAGCATTTATCATTCGTAATTTTGTAATTTGATTGTTTTTTGTTGTCTGAGTTCTCTGTGTTTGGACAAGAGGAGTAGTAGTTGCTGAAATGGAGAACAACAAGTTGTACAACAATATCATGGAATATACAGCAGATAGGTTATGAAATAGAAGTTATGACTCTTGATATCATGAATTTGTCATATATGCATCTGAGATTGAGAGAATGATGATTATGAACACGGGACTTTAACACGATTGGTATAAGCATGAAATAGTACAAAATATTCTCTCCAAGTAAGGCTATAGAAAAGCAGATACAGAGGGAGCTCCTAAATTTTTTTGAAAAAACTAATGTCTATCCCTTGCTCTGCATCAGGGTTTTATGCTTTCTTTCAGGAACAGCACTGTTCTTAGAGGATTGCCCTGCAGTACTCAGCATAACAAGACGGTGAGCATGGGTTTAATTAAACCAAGGATCTCCAACATATGATGCAAACATAGTAAAGACCAATTTACTGATTGTACCTACTAGGTAGTTAACTAATTTACTTACTTTTTACTAATGTTGCAATACTTTTTGCATACCTGTTGTTGGAATGGCTACAAGCCCTCTTCTTGATTCGGACCAATTTCTAAAGTACATGTTGTTGCTTGTAATGTCTGACGAACTCGTACTGTTGTTGGTGTACGATATTGCACCTGTGATAAATAGAAAGAGTTGATTACTCAAATAAGCACTAGTTTATCAGACAGAAAAAAGTATAGAAGAAAGAGAAGAAAACATTAAAATCTAGTAGTTGAGCATCAGGTTTCAATGGCCATTATAAAATGCTTCTATCAAATTTGCATTGTGTGCTATACACTGTGGCTAATCCAAGAAGATAGTGACTGTTCCTTTACCTTTTGTTGCTGTATAATCTGCTCGCTTGAAGGTAGAAAGTATGAGCCTGTGTCTCGAGAATGAAATGGCAGAGCTGACGGCAGTGGAGTCTTAAAAACTGAAAAAAAAAAATTTATCCAAATAGTTTATTATCCTCATTATTATTGATTAAAAATTATATGTTTGACCAGTCATTGTTGAATGCAAGAATTGGAATGTACGGTAACTCTTTTCACAACATCAAATAGATTTTTATACTTTTTTCACTTATCGTGATTGATTTAATGATCTCTTGGTTCTTTATAGCATTTGCGATTGAAGCGCAAAGCCAGTTGGCAAATGTAAAATGGTAGGGTGTTCCCAATCGCAATTCAATTCTCATTGAAAGTATTCTGTTCAAAATATAGCCTGCAGTTTGATGTTCATTTTTATTCAGAGTTTAATACCTAGTGTGGTGTTTTTTGTCACGAGTTTATATAGGAATTTCCACAATGGTATATGTTATAATAATGCTAATCCACCCTTATAATATGATTAAACTGATATTTTAATTCTCAATCTATTTTTATGGTTAGCTTATACATACCAGCATTTTTCATTGTTGTATTATTTTTTGCTATCTTGTTTTGTCCCTTCTTCGCATTTGCAATCCCAGCTAAATATTTCTTTGAAAATTCTGTCAAAATCAGAGAATTACATATTATATCATCATCTATTTCAAGATTGGTGCCATGGCTAAGTGGTTAAAGTATTAGACTTGATTGTGTAGGCATTGTGAGTTACAACTTACACGTCTCGGATTCGTATCCATTGGCCACCATCTCACATATTTTCAACTCCTAACATAACAATCTACAATCATCAGATTCCTTTCGAATTTCTTTGAATCTTATGAATCAAAATTTCCAAAATGGTAGGCCTACCTATCGGTACTTACCGTTATCCATTGGTACTTTATTATGATAATTCAATGGTAGTTTAGCAGAAGGTGCTTGCATGGCTGACAATGATGAAGGAGACATTGCTTCAAGTAACTTCTTGCTCATTGCAACAGTCTTTTCTTGATCACTATCATCAGAATAATCACATCTGATTGAAAGAAAGAGAAAAAATTAGCAAAAACACTGGTATTTTACAGTTATACTGTGAGAACGCTTAAAATGTTGTACGATGTTTTTCTGATTACAAGATGCTCAAAATGAGGAATTCTCAGCTGCATATAAACCGAATCATTCATAGAATCATTCATGGTAAAACTGTGTCAAATTCATGTATCACTCACTATCAGAAATTTGCAAAATGAATATTACAAATATGATTAGCAAATAGATACCTTTCTTGTCTTTTCGGAGAACTGTTGTCTCTCTTTTCCTTTGTTATCATAGCATTGTACCTGTATCTTTCTCTCGCTCGTCCTCTAGTTTGCTATAAAAAAGAGAAAATACAAATCAATAATATTTTGGATTTTCGATAAAAAGCTTAATCAATGCATCTCACAAAAACATCACATCAAGTTTTTCTGGCTCCTCGGGCTTGGCAAAGTTGAAGTCTATCATTGTCAAAAATGCACAATGAATGATTGCACTTCGAATATTACTCTATAAATTCAATTCCTGACAAGTCTAAGTACACAAGCGTGATTCATGTTTAGCTATGGTTACAAAATAGAATTGATACAGATAAAATGTGATACCTCATTGTGACTTTGAATCTCATTGTAAAATTAAATTTATCAATAAGCTTTTGGACATTTCTCAAATAAAAAATGACTTTTACATTCCATACGCAAAAAACAGTCAAAAATCTCACCTGAGAATCTTTTTCATTTTTATCCATTTCTGGAGATTTTTCTTTTCGTTTTTCATCATGTTTTGTGTTAGTAGAAATCGTTTTTCTATAAACATGGAGTTTAGCATCCAAAGACGCTGCTATAGATTCTTCTGTGACGAGACTGTCTTCAGCGTTCGCTGTCGAGGTGACATTTGTGGTTTTATTTTGCGTTACCGAATTATTATTATTTGATTTTCGAGAATCGTTTGCTTTTCGTTGAAATCGTGGAGCTGAGAATGGACGAGAAGATACACTTCCTGTTTTATAATATAAAAAGTAACTCATAGAACAACATTATTTTTACTATTTTTTTCTGACAGCTTCTAAACACCTTGACTCCAAAGAAAAGTGCTCACTGATATATATATTGTCCCCATTTTGCGAGACCAAACAGTTCTACTAATTAATAATGATATGTAAATATCCGTAATCCAAAAACTACAATTTATAATAACATGTAAAGCAAAAGTTTCCATATTGTGTCTCTTAACAAGGCTCTATGGAGGCATCGACTGAAGTAATGGTTTAGCTGTATCATAAAAACTGAGAAATAAAATTTGACTGATCCCCCATGACAACCACAATCTTCTGTTACCTTAACACGATTACAATAATTCACTAATATGGCAATCTTCGATTTCAAAATTTCTATTTATTGTTGTAGAATATAGAAAACTTGCATGTAAGTATCGGCATATATATATTTTTTATATAAAGATTCTTCACAAATACACTCAGCTACAGTATTCACAATCAGCCATCAGCTATAATTGCGCTTACGCAGGTGGACTGAAATTAAATTCTTTACCATTTTAAATGGTCCTTACAAATTCCAAGGCAAAAATATGGCTATATTTCTACAAAGATAATAGGTAAATTAATCAACAGTAACAATAATAACCACAGAAGGAAAACTGAAATTAGCATAAATTAGCCGAACTGATTATCCATGCAAAAAATAATTTTTTTTTGTAAATTTCACGCAAAAATACAATTTTTTCAAATCAAACTACTATCAATTATTTTCTTTCGAAATGCTAGTTTCAGTTTTCGGTTCTTCGGCTACAATGTCAATGTCATCCTCACCTCCAGCGTAAAACGGCTTTTTCTGCGACACGTTTGGTAAACTTCGAGATTGTACGACTCTAGGAGGACTTTGTGAGAGTGCCGGATTACTCGAAGTTGTCGAAAGTGATGTTTGCGATCGTGAACCAGAAACGTGATAAGTTGCAAGTTGTGACGCTGTCGTCACGGACAAGATACTTTCGGTGCTCAGAGATTGTTTTGGATTTGCGAGTCTTGAGGTGACATTTGTCGTGGATGTTGTCGTATTTGTTACATTTGTTGTTGGGTTCGTATTCGTTTCACCTTCACCATCTGAACCTCTTCTGCCTCCATATGCATATCGCTGGAAAAAAAGGTGACTGTTACGCAACAATCTTATTAGATAGTAATGCATAATTAATAATGAACTTTCGACATCCTCTGCCTATTACTGTACAAGTAACAGATATATTTGTTTTTATGAAGTGTAAGAAAAACAAATAGGTGTCGCTGCTCGATAACCATCACTGGTTTATCGCGCCCCTTTCACACTGACATGCATTTTTTATCTTTCTCAATTATGTTTGTCCATTGTGTACTTTTGGTTTGTGATAAAATAAACTACTGACTGACTGACTGTTAATCAATTTTGACATTTAAAAAATGAACATTTAATAACTACAACCCCATTTAGTATCGGTGTCTCAATAATGTTGCGTCGCACTCATACAACGCTATTTCCCCACCTTTTACCTTTTTATCACACTTGTCCCACTGTTATGAGTGATGATAGATATATAGTGTGAGGCAAATGGTTACAGTACACAAATGAAATTATGATACAAAAATTAATTTATGCGCTAACCATATTAAAATTTGCCATAAATTTTTTTCTTCTCTGAGCGCTTCGTGCTCTTTTTCTTGCTTCAGCAGCCGATCGAAGTTTTTCTCTTCGTTCCTCTGCTTCAATCAAATCACCATTATAAAGAAGAATTACTCTCTCTTGTGAAGTGAGAGGCATAATTCGTTCTTTCGCTTTGGATTTGTTGAATATCTCCAATGCCAGTTCTAGGAAGAATGTGTGAAATATAAGTGAAGCATATGAGCTTACAAATTATAACTGACTGTAATATGGCATCATAGGTAAAACTACCATAAACAGAGCTGACTTAGATTTCTCAGGTATACTACTGGTCACTGGACAGTCTTTATTGACTTTTTGTGTCGAAAAGAAAAAACTATGGGTATCTCTTGGCATGCCCATTTAGGATTTACAGGATTTACATATTTATCCCGGGGGAGAGGAAAGCCAATAAGACAGCTTATCCATATGGCAAACCACGGCCTCTCGTCTGGTTACCATTCCAAGTCAGGTATGGGATTAGGTATATTGTTTGTTTTCGGAAGCATGGACTTGGTGGTGGAGGAAGCCGTAACCGACCAGCGGTTACGGGAACCACCCAACGACGGCGAGGAGTCCAGCAATCCTCTGGCACATAACCATCCCTTTTATCCCATTTATCAACCTCCTTTTGCTAATGCTCGTCACACTTTTAGCTGAAGACTTGTATATCTATAAGTAGCTAAACAAGAGTCAAGATTAGGGCGATGCTGCGTTAAAACTTGCAAAGAAAATATGCTATGCTGTGTATAAAATATAGTATTCTCATTTTAAATTATTTTTGGAAAACATACTTAGGCTTTCAGTAACAATTCCAGGTATAACTTCCTTCAAAATATCACAGTTTGTATGTAGCGCTGGATTGCAATTGAATTCAAGTAATGAGATCTAATTAGAAAATAAAAAGAGATAACACCAGTTTTGAATTCTGGTCAGGCAGGACTTTCATATATCATTATGCTCTGAATATTTATTATTACGTATATTGTCTGGAAATATGGAAATATTCAAAATTCTGAATCATTTATACTTGATTGGCGGAATAACAGCATATATTTATATAGTAACTGAAAATTTTGGTTAAAATGAATATTAGAAAATTTAAGCTTATGAAATCTGATACAAATTGAAATGCCGGAACGTGAAAATTGTGAGGCCTTTTTCAACCCAAAATTTAACACAACAAGTTATGACAGTAAATTTTGAGTTCCCTCTATTTTACCACTTCACCAAAGTGTATGATGATAAGTCTTTTAAATGATTGGTGCTCGAGAACTCGTTCAGCAATCCTTCCTATTTTTGACTTTTTGAGAAAGTTTTATTCGTAAATGGTTAGAAAATTTGTATCCTTTCTACATTGATAAATTGGTAAAATTTGAAGAGAAGGCTACCTAGTTAATTAACAGTTACCTTAAATTTGTCATCAACTAGAAAATCGCATCCATACATATCAAAAAATCCTAGCTTGCATTCTAGCTTGTGACGAACCGATTGAAAACAATGAAGCATGATTTGTTGACAACGTTTCTGAAAGAAAACACACAAAAAATTTAGCTTGATCAAACATAATGTATGGATGTATTACAAAAACAGACAAAATTCATCTATGAACAGTATCTGTTGCGTCTAATTTCGAAAAAAAAAAATCGAAAAATAATTTTCGATTAAGAGTAATACCGAGCTACTAGTCTCAATTATAAATATAAATTCTGTGGGTTCTCTCCAAACTATCAAGCAATAATATACCATAATACCCCAATAGCAATGCAAAATTTTCTACTGTGATAGTTGTTTTCAATTTAAATTTTATATAAAAACATTTTGAGTTATTCATTGGATATAACCATCATGACATAGCAGAGAGTTTGTTAGATGATCATGAAATTATTAAAAAAAAGTCTTTAGCTTATTGCCAAATAGGTTAAATCATGATAAGTGTCATATAAAATATCTATAATTCTTTTTGACAAAATTAATATCATATTAATGACTCCAAGACTCCTATCCTATACAACCAAAGAATTCAGCATTATCAATCAAAGTTTGTTTAAACTGGTTGTGGTCTTTGAGACTAATCTAATAAGTACGTTTATATACTTATATGTTTATAAGTACACAAAGCACATTTAAATTTCAAACTACTTGAGAAATTGGATGGCACTCTTAAGGCGGCGATTTCCACATAATTCCACATTGTAGTAGCTCTACATTTTCAATGTTGGCGGTAGTGGCGGCAACGTAACAACAAACAATGAAAATATTTATAAATGCCACGCTTCGAAAAAAATCAACGACAAAAGGAAGACTTTTTAAAATGTACAGCATCAATTTAGCATGAAAAATTGTGAATTTGATAATATTTTGTAAAATAATTATAAAGTTAATTAATTAAGTTATGTATAATTAACGATAATCATTATATCTATTTACCCTTAATACTGTATGAACCCAATCCTGCGGAAGTTTATTTTTGTCCATGTGATGCTTGTTTACGTATTCGTTAAATCTATCCATAGACCAAACAGTTTCATCTTTAATTTCTTGATAAAGTGGATTCTTTTTTTGCATAAACTGTAAAGATACATATTTGAAAGTTTATGAAACTGTATATTTTTAAGTAAGCAATAACGAAATGTAAAAATTATATTATATTGATTTTTGAGGTTACGATAATTTATATAATCGGAAAAATAATCAGGATCATCAGGATCCGAGCAACTTGATTCATGACTTAAAATAACTCAGCTAGTTTCAGGCTATGTCACCATTTAATAAAATTTAAATTATTTCTGCCTTGTAGTGGTCTCAAATCTGCTTGGACCTGACTTGAATACCAGAACCAGTCATTTCGGAATTGACAAGATAAATTTTATACATGTACTGTTATAATATTCTTCAATAAATCAAATTTCTTTATAATTCTCTTTTCACGGATTACGGTTTAGGGTCGAAAGTCAAAATTCTCATTACCTGATTAGTAAGATGACCAGTTAGATCTGTACTTCTTTCATCATAAGGTAAACAAGTAAGACGGCAATATCCATCACAATAAAACACCACAAATGGTTGAGTAGATGACACAAGCATGTAATTCCGAACATCGAACTTTTTACCATCAAGAAGTAGAGGATTTGTAATGTATCTGACAAAAGATAAATTTGACCATTTCTCCCAAACTATACTGTAGGGCAGGGCTACTCAACTGGCAGACCGCGGTCCGAATCAGGGCCTTTCGAGCATTTGATTCGGACCGCACCTAATTCTTTATTTTGGATCATTAGCCCCACTTTTGAAGTTCCATTTTATAAAATGACTTTTGAATATATATGAAAAGAACTATAACATCATATTAACCAATCTTGATTAGCTGATAATCCTTAGCCGGTCGAGGAAGTGCGATTTTAAGGATGCGGAAATTTAATTTCTGGAAACACCGGACCCAAATAATTTTGAAGTTTTGTATGCGGATCTTCAGTAAAAATAGTTGAGTAGCCTTGCTGTAGGGCACATTAAAACCTAAATGAACATTTATCAAAATGAATCAAAACCTTCCAATGATAGGCAATGAAATAATTCTTGTTTCAGCATTATAACGACAATAATTCTATATTTTATTAATGCCATATGAAATACAAAATACCTCTGGACAATTCTTGCCATCGGTACTTTGAAAGGTAGTTTTCTTGTTGTTTGGACCTCCTCTTCAATATCAGCCATTTTCTCTCTTTATGAAGGAAAAATACAAAAATTAAGTTTTTAGAGTAATAAATGATTGAAATTTTCTGACCCAATATCCTGTAAAAGTACCGTATACTTGGATGTGATTTAAAAAAAACTAAATAAAAATATAATTTCCATTTTCAAATCATATTTGCCGTGAATAAAAAAAATGATGGTTATTTATTTGAGGTATACGTATTTAAATTCAGAAGATTTAAACAAAATAACAAAGCTTACTGGAATTTTGATATATCTTCTCGGTCTCTTATTAAATAGATTCCTTTGCCTTGATTTAATCCTGTCGGCTTTGAAATCCAAATTTCACCATCTAAATCAAAAATTTGAACATGAATCATATATTCAAAACAAGCTAAAATAAGGTTTGAATTAATATATGAAAAGAATTATTTTTCATAAAACAGAAATACCATACATTAATATACTAGTACTGCAGCGCATAATACCATACATTTTTTAAAAAATGATTGAATTTGTACTGCAGACTACCATTAAGTTGATGAAAACTTGGCAAAATTAGTACCATTTTGAAAAAAGATCTTCCAATATATATATGCCAATATTAGTTGCCATAACAAGCAAAAGCCTATTTGACAAGTTCTATTGGACTAGTACAGTTGGGACCAGGTGATCTTATTCCTCTTAAATACCCATTATAATCCATTCACAGTAAATCAATAATGAAACCGATACTTATATTTATTCATAACCTCGGGTCTTCAATATATCTTTATATTAATTGTACATACACCTGTTCTCAACGTAAGAGTCTTGTTTATTTTATGCCCAGATCAATCCGCAAGTTTTTTATTTGATTCTTTGGTTTCTTAAGCACATGATATCACTATGTGAACACCGCTTTGACTATGTACCAAGTGTTGCCATAAAGCGCAAATACATTTACTAAATCATGTTTTTAAGAATTGTGTCTTTCACCATTTTTGATTAAATTTAGATATTTATATTTAATCATTGATTTGAAAAATTTGAAATATGTAACTTTTTTTGAACTTTATTTTTAAATTTGCAATTTGTCTATAGCAGATACCAGTACATATTTCATTAAATTTTGATAGGATTTCAAATTTACTTATAATTAATTATAATTACGGTACACATAATTGATGTCTGAACTAGCGCTTTTCTAGAGTCTAATTTTAATATGTCGGAAAAAATTTCCACCAAAATAATATTATGCAGTATACGTTGATTACTATTCATTTAAAAAAAATGAAAAGAAATTTTTCTTCAGTATAAAAAAATTTTAAAATGAGAAAGCATCAGACTTCTAGAACATTTTGAGAACCTTCTTTGTTCGGCATTGCCTCCCCAATATATTACACCCTTAGTGAGATAGTGGACTTGAGATTTGAACCCGAGGGTGTATTGCAATTTTGATTTCCAACCTTCGTCCTACACTTGATCATACCTTTATAAAGTTCATAAAACATATCCCTCTCTTCTTTTACATCCATTCTGTATGTTTCAGGAAAGAAGTCCTGATATTTCATGATTCTGTACAAAATATGATTTTTAATTTAAAAATCTCATAATAAACCGCTGTACGACGCTCCTATTTTATTTGAGGAAATTAACTTTGCAATCATTGGTGAAGAAATTAACTAAATAAAAGAGACTATACATTAATATCAAAAATATTTTTTACTAGAAATTCTCAGGAAAAATACCAAATTCAAAAATCTATATAAAATACCAACCTAGGTCTCCCTTTTTTGACTTTATTCATCACCCTGTCATACTCTTGTAGAGAAGTTAAAAGTCCTATTTTTGTCGTCAATACTTTATTATTGGGAATCTGGTAACACAGCTGATCACCTATGAAACAACAACAATAAATAATTACCAGTGTTGCAAAATACTCAAATCATTGACTCAACTGAACACAGACTCCAGTCATCGAAAGGAAAATGACTCGACTTGAGGAATCTTATCTTGAGATTAATTTGGAGCGAGGTTAAATTATTACATAAATATGGACTTGATTTTTGATCCAAAAATGCAGTGCTTCAACTTGAGACTAGATGTTTGCTGAGATTACATAAATATAGACTTGATTTTTGATCTAAAAATGCAGTGCCTCAACTTGAGACTAGATGTTTGCTGGGACCCGATTTCACTCAAGGCGCAGACACCCATTCGCTCAATTTTATTTGAGACTCAGAATTCATGATCTTGTACCCAACAGTGCTATTAAATGATTCGAGTTAGCAACATAAAACAAATTAAAAATTGAAATAGTACAAGTACCTTCCCTAAAACTGTAGTAATTATTGTGTGATTTGATCTCACACCATTTTAATCTATAATCATCTCTTGTTTTGTCAGATATTCTTTCCCATCCAAGAGAACTGAGAAATTCATCAACTCTGAAAATAGAAGAATTATAATAGCTTTTGAATTGAAATGAAAAATAACAATTAGATAACATGTTACAACATGAGAAATAAAAATGCTAACTATTGCTAACTAATTTTTTTTTCCATTTTATTTCAATTAAGAAGTCTTTAAGAAATAAAATTGGGATTGTGTTACAGAAACTTTGTGACTGCATAATACACCCGAACTTATACTGTAGGTCTACTAGAATACTTCCAGTCTGTGTGTAAGAGGTTTCAAAGAAAGACACTAGCAGTTTGAGAGCATTTTTTTCGTACAGCGAGCACCAGGGATGGCCAATTCGAATAAAGTATTCGAATGTATTCGAATATCTCGTCATTCGAATATCGGAATTCACGTTCATAAGAATATCGGATATTTGTGTGACGTCACACATTTTCGACGCCGCTTTCAAGACGTTTCCGTTGAATGAAAACATTCTCGATAGTACCTTGCGCGTGATTGTTTTCATCACTCATCAGCGTAACGTAAAATTTAGGCCCGTAAACGCCTTTACAATTGTGTTATTTTCTCTAAAACGAAAATTTTCCACAAATTTGTTCCACGATAACGATAATATTTATTTTATTTTTGTACACAGGCGGAATTGTGAATCTGGTAAATACGTTCATCGGCGGCGAGTTTCTAAAGATAGGATAGGATAGGATTTACATATTTATCCCGGGGGAGAGGAAAGCCGATAAGACGGCTTATCCATATGGCGAACCACGGCCTCTCGTCCGGTTACCATTCCAAGTCGGGTATGGGATTAGTTTTACTGTATTGTTTGTTTTCGGAAGCATGGACTTGGTGGTGGAGGAAGCCGTAACCGACCAGCGGTTACGTGAACCACCCAACGACGGCGAGGAGTCCAGCAATCCTCTCGCACATAACCATCCCTGCATGGGATTCGAACCTGCGAACCCACGCAGAGTAATTAGAGGTGCGGTGGCGAGCGTATTCGTAACGCTTAGCCCGTTGAGCCACACCGCCGCGCAACTTTTTGATTGAAAAGCGGCAATTTATAATACTGAAAATAAAACCGTAAACAATATAAGTTTTATTGATGCCCGCGAAAATTTAAAAAACGCTTTTCTAGGCAGTGAACGCAAAATTTCGTGTGCCTCTGGCACACATTATGTTTGGTCGGCGTTTGGAAACATATCGTCACTAATTGAGGGCGGGATTTGCCTGATTATCCATTATTTTAAATTGCCGTCAAATATTTTCGTGTTAACACGATACAAGGTTTGAAACGCGACTTTTTCCCGGGTTGTGAGGATGTATATAATATAATTAATCTAAAGTATATTCAATCAATTTTATTTTGATGAAATAAATTTTACTCTGAGATATTACAGCATATTTATGGATTTTTCGAACGGTTTTATCTAAAAATAATCCGAGTGGCAGCATTTCGATCGAGCGGAGTCACTGTTAACAAGTACATCTAAATATTTGCCGAATTCGCAAAATACGTATCAAAACAATATTTAATCGGACAGTTTACCTCACGTTTTTATTTTTATGACCGCGGATTGCAATGGTATATAAGAGTGGTGAGGATTTTATTTTGTCGACGCAACCGCAGGTTAAATTGAAGACAATTAGATTAATAAAGCAAGACATTTTAAATATGCCGGTTTCGGTCACGAATTCATCACTTTGCACAAAAGAAAAATATATATTCGTTGTTATATTATTTGTTGTAAAAGTCGACTCTTTCAACAGGTGGCATAATCGCGGCGATGAATATGTATTTTTAATTTACTGCTAAACTTTATATTTATATTCATTGTATGAAATGAATTATACTCTACACTTAACAGGATTTTATATAATTATTTGAGATTTTTCTAACGGCGATAACGAGTTGGCAAGATTGCAAAAATACGTATTAAAATTAAATACATCAGGCAGTTTATCTCGTAATTTTAGGTCACAGATCGCCGTGAACGGAATAGTAATGTTTCTTTTTTGACGTAAGAAGAAGCAACCGCGAGTTACATTGGACACATTCAATTGATATATAAAGATATTTTAGAATCTCGTAGTTGTCATGGATTGAATATTTTACGTAACAGAATGATCATTATATACCCTGACAAGACGACTCTTTTAACGAGCGCGTAATCGCGGTGGTTGTTACAGGCGGCAATGGGAAATTCCGATTTCGAAAATCCTGGCTGCGCGCTCGCAGTGATGGTCATCTATTCTCTACTAATTTATTTCTAATTCCAAACACAACAATATATTACACATAATAACAATATGGTTCTCATAAATTGATATACAAATATACTGGTAGGTAGTAGAATACTCTAGGCCCAAATATTAGAATTTTTAAAGGCATAATGGATTTTCGATTGGTATTGCCAATAAATTTTATTACTCTCAGAAAATATACACAATTATCTGAATACAAGTAGTATTTTTGTCAATAGACTTGACTATTATCGTAATATCATGGTACCAATGATAGAAAGCGTCAGACAACTTTTCATATGGTCATTTGTACAAAGTGATTAATTTTAATTAACTGACTGTGTCACAAGTTGCTATTATTTTTTATTGATAGCTATAAACTATCAATTACTTTGTGTACATATACTGTTGGTTTGTGGCTTCATTCTGATATTTCTATTGAAGCTTATTTCCTAATTTACTGGGTTTTAATCAACTAAAACAAAAATGTGGTATTTTAGAATGTATTCGGAATTCCAGATTCGAAAACATTATTTTAGAATGTATTCGGAATAGTTTAGTATCCGGAAATGGCCATCCCTGGGCCGAGCACCTTTTTCGCTACTCAATAAGTAAGTCAGAGAGTTCAAGCTCCGATGCGATCCTGGAAAAAGCTCATGAAATCTATGCGGTTTTCATCAGATGCACACTTTGCTAGACATTGAAACCAATGAATCTGATTTGTAGTGAACCAATGAATATGTTTATACACAGTCAACTTACAAAATACCACAAAAAAGGAATGAAATTATGTATTGCATGACTCTGACTAAAATTGGAATCATGCTAACTAACAGAATTATCAAATTTGCATACATTTGTGTTCCATTGTTTCCACCGATATAATACAAAGGTCTATTAATTTTCCTATATCTTCTTTTTATGATTGCTGTATTGGTATTTGGTGAATCTCCTGGTTGCTCTGATTCTTCTGTGGGCTGAGATCTAGAATAAAAGAGCATGTTAATTTATTTTCATTTTCAAACCATTGTTCTAATATACAAATAAGACTAGAAACTATATCAAATTAAGTTGTTGATCTTGTGAAATTAGCCATACAACAATTTTTCCTTGCTGCCCCAGACTTGCTCTGATTGTTGAGTCAGTGAGTGGATGTAATGCAAGAATTAGCCAATTTGAAAAATTCATTGTATCAGCTACCCTTAGTCAGAATGTATAATATTAAGTCCAATGCTAAAATACTTGTAATACATTGTAAATATATATAAACGCATGCCTATGCGACTGCTGTTTAAAAAGAAAAAATACTCCACATTCTAAAATAGTTTGGGAAACCAGGTTTTTTCACAGGACTAAGTGATTTCTGGATTTAGACTAGTTAATACAGTAACACAAATTGCAAACATACCTAGTAGAAGATGGGGGCTCTTCTTCTGCCTCTTCATTATTTTCTGAAAAAATATAAGTGATAAAGCATGTATTTTACATCGCATATACATAGAACCAGTTGAACTTACAGACTTAAGTTTTATTTTACATTGCTAACACCGCATGATTTTTCATAACTAACCATTTATCGGCGTCGTGTCATCGTCGGCAATGACCTCAATTTTCTCTTTATCGTCAAGTCCATTTTCTTCACAAGTTTGTACGTCTTCTTTTGTTGGAGTATCCGGCATTATTCACCAACGTGAATATCATTCTTTTACAACTTCCAAGTAGATCTATGGATTTCACGAATATGGTCCCCAATTTTGCATACATGTATACGAAAATTCAATTTAAATAACCTAATTTTCTGCCATGTTGAATAAAATAAAAACGGTTGCGGATTCTCAGATAATTAAAACGTGAACGACGTAACTTAAATGTGAATAAGGAAAGGCAAAAGTGAAAGGAACAACGTAATTAAAGGCAAACCATTGAAGCGCAGCAAGGACGCCGGGGTCAGTTGCCTTGACAATGCGAAGCCTTCCTATTTACATATGTTCCCGCTAGTAGCGAAAGAGAGCGTCGATAGCAAAGAGGTGAAAAAGAAATTTACTTAACTTTTATATGCATTGCGGAATCGAATCCCATTGGGCATCTGTATCGGTATGATCACATACCAATACTCAACATTTTATACTATCCACGCGGATGTATCTTTTGTACTAAACTGGCCAGGTATGGTATTTTTCCATGCCTACCCATACCCAATTCGGACGAGCAGTCGTAGTTTGATGTGACAAGCTTATCTGATGTGCTAACCGACAATGAAGTATGAGATCTTACTCGATATCAATTAAATTCGTCTCAGTGCACTACTACAAATCTGTGTCAACTGAAATCTCTGTCACAATGACCCTTATATTCAGGTAGCTTCCAACATACAACAGGATTGCCAGCGTATGCCACTCCACAGTCCAATACTTATCATGATGTATGTGCTGATTGAACACCGAGCCTAATTACTGAGTTAACTAAATTTGTTTCTAAACTTTCCTTTCCAACAATGAAAATTCTGCTTTCATACCCACTACATCATTCCTGAAAATAAAACAATGTACAAATCTCCAATTATAATACCATTTCATTTATAAAATATAAACTTTAGGAAAGACACAAAAATATATATTTTTCAAAACAATCATTAATATAAATTACAGTGAAGTTAGGCAGAATTGAAAGCTATTTTTTCTTAGATTTTGATTTCTTTTTTTCCTGTCCTGCCCTTGATGAAGATCTCTTGCCAGGATCAGCTGTACCAGGTTTTGATGCCATTGCATCTGTTGTAGGTGTTGGAGCCTGGAAAATAAATAAATGCTTCAACAATATTAAAAAATGCTTACCGTATATCTTCTTCTGCTATCGAAGCTATTACTGGTTTGCTATTCCCCTTATCTATCTTGGACCAGACGCCATACGAGGTTCATAATTTACCAAATGTAAAAACCTATATTAGACACTATATTATTACTAAAATACTATATTAGGACACCTTCACATAAGACAGATATGAAAAAAAAAGAGATTTTATTACTTGTTCAGGTGACGGAACTGTCGGTGGTTCAACAACTGGTGTGGGAGGCTTTGAACTTGTTTCTGATTCAGAACGCTTTTCTGCAGCTGCAAGCTGAATAGAAAAAAATGTAACTTTCGATATAAAAATTTAATCTTCTATAAGTATAATCTTCAAATAAGTCTACGGTATATTGAAAATATTTTTTTCTTATACCACTTAATTAATCTTACCTGTCTTTCTAAAGATCTTATCTTCTCTCTAGCTTCATTTAAATCTTCTTCAATTTCAAGTGCTTTATATTCAGCTTCTTGAGCTCTTTCTTCAGTAGCACTGGGAAATGAGAAAAACATTACAAACATGAGAAGAACAGCGAAATCGTCTTTTTAATATACTGTTCTATGTTAGAAAACTCGAAAAACTTACAGCAGTTGTGACTGAATTTCATCCATTTTTGCAATTGCATCATAAGCAGTTTGAGTGAGTGCTGATGAGGGAGGTGTGAGTCCATCACTCATATTTGTTTGAGATGGCGTTTTTCCTGTTTGTATTTCATCAAGAGATGAAGTTTGAACATTCTCATCTGCTCCAATAACCTGAAAATAGATAAAGATTGTTTTTGGTTGAACATATATATATCATATAAATTATCAGATAGTTGAAAATAGCACCAGTTGTTGAACCACCTACAGTATCGTCATCTGAAATAAATAACTGGCTAACTAACCCCATTACAGACATAGACTGGTAACCGCACGAGAAACCGTGGTCCGCCATACAATTCGGCCCTCTTAGCTGGTTTCATTTCCCCCAGGATAAATATGCAATGTATATTATGCTATTATTTGTTTCCACACCTTCATTCCTAACTTATCTGTTTTAAACTGACATTAGACCACTGACATTAGACAACTGACCATAACCACATCAAATTATAAGCTTTCCCTTAACACTTTTTGCAAATATTGCAAGTCAAATCTCCAAATCTTCTTACATATTCTTCATTACTGGACCAAAATGAGTAGTTTAGAACTCAATACAGATGAATCTTTGAATAAAGAAAAAAATGACAATTTGATTACCTCCAAACTTCTGGTCATCTTCGACGGAAGTTGTTCTTGTGTTTCTGGTTTTTCATCTTTTACATTTTCTTCTGAAACTTTTTCAGGAACTTTTTCTTCAGACTAAATATATCAGTAATACTTAATAAGAGGTGCAAAGGCTTGTCATTATCACACCTCTGATAACTGTGGGTGAATTCTGTTGAATTCTTATATGGATAATTATGTGTGAGACAAGACATGTAATGGTAAATGGATAAAAGGTCGTGGTTCATCATGCGATTCAGTCATCTTACAGGCTTTCTTTTTTCCAGAGATAAATATGAATTATGGAAATACATCATCTTTAAACAAACATTTCAGTCTATAAACGTGTTGGCCCACACAGGCCCAAGTGTGGAGGAGATACATTTATCAAAAATTAACGCCGCAAATAAATATTTCGTGTTTGCATTGGAACTTCCAAATTCCTATCCGGTCTTATTAGTCATAATAACAAAACAATTCAACAAAACAAAGTATAATAAAATACCAAAATACTTCATTCCATTATCAAAATATCCAATCGAGGCCTGTTGAAAAATCTGGACTGAAACGTCCATGGGCCAAAATGTCTGAACTACTATTTACTTTGGTTGGTGCAGGCTTAGCTGTCTCTGATTTGGCCACAGATTCTTCACTAGTTTTGACACTGACATCACTTTCTTTTGCTACAGCCTCCTCAGCTACTGCCTTTAGGCAAAATAGAAAAAAAAAAAAATTTGATTTTGAATATTTTCATAGACAAGAAATATTTATGCTCGTTTTATTGACAGATCATATTGAAAAAAAAGTTTTGATTTCAAAACATTGAGGTTTTATTAAATTGACACATTTTCTTACCTCCTTTTCCTGAGTAGTTTTTTCCTGAGGTATTTTACTCTCCTTTTGAGTATCTTTTGAACCTGATTTTTTCGGCCCACCTTTTCCTTGGTCAAGTCTTGCAATAACAGTTTCATCAAGAAGAAGAATAGGTTCGCTAAGTAATGTATTCAGAAGCAGCTGACAAGTTCTGATCCATTCTTTACATTCAGACTTAATGGAGTATAGATAAAGATAAAATTGTTAAAACACAATTTTTTTGCAATAATTGCAGATGAAAAACAGCTCCAAAAGATATATCTTTATCTGAAGAATAGTATTAGTAATTTCAGAAATGACGGGTAGAACCTATAATTGGATCACAGTTATATTCAATATAGGGCTAGATTGAGAAGATGGCTGATGCTTCCACTAATGTCAATCTACAAAGAGACACGCATAATCGATGTATTCAACATTTCTACTCTGCATCAAAAACAAAATTTCGAAAAAATAAAATTCTGTTAATGTTATTAAGACCATGACCCAAAAAACAAATAACTGGTAAACTAATTCCATACTCGACATGGACTGGTAACCGAACGAGAGGCCGTGGTTCGCCATATGATTAAGCCAACTTATGGCCCTACAATACCCTAGTACCTCCCATTTTCTAATAGTCAAAGTAAATATATGTCGAATACAAATACTAGACTGAAATTACCTTGACTCTGGCAAAATCTCTTTGTTCATGATCAGCGTCATCATCTCCGGCATCTTTCTTCCTTTGCACAGATACTTGTACAATACTGTTTGTACATCTGAAAAAAGAATTTTATATGAATTGGCTGTGATACAGCAATTGCTTAGGTTTGAAGCGCAAATGGATTCAGATGAACTGAAATATTAAGATCGGTTTTTACATGTATCCTAGAGCAGGCTACTAAAATTATTGTTAAATCAAAGAACTTTACCCAACAAAAAAAACCTTATTCATGAAAAATTATATGAAGCGTTTTTTATTGCATGCTACATTAAATAGCATTCCATGCGTATCCTAAATATAGGGTTTACAATCATGGCATCTATGGTGATTTGTGGCATCTCCTAATATTAGGCATTCACTTTCATGCCACGCCTGTAAGCATATTATACAATAACGTTATATCATTTTCAATTCAAAATAAGTAATGCACTCTTTTTTATAAAAATATTCAAAAATTATTACCAATTACAAACAAGAATACTTACTGGCATAAATATGCTGTTATTCTGCTTAAATGGTCACTTAGTTCTTGACATTTTTTAGTTAATTCTTCAAGAGAGCAGCTTGCTTCTAAACTTGATTCCGAAGGCATTTTGTTGGCTTTGTTTGGAGCAAGCAATAACAACATTTGAACCATCCAATGAATCATTCTTGTATGAATGGAAGAAACCTAAAAAAACAAAGTTAAGTTTTGGATTCCTTCACCATAAACACAGCTCTGAACAATCAGCCACGAATATAGTATTTTTTAGTATTTTTGGAGAGTCCCGATATATCTGGTTTGACAAGCCAACCCAATTATTTACATCCTTAGGCGGTTGGCATAGCAACAAGATTCCATAAAAGCATCAAGAGATGTATGTGTGCTTATTGAATTTGACATTGCCACTATCTCTCCAGTTTGGCATAATCTAGACTAGGTTTTCCGAACTGGGGTCCGTGATGACTGCACAGGGGGTCCGCAACAATATGAAAAGAGTCTGATCGATCTTTAATGATTGATTTTAATCAAAAAATCGTTGCACCTTTTTGGTTGATAGTTGCGGACAAATATCCATTGCTGTCAGAAAATGCAATTAAAATTTGGTTGCCTTTTTCAACGACCTACATGTGTAAGGCAGCATTTTCAGCTGTTTCCGATATAATAACAAATAACAGTTTGAGAATTGCTTTAGAGTCGGATCTATGAGTTTGCTTGTCACAAATTGCTCCGAGAATTGATAAATTGTGCAGTGAAAAGCAACCTCATCCATCAAATTAATGTTGTTTGTGTTGTAAATGAAACATTATCCTTCCTCGTTGGATAAGGGCATAAATTGATACGGCTTAGGATGTGGGGTCTGTGAAAACTAAGATTCACAAATAGGGGGCCGCGGCCCAAAAAGTTTGGGAAACCCCGATCTAAACAATTCATCACAGTCTAAATGAAGTGGTCAGTTGACGATTTGACCATTGATTCAAGAAATCAAGACAGCTAACTTTGATTCAAACATAGATAGTCATCTGTACAAAGTAATCATAAGCATTTAATCATAAGCTTTTTACATATTTTTAGAATAACCTACCGTACTTGTCAAATGAAAACAATGGAAAAAATGACAAACCTGAGCGACCATTTTTCCATTTTCTCCTTCAATACCATTGACTGTGTCTTTCAACCATTTTTGAATTTTAGTAATGGAATTTTCAACATATATTCTGAAATAAGAAAGGGTTTGGTAAGGTATTTTGCGGGAAAGTCCAAAATAATATTTGAATCAAAATTAGTTATGTTCAATATTATATTTTTATTTTGACGGAAACTCAGAAAGCATTAAAGTTGATTAGCATTCTCAACAGATAATAAAATAATTTGATTTGCTCTGAGTTTGGAACTAGAGTCAGAGTTAAAATTTTCATCAACGTGAATTCAATAGTCCAAGTCGAATAATTTCTAAATTGGTGTTTGGAAGTCCCTTTTCGAATGGCTCGGAGTTTGGCATCGAATGTGAATTTACTCCTGCCCCATATCCTTGCCCCCACTTTACAATATGACAATTGCTGTAATGTAACAAACTTGTCATATGACGAGTCAGGATTATTCTTATCTTCATCTTTTTGTTGCGATCCAACACAATCTATTGTATCGTTCAAGGAAGCAACATAATCTTGCATCAGCTCAAAAAACCTCAACCATTCTGTATCAGATATTGCTGAAATGTAAAATTATTTTTAAAAAAGACAAAAAAGTACATTTACATATGAAAATAAATTGAACGAAAAAAAGTTATCTACTCAATTAGTAAAATTTTATGAAAATTTTCCTCTGGATTTTTGGTCAATCATCGTTGAATCCTATTTTTGTTATTTATACATAAATATTCAGTATATTGAGATTAAAGATGTGAAGAATAGGACTAAAACTGTCATATAATTGACCAATTTCGGAAATGTCAAATTGGAGTTTTTATCTGAAAAAAAAAAATTTTTATATTTGTCTCAGGGGAGAGAAAATCTGATAAGATGGCTTTAACATTTAAAGAACCACAACCTCTTGTCGGTTATCAATTCATGTCAGGTATCCAACTTAACACAAGACTGAAAACACCTACCTTCTGCACCACGCATTGAATTAATAAGTCTTGTATTCCATGTATCAAGATTATTTTGCATTGTTATCATTCCCTTTGCCACACCTGAAAAAATACAATTACTCAAAAATGCATGTAATACTATAAAAAAGGAAAATGTAGAAAAGAAAAACAAACCATTTTCTCCTGATATCCGTATTTCTAGCTGCTTCGTCAAGTCTTGTAAAGTTTTATTGTTTTCTGTCATGACTTTGTGCAATGGATATCTGTCTCCTTGGTCAGACCTTCAGAATGATAAATATAATTTATTTAGCACTGGTCAAGCATGAAAGATGGAAAATGTGTACCTTGACAGAGCATTTATGGTCCATGCTAGATTATTTAACTGGGCTATTGAATATATAATTTTTTGCATATATTTTTAGACATTTGTCAGTACAGTAATAACTACCTAGGTAAGTTGAATATTGGAATCAAATTTATAGAAAAATTTTGAACGAATTTGTTCGGCTAGTCCTAAACTTGTGTGGTGCAATCCAATATAAATCACCAAAGAATATCTTGCAAGGCCTTTCTTCGGAACAACAATTGATATGAAATTCAGTAGGAAATATTTTTAGAAAACCTTTTTATAGTGAATTCTTATGATTGTAATATCTATAAAATCTTTGAAATTTCTCCAATTCTCCAATTAACCCACCTATGCCTATCATACACTGTGATAGCAACATCAGTCCAACTATCAACTTCCTTTCCCATTTTTATCAGTTGTTCCTGATTAGATAAGAGAGTATCTCCACCAAATCTTTCAGAATTCTCACTTAATTGCTGAGGGAAAAAAACACTTTCAATTATAACCCATGTTGAATATATTTTGAAATGGTTCAAATCAGGAATTTTTATTTTGGATATACCTTATTTCAAATGTACAGCAGTACATCCCTAGCAATAAGATTGCTGTTTGCTGTATATCAGTAATCATTAGTTTATTTATCATCATAATTAAAATAGGCATAAAACATACAAATTGCAACAATTGTAGCCTATATCTTGCAGTTACTTGACAGTTCACAAAATGACGAGTCAGATCCGATTTCCACCATGGCCCAAGTCAATGTAGTGCAGGCGTTTGACGATACCTAGCATGCTATTCCCATACTTGACAAGGACTAGTAACCAGACCAGTGGTTCTCAAACTTTTTTTGCCGCGCCCCCTTTTTAGAATTTGTCGAGTCTCGCGCCCCACCTCAAAAATAACTAGCTAACAATGAACTACAAATAACAGTAGGACGAAGGAATGTTTTATTCAAAAACAAGTTGAAAATACGTGGATGGAACCGCAATCTCAAAAAATAAAGAAATGTGAATATCTAAAATAAATAAAATATGGCGGACAAAATCAAATGTGGCAAATATTTATATTTCCAATTAGCTGCACGCCCCCTCAAAGAATTTTCTACGCCAGCCTTGTGGGGAACACCCTACCGTTTGTGAACCACTGAACTAGACATTGAGAATTCTAGAGATGACAGTTTACCAATATAATTAAGTCATCTTTTCGCCGTATTTTTTTTCCAGATGAATATATTGAAAAAATCTAAGTTGTGATCAAATTAATAACATTACCTCTTCCCAATGTGCGATATCAACTTGTAAGCTTTCAATCAAATCACTAGGAGGTAACTTTATTGTTCGAATATCTGTATCTTCAAAATATCCCATCAGTGTGTCTGATAAAACAATGAATATGAATATTTAAAATACAATTTCCTTGATTTTATAATTTGTGTTGATATTTTTTTATTCATTATTCTCCTTTTCTTACCTTCAAAAGTATTTATCCATTGTTCCATTCCCTCTTTTACTAATGTCAATACGTTTGCTGTCGTTTTATCCGCGGCATCCAATACTTGATGAAAACTGAACAAGAGTTTGGCAACATGTGAGTAATTTTAATAAGCCTTTTGCTCTGAACATGTCTCTGTAAATAAGCCACTGTTTCTTTATAACAGTAGTTCTCAACCTTTTTTGAAGTCACAGCCAAATTTTAAACCTTAAAGTTGTAATGAGCCGCATAAAAACTAACGCAATAAAAGAAAACTCAAGTATGTATTTTAAAATAACAACAGCAACAAAACTCCGAACAAAAACCAATTTAACGCTAAAATTGACATTGGCTCTGACTTTTAATTCTGAAGTATGAAAATGGGCGCCGCAATCGTGATGAATGCATTCTCCAGCAATAAGTATTACAATAGCTATCTTCATCTTTTTATAATGATATCTACGGTATTTCAATTTGAAAATACTTCCCTTTCAAATCACATCAAAACGCCCAATTATAGAGTGCGAGTTTTTTTGAGATGTGCTTGACATTTTGACTTGACAAGCTAACAAATAAATATTTTGTTTGAAAATATATACAAACTTTCCACAGTGTATGTACATCATAGCCTGTTTGTGATTACTGGAAACAAAGAAATCAGTGTACTGAAATTAAAGGCTCATGGGCATAGCGAGGAATCCTCCAAAAAAAAATTTCTACATAATGGGGGGAGGGGGGGGGGGGGTAAAGCCACCCATCTAGGTACGCCCTTGCATAGACTAAAAAAGTTTGTGGGGAAAAACACCATGACATCATAATAAAAAGTTGAAAAGTTGCACTTGAAAATACCTAACTGCTACTTCACTTCAGTATTTCAATTTCAAGTCATTTTCATTTAAAATGAAGAATTTTTAAAGAATAATAAAAGTTGCATGAAGTATAGTTGAGAGCCGCAAGCAGGAATGAGGAATCACTGTTTTATAAGCTGAAAATCTTACTGGAAAATCATATCCCTCCATTGTTCTACATGTTGATGGAGTTGAACCAGGCTTTCAGTATCACAATCACTTATTAAGACTGTAAAATGACATCCAAGTTTATGCCAAGCTTTTTCAGTAACAAGTAATCGTTTGGCAGTGCTGAGTGAATTTTCTGATATTATCTGAAATAAGGTGAAATATCATTGAGCGAGGAAATGAGAGAAAATTTCTTATTTATCTCAGATATGAAGACTAGTTGGCTATGTTCTACAAGACAGAGCTTGTCTGCTTTGTTTAAACACACATGCTCACTGTAAAAAGCCACATTTTATTGGTGATTACAAGAATCACCCTTTGTTCCAATAGTTTAAAGAGGCACTTCGAGAGGACTCAAATCTGCATCCCCTGGATAGTGTAATCAGCAGGTCAATCGGTATTAACTAACACTCAATTCTACTCTATCATTCCTCAGTAGCTCAGTGGTCATTCATACCTTCGCTCATGAATCAATCTCATCAACTATTGAGTGAGTGCGTATAACCGTGCTTTGAGCAAATTTCATTTAAAATATGTGCCCTTAGTACCAAATTATTAGAAATCAAATTAATCAAATAAAAACATTGAATTTTCAACTCTTTAGGGAAAATAGGAAAAAGTTACTTTCTCGAAAGGCACTCACTCAAGCCCAAACCGCATAAAACCATTCGAAACTAGTTCATAATTTAAAGAAAAATGAACATCAGTTTGCTATTCGATAAATAAAAGACATGTTGAAGCACAGCAAAAGGTATTTCTGTAACATTTTCCTAGTAATTAAATTGTAAAATCTTACTTTCAGTCCAAGACTATATGAAGCATTACACCATAAATCTCGTTCTTCTGTTAAAATAGAAACTTGAGTTTCTAATCGATGCCGTTGTAATTCATACAAATCATGGTATTCATCAACAAGATTTGCATTTTTCTGAGATTCCTGAAAAATCCAAATTTGTTCAATTTCAACCCTGATTTCCTACAAACTTGGAATTACGCTTGGAATTTTTGTATTCCTCGTTTTAATTTTAAATTTCCATTTTTGTTTAGGTAATCATGACATTACGTTTTTAAAAATATTAACTCCTATTCCCTGGACAAGTCAAAACTAGATTTTGACTACTAAGTTTACTAAAGACAACAGCAAACAATTAGACTTGAATTTGGTACATTAAATTTAATACATCTTTAAGGTTTGGTTTTTTCCTTGTGGTGTTTCTATGTGAGATTTAATATATCAAATAAATTTTGTATTCATCCAATTTAAAGTTTCGAAAACACATTTTCTACTTTTGATTGTGTCATCAAATATATATCCTAAATTATTCTTATAAATATAAGTAAATGAAATTTCAATTGTAAATACCTTTAAAGCTTCAGAAAGATCAAGTTGTGCAATTTCAGCTTCCTGTGTGATCTTTTTGTCATGTTCTTTCACAGCTATTAATTCACTGAACAAAGAATAATTCATGTGTATTTACTAGTATAAAATATGTGTTTATACATTTGCCTGTATATATGTAAATAGCACAAGCAGCAGGATTAGTTTTTAGGGCAATGACATCACTTTGTGTGACAATAATACTACATCATACAAATGAAATAAAGCCCAACTTACTTTGTCAAGTTCCCAATAGAAGTTTTAAATCTTAACAATTCTTCTGTTAATCTGCGATCGAGTGATCTTTGTGCCATGACTTCAGCATGAAGACTTTTGATCTGTCTCGGAATCTGAAAATTTGTGAAAAAAAAATTATGATTTTCTAATTATTTTAGTAAAGGACAAATTGAAATGAAAATTTGATTTTTGATATTTACCCTGTTCAAAAGATCAGCGTATCGTTGTCGTAATTTTGAAATTAATTGTCCTCTTTCAACACATTCAATGCTGACTTGCCTTATAACCTGTATTGTAAAACAGAACAACAAACATATTTTAAAATGATTTTCTCAGATTCTTTTTTTTTTCAAAAATAAAAATCATAATTTATATACCTCATGAAATACTACATCATAAATTTGTTGTTCCTTCTTAATAATTTCCAATAAATTATGAATTTGTGTTGGTCCTTTTGCTTCATTTTCAATGTCATCAACTCCTGCTTTTGCCAACATTTGATCCATTGTATTCATCAGTTGAACAACCTGTAATGAACAGGGAATATCAATTTGAAGAAAACAAGCCACCTTCGATATAAATGTGCAGCTAAGAAAAAGGTATTATTTTCATATTTATATAAAGATATCTTGTCTGTCTTTTTCACATTTTTTAGGTTTCAGAATTGGACATCCACCAAGTAAGACATTTTGCACCACTTATACTTAATTATAGTATTGTCATTCAGCTTCCAGAATCAGTACGGTAGTTGCTCATTTTAGTGAGTAACTCCTCACTCTAGAGGCAGTGCTCTTTAAACTTTTCGCAATGAGAGTGAGTGAGAATGTTTTGGTAAATATATTTGTAACTTACAACAAATTTTTCTGTGCTAATGAGTGATTTTTCTGACCCTAATTTATTAACCTATAATTCAACTTCATTATTCATCACAACTCACACGTCTAGTGACTTGTTTCTAGCAAAATAATATAACAAAACAACGATGCTTACTTCAAATCTCTTCGTAGGTTTAAGCGATGGAAACACTCTTAATGTTTTCTCCTTATCAGCAAGATTTGTTGTCATCTGTTCATCCATATATTCAAGTCCAAGAACTCCTTTACTTTTTACTAAATGATATTCATCTGGTATAATGGAGTCAGGTACCGCCAGATTACTTGATGATGATTTTGTCTGAAAAAATTGGGACTGTATCATACTGGATAATAGGGACAAAATGCAAGTATAATATGGGTTGTAGACCATCAGACTTAATTAAATATTAAATATTCTCCATAACCTGACCAGTGGTATAATCAATTTATTAGCGATGGTGCAGTTGAGATCAAGTTTTCAACCCTAATAGAAGCATAAAATAGAATTGTTATATTTATTTTTGAGAAGACGAAAGTTGACGAGACATCTTAATCAAACAGCATGCCACGGCTTCTCATCTGGTTACCAGTCCATGTAGGGTATAAAAATAAGTAACGAGTTAATTGCTCCATATGCATTGTCTATGGTAGTGGAGGAAGCCATTCCTAACACTTAGTATGATGCCTTACCATACAGAATTATTTATCCAAGGTTTCATTCAAATATTTCATCTTATTCATCATAAATCTCCATGTGAAAATAGGTGATAATCAACAATTCTATTCATTACAAACAAATGCTGTAAAAATATGCAACAAAACACACTTTCTAAACTAAATCTTACAGCATTAAGCTCTCTTGATGCTTGTGATCGTGAAGAACTTTTATCGTGTCGGCTCGGTTTTTCTGAAGGAGGTTTCTGCATTGCTGATACGTCATATAAAAATGAAATATCTTTTGATCCAACAGTTTTGCCATCACTTTTTGGATGATCAGTCAAATGACGAAACTGTATTCTTCTTGCTTTATGATGCCATACATTGTCAGGTATACCTTTTCCAAGCGCCTGAATATTCAAATATTTATTGGGTGGAAAATTCCAAAAAAAGAAAAGGATAAATAAGGACAATTAATGAAGCATATTATTAAGATTTGTTCGTTGGCCGATGCAAGACAAAATCTCATTCCTAGTTCACGCTCACCACTCTCATTTCTTTTGGAGTTTTGAGTGTTTTAACAGGAGCAAGTTCTCCTTCTTTCTTTGTTTCGAGTAGATTGTTTACTTCAGTTAGAGCAAATAAAAGATCTTCAGGGATCATTTCACTGTAGAGGGGTTCTTTTGCAGCGTTAGCTGAATAAGAGAAAAAGTTGTTATTGTTAAAACATTCAATTTGAGGTTTCAAATAAAATGTTCACTTTGAGCCAAAAAAAAAAATGAATATAATTATGATCAACTGCCCATTTATAATGTTTGCAATGAGCAAGGCTTTAGAAAAACTACCATACTTATAAAATGCATGTATTGCCTAAAACATCACAATAAATTTAAAAAATGCTCAATTGTTGTGATATAACTGTTTGTGATAGTGTTTTGGATTTCTCATCATACTTGGAGTCACAACAGTTTTAAGTATATTCAAGGGTGTGACCACGCAAGACAAAAGGAACTAAGAAATTTTGCATATTGCAGTCATAAAAATCACTGGGTCTGGTATAGTTTACTTACTTCTAATTGGCCTGGCTCAACAATTTTTGCATATGTCATTTCTAACCCCCACCTGACTTTTTCACCAAAAAATTACGTCACTACATCACAGGGGCGTATTAAAGACCTCCAAAGTGTATGGATGGTCGTCCAAAACGCGCCGACGATCACCCAAATCGAGCAAACTATTCCTCTCGTTTTTTCGTCGTAAGATCCCGATATGAGAGAAACTGTTAGCGTTAGAGAGTTCATTATAGTCGGCGCAGATGCCGTTTCGGGCGATCATAGCTATACATTGGCAAGCTCTATAACGAGATTGTGATGTCGTAGTGACGACATAGTGACGACATAGTCAGGTGGGAGTAAAGAATAACATATGCAAAATTCGTCATGCTACGCCCACCGGAAGTACTTGTGGTACTAAGCTATACCAGACCCAAATCGCTGACTTCATTCCATCAGTTCTAAAAAGACTAAGAATGATTCTTTACCACTGTACCACTTTGCAAATTGCATTTTATAATTTTAAACATGTTTATGAAAGTAATAAACTCACGTGATAAAGGTGCTTTCATGATCTTTAGTGCTTCACTCTCTGTAGGAACGACGGGCTGATTATCCGGTTGCTCCACCATTTTTCCGTTGTATAGGCCTAGATAAACCACTTCCGAAATTTTAACCCGGTATAACTGTAAATAACAACGTAGATACTTATCTATAATGTCGTATTTCAAGTCATCTGAAATTATAAAACAAAGAATTTAGTGCGAACTTTGCGAGCTCAAAAAACGAACGAACCATACGAATCCCGCCTGTCAGTCACACGCGATATCCATGGATACGTGCGTTCAAGCGTAACGAGTAATATTTTATGATTCACTCTCAAAAATTGCTTTACATTCGTCGAATAAATAAAATAGCTGAATTAAAAATATTCTCAGTTTGTAAATAAAAATAAAACCTTCCATAAAGTTCCGAATCAGACTTCTTTAATGATACGGCAGCAAGATTTCAACCTATTTTTAAAGTTTGCTCAAAACAAATAGTGCCGATCGCGCTTTATTACAATATCGAATCGTGAAATCCAAGACGAAAACTGTTAATATTTAGTGAACCGCAGGCACACGTAAATTATTGCACTTCTACGTCACACATAAAATGATATTTTATGCTTTGTTTCGACATACCATCCCCTTTTGTAACGTTTCATGAGCCGAATTCAATGAGTTGCTAAATGTTTCGTTCTTTTGTGTGAAGTGTTTTGCCCGCGCTATTGTCTAGTTTTTTTTATAAGTGGGTATTTCGTACAGGTTGGTAGCCACCAGTGTCACAGAAGATGTCAGTGTTTGAAGTGGCTGTTAAAAACTGTTCTACGCTTTGTTCGTATAATAGCTTACTTCCAAATTGCGTAGTTCGAAAATAGAGTATATATTGCGTGAATTACGGCAAGCTTGAATTATTCAGTAGTCAGATCGCAGAGAGGCATTTTACGACGAAACTTACCTCTTTTCATAAATCTGGGAATGCAGTGCTTACTATCTCCTGTGTTTTCTAATGTAGCGCCTTATCGTTGTAAAATTAGTTTATCACTTGAGTTTTATTTGAAAGAAATCTAACCAAGTCCAACCAAAGTGACAGCGAAAGTAATAGGATGGTATTAAAAATATCATTCCACGTTTTCATTATATTTTTGATTACTCGGCTAATTTTGAGAAGGCAATATAATGAGACATTTTGAGATTGAGTGGCTGAAATATTTAAACTCATAAAAATATCAATAGTGGATTTTCACCAATGCTGAGAATGGCAATATGTAGATTGATTCATTTTGTGAACGAACGAAAAAATGTTATGTGTCGCTTTATGTAGTATAAATTTCCAGTGAATCAATATAGTTTGTGTTATAGCTGTAACTTGGTTAAAGTGGATATAGTGAATAATATTATATATACGCATTGCGGCGATATATTTGCCTTTCGACTACTCATTGATTCGAAGACTTAGAAGAAGTGACACTAATAAATATTTATGACTTGAATATAAATCTAAAATGTGTTGTGAAATACGACACAATCATATATAGCAAATTTTACACCCAATCACGATGTTGACCGGCGAACTGGACATATTGTTGGTCTTCAAATTGTGCATTGTGATTTGGTACCATCCTCTGAGGGAAAGCAGGTAGGTTATCCTGAAAATGAGTTGATAATAAATAATGATAATAAATTAGATTGAAATGTGAGCTAGTGACAATTTTTGAGCGGATATAGCGGTTGAGTCGTCCTCGAACATCGTGCGACCTTTTTCCTTATTTTGCTTTCAATCTCACATTTTTGTCAGTGTGTAAACGTCTCTTCTATTTGTCCATAAGCCTAAGTTGGTCATTCAATAAATCAAATTGACCATTAAACTATACAGTGTTTATTCATTTAGGCTCAAGCTTGGATAGTTAAAGTAAACACTTTCGGATATATTCATAATATATACCTAGGTTCTTGCCAAACATGGGCCATCGACAAATAAATCCATCCGACTTTATTTATCGACGTAACGTGCGAGATCTAGGTATTATGTTCATGTTAGTGTATCAATGCGAGCATTAAGGAATTGTATCCATGGAAATTGCGCTATCGAAAAAGACTAAGCCATACCGTAACATATTATAGCACGCTATCGTACATGAAATATTGTGTGTTGTGTACACAGTAGTATTTATATATGAGGTTTCAATTCACTTACTGCCTTGACTTATCTAAGGAGTGTCAATTGAAATCGACTGTACATTAGGACTATATTATTTCTCAAGTAGTCTATATTTGTGTGCCGTACTGGAAATTTATTCTAATGCTGCGGTACGGTTGAAAGGGAGAGTTTTACTTGGCACAAATCGTAAGCCACGGATGTGTATTACTAACATGGACAATACCATAACTTCTAGGGTTACGTTCAAGCCATTTCGAGGAAAATCGTAATATATTAGGAAATATATTGGTAAACCGGATGAGTCAGAATTTAAATTGTTTGAGGTTATTATAAGAAATGAATTCTCTTATTTTCTCTTCTTGTGAAAAAAGTAGGGAATACGATGATAAGATTTATTATAGCCGCGATTGAAATTTAGCTTATAACAAAATGAATTACGAACGTAGGTATGAAAACGTTCATTTCCGTTTCCATGCCCGACATGGGCAAACTACAGCCCGCGGGCCAAATCCGGCCCGTTGGGTAATTCAATCTGGCCCGCCCGATGCTGCCACAACCAAAGTAAAACCAAATTTTAATGTTTTAGCTAAAAATTAGCTCGAGGAATTTGTTGAGATTGCGATTAAATTTTGTTTTAGCACGAGGTCCATTGTTTTCCATTTTTTGCTTTTGTATATTGTTCATAAAATGTAATATTTTACGTCACACTTACATGGCCCGCCAGTCCAGATGGGCAAGATTTTTGGCCCACGGTTTAAAAACCATGACTGATAGACCGTTGGTAAAAATGGTCGGCATGGTCTTACAATAGAAAAAAGATGGCTTTAACCCAAGATCTCCTGCTGGCAAAATTTGGTCACCACGTAAACAGAATTTATATTTCATTCAAATTTAACACTAAGTAATAACTAGAATTTTTTTATTATCTACAGATTTATTTAACTTATTTATATATTTGTAAATACTAATTTTGTTGAAATATGACATAAGGAATAAAGAACGGAACTAACATCCATAGGAAGAGTGACATAATGCCGGAAAAAGTCATCACAACAGGTAAATTATTTTATCGTCATAAATGTAAGGGCCAAGCCCAAAGGTACATTTTATAATTACATCAAGTGCGACCGTGGTTAAATAAACACATGTTTTCTAACGGAAAATTATGAGTTGAGTCTTTGTGTTATTGGTCGCTTTATTTATTGCGTTATCCAAATAAATGCCGTAACCCCCGCTGTGCGAAATATTTAATTTGTAGATTTCGTGATAAATGATTTTGGTTGAGGGTCATAATAAATATAATGAATTTGTATACTTTGTCGTCAGGGAACTATGCTTCCTCGTCTATTCAATGACTTCGATTTTACATGGGAAAAGCTTAAAATCAATTTATTTCAAGTCAATGTTGAATGTTTTACCTAATTTCCTTTCCTTATTCTTCTTCTGTTCATTTCAATGTCTTAAATTTTAATTCCACAAACCCGTCAATATATTAAAAAGAAAATTTATCAATTAACCTTGCCATGCCCATGATGGGTTAGTACTGCCCACGCTACATTTAACCTAATAATATAAGATATATAAATATAAATCTTGTCATTCGGAAGTATTTTGGAATAGGATGATTATTTTAACGACCCCGTAAAAGCGAAATTCCCGGAAATGCTCTCACAAGCAAAGTAATTCTAATTATTTTTTTTTTTTCAGATCCACCGCAAATAGACGAGGATGATTTTGTGAGTAAAAACATAATTTAGTTAGTATTTCTCCCAATGTAAATTGCTCACACGTAAATAGTAACTAACTGATCACTGAAAACGAGGAATATTTTGATTTCTATTACCATATTGAATTTGCGTTTACAGGAAGACTATCTTGCAACAGATGACTTATTTGTCGATTATTTCAACACGTTCTTAGGCCTCCCGGTAAGAACTTAATTTTGCGTGAATGTTTAATACGACGTACATTTGCGTCGTCATAGAAAAAGCATAAAACAGTATTTTTTATCCGGCAAATGTAAGTTCTATTCAGTAATTATGATCACCGTCTTCAATTTAATTGTAGAGTTTTCCGGAGCCGTTGCGCTTCAATCCTGAGTCTGGTGGATTCGAAGTTCTAACAAGTGCAAAGCATGACATTGCTGAAAAGATAAAAGAGGCAGCAAGAGTTCATAACACGCCCCGACCACAGGTGAGAATTTGACTGAGGATTGAATATTAGAAAACATCGGGGCCTTGGCACTTACACGTTGCCAGAACTTTTTGAAATACAACGATGTGTCTTAGTTCTAATACAGGTTGTACTATTTATTAATATCAGACGGCTGCTTCAAGATTTTATGGAAAGGAGGATGAAGATAATGACGAAGACATTAAAACAAGTTTCAGCGTCAAGGTATTTGGGTATAAAATTGTTTATATCGCGCGTGAAGGCATTTTCTAAAAAGTAGCAATTTGTTGAACGCAAAAATACCGAATCCATGTTTTGTCTTTATTTCAGATGTCTGGGTCTGACTATATTCACTTTAACTTATTAATTAACATGTCTATTAATTTATTGAACTAAAATTTATTTAGTGTTTGGACAAAGAGCAGGGAATTCAATGGATTAAAGAAGAGAGATTGCCGTCATTTTTACAGAGTGAGCTTTATATGGAATACAGGTGAATCAGATAGAAATTCTTTGTTATTATCAGTCTCTAAAAATTCCGCCAAATATATAACCTCGGTGATAACATTTAATCTGTTTTAAGAGTAGCATATAAATATGTTTGTGATAGACTTTTGACTGTCCATACAAAAGTAGTCAAACCTTGAACCTGATGGAATTGAAAGTAATCTTGCTGGAATAAAAATTTAAAACGATTTATGCAAATATTTTTAGACTCGCCAAACTCCTTTCTCAAGTTGAAACAAGTCCTGGTGGGATGAAGCTTACAATTGATCCAGATTTCAGACCATGGTACAAGCCTGTAATAGTAAGTTTGAAAAATACTGGACTCAAAATGAAAGTTATATAGTTTTTTATACAAGAAATAGTAAATGTCTATGTTAGCAAGACTTTGAAACGAAATCACATATGGATTTTGTTGTTTAAAAAAACAGTGAGTTCATGCGAAATGCCTTAAGTTACTGACATTTTGAAGCTTTAAATGAATATTTGGACATGATGGCCTGGTAAGACTTAACTATGTTAGCAGTGCCTTGTTCAGAGAGAACGGCATGAGGCATATAAAAAATTCAGACTGATTACTTCTAACCAAAAATAGTGCCTTCTTACATGTCAGCGGCCGTTTATCAAGGAAGGGAGGATGTTAAATAAGCATCCTGTAAAACTTCTGTCTGATTGTTTCTGACCAAACAATGTGACAATTGGATTTTGCTGAGAAAAAAAGGATTTGGCATCCTCTTTTTCTGATATTCTTTCGTTGCACAAGTTTGGAACCGTTAGATAAATTTGCCAATAATTAAGGTTATATCTTCTAGCATAATTTTTCTACAGACTCCAGCATCTCCACCACCTGTTGATGAGACAGAAATTATGATTCAACGAATGTTTGTTACATTGGGATCAACACCATCTTCTCAGACTAAAGAATGGTTCACAATGGCTAAAGAAGTAAGATGAATTTTGATACTTTCAATTTGAAATTGAGATAAGATAGCATTTTGATATTTATTGGGAGTAAATAAGACGGCTTAATCATATGTCGAACCATAGACTTTCGACCTGTGTTGAGTATGAGAATAGATATGGCTAAGCTATTCGTAGACTTGGTGGTATGAGTGGCTGTGAATGAACCACCTTATGACGACAAGAAGTCAAATCCGCGGAACTCGATGCACCATATGTTGAGTTAAACTAAATTTCTTTTTTTTTATGATGAACAGGCACAAGAAGAATCAACAACCATTACACAATCCAGACCCTTATCAAGTACAACCATAACAACTGGTGTCTGGGCAAGACCAAGCAGTTCTTCAAGGCCGACCAGTATCCAGAGCGCGAGGCTTGACATTGGAGAAGACAGTTCAAGATTTTTAGATAGTGGAATGTGGACTGGAGGATACACTGATGTGAGAATAGTTCTTCCATTGAAAATGAGATTATGAGATAAGATAAATTCTTACAAGATTTCCATTTTCTTATTGTGACCTAGTTTTATATAATTGTGGTGTAATGAACTAGTTTCCGATAAAGACATATTAAAGACTTTCAAGTGATAATTTCCTCCATTTTTAATTTGGTTATATAAATTTACTTAGATTCTGAATAATATCCATTTGTTTAATTAAATCAAAATAAATACCTTGTTCTCAATGCTATATGCTATTTTATATTTTTAGAGATCATATGGCAGCACCCGAAAAACGAAGAGTGCAAAAAGTGCTGTAACATTTGAAAAAGAAGATAATTCTGAATCTGATTCAACACATGCAACGAAGCCAAGGTATAACTAGATAAAATTAAATGAATACTTTTTGCCATATTTATCAATTCTTTTGTTCGATTTTTTAACTGTTGCTCCTAACAAGTCCCTAAACAAGCATTCACTCACTCTAATTAAAAAGCTTATTTAAGCATCAATTGTTAATTTTTTTTGTGTAATCAAAATGTGGTGTGCTGTGTGTCCCACTCATCTCATGCAGAAAGTGGGACAACACAATTTTGAGACATCCACATTTTTTAAAGATACTTCAGGAAATAAAGTTATGTTTCAAGCTAAATACGATTTTTGTTTTTCTCAACTTTTTAGTACTTCAGTTAAGAAGCTGGATTTTTCCAAGTATCCTGAAATCATTCCACAAACACCACCTACTGTACCAATTCATATAGAAGATACTGCATGCATGTTGTCCGATACAACATCTACTACAGGAAAAGGTGAACAGGATGGATAAAATTCACCATATCAAAATATATAGTTAATAATGGAACGAATAATCTAATGAAATCATGTATATGAGAAATCTGAATTTCTCATTTGATTATCAGTCTGAATTCCTATTGAGTCACCCTGTTTTATTATTTTTTTTACAAACATTCATTAGAATTAGAATAAGTATTTTGCTCATCTGGTGAAGAGGAAAGTTAATAAGACGGTTAAATAATTTTGCGTACTATAGATATTATGGAGGGTTGTGTATGGAAATAGCTAGCCAGTCATTATTCACAAAAGATCTCTCGCGAATATTATAAAGTATTTCAGTCTGTACAGGGTAGTAAGATGCGATGGCATTCATATCATAATGTTTATCTCGATATATACTGTATTTATCTCATTCTTATAAATAGGTTTCAATATTAAAATAAAAAAATGTATTTCACTTTATCATCAGTTTAAAAAAATCTTTTTTCTAATTTTTTAGTTGGTAAAGTAGCTCACATTGAACCAGAACAATCAGATGAAGAATCAGATCAAGGAATGGGAAGCAGTGAATGTGAAAGTTCGATCGAAGATTTGACAGAAAACTATTCAGGTGTTTCATTGGTGTTATCACTACTTTAAATCAAAGTGATGAACAAAGAGTTATTTTATGTAAACAGCTCTGGTTGTTCTTATTTATCTCTCTAATACTATCTTGTTTGAACACCTTGTGGCAAGCTTTAACAGAAAAACGTAGCCCCCCATAGGTTTCAGTGACCTAAGAGTGGCTATTTAGCGCAAGAAGTAAACAAAGATCTTTTTATCCTGGTACCCTCCATACATCAAATGTATACAACTTCTAAATTCCTCATTCTCTTTAGATGATTACGGCCTTGAACTCAGAACCTTGGAAGATTATTCTTCTGTTTTTGTTGCTTTGAGTTTGAAAAAAGCATTGATGACATTGAACAAAAATATTACAGAAGATACATTGGATGACATGCAGGTTTTTGAAGACATTATTCCAAAACCAAAAGATTGGATTCTTGGGTTGAGAGGCTCAAAGAGACCAGTTCCAGTCAGCAAGCTTGATGAAAAGGTTAGCTTAAGGTTTTTGTCCACCATGTGTCAAGTTGAGCCAAGTTGGCTCATTTGACAGCGATGCAAAAACTTCTGCTGTTTTACTGTTAGTTGAATTTTATAAGGGTTACACTATGGAATCCTAAAATGAATACAGGAAGCCAGTGATGGTTTTTCAGGTGCTACTTGGTTGAGCATCCTCCACTAATCAAATGCAAATGTTAAACTATTTAGCTGTTCAAATACTTGACCCTGAACCTAATGAGAGACCAGGGTTGGACACATATTTTAAGAAAAATTTCTCTAAGTAAGGTTATGATTACGCACTCAGAGGAGAAGAACACTTAACTATGAGCCACCATTGCAATGCTGGAAACTGTAGACTCCATATAATATTATGGAGGTGCATTACATGTCAGTAAATGTCAAATGTCAAGCTATAACTTTTACTCCTTTCTAGTTGTTTGCTGAAGCAATCATTGCACAAGAACGCAGGGTTTTGGAAGAGACTGGACAAATGTCAAAGAAGTCAATGAAATTTTCAAAGTAATCTTACTCTATTATTTTGACTAAAATTATCTTGACTTGATAAAATTCAAAATCTTTTCAGAAATATGAGTTCGCAGGTTCAAATCTTGTGGGGATAATTATGGGGTTTGCTGAAATCCTTGCCGACGTAGGGTGGTCACATACATAACTGCTGGTGTGTTACGGCTTCCTCTACCATCAAGCCCATGCAATTTAAACAAATAACTTGCTAACTAACCTCATACTCAACATGGACTGGAAACCGGACCATAGGCCGTAGATCGGCGTATGATTAAGCCATCTTATCAACTTTTCTCACCCTTGGGATGAATATGTAAATCCTATCCCATATTTGGCATTAATTCAAAATGTGCTGTGTTTTTATGTACTCCTATATGCTCTGCCGTTTATGTTTAATTTTAGTCAAATATTTTTTGACAGGTCTTTTAAATCAGAAAAATCACGTGGAGATATTTTGGATCTTCTTGATATTCCAAAAAAGAAAATCACATTTGATGAAACTGTAAGTTTTTCATACTGATCCCAATAAGAGGCACAAAAATTGCTTGTTATTTTCACTTTGTTGTTTATCCTAATATTTTCTTTAAAATTAACAGGTAGCTGTTGATACAGAGAGTAAAGATTTGTCATCAAACTCATCTGAAACTGATGAACATGATTCTGTATTTTCTGAAAAATCAGATGAACTTGATCTTCAGTATAGAAAAAGAATTCACCAATATGATTTCACTGGTATGAAACTTCGATATTCACTACTCACATTGGCACATTATTACCTTACATACAATAAAATTAATTTCAGATGTGAAAGGTTTCAACAAGTTTAAAGAATTCATCAGAGGAACTATGGGTGATAGCATTATGCAATTATGGATGGATATTGACAAAACAAGATTTGCTTTGTCTTTGAAGAAAGTTTCAATGTGAGCTTATTTAAAATATGATTTTCTAGGTTTTATTCTTATTACAGATAGGCTGCATATTGTTTTTTTTAGGAGGCAGCATTCTTACATGAAAATCATAAAGCAATAAAGCTGCATACACTAGCACACTTGTTTTACGAGACTGACACTTCATTTTAATTGAATATAATTTAAGTTTTTACATTTTAATTTACAGATTTCTAGCAAAACTCCGACAGAAATATCTCAATGTATCAAGTTTAAACCACATATCTAAGGAAATGCTCAAAAAATGGGAGCTTGAGAATGCATCCTGCTGGACAACCAAGAATTTACAAAATGTTCAAAGAAGCATTGTTGAATCTTTGCTGCTCTATTGGTATATAACTGATACTGTTACTTATTCTGTACTCAACTATATCGCTGGACTCTTTTTATTTGAGGATGTTTTTTATGCTAGTCTGCTCTAAACAAGATCGTAAACACAGTATAGTCACTACTGACATCTGACTCACTAAGAATTATGAATATGGACCTTTTCACACTATGCTGATTCAATGAATACCAGTTAATAAACAAGCCGATTTACGCTTCAATTGAAAATTTCAATTGTTTATAAGGTGTTCTCACTCTTTTTATGAACAAGCATCTGCAGAAGCAGCCACAGTTATGTAGGGGGCTACTTTATATAATTAATTAATCCAGGCAATACATCAAGCTATTTTGAGATCCTATCATTACAGCCTAGTCTGACATACAATAGTGATACACATTTTTCTTTAAAGCGATAGAAATTAATGATAAATAAAATCTCTGACATGCGACACAAAAATCATTATCCACTATCTGATCAACACGTTATTATTGAAATTTGTCTTGTTGTTAATTTGTCTTGTCACTTTTCAGGGGTCCAAGGTTCTTGATTCATTCAATGGTGCAACCATTTACAACAATTCCACCACCTACACCAACTATTAAATTGCAAGGTAGATTGCTAAGACCAATGTCAAGTCAATCTTATCCAACTCCTAAAACACAGATTATTCATCCATTGAGACCAAAATCATGTTTGCCAAGAATCAAGGTAAGTTTGATCAAATGCGTAAACAAAGCAGTATGCATTTCACGGATTTATAAAATTTTTCTTATTGGTTATGTTCAACTCATGGCTGTATGCACCCTGTGCCCAACTCCAAACTTTTTGAAAAACAATTTCTCGTTTGGCAAAAATTTTGAGTATATCTCTGGTCTCCAACAGGGTACGCTAGCCCGCATGTTCCAATCAATTTATTATGTTTTATTGAATTCAATAAAACATGTTGTACTATCGGTAATTTATTTGTTATATACATAGACAAAAAAAGGATCAACAAAATTAGTTAACAAAGAAGAAGACGAAAAACCAAAGAAGCCCCAATACCATGAGATGGGAATGTATCAAAAGCTTAACTATCATCCCCAATATCAACATCAAATGTATCATATGTTAAAATTCAAACAATATGAAACAAAAACTAAAGAACCAAAAAGTCTTTTTCCTCCTGCTAAAGAAAGTACATTTCGTCCATCTTCAAGATACTTGAACAAAATGCAGTCTCAAGCAAAACGTCCAGGATCAGCTGGTAAGTATTACATTTCTATTAAAGTGTATGTTGATAGTATATATTCATAGCACAAATTTCAATCTCAATTTCCCAGAGCCATTAACAATGGGAACACTGGCAATTTTTGAGAGGAAGGGAAGAATAAAATCAGCCCAGCAACTGTAAGTAAATTTAAATTTTACTATAAGTTAATTGGTTTTGTTAGTATGATAAATCTATGCATCTGAAGTGAATATAAGGTTAATTGTTCTCATATATTATTATTCTGATATGATTTAGCCATCATATCAGCATTCCTGTCTGCCAGAATAAAAAAAGAAAAAAAATTTTGAATGTTAATCGTGTGTTTCTAATTATAAGTATAAGTTTATTTCGACTCCATAATCAGCATATCAGGCAATGAAATGCTTGATAAAAACAAACAAACAAAAACTGATTATGAAATCAGCAGAGCAAACAAAACCTTAGGCAAGGTTTAAAACGTATAGAATATGTAGAAGATGAGAGGTTTTGCCATGAAGAAGTGGTACGTGTTCACTCACCTAATTCCTTTGAACTTGGTTCAGATCTCAATCGACTCCATTTCCTCAATCCATGAAACAACCATCATTTGATAGACATTCTCTGATGTCACAACAAACTTCACTATCAAGTGCATCAAGAACAACAATACGAGGAAGTGAACCAATGGAGAGTATGCTACAGGTAACAAAAACAGAATCCTTGAGTAATTAAGGAAGCAATTTTCATGATAAAATATTCCAATAGTTAATAGAAATGGTTATTGATTGTTAGCTAGTTTACAGAGCTTTGAAGGTCTAGTACAAACTACAAATCTGAAAGCATCCCAATCATTTTCTTTTGAGAGGGGGAAATTTAAATTTTACTTTATCATTTTTTTTTCTATATGTATGTCTAGTCACTTCGTAGTTCTGTCGAATTAAATCTCTAACATAAAGGGTCAATAAAACTAAACTGACAGAATTACTGCATGTTGTTCAATTTGAGAAAATTCTGCCAAATGTTTTCCAAGTATAAATGAAAGTGTTCTATTGGCAAGTAGTCAATATGGCCTTGTACTTGACATTGTTATTTTCAGCATGCTTCCCAACTTCAGTAGATTTATTTGGAAGCTCATTGTTACTGATTTTCCTCTTTGTTTTTGCCAAGGCATTGTATCATGACACAAGAGCAGGATGGTTTTTCACTCGATACTGCGAACAGTCAGGAAACAAGGTGAATCATGTAATATACTGAAAAATTTCACACAATATCAATGCCTATTTTCAGCCTTGGGTAAACTAGAGTCATTGACTTGTCTAGGGTCAGACTCGAGTAACCTTTTTGAACATTTCGAATAACTTGTATCATCGAAACAAAATGAATTTACCTTAAAGACTAATCGCTGGATATACTGGACTTTAGAATCGAACTTGAAATTTTGGGCGGATTAATTGACTAATGACTCGACTGTCCCATAAATATGAATTTTATCCTGACTTGTATAAAACCGCTTTAAATATGAAACCTTTGGATGCCAAGTTAATGTTAAAAAGAGTATTTATAATGTCATTTTCTCACAGGATTGGAGTAATGCGATACACTTTTGGTTTGATACTCAAGAATTTCACAATTTATTTTACACAAATTCACTCGATCCTTTCATTGTACAAAGAAAAGCTCAGGTAATTTTTTTGAGTTTTTTTTCCATATAAATTCACAAAAATTGAATTAGCGCAGCGTTTTCACGCTTAATATTCAAATGGAATGGGAAGAAAATATTGTTTTATTGCTATAATAACGTAATAAAATTTTATTATCGCCACCAAGAAACTCAAGCATCCAATTTCTTCCCTTTTCCCACACACTGCTATCAGCACGCAAAGGTGCCAGTACAGCACTGACCAGTAAACTCAGTTGAAAGTAGGGAAGGATATATCCAAATCATTATTTGAATGGTCATCTCATAGAAGGCTATTGGGCTGCCACTGAAAATTTTCTTTAGCATCACATCATCACAATATGTCCATCTCAGCACAATTAAATTACAAATAAATTACAATTTGACCAATTAAATCATAGATTGACATCTACTGTCACATAATGCACCACCATATTCTATTTAGTTTAAGTAGTTCTTGGTCAGGTCAGAGATGAGTCTCGTTTGCTAATAAGAGTGCGAAGAATTTGTTTTGAGAAACTTTCATAGGCTTCTCTCATTCATATTTATCAACGATTTCAGATTCTCTACTCAACCTACATTGTTGTGAGCGCACCAGAACAAATAGGTCTCCCCAAAGTTATTCGACAGAAAATCTCAAAAAATTTAGAACCAGCTTTTGATGAATTGTTTGATGCAGCAGAAGAACATGTACTAAAACTATTGATTATTCCATGGAATGAAATGCTTGGAAATGACCAAGAAAGATACAAAAAGGTGAAGTAATTTTATCGAATTTATTCTGAATTACAATTTAAATATTGTCTTGCAACTGGATATTTTTCTTCAGGTTGAGATGATTGAACAAGAAAGAAATTTGCAAGTTGCATCGAAATATCTCAGTTTTCTTCAAAGAAAAGGAGTCATCAAAGAAGTGAGTAGGAATTTTTCCATAATAGAGTTTAAACAAAAATGTATATACGTTTGGCCTCAAAATAGAATAGCATCTGCATGATAAGTAAACCTCATAAAAGATACAAGACATATACAAGACATTGTTGGTCAAAGACACTATTTGGCATTTACTCTTACAAATATAACTGCATTGTAGGATTCCACATAGGATAATATACATAAAATAACGATATGAGAGGCCAGTTATTGTGTAATATGATCAATTCAAAAGAGAGTTCCACGAAATTATATGTATAAATATTTATCAGTATCCGCTTGTACAGAGCTATGACTGGGTGACAGCTGTCAGAAGACATGGTATAAAAATAGTCCATATTTAGCTGCCCACAATAAATTACACCAAATTCAACTTTTGATACAAAATTTACTCTTTTATAGAAACGTGTTGCCATGGCGACTGACACTCTAGGAGAAGAAAAATATGAAGGAGATTTATGGGCAAAAGTGCCGGAAGAATATCGTACATTTTCATTTGATGAACTTGTCCGTAATCGACTGGAACTTGAACATTTTCGCAAATTTTTAGAAGAGAATTATGCAAAGTGAGATACTATCTAACGAAATTTACCAACTGTCGAGCAATGTAACATCAATATTACAACATTCTATTTTTTATTGTAGAACTGACCTACTTTGCTGGCTTGACATTGAAAGTTTCAAGAGAGTTCCACATCAAGCTTCAGATAAAAGAGATGAAAAAGCTCGAGAAATAAAAACAAAATATCTTCATAAAAAGTACTTTTTTGGGCCGAGCAGTCCAGCTAATAAAGACCAACAAAACAAGGTGAATTTCATGATGATTTATTTGAATTGTTCAAGAAGACAAACAGGTATGATATTGTCATTTACTCCGATCTCTTATGACCGAGCGAGGCTGTTGAGTTGAAGTCGGAGTTGGGCACGTTTTTATTGGCATCGCAGTCTCACTTTCAAATTCCCTGTTAACAAAACTCATTGGAGTCAAAATTTAAAACTGGTTAGTCACAATCAAAGTCAAAATTTCCGACAAAATTTTGTTGACTAAGCATTCGCAACACACAATTAAAGAACGTTTGCATATATATACAAAGTTTTTGTTATTAAAATTTGGGAAGAGGGTGTTCCGACTCTCAACCCTACTCCTGGCTATGTCCCTGGGCACGGTTCTTGTAGTTGGGTGTGTAAATTTTTTTCGATTACCTAGTCCTGGACCTGAGCATCACTACTCATCTAACCAGTTTCGTTTGCATTCAGGTTGTAGAAATTTCTGGAGGTTGGGGAATGACATTGAGAGAAAGACCACCTAATGAAATGATTCTTGAGGCTCAGAAATATGTCAGAAACAGATTAGAAAAAAGATGGCTGCCAAGATTTTTAGCAACACCTGGATTTGAGGTAATGGTAATTACTACATCTAAATTCGTAAACTTAAATAGCATTTTTAAGTTATTTAAATTTTTGTAAAAAATGTTAGGAGCGTCAGAGGCCACCTTCACAAATGTCAGATGTTGCAGAAGATATTGTTTTACAAAAGAAAAAGAAGAAAGGAGAACCGTGGAAGGTTGGAATTCATTTAATTTAGTTCAATTTTATGTTACATTTAATTTCATTACAAATGCTTTGCGTGTATTACGAAACGTATTGTGTTAAGTCAGTAAGGCAGTATTCAAAATTTCGAGGTAGATGGCCTAGTCCAGGGGTCGGCAACCTACGGCCCGCGGAGTAATACATTCCGGCCCGCAACGCTTCACTGAATTAAAGTAACAAAACAGCTGTTTTTTATGTAACAGAATTTATTGTGGGTCACATGTAGGCTAAATTATATTATAACCTAACAAGTATATAATTCACAATTACTCGTTTAATGAGCCTGTAATTGAATTATATTTAGACAAATACCAACAAAACGCAGAAAAGTTGATGCCAAGTGCAAAGGGTTCAATGGCGCCGAAAATTTTCAAATCAAATTTTTTGAAAGACAATGCAATGAGGAAAAAAATCTATATTTTATTCGAAAAATTTATCACTGCTTGATTTTTATTATAAAAAGTATTATCCCTTCGGTTTTTATCTTTCTGAAAATTTGTGCCCGTCAATGACTTAAAACCCTTACTTTTGGCCGCAAGCGACAAAAGGTTGCCGACCCCTGGTCTAGTCGAAGTGTGTAGTCCAGCTATCCTTGAGTTGCAGTTAAAATCTTGAATTCAAACCGCAGCACTTCACCCGAGGTATAGTGTAATACATTAGTAAGCGGAACAAGAAAGAACTCTTCCAAAAATGTTACATCAACAAATCATTTTTCAATTTACAGGTCGTGATTAGCAATATTCCAAAAATGCATTTCAAGTATTAGAACTAACAACTTGGTTTTGACTTCAATGAAAATTAATGTTATTGTTTGTATCTTTAGCTGCTGGATAACAAATGGCAAACATCATCTCGCGAGCTTGTTGAATTTCGTCATGCTCTGGCAAATCCAGTGACGTCATCACAATTTCGTAGATATGTTGCCGTGAAGGGAGACTTACTTGAAAATGATGTTTTGTTTTGGTTAGAAGTTCAAAAATATAAGGTTAGTATTTCGCATTCTACATTTAAACGGTGAGGTAATCGGGTATCAATCTCAATAAATAAACCCAATGTGAAAGAATGGACTTCGATAGCCATATGAGGGAGTATCACAAGTGTTATTTGGGTTGGTCTTGGAGAGTATCAATGGCCCAAAATTTCAAATTTTTGCCCCAAATCGTCCAATATTTAGCGTCGAGTAATTTACGCACCTGCTACCGTAAATGTGTTATCTGTTTCTCAGGCTCTCTTTCTGGGATTCCAGCCATGAATGACTTACAAAAGTGAAAAAGTGCGTACCGCGCGTAGCCGATCGTTGTTGATCCAATGAAAGCTAGCTTTTCGTAGTGAAAATATATATAACAAATTTCTTTTCTAATCTCTAATCGAACAAATTATAATTTTAGGATTTCTGCCATGCTCACAATGATCAATCTGCTATTGATGCAAAAATATTTGCAATTATTCATTGCTTCCTTGATTCCCAAATTCCTCCTCAAGTGCAAATCGATATTCCCAATGAAATGGCTGAAAGAATCATTGAGAAAAGAAAAGAATTGGGACCTTATGTTTTCAGAGAAGCCCAGGTAAAAAATATTCATCATGAATTTCACTGTAAATAAACTTTCATTTTTTAAAGTAATTCCATTTATATCAATTTTCAGTTGACGGTATTCAGAGTTCTTTTTCCACATTGGTCCGGATTCTGTGAATTCAGGAAGAACAGAACAGATGAGAAACTAACAACCACACTAGAGCGACAAAGAGCCCGAAAAATGGAGAAAGTACGAAGACAACTTATCCAACAACAGAATGAACAGATCGCGAGAGTATGCTCAGATTTTTATGTTGATATTTATCATTATCCAAGTTTGTATTTTATAAGCATTCTGGAATCTAATTATAGAAATTACAATAACGTTATTTCTTCAATGGACCTTTCCCCGAGCATCGACTTCCTTGTTTACTTCGTGACATTGGCCTATCAGCAAATTGCAAAAAGTGACGTAACAATGCTCCTTTTTCGCATCCGCTCAGACACTTTTCTCACTCAGACAGATTTTCAAGCGTGGTCGTAAACATTACCTCGTTTTCGCATTTTTGAACTCTATTCGTTAGTTTTCAGTTGTGTTTTGGAAACTTAAATGTAAATCAGATAATTCAGTGGTCACCCTGTATTCCTAGGAGTTTTAATTTAATTGCAGTAATAAAAATTAGTGTAGAAATAGCTGTGATAGACTAGGCTAAAATTCTTTAACGGTACTTTTTTAAAACAGGTTGTTGTGTGCGATGAATCATAATGGTGGTTTGAAACACATACCCCATTTCACAGGCGCCAACTCGCAAAAGCACTCTTAAAATAGCTCCGAAAATTTTGCAATGGTAAAGTATAGGAAGAACTTTTCGGGGGTCAAAGGTCGTGGAAAGGTCCAATAAATGAAGTGTATTGCAATTTATTCCATACAATTTCATTTTTTCCGTACATATTGGAAATTCCGTTTAATTATTTAAATGATAAAATAACAGATTTCCAGGTAGAAATAAAAATTGAAACTGTATACTTACTTTTGAGACACCCTGTATATTGTTTGTACAAAGTGTATAGAATAGGTTACCGAATAGAAGCACAAATGTGCGGCGTGATTCTTCCTGGAAACAAAAAGGTAAACAACATCTTATATTTTTCTCTTGATTTAACTTTAGGAATTAGCAAAGGCTGCGAAAGAAGCTGAGACTAATGTTGGAACAACAGATTCCTTGGCCGAAATTCTATCTTCTGTCGGTAGTGAAGTAAGCGGTAGCATTGCTATTTTACCGCCAAGTACTCCTGGAAATCAGGTAAGTTATAGGCAACAGAGTACATAATAATAGTTGACATTTCAACTCTCAGAATTGAATTAACCTGTTCTCAGATTCGATGGTCATATGGGAAATATGTAGAAGCCCTTGATAAAGAAAGACACTTATTATTGATGGAAAATGAAGTAAAAGGAAGAATTCCAGCGGAACAACTACCAGAAGTTGATGATGGTGAGAAAATATGTGTCTTCGATGTGAATAAGGCGCTGTATAAGCTGTTACTGGTAGTTAAGTAGCTATTGTTTTTGAAAAGGGCCATTTTCTACCCAATTTATTACAGAGTGGATGGGTGGTAGCTATGGAATGTTTATTTCTAATACATGCACACCTACTGTACTTTCGTACCCAAAGACTGACTAGTACGGTGATCCAATCATTTGTACTTCTGGTTTTGGTACCGGTATATTCCTGAATGTGATGCTCTTGTAGGCTTTAACATTGGGGTAAATTTGGGGGTATGGGCGCATATCATTCGCAGTGTAATATAAACTGCTTCATTTTAAGACGTGTCGTCAGCTGACAGTGACAGTATAATATCAGACGAAGGCTCTGTCGACGCTGGAAGTAGTGTGACGTCATCAGCACAAAACGGAAGTATGTCATCTGTGACTGGCGAAAAACGCAAACGAAAAAAGAAAAATAAAGACAAGGTAAATTGTCATTCTTACAAAAACGCAAGAATTTTATACAACTGCCTAAAAAGTCTTATTTTTTATACTTTTCCATAGATTATATACAGCACTATCCCTGAGCATCCTGTAGCAGTTAGCGGAAATGATACCGCAGTTCAGCCGGCCGATGTACCCAAAGTAGAATCGAAGAAATCCACCGATAAATCTGCGCGTAAAAAATCGGCAGAACCTAAAGAAAAGGCGACTCCCACAAATGGCAAAGAAAAGGAGACCGAGAAAAAGCCTGTCATTGTAATTGATTAGAATTTGGAAAGAAATAGTAAATATATGTTATACAATTAGTTAAACAAAGTATGGAACAATACTTCAAATTTGCAAAACCTGAAAGAAAGATATATACCTACGAAGTCCTAGACCTGACCGGTAATCTGATACAATATATTCAGTTAAATTTAAATGTAATTAGTAGTCAACTATTTATTGCAACATATTTTAAACAAAATTTTGTCTGCCTTAAATAGAAAATCCCATTTTTTGTAAAAGAGTTAGATGTCTATCGAATTACTCATTGTATAATATTCAACATTTGTTATTGTTTTAGATGTCTTTATTTGGCGCAAATATCATTGCCAGATATCGAAGCATTTTTGCTTCGGCGTTGTTCACTGTTTTTTCGCTCAACTAGCACGGTATTTACGCTTAGTTTTTAGTTTGAATTGGGCTATATTGAATCAAATGTTTATTTTATAATTTTATATTCTATAATTATGTGTATAATTATATTTTTAAAGTGCCAAATTGTGGAAGTGTATATCGAAGTTTTTGAAATAAAATTGTATCGTATCGTAATTTGTCTTGAACTGTATCGTGGTGAACTGAATCCCTTACTGCTTAGAACCAATTATTAGAATCATGTTTTGAAAACTCACTTCAGAACTGGAAAGGCAGGCCATACTTATAATTTTGCGCTGAGAAAGTCGTCCTACCATAGAACAGAAATAAAGTAAAATTCTCCCCTTCCTATATATACTATATCACACACGAAAGTATATGACGGTTATTATCGGCAGCAAATCTTCGCTTGCATTTTTATTGGTGAATGAACTCTGTCTGAAAACGTCATCAATACATACTCCCTCAGTCGAGGTAGAATGTTGTTTTGCAAAGTTTCAATTAGAAATCGGAGCAATTTCTCTATACGAGGTGTTTTGTATCATAAAGTTGTCCAGCTCGAGAAAAAGCGTTCAAATGCAAACATTTAAACATTCAATTAAATCCTGCTTGATGTATGTTTTCTAGTTAGCGAGAAACGTTCAGGAAAGTACGAGTCCGCAGAGTCAGGAAGGCGAGATCAAATACAGGAAACGATAGTTGTTTTATTAGGTCAACCTACTTTTCGAAAACAAATTACTTGAAGCAATTATAAAAGAAGAGTAAGAAAAGAAATAGCATGGTATGCGTATGAGCGTAAGTCATGGAAAGGAAATACCGCACGAACGACTGACGTACACAGGCAGCAGATGGGGTTTTGTGAGGTATAGAAAGAAGTATTGCTAGATCTTATTATTTTGCCTCTCCGCGTTTTTCCTCGATACGTTTTGCGAGCCCCATTTAATTAATGCGTGGTTTGTCTTGTACTATTCTCCTTTCTACTTATCCCCTTTAAAAATCGTATATGAGGCGATTTCGAGTGCTATTGACATACCGATGAAGAAGAAAACTTAGATTTTGTTGTCTGTGTTGATTGGGATAGAACTTGTGGTACGACAGTTCATTAGATTTGAATTTAAAATTTAAATAGTTTATAGATTATGCCAAACGAGGACCAGTTTTAAGACAGGGTATAATTGGCGTGCTGACAAATAATTAAATTTGGCCAGCTTTATGTACTCGCGTGGGCGACTTATCGGTCAACTTTAGAAGTTAGCAAATAGTATGCCTGGGCAGATTTTCAAGGGTTTATTGGGCACGGGGTCTTTCTTTGCACAGCACTGATAAAACACTCTTCAGAACAGATTAGATGACTTTCATAAATTTTGATTAATAACACCACTTGGAATTTTTATCTGACGTGTTAAGTAAGCCGACAGGTGTTTTGAATGTGGTACAATGCGTGGCATCCGGATAAAACCGCAGTTTAACACCGCTATGCCAAATCAATTTATCGTGAAATTGGCGAACTTGAGTAATAATTTCTTGTCCTCGGAAGCATGGAACTCCGAAAAACTCTTTTATTCAAGCGTAAACACATTTTCAAATGAGTAGAATAATTGCGCAAGGTCAACCAAATATGTTTGCAAAAGTCCACTTTTGTTTTGGTATTTCGCCACAGTCCTGGATAATCGGAAAACAAAATTTTGCAGTAGACCACCGTCATTACTTATATTTAATATTTTTTATTTTTATTTTTTTTATTTATTTTTTTATTTATTTATTATTTTTTATTATTATTTAGTATTTTATACTATTTAGTAGATTTAGTATATTTTGAGCAGAGTTGGTATTCACTCATCAAAAATTGACCGATACTCCAATTTTATATATGAGGTACCGACGGTAAATTATTGTGTATCTAATATTCTAATATATATATATATATGTATTTCTTGTTTTGCAGTTGAAAATAAACTGAAATTTGTCATGTCTCGTGCTTTCGTCCTGTTGCTAATGCTTATCGCATGCACTTTCTGTAATGCTAATAGCTACCAAGGGATATCGAAAAAAGGTATGTTATGATAATTTCATGGGCTTCGGTTACATTGATGATCAGAAATGAAAAAAAAACTTTTGCGACGCGTAACTTTGCTGCAGGTAAAATTTGTATGAAATAATACAAAACTTTTTGACGAGATGCCAGATATTTGTGATAAACAAACATCAGGCTTGATGAAACTTATTTGATAAAATGCCGATGAATGCCAATAGAAAAAAATTCCCAAGCGAATTGTCACCATCCAATTTAAAATAAATCTTAATTAATGAAACTTCTCCACTGACTTTGCGTGACCTTGCTTTAAGCATTTATTTTTAAATAACAGACACGGATTAGGGTAACCGAATATTCTGTGATCAACCCTGATTTGTGTGTAAATTTTGCTCTCAGTCGTCATTAGAATCAGTCTTCTGTATTTAGGTTGTCGTAACCCTGGGAGAAGGGGATGTAAAGGATTCCCAATAGCAGACGAACCATTCAATATTTACAGCGGAGAATCTCAGGAAAGCTGTTGCTGCCTCCAGTTAATTGGACTCTGTCCAAGAAACTACTCACCAGTATGTGGCACAGATGGAGTCTCTTACGGGAATAAATGTACACTGTGTGCAGCAAAGGGAAGACGACAATATATGAAAGAGTAAGTCATTGAATTAGTAATTGTCAGAATATATATTCAGGTATGCTTAACTGCTATTAGTTGTCTGAAATTTCGACTCCTGACCCCGAATGATTTGAAATCTCTACTTCGACTCCGACCCAAGAAGGTTTTAAAATACGACCTCGCTCAATTATATTTACAACAAATTTTAGGCCGCCAGTCACTGATTTGCAACTCGCTTCACCAGTTCAGATAGAAAGAGAAAGTGTTATGTAGTTACCACGCGTTAACACCCAACTGTATTGTCGTTGAATCATCAAAATGCTGAGAACCAAAGTTCAAGTTTTCCAACGAGTTGAAGAACGATTTCCATCATTTCAAGCGAAGGCCAATAAATTTTAATAGGATTTATGCTAATTTAGATGCCCATATTCTACTTAAATTGATATGGAAAATGTTTAAACGAAAACCAAGCCTCGGAATCGAACCCAGGTTCGCTTGTCCAATCCGCACTGTCGCGTTTTTTTTGCTTCAAATATATGATGTGCCTAACAATTGCTATCTTTATACAGCCGATCGAACCCATTGAAAATACACCACTTGGGTAAATGCAGATCTAAAAGACAAAGGTACTACTACGGGAAAGAACGTTAGGGCGTGCCTTCTGTCCACTCCGATGTTTTTCATATACTTTGCAGTTCAGTTACAGTTCAATGCAACAAACGCTAAAAAGATTTGAAACTGCAGTTTTAGTTTTATATGTAAATTTAGAGTGTCTCAAAAGTAAGTGTACACTTTTAACTTTGGTTTGCTTTTCAGGTACACATCATAGAGCGTTCATTTCTTCTGAAAACATAGTATAGAGATGAGTAGTAAATTATAGGTATCGTCTGCATTTTTCATCAACCTACAGAATGACACGGAGATTAATTAACCCAAGAAATGAGGTGCAAAATTACTGTTTGGCAAGCAGCATACAAATCAGTAAGGCAAACTCAGCGCCTCTTTAACAGAGAATTTGGAATGAATTCGGCTCTGAATCTTTTCCTCAGAGCGTCGGCTCCTTGGTCTTCCTGATATCTGTGCAAAATTGACGATGAATTGCATAAATTGTTCGTCGTGTAGGAGCCGAATTAATTCCAAATTCTCTGTTAATGGTTTTGCCTTACTGATTTATATGCTTCTTGCCAAACAGCAATTTTGCACTTCATTTTTTGGGTTAATCTGCTTGTCATTCTGTGGGTTTATGGAAAATGCAAACAATACCTATACTTATCTATTACTATGTTTTCTGAAGAAATGAACGCTCTATGACGATAACCTGAAAAAAAAAAAATCAAAATTAAAAGTGTATACTTACTTTTGAGACACTTTGTATAATTGGTTGTATAAACGCAGTTTAAGTTCCCTTTTTAAGTTCCCTTCCCCTCGAACGACCAAGTTAAGGCAAAACTGAATTGAACCGTTAGTGTATTTCATACCCAGGAAGTAATCAAGTGGCTACGTTTTCACCTTTTTTGAAGCAAGTTTTTCCAATGTCTCTTCGAATAGGCATCCACGGGTGCTGTAAAGTTATTAATGCGAGTAAGCTTAATTTTAGCTATTCCGGGATCTGATATTTGTTTTGTGATTCAATAAAATATCACTTGTATATATATTACTTTGTTCGTTGTGTAGACCCCGTTTGCTGTGAGATTTGTTCACGACCCAAATATCTGGCATCTACATAGTAGGTACATTTGTTTTTCTCACAGTATGATCTTGTGCTTTAAGAAATGATTGGCGGTAATGATTATGAGCGGGTTGGCTGCATATGCCTCGAAATTGATATGCGATTCCTAGTAACGTTACGAATATTCTTTAGTGAGAAGGATTAATTAAAAACAACATCGCGAACAAAACGGTGTTAAATTTGATGTGGAACCTGTACGTACTTTCTACAGATAGGATTTACGGACCTATTTATTCCAGGGGAGAGGAAAAAATAAGACTTCTCGTCCGGTTAACAGTCCATGTCGGGTATAGAATTATTTAGCTATTTGTTTGTTTTCAGATGCAGAAACTTGATATGACAATACCAATATCCACCGATCTAATGTCTGTAATTATTAAATTAATAAATCATCAAGACTATGATTATCTGTACTGTAAATCAATACAACATCTCACAATTATACAAATTTGCATTTTCTTTTCCTCTTTGGGATATTTCGGTTTGGTCTTGACAATGGACAGTCGTCAATATGTTAAATGAGTTATTAAAAAAGAAAAAAAAATTTCATATTAGACTCAACAAATAAGCATATAATCAATTAGTACCTGTATAATTCAAAGCCTTATTCTTCAAGATACAGTCACTGGAACAGCATCACTCCTTCACTGTAGTGTGGGTCTGCAGTCATTATAAAGCCGTTGATATTTTTTCCTTTGTCCTAATTCAGTAACTAAATACTAACATTTCAAAGCCTAATGGCTGAATAAAAAAGAGCATACAGTATTAGCAGTTGCGGATGAAAATATTAGGACTTGTTGGCAATACAAATCAAGCTCTGGCTGTGTTAAGTACGTAACATGTATGCAAGCTACGAAGCTAGTCTAAATTAGCATGCTACCTTACAACTAAACTGAACAACACAAAAATGAAGCTGCATTATCTTACAGATACTGCGAGTAAAGTAATAATAACGAAAGCGACTAAGATGTACATATCGAAGACATCGCGCAACCGTCGAATTAGGGAGTAACAAAGAAACCGCGCTGCATTAACTGCATTCTCTTGTCAATGTGCGAGCAACCATGACAGCTGCCTGTCACTGATGTGATCAGTTTAGCGACTTCACTTTTCAATTCCCCCTAAAATGACGGTAAAATTTACCGAACATATTTAATGTGCACAGTGAATATTGTAACAATATTTTTTATTGTTTGTATTCTACCAGAGAAAAAAGCATGAAAATGTAGGATACACAAAATTTTAATAAAGAAAAATGGAACATTTCACGGTGAACATCCAAAAATTAAAAAAAAATGAATTTTAACTATTAGCCTGGTCGTTATGTACCGCGTTGCTAATTTTCCTGATTCGTATTCATAGTTATGCATCGTTGCTCATATTTGAAATAACATGATTATTTTTTGCAATATATAACCTCATTTTCAATATGATGCATAAAGTGACTTCATTAGGCATGTCAGTAAGAAGTTTATGATTAGCACAAGCATGCTTTTGAACAATGATTTTTTTTTTGCTTCGTAAAAAATTGGGCCGGAATGTAACGTTATAAAAAAGGCCTTTAACATCGGGAATGTTCGTTTTCAATTCGGAATGTATGCATTAGAAAATGAGATAGCAGCGTAAAAATGTTGGCAAAGAAAAGCTTCAAAATGATTGGAAAAAAGGTGGATAAACCAAGCCCCTAACACACCCACTGGGATGAAAAGGAATTGGTTATGAAGTTATGATTGTTTCCAACAGGGAACACACGCAGTTGAATAACACAAATCGGAATGTTGCAGCATCTCAGCTTTTTAAATCAAACTATACTATAGCATTCAATTAGATCCCATACGTGCAAATAATTTAGAATAAAGCCTAATGCGGTGGGTGCAAACAAAGATATCACTGCAGATAATAACAATGTGATTAGGGTCAAAATTACCCCCATTTGTTTGAAGTGTTTGTGCATTTAAAATTTCTCAAATCAAGTGAGTACAATAATCAAACAATACAATATAAAACATTAAGTACAATAAGATAAAAATACACATACATATATAAATTTATAATATTATATTACTATAAAATCAATGGATGAAATCAACTAGATGAAATATTATTGAAGAAAACCGGAAATGAAATAACAAAAAATGAAAATTTTGAAAACAAAATTGGAATTTGACGGATTATGAAATAATTTCTTATTTCTTGTGTAAACATATTATCGGAACTGGAATGAAATTAATAATCGGAACGATGTTTGCAGAATTAAGAACGGGAATCACAGTGGGAATCAGCATTGAATCAACACATTTATTGCTGCTGAGAAAATCAAAGCAGAAATTGATCGAGTTCCAAGGAATCGAAAATAATTTAGGTTTATGTGAACTTTGTTTACAAATTTCTTGATGTTAAATATTCATCTCTGAATATGGGAACACCCTTTATTGTCGCGTGGAATGAGAAAAGTACTCGAGAGTGGTGATACCATTATACGAAGATGAATATGCAAATTGTTTGTGGGAAATGACTACGATTTTATGAAATCCATTTATAAAAAATTTTAACAACTAAAACTACGTGATATTAAAAAATTAATTGAATGAAATGAACAAATAGTCTAAAGTTAATCAATTTTCTACCTTCTTACACAGTACGATATACCTTTCCAGACGGGACAACAAATCAAAAAGTCGTTTCTAAACAAGTGGCCATGTATGGATTGCTCATTCGAGAAAACGAGTGATCCACCAATGACCATACTTGATTAAAAATTAAATTTTTGATTTGTAGAATACTGAAAACTAATTTTGCTACTTAATTAAAATACAAAGAATATACAACAATACAATGAATAAAAAAAATAATAGAGTACGTTTTGACAAATGATTATAAAAAAATTTCATGCGAAAGTAAGATACTGGTTTTATGGAGATAAAACCGGATGAAACTGGTTAAAACCGGTTGACTGACTGGCTTAGATCGATGCAAAGTTTTAATGATTTTGATTAGTAGCAGCAAACAACTCAATTTTGTGCATTTTGTTCGTGATATGTGTCAAAAATATGGGGTTCTGTACACCTACATTTTTACAGATGATTTTTTGTCCGAAATATGATTGAAAATGTGTATTTTTTCGCAAAATGTTCATTTTTTGTTGATTTTTATACCAAACGGGCAAGAAAGTATTGAAATTTTGTTCTTTTTTTCAAGAAATGATTGAGTTTCTTTTATTTTTTCCGACAAACTTGCTCGAAATATTTCTGTTTTGCTCCTCATATGCTTTGTTCTTCATGGTCTACCACTATTCATGCTGTGGCGTGGAATGACACGGAGCAGAAGCTGTGACGTCACCTATGACGTTGGAAAGCAAGCCTATGACGTCATCAGTAATTTCATGACGAAGCTGGTTGAATGAGCCTCATGTACGATTTGGCTGCATCTGTCATGGACTGTTGATCGTCAGTTCTTCCACATGCGATCACCTCCCATTTTGCGTTCAACTGAAAATATAAATGGAAAATGCAGGTGAAATGATTATAAAAAATTGCACGCCCTGTAAGACTCCGACAAATTGAAAAACTAAGTTAAAACAATTAGTGTCTTTATTTATCTATTGAAAATGTGAAATTTATTGGTCCATCAGAGTTTTTTATTCATAGGTTCTCTGCGTATCCATTAAAATAAACAAATCCTAATTGAGAAATATTACTTGCAGAGATTCGTCGCTGACTCTTCGCCTTTGTCCCATAACTGAAGGTTTCATTGCGTTTAACGAAGTCGTCGACGAACAGGATGAGAGCAATGATGACGTCATAATATCTTCAGCATCGTAGCCGTAATAGTGCGGGCTGTCGTCTGCTTCAGAAATGAGTCGTCTCCGCGGGAATGCGGGCTGAGTGTCATCCTCTCTTACAGGAGAATCGGAGTATCGCATCTGCTCTTGTCTTGCCAGTTTAAACGGCGAAGTGTCTGAGCTCACGTAAGGTTGCGAAAGAAAGGATTCCGTAGATCCCAAAGCTGGAGTTGGGGGCGGTAGACTTTCATGCACATTTTCTTCTATTTCTTGTTTGACGCTGACCTGACAATTTATGTTTGGGGTCCGCCCTTTCATCCAATCACCATCGAGGACTAGGACCTTGCGTACCCGTTCAGTCTGGAAAAAGAGGACATTCTATGATGATTGGATTATAAAAAAGAATATAAAACTATTATTCCGTTATTTTAATCACAAATTTGGTCATATAATCCGAAAAATAAGACAAGCGTTCATACCTTAGTGTGGTCAATTGGTCTCGATCGCTTTCTTGGCGAGCCTTCCGCGTTACAGTCCTGACTACCAATAACTTCACATAAGTCTTCTAATGAGTTTGGAGTATCCGGCTGAAAAAAAATATATATATTAAAAATCTAGAATAATGGATTTGAATAAATCACAATAATTATGACAACTTACCATTTTTATGGGTCCATGTTTTTTCACTTGAGCCGCCATAGCATTTTTGAATGGAGTCGGTGTTCGCGGTGACGACTCGGCGATGGATTTTCTCAAATAAGGCGTATTACCACTGTACAACAAAACATGAAGTTGAGTATTCGATAGAAAATGTATTTTTGAATCAACTGAACTTTAATAAAAGTATATTTGTTTACCTGTTGTAGTTTTCCTTGTTTAAATAACCGGCCGCATCATAAGAATATTTTCTGAATGGAACTGCTGGAATTGGATCTTCTTTCATAGGTGTTGAAGTTAGAGAAGGGGCCATTGGTGGTTCCATTTCAGAGCTATTCAGAAACTGAAATATAGAAATTTATTTGTTAAATTATGTTAAATGTTGGACTAAAATGTCATTTGATAAGTGAACAAAAAAAATACTTACTTGAGATGGCGAAAACGGCAAAGGTTTGATGGGTGTGGTGAGAGCCTTGATTTGTGGTAAAACCGGATATCCGAGTGAGTTTCTCATAGGTGTTTGACCCATTGATGCGGGATGGTTCGCTTGTGTGAATGCCGGGTGGACAAAAGCTTGTGACGATGGAGCACTTCGAGCGACTTCGTGAGCTGACGACGATGGGAAGCGGGTTTCAGAATACGTAGATGAGTATGATTGGCCGAAAGAGGGCTGAGATGACGAACAAGGGTAGTAGGATTCTTGCTCTCGTTTTACGAGAGAAAGAGAGGGGAGATTATACCCTGGTGAGTGGGCGTGGTCTGTCATGCTCGGATAAGCAAAAGTGCGGGCATCTTCAGTTGAGAGAGTGCGTTCCAGAAGACTACCAGATGGGGATGCGGTGTTGCCATAATTATCAGCTTGATTGTGAAAATAGTAATCATCGTTGTTGGATTGGTCGTCCATGTTGATAAGATCGGGAATTTGAGACATTAGGTCGCTGTGGTCATGATGATTTGATCTTGGTGTTGGTGTTAATTCGATAAAGTCTTCATCAGTGGCGTAATCTATAAAAAAAAATCGATTAAGTTTTGAAAATACATATACCTCAATGTCCAATAAATAAAAATGACAGCACCAAGGTTTTAATTTTTTCAGATATTTTTCTTCATTCAGTATCTTACCTAATAAATCGTCCGGCAATTCCAATTGTTCGTTGAAGTTCAGTTCCTTTCTGCTGTTGCTATTATTTTCCTGGTGCTGTGACAAATCCGGACTGTTGATTGTGTTTAAGGGTATCAGCGGTGGAGGAGAACCACTAGAACTGTTGATAATCTGAGTGCACGTAGGTCCACTGTCAGAAGACGAAATTTCATTTTGGGACATGTTACCATAAGTACTGGATTGGTAATCTTCACATGATTGAGATTGTTGGGAATCACCGTTAAGTTTGGCTCTTTTTCTGCATAAAAAAAAATTAAAAAAACACGTTAAATTTAGCCAAATTTTGCTGGTTGGTATATAATTGAGATACAAACAAAGTTAAATTGATTAGTACTAAGTCAAGTTGAATAATGTTCAAATTAGGCGTACATACCTTTTTAGAATGGCCGGTGTCGAAAGATATTTAGTAGCTACTGGTGATGTGATAGGAATAAGGCCATGGGAGTTAGTGCTTTTTGAGAGTCCTGCTAATGATTGTCCATTGAATCGAATATCTGACAAAAAGAAATCAAACTTGAGTATAAAAAATGAACAATAAAAACACAGTTTAACTTTTGAGCAACAAAATTCTGAAAAGTCGACTATATATATCATAGCAGTTATGGCTCATAGTCGTAGCTCATAACTTTACTCAGAGATGAGTTACCTTTATTTCTGAGTGAGTGCGAATCACCTTGCTTCGAACAAATTTAAAAAAATAAATGAATTTTGAATAAATAATAACCTGTTCTTCCTGTGCGTTGCATTTGCGTAAATTTGATCGGGGTGACTGGTTTACTTGTAGTATTCGTATGATTCATTTGAGTCAGCTTGATGCGATCTTGTTCCGATATATGGATGATGTTCATGTCTTTGAAAGGCGAGAGCGACGTAGCGTGGCTCAAATCAATCAGTTTATATTCTTCCGTAGCCTGTAAATAGTAACAATTGAGATTATGTAGAACTTTTGAATACATTACAGAGCTCTACGGCTACTTTTGTGGTGAAACGGTCCCTTACCTGCTGTGGGTAGTCGCTTCCTTTAGTTGTGAAATAGCCATCATTTGAAGTTTGTATGTTGAAGGTATTGTTTGGGCATACGCGAATTGAACCGACGGAGGTCAGTAAGGAGCCCGTCATAAACTGAAAGAAGAAAAAATTGTTGAATAAGAATAAAGAAATGACGTCATAATAATAATGATGTCACAGTAGATCAACAAGATATTTACATTTACCTGCTGTTGTTTATGGTGATTCTCCCATCTTGGTAATGGTGGATGATTGGCTAGAAATCCTAATTTTTCTAGTAAGTATGGAGGGCATGGATCGGACAAATATCCTTCATTTTCAACTTTTCGTTTCATTGTCGAGTTCCAGTGATTCTTTATGGCGTTGTCAGTTCTAAAAAGACACAATGAATATTAAATAGTGATTATAAATTTGTAGAACACAAATTGCCAAACCAGATTGAAAGGCATTATTCGCCAAAATGATATCACCTGTATAGTCCATTGATATTAAATATTTCATTTCAATATTTATATTCTTACCTTCCATGAAGCAATTTAGCTATTTCCGCCCATCTATTGCCAAGTCGTTTGTGAGCTTCGAATATAACTCGGTCTTCGTCTTCAGTCCACGCTGTCTTTTTTATATCGGGATTCAAATGATTATGCCATCTAGAACAAGAAATAACTTTGTTTATCCAGCTGGCTATTTACATGTTTGTTTGTCTGTTCGTCTGTTTGTTTGTTCGTGTAATAATATCGAAATACAAACCAATAGTTAGCATTACTTTAAGCGTAAATGTATGATAAAACATACTTAAATTGTGGATAATAAAATTCAGCAAGGCCGAGTAAAAATTGTGATGTGCAATTTCGAAGTTTAATCGTCAAATTGTATTGAATGAAGATTCGAGTTCGACGAATTTGAATTCGAAATTCGAGCCGAATTCGGTAAAAATATTCATTTAATTACATATCAAATTATTGGCAATTCTATTCATATTTTTCCGAAATGAAAATTCCTTAAAGAACCTTTCTCCTGTGCGAATTAAACATACTTGAGAACAGTACTTCATTTTATCATTGAAATATGAAAAAAAGTTTGCCTCTAAACTAGGATAACCCATACATGATAGGTGTTTTCGATTTAAAAAAATCATCCCCGTATCAAGTTTGACGTATTATTCTATGCGAATGAAATGCGAAATATTTTGTTAAACGAATGTACTTTAATAATTGTACAAGTCTTCACATGCCCAATTTTGGTAAATATATCATATTTTGAGTCTATTGTTTGAGTAGCACTCGCCTCGCTACCTAGTGAGACAAATGATAACTAGCTTATTAAATATTTTTATTTGCACTTATAATATATAGGCCGCAAACCGATTGTATTGTATCTTAAAATAGAATAAATAACGATTTTGTTATTTTTGCGATTTAGTGATCACGGTGTCATCAATAGGTGTGCACTTATGTATTTTTTTAAATCAAATATGATAATTTACCTTTCTCTACATTGCTTTCCAATTCTACCCTTCAAGTGCTTCGATATAAGCGACCACTTTTTGGGTCCGTATTTTTTCACAAGTTCAATAACACGTTCGTCTTCTTCTTTTGTCCATGGTCCTTTTACAAGCTCAGGACTAAGAACTTTTTGCCATCTTTGAAGACATTGAACATCCGAGCGATCCTTGAGTGAAAACGAGAGTTTTGGTTAGATTGATTGATAGGAAAAGGCCGGTGGAGTTAACTGTTTTTTTTTGTTCATTATTCATTTCTCAGCTATATGCTTGCTATAGATTATGTGCACGGTGATAAAAAAAAACGTGATTTTCGAGTAAAATATTTGGAAAATTTATAATTTAACAACGACTGAATTTAATTTGCTGAAAACTTACATTATAAAATGTGGAAATTCTTTGAAAATCTTCCATTCCGTATTTTTCAACTAATACTCTCAATTTTTCGTCTTCTTGTTGGGTCCAGCGTGCTTTACTAACTTTTTTACCAGGATTGACACATCCCATTACTGTAAATATAATGCATAAAAATAAAGTTTACTAGAGAAACACCGTAAAGCGAACTCATAAAAAATACATATCTCAGAAAGCATTGTCTATCAAAATACATTCAACGTTTTCAAAATTCTCAAAATCCAGACCATAATAAAGATACATCTTATAACACATTCCGCGATGGAGCTATTCCAGAGTCTCACGATATAGCAAAGTTGCCGACAAAACAGCGATTGATTATAAGCTCTCGGTATGGATTTCCGCCTTTTGGCAGGACGATTTTTCCTTAACATTGGGACAGGTGCGCGCCACGCAGCGTGGCATCTTCTCTGCGTCTCAAAACACGATTAATGAGAGCTATCAAATGCGTCCGGGACGGGATGCATATTAGCACCAAGTTTCGAGTTACAAAACGGCTGAGCAGAGCTATCCAGCATCACGCGCTAAACTTCTCGAAAAACACAGCACGTATCTAATATCGCTTAATTAATACGAAGAATAAGGTATTTGACTATTTGTGCTTTTTCGATATTTGAGACGAATTTAATAGAGTGCCGGTACAATTCGCAGGTGGTCGAAACGTAGTTAATCATGTCTTACGGTATAGTTCTTAAATTTGTCGTTTTGGTTATCTTATGTCAATACAAGCTTGTCACGCGGAGAGTAGACTGTGTAGGTGTGCTATGGCCTGTTTATTAACTATACTAGTTCATTGCAGATTAATATTCATTTTGGATTGTCTTTGATAATCCATATGGTGATTTTTACAGTCCATGTATTACACTCAATAAATGACATTGGCAACAACGGGATGTCATCCAACTAATGACATCTATAGCATTAAAACAAATATTGTATTAAATATGGAAATGTGCCATAAGCGCGGAATTTTGTATAATTTTATGATTTGAACACATATTTATTCATTCCCACTTCTTTTGCAATTGTAGGTCCCGTCAAAATAACTAACTTTCCGAGGTTATTAATTTACTTCCGACTCATGTCGGTGTTTCATAACAAATTCACTCGAAGGATTAACTAAAACAAATCTCTCTCGTTTTTTTGTGACACCGATACTTGAGCTGAGAAAACATCGGCATTAGTTTTCGAGTATAAGGCAAACTAAAGCGAAAGTAACACGAGCAAGTCACGACATGCGCTATAGTTTCGTATTACTTATGGGAAAATGGAGCCACAATGAATCTTATAGTAATACTCGGTTTACTGTTACCACTGTATAACACGGAAATACGAACAATAGGGGCGCCATCATTACCATAAAATGTGTTTCCTGATAAACGAGACCCAAACTAGCAAAGTTACCTTCCTTTTCCGACGATTTTCTACCGATAGCTTCGCGCATCAGAGTGACATGCTGTACAAGTGACATTAAAATGGGTTCAAATGTAATTTTGACCTGCCCCAAGCTCAATGCTACCTACACCTTTACTTTGTAATAAACTCGTGAAGATGCAAATAAGCCAATTTTAGTATAGTTATCATATCTTCATTTACGACTGCGATTAAGCTAACTCATACCGCTACGAATCAAGGATAATGATACATACTATGATTGCTCATTCTAGGCTCCTCATTGCGACAATGTCTCTACTTACTGCCAATAAACATTGATAACACATATGCATATGAATTGCAAAGAGAGTGTTTGTATTTTTTTACCTGATGCAAAAGCCTGATTTGACTTGGATGAGAATCGATAGGGGATCCGGATATCCCGAGCGGCAAAAGCGAATCACGTGACATAGACGAGCGCGAAATTTTAATAATGCAAGCAAACAACAACACAGAATGAGAATCGAATTGTCTTTGCTATGTCAGGAGATCTCGCGGTGCGCACACTTGAATGAGAAATGCGCATGGGGACAGGAGGGGAAACTCTTGACGCCGCGCGCCTTCAAACGTGCGCTATGTATCCGACGAAGCAGGAAAATAATGTCAACGGCATTTTATATCGGAAACGAAGATCAAGAAAAGCAAAGCTAGAATATATTGCAAGGCGGCAAATCGTTTCCTTCTAAAGGATGATAAAAATCCTTTTTTATTTTTTAAATGCTGCATTTTTGTCGTTCGGCATTTGCAATTAGAGATTTTCTGCGAATCTGAAGATACGGAAAACAACAATCGTACTCAGGCACAAGCACAAATGGGTTTTGTTCTATACCATATATTTTACAATATCAATTCAAGGGGGGAAAGCAATAAATTGAAATCCATACACGGTATAATCGGGACTGTGAAATAGGTGTGGGTTGGTACCCGACTTCAGACCCCGAGCATTCAAAAAACAACTCCGGATTGTCAAAATTTCGACTCTTGACTTCACAGCCCTGATTGTAACCGAACTACATAATTAAATTTAGAACCTACCTTGTGTGCTGGTAAAAACACTTTTCGTTCCTCTGACGTCATAATCGTGGTCATCCATTGACGACACTGACGTTCTTGAACTTTCAGATTCAATGGATTCCAAGCGTAGGATGTGCGAAGTGAGATCTTTTCCGTCGTGACTTATAGCGCCGTATTGGGGGCTGCTATCAGGAGGCAGAGCACTAGTGTAGAGACCATGGTCGATGGCTACGCTATGCTGACCCATGTAGGTTAAATCGTCTTCAGAATCGGAATTTCCAGCAGTGATTAACATTTTTATTTATTCAATATGCCTGGAGTGCTTTTAAAAAATGATCACACGCCACTGCACATTCCAGTTCTTACCCTTTTTAATGCAAAGATCTGTCATAAAATAATAAGAATATGATTTGACAAACGTGATACATCACCATGAAAATTTCTATTTGAAGCTCATTGTGTCGTTCCCTTTATCCAGTACTTAGGTTAGCAAACTTTAACACCTGTCGCTAACGAGGTCACGACCTCGGCAACACCTTATTCCGAGCGGTTCAATCAAAAAGGCGGTCGTTAACCAAACAATGTCTATCTTGCGACAAAATTGATTTCGCACTCTCACTTTTTGTCTTCGTGTGTATAAAAGTCAAGTATTATCTGTGCATACATGCGAGTAAAGAACTTTTCTACATTAAAGCATGGAGAGCCAGCATCAAACTCGATTTATTTCAGGCCGATCGTTTCAAATTTTGGCAATAACCGACTGTAAAACAAAGATTCGCGCAGTCATGAAAAGACTATTGAGAAGGGTTTGACGACTTAAAGTAAATTTTGTATCAATATTTGAACCTACAAAAGTCGCTAGATAAATATGTGGTCAGGCAATAAGCCTAATAAATAAAAGAGTGAATGGTCAATTCAGTTCTTTCCACTGCAAATATGAATGCGTTAAAACTTTTGAAAATTGGCGAGAAATAGGTGTGTCTGAGGAAAGATATAAAGGAATAGTATTTTGAGGGTAAATGTAACAAAAGAATCCCGGAACTAACAAAAGTTAATATGTTTTTAGATAGAACACACCTAAAAATTTATAGAGTTTACGATGTTTTGTGGGTTAATTTAAAGACATTTGCAATCGATTTCCGTTTATTGCAACAACAAAATAAAATAGGGCAAATAGATCGTTTGATTTTCCCAGCAAAATGCTATTAAAACACTCGTAACTGACTTCGTTTGCACAAAATGGTTTTCAAAAGAGGCGCGTCCACTTAAATCGACACTCCGCCTGTGAGTTAAATAAACTGAAAAGATCTTCATACGTATGATATCGGTACATAATTCAAAATGCAGACCCCCACATCAAAACAAAATCTGGATCAGTGTCTAGTTATAATAATAAAAGTATAAATATATAATTAAAATTATAAATTAGGATCGTTCTAAAATAGGACACCGGCAGAATCACTTGACTGAGGATACTTGATTGTATCAGAATATAATTGATAGCGAATAGTGAAGTGTGGCGTGCGGGACTTATTTGTATCTTTTCCCTCTTTCAAAACGCGGTATAAATGTAGTTTTTTCCTTACAATATGATTATATTATTATAGCTTTTGCCGGTAATTTTCTGAGCATTTGTACGTCACTGCACGAACTTCTAGATAAGGCCATTGATTCTTTTAGTTAGCATCGCTAATGCAATAATTAATATTTGAAACCGTTAAAATTTTGCACCAAGTAGGAGAAAGTACCGATGCCTGGTTTCCACGCATGTCTACAGCGTGAAATATCGTAGAATCTTGTAGAAGTACTATGAGAAAACGTCTTCGTCGTTAAAATCACCAAGCCAATTTTGCAAACACACCCTAAACTTCCATGATTCCAGATACCCGCTTTGAAAACGATACGAATTACTATTACTATTACGAATTACGACCAACCTAAAAATCACAACGCAAACAACGAGATACTTCCTGTACAAGTCGAGCGTCGACACGGGGCCGGCTGGCCAAAGCGACCGACACACCCGCCCAGATATTACGGTGACTGAACACCTCCCGCCCCGCACTATCGTCGTAACCTAGTCGATATTACATTTAGCTACCTCGCATTATACTAAAATCCACAACAATTATATCTGCATCCTGCTACGTTAAATGATGAATATTTTTGTCGACAATTCTGCGAGCAAACTTTTGATTACATATCGCTACTATACGGGTTGCATATCTTCTAAGCGGCTTAATGCATTGTCGACAAGCGCCTCAAAGACACATAAGGTCTATTGTGAGCCCAGATTTTCGTCCAGGCATGATTTCCTTGAGCAAGTCCTGTCTTGCCTACATGGCGCACCCCTACCCATTATTTTTAATGTCAGCTCGCAGTGGCTAATAAAGGAGAGCAAATTCCCGTACGTATTAGAGAGACTTTAAGAAGTTTTATTCAAGTAAAAAACTTTCCTTGATAACAAATAAATACACGTGACTCAAGAATAAGATTTTACTTTTTCGATAAAATAAGAACAAACAAAATTAGAATTAAAATAATATCTTTAAATGCCTTTGGGACCGTTAGTGCTTCGATTCACTACGGAATTTTCTCCTGTTCAAGAATCGTCGAAAATTCTCTCGTTTTATGTTTTCGAGAGATAGAAGGCAGGCATTGACAGACCCCATGTCTACCAGGATTCGAGTTATTCTATTGCCCTTATGAACTAATACTACGTCGAGAAACTAGAGGGAAAATAGAGAAGCGACCAAGACCCATAATTGTAAAAATAATTTTTTGATCTCGCCAAAAATTTCTATTTTCAAATTTAACGAAACCTATCAAAAATCACAATAATCTTGACATTTTGCTTTAGTTCTTAAATATATTACCACCCACCATACGAAATCATCTTTTCTGTTCATTATTTGACTGAACTATTGGTAATATTTTGAAAATCTCGTGACGTCACAAAAGTAGACGTCATCCGTTTTGTTACTAGTCAACGAAACATGTCCCGAATCCTCAAAAGTCGTTATCGAGTAAATGCCATAAAATGTGAACTTTGATTCATCTAATAGCATAAATTTAATTTATTACAAGGTTGGGTTTCGCATCTGACAACCCAAACTAAAATTTATCAATGTCGTTCTGAAAGTACTTTCCCACCGATGCCATTATTTGCATTACTGTGTTACCTAATCAGTAACTACTTCAAAGTAAAGTTGGAAATAATACGAAATCAAATATAAGTATTTGCATTATTCAAGTGGCAACACTTGTCATTGATAGCAATATATTGCTACTTGTCGGAGTAAGCATATTGTTAAATACAAATCTACGAGTATTAAACTGTTCGCACGAAACCCACCTCACTTTCGTAAACCTCTATTTGTTGTAATAAATTCTTTAAATGTAATACCATCGAGGGTAATAAATAAGATAGGTTAATTTAATTTAAAACGATTAAAATTATTAATTTATTTATATTTGTATGAAAAGTTTTGCACCGTCATTCCAATACCAGCGGTATAAATACGAGGCTACTATGAGTTTAAAAAGACTGCCTGGTTCCGCATTGTTGACGGTAGGACTAATTTGACCTTTGAACCTCAATTTACGAAATAAAATTTACCTCTGAATTATCAGATCAGATCGGATTTTTAAGTCATAAGTGAAATTTTAAAATTAAAAGTAATTAGATTAATTGTGTTATATCGGACGCAAATCTTGATTTTTTGCGCAAATTGGCAAATTTTGTATTAAACATTAATTTCGAAAATTACTCTTCAAATGATACTTTTTCTAAAATCGTTGACTTCATATATGAAATAATGTTCCAACATACAATGGACGATATTTAAAAGAGTTCATACCAATTGATAAATAAAAATTTATAATATAAAGGGATTGAGCTGAAACCACAATAGAATATATAAAATATCAAAAACAGTGAGAGAAGTTCAAACGAACGATACCGATTTGAGGTGGTTGTATAGAAATATTATGTTTAGCCATTTATAATGTAAATTTATTTTGACAGTTCATTCCAAACAATCAAAGTTTCATGACCCCGATTTAATTCAAGTTATGGTGGACAATTGGGATAAAATTTTACTGAACGTTGAAGAAGTAAAATAATTCCTATTGTAAATAAAATAATTCAATGTAACTAAATCTCATTTTGTTCCGGTGGGACACAGGTGCGAGAAAAATGCAAAACAAATACTAGAAATGTGATACAATAGGATTGGTGAATATAAAGACATTTTTAACGTTTCTGTCACGGGCACTATTGTTAATTGCAAACACAAAAAAAATGATTCTTGACACTTCCTTATTATAGAAGGATTTAATTTTATTACTATTAATTTAGTACCATGCCATATATGAAAAGGTCTTTAAAGAATTTCATATTATTGTCATAGTCTGAATTCAAATATTAATATAAAAACGATTTAAATTCTAAAGGTTATAAACTTTCTTACCATTGTTAAAACGTGTTTGGTCATATTTTACAAAAGTCGAGAAAAATGAATTATATTATTTTTACAGCACAGTTTGAAATGAAAAAGCTATTTCCCCATATTTTATATACTTTTTATTTACGTTTGTTCATTTTAAATAAAAATGTATATGATATATATTAAGTATGCTGAAATACCAATTTTTAGGGTTAAACGTATGAAATTGTGATTTAATCAGACCAGCATATGTGTACAATTTCTACTTCATACAAGGAGCTGAAGTATTTTGAAGCGATGATAAAGGAATTGTTCAGGGCTCCATGCTAGGTCCGCATTTATGAATACATGCGCTGTGGCATACATCTGTCACGCAAACTTCATGTTATCAAAACTCATCGAAATGAATTGCTATTCCTTTCTTTATGTACAGAGCAGTTGGTCGTAAAATAAAAGTCATCGAATGAATTGCATTCCTTATGGACCCTGTCTAGGCTTGTCAAATGTTATGTCAATATTTCTAAGCCCGGCTATTAGAGGCCAATGAAGGAGAAAACAATGGCGTCGATCACAATAGATGACGACACAGTAAACGGTAGTTTATCAGCCAATGGTGTGCAGAATCGGATTCGCCGGGATTTTTGAAACTGTAGAAATGATTTCCGTGACAGTCTACGACTCTACAACAAGACATTTAAATTTCGAGTATTATTGAGCAACTATTCTAGTATAGTAGGTAAAATACTTCACCATCTTCCCCAGAGTGCAATAAATTAAATAGGCCAATACGCGTTTAGCTATATGACTAACTAATTTTAGCGGACCAACTCCCCCTTTCCTCCCCCCCCCAAAATATCTCCCCCTCGGGAGAAAATTTGTCGTTCTTGAAGAGGAATTTTGCACCTCATATTCGCTGTGGGATTACAAATATT